GCTACCTCAAAGCTACGACCCAACATTGGGCTTTCAATGGCGCATCTGGTGGTGAGGATGTTGCATGGGAATGGACGCCTGGGAGAGATCGAAACGGGTGAAACGGGCGAGATTCGAGGATCCTAAGAGCGCAAGGCAAGTCGAGTCCGAGTCCGAGTCCGATCCGTGGAGATCCGAATGCTGCCGTGGGAGGAATGGGCCGTGAAGGATGGTGCCATGGGTCCTGTGCTGCTGTGGTATGTTATTGCGATGGCGCTGTGGTATGCGGTGCTGCGGTGCGGTGGTGCTGCATTGGCGAGGTGCATAGGAGCGATTGTGGTAGATGATTGGGCGTTTTTTGCTGTGATTTATGGGCTTTTCGTCTTGGTAACCTCCTCAGTTGCGTCAGGGGTCGAGTCAGTCATCGAGTGGTTATCCACCGCGTCAGTAGGAGGTCCACGGTAGTTGTTGTAACCCCAAATTCCGTACCAGACGGCGGCGATGACAACAGTTCCAAAGAAGACCACCGAGGCGTAATTCATGCTATCCAAAGTGACCTCCTTCAAAGTTGGCATGCAGAAGAGGGGGATGGCGAGAATACTCCAGCCTGGGATTGTTAGCTTAGGGACTGAGGGGAGGGGCGTTAACACTTACCAAGAGCAAAGACATTGGCAATCAGACCGAAGATGCCGAAGTTGAAGCTGCCGTTCTTGATATCCTCACGACGGCGGAAGATCAGAGAGACGGCGATGGGGCATGCATAACTCATGGTCAAGAAGATGACACCAACACCGGAGAAGGCGTTGTAGGCAGCTTGGGAACCGAAGTAGATCAGACCGAGGCAGATCTCGACGACCATGCTAAGGACGAGGGCATTGAAGGGGATGTCCAACTTCTTATGGACAGTCTTCCACCAGCCAGAGCCGGGAATACCACCATCACGGGCAAAGGCCCAAGTGCAGCGCGAGGTAGCGGTGACACAGCCGATACCACAAATGAGACCGAGCACGAGAAGCGGGATCATCAGACAAAAAGCCCCGACGCTGCTGCCAAGGGCATGCTTGAAAATGACGGGGGTAGGCTGGGATTCGTTCAAGATATCGGCGATCGTAGGCATGACGAAGCAGAGGGGAATCAAGAAGAGCAGACCGGCGATGAAGTTGATGACGATGGTGCCAACCATGGCCTTGGGAACCATAATGGCGGGTTCGCGCACCTCCTCACAGAGACTGATGATCATTCCAGTAGCTGAAGTGGCATAGGCAGCTTGCAAAAGACCGATGAAGAAGGACCAACCGGCAGGCCAGCCAGCGTTGGGCTCGAAGCTGCCAAATACCCATGAGGCATCCCGGCGGCCTTCCTTGGCGACAACCAGGAGACAGATGATGATACAGACCATACCGATGATGGTCCAGAAGATGGCGAATGTCTATAAAATGTTGGATTAGCATGAGTTGACACGAGGGCTGGGGAATAGCAAGTACCTCGATATCAGGCAGATACTTGTTCCCAAAGGCCGAGACGGCGTGGGTCAAGAGGGTGATGGCCAGGAAGATCAGGAAAGTCTGATAAGCCTGGAAATCCGATGTGATGCCGTTGCCATTGGCATCCTCAAAGACATTGAGGCACCCGACAAAAAGCAAAGTTGTACCGAAGTTGACAGCCAAAGTGATGGTGATGTTGCCAGCAACATACGACCAGCCACAGATCCACGAGGCGACGCGACGACACCAGAGAGGCGACAGAACGAATGTTTGGTAATAAACACCACCGGCAGTTGGATAAACCGAGGTAATTTCAGCAAGGGAGATGGCGACACAGAGAATCAAGAAGGAGACGAGGACCCAACCCCAGATAATATTGGCGGGGCCACCGGCGGCGAGGGGATAGTAGAGGGTGGTGGAGAGACCGTAAGGGACGGAGGAAAGAATGAAGCACATGAAAGTAACCTGCCAGACCGAACGATTGCGTGCAAGTTCAGGCACGTAGCCCATATCCTCGAGGGTTCGATCCGCATTGCCCGTGTTGGCGCCTCCAGTTTCAGTGGCGACGGAAACTCGTGATGAGCGGCGCATGGCCTCGACAATAGCCATGTTGGAAAGGTAAGAGGAATTCAATTATTGCATATAGAGTATAGGTAGAGGTAGAGGTGGTCGGAGAGGAGGAAGGGTAGATTCGCGATTGCAAGCGAAAGACAAGAGAGTGTTGGATGTAGATAGATGTACTCGTACGAGATGGTGGGCAGAGTAGAGTAGAGATAGTCACGAAACAAAAGCAGAGGGAAAAAAAAAAAAAGGTGAGACCGATTCGAACGGATGCAAGCCACGTTGGAGAGAGCCAATTAGAATAGGATTATCATTCATTTAGCTCCACAACTTCGAGAAACGGGCAAAGTGGATCGTTTCGTCCCGGGATGAAGCAGGTTAACAGGATTTTGCGGAAAGGCCCCGAGAAAGGGGAGATTGGAAGGATCTGAGACGCTAGAGGACTGAGGCATTAACTGTATTTTCTAGATCGAGAGGATTCACTGCATATTCTAGTTTACGACTACATTGCGACATTCCACACGTCTTTACACTAATATTCAGTATGATGTCAATGCGCCACGGTCATATTGCTGGGTACCAATTATGTAAATGGTAAAGTCTAACTACGCGAGGTTACAACCAAGGAACCCCTTCCTTTTGAGGCCTTTTCCTTTCTGTATTCCTCGGAAGATAGAAAGTCCCGTAGTCGCCTTCGGGGCCGACGCTAGCCTCGTGTCCATCCAGCAAAAACGCCGAAGACACTCCACAGTGGAGATAGGGACAAAGACGCGCATGAAACGGGAGAGAAAGGACGGATGAGGAACATATCGAGCAGGTCGGTGTCGATCGTAACCTACTCTGTATGTATTCCGGTAGATAAAGTCAAAAGTCAAAAGTCAAAAGTCAAAAGTCAATGGCCACTTTGAGTGCGCGATGTTGAGCAGCATTCCTGAAGGTGTCGAATGCAGCTGTCCCGTTGGAAATGGGGAAGTCTATGATGATAAAATATTAGTGACCATCGTGAAACCCGTGGCAAGTAGAAGTATAGCAGAGAAGAGGAGAATAGTATAAGTACAAGTACTCTCTTTTCCCTTCTCTCTTCTCCGCTATACTTCAACCTGGAATTAGGGCTTGGCTGGGTTGCTGACTGTGTGTAACCAAACGAGAAATCTCCAATTGATTCGTGGCCACCAAGGTTAACAATTTCCCGGTGGTTGTCGCGTTCACAAGCGACATGTGAATGCCTGCTGGTCAGCACGGATATATCATATCTGGAATTACTATAAGGAGTAACCTTGGAACTTACTGATATTTCGATCCCATAGCCGGTCCAAGTGGAGAGCCGCCTGTTTACCGTGGACGCCCACGTTCGCAATGCGCCCTCCTATCCCCACCAACTCCTGCGCCAATGCAAATGTTTGAGGAATTCCGACCGCTTCAATTACCGAGTCGAATCCCTGATCCTCCGTCAGATTGAGTAGCTTCTCGCGTGCCCCCTCATTCTCATCCTCCTGAACCGTCTCCGCCCCTAGCTCCCGCGCGGTAGCTAGTCGCGCCTCATCGCGATCGATCATCACAATCAACGCTGGCGTATAAAGCTTTGCCGTCAAAAGCGCCGCAATTCCCACCGGTCCTGCCCCAATAATCACCACCGATCCACCCGGCTGCACGTTCGCACTAAGCACGCCCACCTCCAACCCCGTCGGCAGAGCATCGGACAAGGCCACTGCGGCGCGTGGATCGATCAGGTCAGGCAATGCGTGCAGCGAAAGCGTCGCGTGCGGCACCCGGACATACTCCGCATGTGTTCCATCAATATGATGTCCTAATACCCAGCCACCGGTCTGGCAGTGCGCCGGGATACCTTGCCGACACCGCTTGCAGGCTCCACAAGATGTCATACAGGATATAACGACACGTTGGCCAACCTCAAAGTTGTGCACTGCCGAGGCCACTTCCTCCACTATACCTACGCCTTCGTGACCGAGCACCAGTCCTGGTTGAGCTGTCGGGACGTCTCCCAGAATTATATGGAGATCTGTCCCACAGATTGAGGCGTGCATGAGGCGTACCACGGCATCAGTTGGTGCTTGGAGGGCTGGTTTGGGCCGATCCAGGACTTCGATCTTCCCGGGTCCGGTGTATACAAGGGCTTTCATTGTAGAATCGACGTGTAGTTTGCAACGTAGATGATATGCGTAGTGTATAGGGGTGAGTTTTACTTTGTTAACATGAATATTTCCCCGGACTTATATTCGACAGGATATTCAGTTGTGAACCAGCCGCAACTATCTCATCTCGTGCGGGGTGATATCGGATCCGCATGGATGTGGGGTTTAGGTTTGACGCGGAGATGCAGAGAGACGCATATTATTCCACAACTCTCCTCAGTTAAACTTTTCGTATAGATAGTTCAGCTCGGACTCGGAAGAAAAGTGAATGATCTATCTGATTTTGGAGAGGACCAGTTAGACGGGTTTCATCATAGCATTCACAAAATGCCAGCCTCTCGGCCGCGATCTCTCTTCTAGAGTTCCAAGGTTCTAGTCATTAGCATTCCGGAGTACATGCACCACCTTTCATGGTCATGATCTTCCGTCAATTTATTTTGCAGAAATGAGGTGGCCCTGGAATTTCTCGCCCGATGGATTTCAGGCATCCTTTTGTGATAGCTCGAAAATGGTACCGCTCTACGATCCGTGGTTGGCTTGTCCGGAAAGGTCAAACTTGATCTTCTCCGAGTCTGTCATAGTACTAGTATTTAGAGACGATGCTATTTCGATGTCATGACTTTGTCGGACTGTCAATTTGGACGCGGTCCCTAATTTCTTATTGCCTATTATATTGCGCCTGCCATTTAGAACCTCCATCTTCATACAATACTCTCCCTTGGTTCCTACACCTTATTGAGCCTATATACACAGAGTTTCCGAAAAAAGAGCACAGGACAGAAGACAAACCCAAATTACCTTGATACGAGTAAAGATCATACTGTTAACGATAGGCAGTCGGAGTAGTCGAATTATAGAGCTCTGCGGGCTTGAGCTCGGAGCCGGTTAGCCCAGCAAGCTCTACAGGGTGATCGTTCCGCTCAATTGCGTAGCCATAGCCATCAGCCGATATAGGGGACCGATGCATCTTATTTCTCAATCGCCTCTCATAGAGAGCCCAACCGATAGAAAGAAGAGCAATAAAGCCGAGGGGAACACCAACACCGGCGCCTATCGCGGTTTCTGTTTTCGAGTTGTTGGATGGAGCGTTGGAGGTCGATTGTTTAGCGGTATCATCGTTGCCGGTGTTATTTGCAATGGTGGAGGAGCCTGCGCTGGAGGATTGATTCACCAAACCATCGAGAGCCGCCACATCTGCAATGACTGACCCGTTTGCGATCGAAAAAGGCGCTTGCGTGTTTCCTGAAATTCTGCTACATATGAGGGTGTCATTGGTCGAGATGATGACCGAGTTGCAACAGTATGTCGGTTCCTCCCCAGCGGGTGTATTGCCCGTAGTGCCATTGGTTTACCAAACAAGAGCCGCGCCACCGCCTTGCTGGGCGTTTTCTGATAGAACGGAGTTAGTCTTTAGGATTATTATTCTAATTGAGTCTATGGGCGAGATGCTTCAAACTTACTGCAATATGTCGGGCATGAAGTGCCCCAGCTTTGGTCGGTGCAACTTCCGCGCGAAAGCGACATAGGCTGATTCAAGGAAAGGCATAGTTGATTCGTGAGACAGATTGAATCACTCCCGCAGCAATGTGTGACTCGGCCATCAGTATAACATGGTGTATCTCCACTGGCTTCATCGCCATTGGGGTAGTAGCACTGAGAGCTAGCCTTGGCTCCGGCAAAGAAAGCCAGAAGAAGGCCGAGTTGGAGACAGAGGCTCCTGAAAAGAAAGTGGCTCGCCATCCGGAAGGATCAAGGAACGCGTTTCGAGATTTGATGGGGTCTGGCGTTTCGAACTGAGAAGTGAGATATTAATACAACAAGCGAGTACTCGTACATAGCCTTTCAATGTGCTATAGCAAAAAAAGGCAGTGGAGCTAGTGGATCGAGCTCGATCCTTCCGACAACAACGTCGTAGATAGGAGAAGAAGACAAAGAGGAGAAAGAAAGAGAGGGGCCAAATGAAGAAAAGGAGATCGCTCGTACACTGAGCCGCCGAGAGCGACGGGGAGGGTTAGCTCACGGCTAATGAATTCAAATCACCCGACGCGTCCACCGGAGGGTTTAATCCTGCATGCTAGTCTGATCTAAATAGGAAGTACTAGAAACAAGAACAAAAACATACCAGGGTATACTGCCATTTCGCACTTCGTGTATTCGATGGAAAGCTCGATCGGCCAATGCAGAGATCATTATCTATCGCGCCAGTATGTACCAATGGCTCATCAAGGCGCGGGATACATTGGGTTTGATTATTTCTTGAACAGTACATTGCCTCATGGCTGAGAGAGGCGCGATACGTAGTGAGACGCTACATACGAGTACACTCGTCGAGGTAGAGTCTTGAAATGATACGAAAGCAACAACAGCATGGGTAAATTTAATGTTTGGCAGCCACCACGAGTAGATTGGAATAAAGCCAGCTGGGGGACAATGCAGGCGCAATGTTCCGAATTAAATGCTGACAGATACGGTCAAGGCCTGACTGATATGCAAATTATGCATTTCTTGCCTGCTAGCCCTCGAGATTCTTCCAGGAAACTCCCTCGCGATCAGCCTATTTCTTCTTCCACTGATTCTCAACACAAAGCACGATCGGCTGCTATTCTACGTGCTTGGCATGATATGGAATGGACCGATGACTTCAAACAACATGTTCGTTCTCTCATTATGGAGCTGTCGCTACACTCCGGGGGCGAGTATCAGGTCTACATTCTGTGCCACGCTGAAAGACAAAACATCCCACTTAACCAAGAAGACCTCGACTCTACCCGGCAAGTTAAGGCTAAATTCGTGCCACCGGAGTTTATGGTTCTGACCGTTCTTTTCAACAATCAGACTTTAGAGTCATGGTATCCCAAGGTCGAAGATCACAGGTATGCAAAATCAGCTAGCCTCTAATCTGATTATAAACTATTAATAGCACAAAATCCCAATACTTGCAACCAGTTCAAATCTTTGCTCAAACTCTCCAACAATCTGATTATTATTGGCAGCTGGAAATGGATTCCAGGTTCACCGGCCATGCCTATCACTTTCTAGAGCAAGCTGTGAAGTTTGCCAAGGCACAGCCTCGAAAGTACCTTTGGGTGCGAAACTCCTACTTCTTAATTCCAGGAGCCCATGGAACGTGGGGACGATTTATGCGTATGGTCGACGCTTCTATGAGAGGCCAAAACAGTATCTGGGGCCCGATGGATCTATCTGGATTCATTCACGCATCTTCCGCTGCGAATACCGAGCCTCCAATGATCCCAGTGGGCCCTCAATCCCCCGTTTCTCCCCAGAAGATGACAAGTTTGAATGGGGTGTTAATGAGGAGGCCGATTTGATTACCTTTCTTCCTACTTTCGACCCCGTTCGCACTCGCTGAGTCTTCACATATGCTGTGTCGGGCCTTCGGGAAGATGTTCCCCACCAGGCATCTCCTGTCGCCATGGGGCGCATTTCGAAGAGCCTGGCACAGCAAATGCATAAATTACACAAAGTCACTGGGGGATTGACCTGGCGTCTGAGATGACTGCTCCAACATTGGCACTGTGGAACGGTTTAAAAGCAGTGCACGTTGCCCAGCCTGTCTACGTTGACGGTAAACGGACGTCGAAGGAGTTAGGCCGCATACTGAATCCTGGTACTCCTGAGAAAATCAACGGTTGCGAAGATAGTATCTGGAACTGGGACCACCGCTGGGATAATATCCTCTATCGTGTGTCCTACATGTTCTCGACACAGTGTCCGGAAGACTTATATCGGAGATGGATGGGCTTCAAAATTGATCCCCTTCAATATACGGACGGCACCTATCATCAAGATCAGCAAGGTCGCAACTGGTTCGAAACTGGCGATCTGCGAGAGGATTTGTAAGGTCCGCTTTGTTACCCGTCCATGTTACTCCAGTCTGTCAAGAATACCAATGGGAAGAAAGGCTCGAGCATGGCGGTCCCTGTTTAAACCTTTGGAATGAATCTTTTTGTACATAGTATGTTCATGTGAACTTTCATGTCAGTAGAGATTAAATTTAACCCCATAGAAGACAGAATGAGAAGTTTCAGGTTGGCGCCCAAATTCCACCTTCGAGGTGTCAAAAGCTAAACAATTTTTGATACACCTCTGACATGTGCTAGATGAAAGTGTAAAACTGATATACGAAAAGAAACTTTAACTGGTATGACAGGAAGAGGACGCTAGAACCGCTTGGTGATGAAGCACAACTCCAAGCATCTAGTACTAGGTGACGAAGGTTGAAGAAAGGACCCGCGAAGAAATGTGTCCAGTCAACATTGAAAATGGAGACTGCCACATAGAAGAGGAGGATTTCAAAATTTCAGCAAGAGCCCCTCGGCCCGAAAGCGCTGCATATTGGAAAATAATTGCGCGTGCGAGGCCGGTAATGCGAAACCGACACTGGCCCGGGGGCTACCATACACATCTATTCCGGGGCCAGAAGGATTGCGCGATCGTATTTCCGATGCCATCGAAAATTACTTTGCATTTTGCTCAGAATCATCATTCCCGAATTTCATACTTCAATTTGCTGTCAAGCCAGGGCGAGTTAAATGTCAAGTGAAGTTTACATCTTCATTTTTGTGGACAAATCTACCGTCAATTTCCCGGCTGCGGAGATTGTCAAGTTTTATCGCCCATATATCTCCCGATAAATAAAGATGGGCACAGATACTTGACTAGTGAGTTGCATCTATCGTTGATATTATTCCACCTTCGCGGTGGATACTACTACTGTACATCAGAATAGAAAAGGGTGGTAGTAGCTAAGTGCGACTTGTAAGAAAACCATCAAGAGCTGCATTAGCAGAGTTATGCTTATATCGATTTGCGTTTTCTCAAATCTCACTTTGGACGGAATCTAAAGCATGTGCGCCGCCGTCCGATCCACAATTCGCAAGACTTTGTGGGGAGGAGCCGAAGGAGCTTGTCCCCAATGCATCTGGTAAGCAGATAACCCCTTGCATAGCATAGTCCCAGTGATTGGTTAGAACCGCATCGTGTTTCTTACCAGTAGAGTTGAAAGTTTAGTATTAAAGTAATAACTCATATACCAGACCGAAAACACTCTGTTTCAAAATCAACTTGGGTATTTCTTTAGACATCAAGAAACTGTACACAAGGATATGTGGTCCCAAGCTCGTTCCACCCGATCCTCTTTGTTCAAATGCGCACCGACCTACTTAGTCCACTGGTTCGTATGTGGGAAGAGTTTTTGCTATTAATGAGTTAACACAGTCTCCCTACTCCTTTCACGTAACAGGTAATATTTGTATTTATTTTTGTTTCTATGTAGCCCGCAACGATAGTAATTTCAGCGCTGTTGAGAGTCAACTAAATGGCCTGGAATTACGTGCTGACACACGCACTTCGTACGTTTAAAACTCCCTGCAAGGTCAACTCCATAAGGCGAAGTTATTTTCCATTGGATGTCATGAATGTTGGTGGATATAGACATAGTTCGAAGTTTGATCTTAATCCACGGCCTTCTATTAAGTGCATAATTTGTATTGATATATTGGATAGGCAAAGTTGAATTAGTGCACAATGTTGAGCTTCTCGAGGACACCAAAATATTGACTCGGGTTGCATATAATGTTCAAGGGTTGGACTCTAAGCCTCTTTTTGAATCGTCAAACATTCTACCTAACTAGTTTCGATTGTAATCAAATCTAGCCATAGTATGGAAGTTCCCCGTCTCTCGAGGAAATCTCAGCTGACATAAAACACGAGGCATCTGGTAAATCATCTTGAATATGATTTAGCATAGGTAGTAATCTGCCAGATCAGGTGGTCCGGACTTTCCTTCGGCCGATGCAGGGACATTGCTGATTGCCTTGGCTTGTGATTGTGCCTTACCCCCCATTCGTGTTAGACTGAGTTATATCCCGTCTGGGCACCGCCTCGGCCTCGTGTTGCTGATAAAATCAACTTCCCATTGGCAGAAGCTCACACTCTACCATGCCCTATTCCTTTCTTGTCCTAGCGACAGTTTATCTGGCCGCCACCACCACCAAATGCTGCCGTCGCTTCGATCCCTGCATTCTACCTGAATGCTGATAAGACAAAGGATTTTTAGAAGCCGTCGCTTGCGCGCTCGGTTACCAGTCCTTTTAAGAGACTGTGTGTCGCATATATTCCGGTCCGGCCACCGGTCCGGTCGTGAGGCCATCGCTGTGGCATGTTTGGCTTGAAGCACAAAGTAACCAGTCTCGACGTCGCAGAGCGTTAAGGCGACATGCGCCATCCCGGTCAACCGGAGAGCTGCCGGTGTGGCTGACAGCCTGACAGCTTCTGTTTTGAACGAGGGGGTGAGATTGTAATTTTTCTTCTTTTGATGCTCGCGACCAATGCGAGTGTGCAGTACGAGTAGTGGCGTGGATGGTTGAAAAATAACTGGGGAAAATGAGAAGCAGGCCTTGTTCTTCCTTGTTATTTGCTGGTTGGAATTTACTTGCGGCTGGGCCTCTTTTGGCTACTCTACAACAGCCTGTCATGCAACGGAATACGAAAGAATAAAATGAAATGAGGCCCTCATTCATTACATGTGTTCCCCGGACTCCTTAGCGTCCTTGGCTTCGGTTAGCTTATCACAGGGCCCTAACGGCTTGGCTCGCTGCACGGGATGCCGGAGCTGAAGTGGAACATTTATTTAAGTATGTTTGTATCCCCATTCCTGGGGATCATCCGTTTCCCAAGTATTTACTCGTGAAGTCAACAACTCGAACATGTCGAATATCGAAACGGCCCCGCCGCGTAAGGGCTATGATGAGCAGCTGGTGACTGAAAAGGGAAAAGCAGTGCGCAGTCTAGTCCAGGAAAATCTTCTGGATGAGCGCTACGCGACAACTCAGCGTGGTCTAAAGAACCGACATGTGCAACTAATGGCCTTGGGTGGAACAATCGGGACAGGTAAAGCTGAATCTAGGTACCTGTGGTGTATTGCGCTGACTATTCAAAGGTCTTTTCGTATCATCCGGCCAATCATTGGCGATCGGCGGCCCTGCTTCCCTTCTGCTCGGATATCTTTTTATCTCTGCCATGGTCTACGGACTTGTAACTGCCATCGCTGAGATAGGTGCTTATCTTCCTGTACATGGTATGTCAACATTGAGACAAAGTTCTCGACCTTGTCGAGTCTATGGCAATCTTTCTTTCACCGGCCACTTCTAATATTTCTAGAGGGGCCACAATGAGCTTCAATGGATTCAGATACGTAAGTAGGAGCCTCGGCTTTGCCATGGGATACCTATACTGGTACTCTCTAGGTATATTAGTGCCATACGAGATCACTGCAGCTGGCTTGGTTATTGGTTTTTGGGATACCAATGCGACCGTCAACATTGCTGTCTGGATTACCATAATGATGGTGGTCATCATCGCATTGAATTTCCTGCCGGTCAGATTCTACGGGGAGACCGAATTTTGGTTTGCCGGGATCAAAATTATCACCCTCATTGGATTGCTCTTTCTGTCCTTCATTTTATTCTGGGGCGGTGGTCCGTCGCACGATCGTCTAGGCTTCAGGTACTGGAAGGATCCGGGGTCGTTCAACACTTACATTGTGGATGGAAACGCTGGCCGCTTCGTTGGTCTACTTAAGTGCACCGTCTCCAGTGCAATCGCCTTCATATTCGCACCTGAGTTAATAATTATCAGCGGCGGTGAAATGGAATCTCCTCGTCGCAATGTACCACGCGCTGCACGACGCTACATCTACCGACTGGTCTTCTTCTACATCTTCAGCGTACTCGCTATCGGTGTTATTTGCCCGTCCAATGCAGCCCGCCTGACGAAAGGGGATGGCACAGTCAACTCGTCACCCTTCGTGGTGGGAATAAAAAACGCCGGGATTCCTGTTCTGGATCATATCGTCAATGCAGCAGTTCTGACTTCGGCATGGTCGGCTGGGAACTCATTCCTGTACATGTCCTCTCGCTCATTGTACTCTCTAGCCATGTCAGGAAATGCGCCCAGTATCTTCAAATCCTGCAATCGCTGGGGCGTGCCCTACTATGCCGTCGCCGTATCAGCCTGCTTCTCATGCCTGGCTTACCTATCGGTCGGAAATTCGAGTTCTATCGTATTCAACTGGTTTGTCAACTTTACTAACACGTCAGGCTTCATCTCTTGGATTTGTTGTGTGATTGTTTATTTCCGTTTCCGAAAGGCAGTAAAAGCGCAAGGAATCGAACAGCCTTACAAGTCCAAAATCCAGCCCTACGGAGCGGTTTTTGGCCTGGCAGGTGCAACTGTTATGGCGTTGATCAATGGTTTCACTGTCTTTTTCCCATCTGAGTGGTCTGTCAGCAACTTCTTTACCGCCTATATCGGGATTCCGGCGTTCCTAATACTCTACTTCGGCCACCGAGCCTTATTCTGGAGCGATCCATGGGCATGGCGACCAGAAGAGGTCGATATGCATACCGGACTTGAGGAGATCATATCTGCCGAGGGACCGGAGAGAGCCCGTGGCCCGTGGTGGAAACTATGGTGAAGAGTCGCGGTGGTGGCTGCCCATGTGTTTAGGCTAAAGGGCATTCAAGTATCCAGAGTCAGTTTGAAATTCCACTTTCAGATATATATCCCCCTTACTAACTACTACTAGTACCTAGTGTCTAGGTATAACTACAAGTAGGAGGCGCCAGTCGGTAGTTACGCCTGATAGCTACTAGTACCTAATTGTGTTATTTTTTTTACCTCAGTGCACAATTCCATTGGAATCCGAAAGAAATTTATCTTTAAATGCTAAAAGCACTCGAACCTTCAAATTTGTCACGAGACGAACTGGCTTGACGTTTATTTTGCCTGCTTCAGTGATATTTCCGTCATTGTGGCGAAATCTGGGGCAGATCTGGGCTCGGAGCTGGCACCTGAGCACGGAATCGGTACTTCACAGCTCCATGTATATTTCCTCGAATCACATTTCTCGCCTAGGTAGGTAAGTTATCATATATTCGGCCCAGTATCGGCTATTCCTATGATCCTTCTTTCTCTTCGTGGTGTTCGATGCGTCCGATCTTATCGAAAAAACCCGCACTCACCCGCACTCGTCCGCACTTGATAATCAACACAGCTGACGACACCACCTATTGCTTGCCGATGAGACTCGCCTATAAATTCGGCATGCGCCGCAGACCGTGTCTTTCTCGGCGTCCGCATCTCGGATTTTTAGGAAGACTATATACGGCGCGCTTGGACTCAAACTATAAACTTCCCTTCCTCCCAGTTCGGCTATCCGTGCCGAAACCCACTCGCCGAACAGCCATGTCCGCTACTATGACTGTAACCTTGCCGACCGTCCGACCGCTACAGCCACCGAAGGGCTCGGACATTGATTTCGGCGCGCAAATTGATGGACTTGATTTGGAAAACTTAACCGGTTTGTGAAATCCTCCGATATATGCTCAAGTTCTAGCTGCTGACACGTCCTAGATGAACAATTCGCCTCGATCCGCAAAGCGCTCTACAACTACCACGTTGTAGTTTTCAAGAACCAAAACAAGCTATCTCCCAAAGCACAATATGAGCTCACCAGGCGATTCGATCCGATCTCGCAGAACTACGGACACGGAAAGACAATCGATGCAAAGCGCTCCATCCTGCACCCAGATCTCAAGACTGTCCCACATCAGCCCCAGGTCCAGGTAATCGGCAATGGCTTTGTGCCTTCATACGAAGGATTAAAGGATGTGCAATTAAGGCACCCCCATCATCGGACCTTCCACAAAGATCATATTCCAGACGAGCAAGACTACGACTTTACCCGCTTTTACCGATGGCATATCGATGCTGCATTATACGATCTCTACCCCCCACAAGTGACCACACTTTTGGCAGTCAATGTTCCCAAGGGCCGTCGTCAGACGCTGATTTACGATGATGGATCCGGTGAAACAATGGACGTTCCCCTTGGGACAACGGCATTTGTGAGCGGGCAGCGAATGTACGAATTGCTTTCTTCAGAAGACCAGGAGTTTGTCCGCACAAGCAAGATCGAATATGCGCCTCATCCGTAAGTTCCTATGTTCCATCCGCGCTTTCCAGTTCATTTTTCAGCTGACATAAAACCAATAGGTACATCTGGATGAGTCCTGCTCGTTCTCGCTCCACTGGACTAGGCATGCACTCTGAAGGTCTCGAATTACCAGACTCAGAGCTACCCCCAATCGATCCATCGAAAATCATGGTTTTCCCCATGTGCTGGAAGAATCCAGAAACAGGAAGGCTCGCATTACAGATCCATCCATCCGCAATGCGCAAGATTCATCTTGAAGACGGAACGGTGATTGATGACTTGGAGGAAGTGCGCGAGATTGTCTATAAATTGCAGCGCCCTGCAATCAGTCCTCAATATGTGTACCCACATGACTGGGAGGATGGTGACCTTGTCTTGTTTAACAATCGTGGTGTACTGCATTCTGTGGTTGGGGCTTTCAAACCCGATGAGGTGCGCCTGTTTCGACAGTGCAACTTGGCCGCCTCGGAGCCGCCTGTCGGGCCTTGAGAGGATGATACCAGGATGGATCTCATGCCGTTAGCAAGCGATAAATGAATGAATGATAGTATTAAATGTACTAGTAGTATACATAAAATACACCGGGTGATTATAGTATTAGGACCCAGTAGTACCTGCCCTGCGTGGCGCAATAAAATACAAGACGGAAGTTTGTGCTCAACTCATCGAACGATCCAAAACCCATTGACAGCCACTTGTCTCTCCCGCCATGCATCAGTCTCTGAACGAACCCCAAGTTTATGCAACGGCACTTGATCGACCCATTTCTGCCCTTTGGCCCGCATATTTGCGTATCCTTCCATGCTTCGATCAACCCAGCTCGATTGTTGCTTCTGGATCTCAAGTGCACTAGGGGTTTCAGGTGACCAACCTGGATACGCCAAGGTATTCTGCACTACATCAGCATCATAAGCATCAGCTAGAATAGCTGCTTCTCCGGCCGCAGCCTGCGCATCTGCAAGTTCCTGGCTAGTGCTACCTCTGGGAGGCGGAACATCAACTCTGAGGAACCCCAACACCCGGATTTGAACCTTGCTTGTCTGTAATGGTACCTCGTCCAATAAACGTAGTGTTACAATATGTTTCGAGATTTGTGAAATATTGACACGTGAAGCCTGGAGTGGATCCAAAGTTCGAACGGCCAAAATCATGGGGGACCAAGAACCTAATGAGGGATCTTTCTCAGTAGTTGCGTCGAACCTTGCCCAGCCAAAAAAGTATCCACGCAGCTGCTCAACTACCCAGTCGGGAGGATTTGTAAGGGTCAACTTTGGAGTGTCTGTGGGACTATTGAAAGGTGCGAAGTTGTCAACTTGGCCTCGGGCTTTGAAGGTCAGTGGAAATGGTGCCTGTGGACTATCCTCCACTGGTAATTGACAAGCGATTGGGGAAACACTTTGATCGACTGTGACACCTTGACCCGGACCAGCAGAGGAGTTGAAAAGTCCTGCAACGCGTGTTTCAACACCACTTGCAGTATAAGCCTTTTGTACTGCAGTTTGTTTGACCCAGGTCGGGCGATATCGATCGACTCTGGTAGCAAACGCCGCAGAGGCGGGAGCGGCTGCAGTTCGTGCGGCAGTTTTCGCATATAAACCGACCACCATTGCGCCAACTTCAAGCGGCATTGTACTAAGGCTAGCACCGCGAATGGAGTGGGGGCTGGCCGAGGTCGAAAGAACACGGAAGACTGGACTGTTGCCTAGAACCTTCTTCTTGGGGCCCTGACAGAGTACCAGCTGGAAATAACCATCACCAGCCTCAGCTGGGATTCGCACGACAACTGTCTCGCGCAACTGATGCGTATCACGAGGACGTTGGGGAGCCTTCTTGCGAAACTTTTTGATATCGCGCTGCCAAGCACGTTCATCATCCGGGTTCACTTGGTCGGCTCGTACGGGCATGCCTGGTGTGACATCAAGCCAACTGTCGTTTAATCGAAACAAGGCTTTAGTGCGCATTCCGGTTGTTCCGGACCAGCCTCTGTTCTGCAGCCAGAGAGTCCGATCGAGCGGCAAAGGGCTATCGGAGAAGATAGACACCGCGACCGACGTGACATTTCCACGATAGAAGACGACTGGAAATCCATGGCGCAATAGGGTGAAATGCTTGTTTGACTCTGCTGGGTGACTGATCAAACCCCCGAGAAAGTGCCGAGCTTCCCCATACGCCCTTTGGACGGGGGTTGGCAGTTGTGGCGGTGGCGGTGGCGGTGCCTGTGTTTGTGTTTGTGATAAGGAGGCCGATGAGGATGTCGCCCCAGCTGTTCGAGGCCTTTGAGGTGTCACCGGACAGTCTCGGTGTGCCGGCCCAAATAAATCAGTGTAGGATGGGGGTCTGGACAATGAACGCGGCGGAGCTAGCGAGCTTGTGTTGTGAGATGGGGGATCGACAGTTGCCCGCAAGTTGGGGTTGGAGACGGGCTTGCGCCTGATGCGAAAGGAATCCGGGGGTTCAGGGCGCAAAGTCAATGATTCCATATTTCCATGGTTAATAATATGTGCTAGTATACAGTATAGTATTCTCGTTTGGGGAGAAATGGGAAAGAAAGGGGAAGGGGGGGGGGGGAAGTAAAGAAGAAATGTGAAGGTTGAAGGAAAAGGGAGCGGAATTTGGCCTGAGGCTCCAAAAATCAAACAACAATCTTGGCATACAGTCTTCAAGAGATGTTCAAGTTGAATAAAACATATAAACATATGATTCTATTGCTACCTAGGTAGGTAGTATTTGTGACGGGACTCTTTGTCCAAATTAAAGGTGATTCTTGTATTGGTATCATGTCTATAGTCATAAGTCATTATCACTGCCTTCTATTTTTGAAGGTTTCCGAGATCCCCATATATACTAGTAGTGCAAGCCCCAATTTTCATGCCGGCTTTTGTCCTAGCGCAAACCCCCTATTTCAGTTCCAAGGTTAGCCGTCAATGTTCAATTTTAAGACGTGGATCAGTCATTGCGGAAGGTGATAGTATCACCTGCGGTTAGGGTCACCTACATTCGAGAATAGACGTGGATTTTATTCTGTCGAAGCTCTGCTCTCACTCGAGCCAGTAAGACCTGCACTTCGGCAGATGTCCAATTCCCAAACCGTGTGAACAGAGCAAGCGAATAGCTCTCCACGGCACCATCGATGAACTGAGCCCGAAAATAGCGCCCTATCTCCTTCAATTTTGGATCCTTTGCCCAACTCCCCATCGGAACTCGGAATTCTGACAACTCGACATTCTCAAATCCGGCTTCTGAGACCAGTTCTTTCAAGCAGGTTGACAAATCCCAAAGTCTACCCTGGACTCCGGTTATTCGGTGGTACTCGGTCTTTTCGAGAATGAGCATTTATGCAGGAGTTCGGAGAAGTGATAAACTTACCTGCCAGGTCCGTAGATAACTATCATTTGACCATGTGTCATCGTCACATTCGAGATGCGGATAGCAATCTGCCACTTCAATTCGGCCCCCGGGTCTGAGATGGCTGAAAATTCGGTCAGCAAAGATCGGTTCTGACTGGCCTCACTGGCCTTCATTTCTTTGTATGAACCTACTCGTAACACCGGCGTAGGAACGCAGTCCAGTCATCAAGGCAACCAGCGAGGCATCGGATATGGATCAAATCAAATGAGCCTTCAGCAAAGCTCCAGTCCGACTGATTCATATCTTCGATCACGAAACGAACGTTTGGCGGAACCCTGGAACATTTTCAGCATCAATCTCACCGGAAGGATCCAGATTGTATTTACCATCCGGGTTGAATCGGTGACAAATCCACACCGATAACCTCTGCTCCTGGGAATTGGTCCCCAACTGTGATTTATTGTAAGCTATATATAACTGAAAGGCCGGAACGGTCGAAACAAACCCTCAATGGCCCAAATGCCTGTCCCTGTGCCAATGTCAAGAATTCTTTGTGGATGCTCGAGTTCCGTTTGACACAAGCCGCCACCGTGGACAAGGCGGAAAACATGATGCAAAACATCGAGTCTATCTGTTTAAGCATTCATGTCAGTCCATCTGACCGGCTCGGGAAAATGGGACCGATCATACCTTGTTCCCGCTCATCATTGGGGAGGAACTATATTGTCAGCTGGTCCAGACGAAAATCAGCACTCGGAGAGGCCACCCATACATAAGACCCGGATCGGTAAGCGTGGTAGGTGCGCCCATTCTCGTAGATGTAGGAATAAACAGACTCCGTCAGAGACGTCAAGTCACTGCGTATACTATCATAGTCGCTGGATGAAGTCTGATCCACCTGTCAGTTGTTGGGCCAGCATGGAATTTGAAACTGATTGACTGACGCTAACATCTGGATCGACCTGTATATCTGCAATATCTGCGATATTCGCCATGGTATAGGGGGAGCAATTGTAGCACCAGCATAGGAGCTGGAATGGCTGGAAACGCCAAAGCTAACGAAAGTGGGGGAAATCAGCTAGAAGAAGGAAAAGTTGGCCTCGGCGGAGAGCCACCGGCACCGTTTTTCAAGGCCAAGCCAGCGCGCAAGGGAAATGTACGCGATTCCGACCCAGATTGTCGGGAACCTAGCTCATGCGAATAGTGTTGTTTCGAAGTTAAAGCATTCCTATCCCCACCAGGTTCAACCAGTGTGTCGGGACAAGCCCCAGGATGGTAAAGACGGGCCCCTAAATTAAAGTCATGCGGCAACAGGGATGTGCACGGAGTCCTCCGTACTGATCGTGGATTTTCTGCTTGTTTTCTTTCAATCCGAACCATCTCGGCTGAGCCGATGGGCCCATGAGACGACCAGGATCTGCAATTATGATCTACAGCCCACTTGGAAAAAATTTACACTTATGTATGTACTCCGTACTCCATAGTTAATACACATCCACTCCCCACGGCTTGTATGTACGAGTACTAATTTAGGCCACAGAAATTTCCGGAATCCCCCAATCCACTTTAGCACTACAGCGGCTTGTCAGGATTGGGGGGTTTACTTCAAGGCTTAGATGCGAAATGGGCGGTCTGCGTCCCTATTTGGGATCGAATGGCAGGTAATTATCCGCTACGGACCCGACACGATGGTGCTGGTGGCCCCAGGGGAGACAAAGGAAGAAATAAATATGTAGGTCCTGGGGTACACGCCGAAGACACAAAGCACCAGGCTTATGCAGAAGCAGGACACGTCTTTCCGCGGTCAGCCCTGGAGCCGGGATTTGACTCGCGTACCGCGTTACCGGAAGAGGGTCCATCTGCAGGCGATGTATCACTTTGACCCCGTGTTCTTAATATTGGCCCGGGCAAGCCGAAGACGCAAAATTTCTCGGACAGATGGAAGCTTTTGACAAAAGGGGGGGGGAAAGAGAAAAAAAAGGTGCTTTCGAAGCAGACTGCCTCCCGGGAAGATGCCTCGCTCACTGGGCTCTCCCTTGAATTTCATGCAACGCGGGTGAGATCCCAGATCGGCGCTTTTCCAAGCCCACCCAGAACCCCTCCCTCTAACCCGAGGTGTCGGTAGCCAATGCCAGTTGGTTGAACAGGGATGGCAAGTGGAGTGGAATTGTTGAACGGACGGCCCCATCGGCCCAACTCGCCCGGCCCTCTCGTATGACGGCCCAAATTTGGCGTTGTCAAGGCTGAGGGGAGAAGGTCAAGGGTTCATGAGAATAAAACACGACGATAGGGCATTTACATGGGGAATACAAGACTAGAGCGCTTGTTCTCTCCAAAATCAGTTTTTTCTATTTGATGAATCGGAGATAGCGACCGTTGAAGAAGGATTCTAGTTGCTTCGGGATGCTGCGGGGCTCCTCCGAGTCGCGTACATCTTACCACGTCAACAATTCTCCTGTGTGATCCGAGGGAAAGGTTCTAGGTTGTCGACTCCACTTTATGACACCCTAGCTTATGATTTTCCAAATACAGATATGTAACGATGTCTTACAACCGATAGAATTCCCGAGGGATCGGGTCCATCTGCACGTAAGGAATAGAAAATGGAAAAAGAAAAATGGAAAAGGAGGAAATATGACATCGAAAAAGCGTCTTCGACAAGGTTACCTAGCCTAATCTAAACTTTCGCACTGATCTTTCCTCCGTCGGCCGATCCTTCGATCTCTCAATTACAATCTGGGCTGGGTGATGTATTTACCTGGGCTTCGGGTTCTCCAACAGCTCAACGATTTCTGAAACACTTTTCGCACGTTATGATAGATGCAGGAAATAGATCTCCATAAAACTGACCATCCCAGTCGCTGTCCGCGGATTTAATCACGTTCCCACCAAAGTGCCAAAGGGAGAAACTCGCACGCGATCCGAACAGTATCCTGGATCGCCCATCCAGATTGGTTAAATGTAGTCAGTCTCTTCTCAATCTTCGAATGATGCCAATACTGGTAAATTGTCCACCTTGCTAGTTTTTCTCGCCCTAGTGCCAAGAGAGAGCAATGCTGACCGCATCCTCAACTATCATCGTGCCATATTGTCCTATATCCCAGTGAAAGAAATAATGGCCACCGGAAAATCAGAGTATCTAGTTAACCATCCCCTTTGACCGGCCGGTGTGGTGTATTACATGGTTGAAACTGGATTGTAGCATGGCTCAGCAATGATGCGTGACTTTTTACCCAGGTGGGCATATCCGTGTCGAAAAAACCCCAAATCTTCAAACATTGATCGGCGTGCTCGATGATGGTCTAGACTGCAGGGACAAACTCCACGAACTCCTGAATAATACTTTCTTTGTCGCCGACGATCTAATAGTCTTTCAATACACGTGTCAGCTCGAGATGATGCATATAAACAAACTCTATTGACTCACCGTCATCTCCGGTGTATGCCTTGGGCTTCCAGGAGGGCATGAAAGCACAGGGACCGAAAAGTTTGCTGCAAGAGCATGATATGGGGAGGATAGTGTAAGAATATAATGCCATGTAATTGGATGCATTAGAATTACGGTTCGCAAGGCGACCCTTTCTGGCGTCAAAAGCTGTCATTTTCGTTGTAGAAACTAGAGCATATTTAGAACCATTGCCATGCTGTGTTATCGTTGATAGAAGTTCTCTTAATACATCATTCGCTATTCACCTTTGAAAGCCTGTTATTCGGAGCGTATGGGTCTTGGGGATCTCGACCCAACATGGACAAATGTATGCTCCTGCACTTCGCGATGGTTTCTATGATCTCGCCCTCATCGAAAAGGGGCGAAATCCCAAGATTCGGAAACTTTTGCGTCATCACGAAGAGAGCCACTTCGAACTCATGCCTGAAGTCAGGCTCCTGTTCGAAATGGCTTATTTGGGTCAGGAAAATGTCAGATTAGGCCCCCCACCCCAATGCCACAGAAGCATAAATAGCGCTTCAAGCACCTGCAGTGACACTCAATCTTCTTTATTTCTTTTCAAGGGTACATAAAGAGTTAGCCTCAACATTTATCACCATGAATAGACTCATCCAATTCCTATCGGTAAACCCACACATCCGCCATGGAACCCCAGAATCCCCTGGCTTTGCGGAACTTCGCGAGCAGTTCGTTATTCAGGAAACTAGAACCCCGGGAATAATCGTACGCCCACGTACTATCGAGGATATTGCTTCATTGGTAAAAATTCTGACAACAAGCAATCTGCCTTTCAGTGTCCGGGGAGGCGGACATGATATGTTCGGTCGAACCGTTGTACAAGATGGTGTCTCGATCGATATGCGTGAGGTCTCTCATATATATGTCGACAAAGCCTCTCATACTGCACAAGTTGGTGGTGGGGTGATAAATTTGGATCTCCACCGAGAGCTTGATAAGCATAAAATGACAACCGCCCACGCAGTGACACCAAGTGTCGGATATACTGGGTGGGCTATTCATGGGGGATACGGTCTTTTGAGTAATAACTACGGGCTTGGATCGGATCAGATCGTAGGCGCCCGGGTAGTGGATGGACACGGCAACATTGTGGACGCCGACGAGACTTTGCTCACGGCCATCCGAGGAGGGGGTGGATCTGTGGCAGTTATTTACGAACTTCTCATCAAGGTTTACCCTTCAGAAAAGGTAAGATGGAGTTATTCGCATCGCATCAAGCTGTTTTGGATTCTAAATACCAAGACAGATACTTGGGGGATTCTTCGGCTACCAATCGGCAGATTTAGTCGCCACGATACGTCAGTATAATGAGAATTATCGCAAGCTCAAAGAAGAGGGAATCCCACCTGCCATGAGCTTATATCAAGCTGTGATGGATGGGCCAGAAGGAAGGGCATTCACGGTTTTTGTGATTTGGTCTTCATCCAATCTCGAAGAAGGCCAAAAGTGGGTTGACAGAGTAGCCGGACTGGCTCCTATTGCGGTCAAAAACGTCACGACAACTACGATCTTGGAATTCAGTGAGGTAGCTGCGACTATCACAGAGAAAACATCATATGCTACAATTTTCTGTCCTGGATTCTACGATTTGACACCCGAGGTTGTTGATATAATTGGCACTTACGCAAAAAGTCGACCCAAATACTCAGGACCTGCATTAGGCATACATGAGCTCCGTGCGGAGGCACCCCGAGAATTTGCAAACTCGGTGTTCAACGCAAGGGATCCGCATTTCCTCGTCGAAATTCTTCCCTTGTCTTCCTCTCTAGAAGTCTTTGAGGAATTGCGGGAGTGGGGCCAGCGCTTTTACGATGCTCTTATGAAGACAGACCCAGCCAACATTTACCCCATTTCGTATATTCCACTGAGTCCAGATGAGAGATTGGATTTGAAGGTCATCTATGGTAATCGTTATGAGACTCTCAAAAAGGCCAAGCAACAATATGACCCAAAGAATGCCTTCAAACACTCAGTCGTGCGGCCCTGAGGGCCAATGCCAAGTTGGAACGAGTTACAGTATTTTTTCAAGCAATCGCCTGGCGCAGCAGATAGTACTATTATATTAAGAAATTAAATATATCCTTTCATTTCAAATGTCGTGAGCCCACCCCCTTCTATTTCACGTTCTAAAAAGCAACTCCAAACACCAATAACCTTGGAACGCCCTCCAAGGTTCCCAAGTCCCCAAAAAAAAGAGAGAGGAAAAGAAAACATGACCGCCCGGGCTAATCACAACTTTGAATTAGCCAAGAGATTTTTATTTACTCGTAAGTAACAGTAAACTCAGTATCACTCTCAACCTCGACATGCGCCAGCACCTGTCCATTCTGTTGAATATCCAGAATCGAGCCATCGTTAACGCCATACTCGCTGTCACCACCCTTGGCCTGGGCACCGGTGAAAGTAATTTCACCAAAATTGGCCAGAGGCACCATGGAGCTACCACTGTTGAAGTCCTCAACAATCCACTCAGCATTTTGTCCACCAAGAGTGGCAGAAGTAGAAGGAGCCGAGAGGGTCTTAGTAACACTCTTTCCGGAGGATTTGTTCTCGATAATAGCGACACCCTCGCTGGGCGAGTTGGATTCAACTGTGGCGACGATCACATCGCCGGCAGAGAGGTCGATCTGGAAGTTCTCCGCTGGGTTGGGATACCACTCATACCAAGCGTCGTAGGACTTCTCATCGCCATTCGAAACGTAGGCATCAATTCCGGTCTGCAGAATAGCCTTGGTATAGGTATCACCATCAATACCAACCCAGGCCGAGGCAGCTTGAGTGTCTCCGGAGTCATCGGTTGCCGTAGGGTCTGGCACGGTAAAAGTTGCGGAGACGACATTGTAAGTACCGCTAGCAGGGGGCTTCTCGCGGACGATACCAGCCCAGTTCTTGCTGTACTGGACTTTGGCCGAGCTGGAGCCTTCCTTTAGAAGAACGCCGTTTACCTCGTCGGAGTTGTCGATCTTAGGGAGTGACTGGCGAGTGAAGACACCACGAGCCTCCAGGCGGGCAGCAAGACCAGAACCTCCAGGTGCTGCGAGGGCATTGCCGGCCAAGATGGCGGTAGTAATAGTTGCGGTAATGAACTTCATGGTGAAAAGCGAGTTGGATGGTGTTTTCCGGGGAATGTTTGATCCACAAGAACCAATTTGTGATGAGGCAGATCTTTTCCACCCAGAGTATAGGACTAGCCGCTGGCTCTTATACTTTCGTCTCGAGAGTTCGCATGCGGCGCGTGAGCCGCATGAGGAAGTAAAACTCGTGAAGATGTAGGCCTCGCAATACTTTGGGGAATTGCCCCAGACCCGCTAAGAGGTGGGGATGTGGGAATCATGTTGGCCAGGGCAAAGGCTGACCACACTTGCAAGCGCGAGTGATTTGCTGTTCTGGTCTCAAGACTGCGCTGATCTTCTGCCTTCTGCGTCTATATTCTGGCCTTAATGGTCTTCAGTGGGGCAATCGATCATCTGCGACCATCAGACAACAGAAAAGGTGAGAAGCAGCGTGCGCGTCTAGATGACAGATACATTCCAATCGGGATCCGGTGGTCGCATCTGGCTGACAGCGGCGCCATGACGGATTGGACAAAGATCGCCATGCGTCCGATCCCAATTTCATATAATCTGCGAGAAATATAATCGATTTACTAGTCGCGCTCGAAAAAGGAGGAGAGATGGAATTGTCCTGTTTAATAATCTACAGGCTAGCAATGTTGATATAGAACTTCTTTCCCATGTTGACTCTCTACGGGATTGGCCAATATCCAGTTTGTATGACCATGGTAGACAGCCCTCGCTCGAAACTCTGATTCCACTCCGAAACCACAGCTTGATGCCATGGGGATGATTTACCTACTCTCGAAAAGTCTGGTCAAGATTAGTATACGACGTGGCTACAACGGCTTCGGAAAGCATTTGGAATCGCTCGCCTTTCTCAAACAGTATTATCATAAGGCAATGACTGAAGTCACGCGTACTTGATAGGCTACGGCTCGTCATCCAAGGAGAATGAACGGATGAGTTGCACATTCCTTGTCAACCCCTTGCATACCAACACCCCCACCACCAATCCTGATTGGAGTACAGTACTGTTGACTCGCAACTGACGAATGCGGCGCACTATGTTGATCATTTCTTGGCTAGTCAAAGGTGGCAGCCTCCAATTCTTTTATTGACCCGACCGATGCGCGTTGGAGACGCCGCGAACGATTGCCTATGGATTCGGACATCGTGGCACGGCAAGTCAATCGTGCATGAAGATCAATAGATGCTTCGATCGTCACTGCAGCGGTGTAGCTGCTCAATCAGCAATTGAGAAGCGCGGATTAATCGGATAGTTACCTCGTGGTGCTGATCATGTGTCGATCAGTGAATCGAGGATGATGGCCATGGTCACGCAGTGTAGCTAGTGGCATTTCGCTGATGGCAAAGTAAGATATTATAATAGTGATCGTGTACCGCGTTGGCAGTCGGTCGGAAGCTCAAGATACGATATCAGTGGGCTTCCCCATCCCGAATGCGTCAAGTAGACCGAGTCAATGTCTCACGATGCTTCTCTATCGCAACATACGGGTTAGGACAAAAGGCCGATTTCAATTCTGCCTCCCTGGCAGGTAATTTCATCGCTGCTGACCAGCTGACGGAGAGAAAATCTACAAATATAACAATATCTGAAATAGTCATGTATTCACAATTTCATTAAAACTGGTAGAAAGATGCGAGGGTATAAATCAAACCACCGAATAACTTGAAAAAAAATCACATAGGTAGGCGGCGCATTTCCTCAACAGACCAATATTGGCGCATATTTTCCGCCTTGAGCGTCTGGACCTCCTCATCAAGATGCTGCCAGAGCACCTTACCAAAACCCTCCATGAGCCGGCGCACCTCCTCACGGCGCATGTCCTCCTTCGCCGGAGCGACATTTCTCAAGGTAAGCCTCGAGCTTCTCGAGGCCAGCATGGATTTGTTTATGCTGCTTCAGAAGATCCAATTCCTTCCTGAACTCTGGCATTTTCTTCGCAAGCACTGGGAAAATATGTTGCTCCTCGATAGAATGGTGGAAGTCGAGTTGCGAGCAAAATTGTAGTCCCATCATGATCATCTGGCGGGCTGATAGCCCCGCAGGGCGCTTGCCCGTGGCATTACATGCCTCCCAAAGCTGATTCCAAGTCAAACGGAAGTGACTATGCTGCTCTACTCATCAGTACCAACTCCTCGCACGAACACGGCTAAATTGATAACTTACAAAACCCTCCATCTGTTCAGACATACGATTATATGCGCGAAAGTCACTCGCGGAGAGCGGGGGTAAAGACCCGGAACTTTCTGTGTCAGGCTTCGTTTTGCCAGCCATGGTGATTGGATGTCTTGAAGATGCAGAGTATAAACGAGAGGAAGCCCGGAGAGCTGGTGGGGAATGAGACTTCGCAGACCACGCATGAGACGGCAGTTGGGTAATTTGGACTGCCGGCTATCGGCCGCGAGAGTCCTTTATTACTGGGAGAGAGGCTTGCGGGGATTAAATCAGAGTTAAGGGAGATATGAAATACATTGATTGAGGCGAATCCGGGGGCGCTGAGAAAGCAGAGATTTCTGATTCGGTGGGGTGGGCCCGATTTCAAAGCATTTGCAATCATTCATCTGGAGGGGGGGATTTGATAGGTGAGGATTGATGTCGGTTCATGCATATTTCAGGAGGCTTAGGAAGATGGATGTCAAGAAATCATGTTGTCCGGTTCAGTTGGAGACAGACTTGCGCCAAATCGTTCTACTGCAGTCATGAAGATGCGTTGATTTCGGCTGGCATACTGTCTTTGGATCAAGATGGACTTTTTAAGTTGGGCAAAAGGAGCGGGCAAAATGGAAAGGACAAGAATTGATTGAATTGATTGATTGATTGATTGATTGACTTGAAAATTTTACGAATACTGCATCATTATGTACCATATACACCCAAGTATATGGTATGTGCCAGATCTTCAATGGACGTGTGCTATCTCGGCGAACCGTAGAACACAAATCTAGTACATCACTGGTGAATGAGACGAATCTCCTAATAATATCAGCACTTCTTCGGCACGACCTCGGCCATTGGAGGGCCGGATCGCAATTTGACATCCGTGCTAACCCGATTCAAGGGTCCCAATCCTATTCGAACAAATCCAACGAGGTCAAGGTCAGTGAGCACGGAAAAGCGAAGAAAGAGAAAATGGTAAATTATTATCAATACACATCGTGGCTGCGGTGGCGAAGCATGGTAGCTGGGTAATGGGGGAATAATAAAACAAGGCCACCGGAGGGGAATCGAAGATTAGCAGTAGGTCGTAACGCCGTAGATGTACAGGGTAGTTTGTGAGGTGGTTGGGTGAATTAAAGATCCTCATGAATGGCGGATGCGGATGGCGCCGAGGGCCGGAAGTTACCACTCAGGAGCTCCTGGAACGCAAGATCGAAGCGGGCGCCCATCATCCAGGCAAAGAACATCATAGTGCCAGCGACGAAAAGGACGATGCAGCCCATGAGTGCCATCATGAAGTAAACGTCATTCTTGTTCTCAGCATCTTCTTCCCGCTTCTTCTGTTGCTCCTCGGAGAGAACACCCTGGACCCGACGGTTGGCATCCTCGGCATTCTGCGAAGGGAAGATAGTTTCAATGAACTTCTCGATCTTACCGCAGACCATGCTGATCTTGAGGAAGTTGGGATCCTTGGGAGTGTTCTTCTTGTGGATCTTCCGGGTCAGGTCACGGAAGCGATCACACAGGACGCGAAGGTTCTGGGTAGAGGCGAACATCAAAGAGCAGGCATCGCCCTTGGTGATCTTGATGTTGCGCTCGAAAATATCGTAGTTGCGGAAGCACAGCTCCAGCGTAGCGATAGCCATGGACTGGGGGATGGCACAGAAGTTAAATACACTCTGCTCCCGCAGGCCAGCGAGGTAGAAGAGACACTCGTCAGCGTGCTCCAAGGCATTGAGGACCATATCAGAGTTGCAGTTCAGAGCAGCCTCCTTGAACTCCGGCTTGAAGAGGTCTTCAAAATTGTCCACATGCTTGGACCAGATCTCCTGGGGCCAGAAGCGACGTTTATCATCGTTGTCCTCTCGGATGTCTCGGATGATGTTGGTCTTCTGCAGGAAGAGACCCATCGACTTTTGCAAATGGGGGCGTTCGAGGAGAGCCGGGTTGGCCAACTCGGCCTCGACGAACAGGCGGGTGAGACCCTCACCGACCAGGCCGGCAACGTAGTAGCAGTACTCATCATATTCCTCGACCGTCTTGACGCTGGCGTCCGACAGCTCAGCCTTTCGGCAGTAGTCGGCCATACCGTTACCCATCTTGGCCGTGATGTCCTTGATGATTGCCTGGTAGGCGGGCTTCATCTTCATGAACTCGGTGATGACACACGGGAACTGAACCAGCAGCTCACGGTCCTTCTCCTCCTTGCGGTTGCCAGTGAAGTTCCATCCCTCCTGAGTCAAGAAATCTTGGAAGCCACGGAGCAGGGGCTCCTTCGTCTCGAGAGGAATCGAGGTATCATCCTCGATGGTATCCAAACCGCGAAGGACAAGGTAGAAGACGCAGACGGGCATGAGCAGCTCGGAATGGAGTTCCTGAATGACAGCACTGAAGCTTCGGCTAGTCAAGTCAAGGAACTTGAAACAATCCTTCTCAGATTGAGTCTCATTGGCGGGATTACGCTCATGAGGGGGGGTTGTGCCAAACTTTCCTGTGAGAGAGACGATTAGCGATATGATCCTCGAACTCTCCACGTGGACAAATAGGCAGGGTCTACCATTGAACGATCGACCTCAATTGGTACGGATGGAAACTGTAGTAGATGGCATTGCCAATGAAACCCATGATGGGCAGATGGCAGATGGAAAATGCAAAGAGAAGAAAAAGAAAGGAGGAACTGGAGGAAGAAAAAGAAGAAAACGAAAATCGCCGAATTAAAAGGGGGGGACACACGTGATACACCGCCCGATCGCGGGGAGGCGGCAGAAAAGTAGCGGAAAACAGGCAAACACGAACCTCTTTGACCTTTTGATATTCTTGATATTCTTGATATTCACTTCCTCTGGGTTATTCTTGGATACACTCTGATATTCTTGGTCTTTCGACACTCTTCTGCCCCCTTGTATACCCCCCCACGACCATCATGGTCGCAGATACCACCTACTACGATGCGCTGGGCGTCCAGCCCACAGCCACCGAGCTGGAGATCAAGAAGGCCTATCGCAAGCTGGCCATCGTGACACACCCCGGTATGTTTCAGCCTTGTCTTGAATGAGTATCTCAAGTCTAACCACTTTGTAATCTCTGCAGATAAGAACCCCGGCGATGAGACCGCCCACGAACGCTTCCAACAGGTACGCGAAGCTCTGATGACATATATACCTTTCGCCCACATCGCACCAAACTAATACCAACTCTACTTCACCAGATCGGTGAAGCATACCAAATTCTGAGCAACGAAGATCTCCGCAAACGATATGACAAGTTCGGCAAGGAAGAGGCTCAGCCAAGTGGAGGTTTCGGTAAGTTGGGATCATGGGCTGATGGCCTCATACCTACCCTCGGAATCTGGAGGACCAAGCTGACAACCGCATAGAGGACCCGTCCGAGTTCTTCAGCATGATCTTCGGCGGCGAGGCCTTTGTCGACCTGATCGGCGAGATCTCCCTCATGAAAGACTTGACCGCGACGATGGATATCACCATGCAGGAGATGGAGGAAGAGGAGTTGGCCCAGTCCGCCGAGGAGAAGTTGCATGTCCATGACGAGGAGGTCAAGGCCGGTGAAGCCGAACACCCCGCCGAGGGCTCCAGCGATGCCGCCCCTGCCTACACGGAGAAGCCATCTGCGTCGGAATCCACATCCGCCTCCACCCCCGCCGGTCCTGAGAAAGCCTCGGCTTCAACTACCTCTGTCCCAAGCTCCGGTACCAGCACACCCGACGGAACTGGGGACAACAGGCGCTGATGGACCGATCCGAGGAGGAGGCGCGCATGGATGCAGCTGGTCTGTCCCAGGAAGAGAAGGAGCTTCGCAAAAAGGAGAAGAAGAAGGGTCTGTCGAAGGAGCAGCAGGAGCGTCTTGCGGCCTTTGAGGAGGAGCGGAAAAAGGCCCGCGAGGAACGTGTCAACACTCTCGCCAACAAGCTGGTGGACCGCCTCAGTGTGTGGACTGAGACTGATAAGAACGTCGATGTCACCCACGCTTTTGAAGAGAAGATCCGATTGGAGGTGGAGAACTTGAAGATGGAGTCCTTCGGTCTGGAGATCCTCCACGCTGTCGGTGCGACATATGTGCAGAAGGGTACTTCGTTCTTGAAGTCACAGAAGTTCCTGGGTATCTCGGGATTCTTCTCGCGTCTCAAGGACAAAGGCACTCTGGCCAAGGAGACCTGGACCACCATCTCCACGGCTATCGATGCTCAAATGACCATGGAGGAAATGGCCAAGATGGAGGAGCGTGGCGGCGAAGACTGGACTGATGAGAAGCGGGCCGAATATGAGAAGAAGGTCACCGGCAAGATCCTGGCTGCGGCCTGGAGAGGTAGCAAGTTCGAGATCCAGAGCGTCCTGCGCGAGGTCTGCGACCAAGTTCTGGGTGACAAGCGCATCCGTCTGGAGAAGCGGGTGGAGCGTGCTCACGCTCTGGTCCTGGCTGGTAACATCTACGCCAAGGTATGTCCTCTCCCCTTCCCGTTGACTTGAGAAATGAACATATACTAACAATATCAGGCTGCGCGTGACCCCGAAGAAGAGGGCGATTACATGGCGTTCGAGCAGTTGATGGCGGACTCGATGAAGAAATCCGAAACCAAGGATAAGAAGAAGAAGGAGAAGAAGAAGCACAGCCACGATGAGACCGAGGCAGAGGAGAAGCCGGCGGTTTAGATGGAGCGAGCATTGGTCTTGATCTTGGACATATGATCGTTTCTTTTTCTTTTCTTGTTTTCTTTCGGGTAATCGACCCCTGTTTCCAGCGATGCGCCGGGGTGCGCAGAATTCGAGTTATGACATAGATTGCCCTATATACCAGGCCCATGCCCGAATGCAGAGATTCTTCGCTCAGATAGAGCAGCAGTGCAGAAAGCAGAGGAAGTCCCAAGTGAAAGGGGAAGTGGAAGAGAATAAGATATCAGTAGAATGTAGAATAGGACAGAATAGACAATGATATAAATGATATAAATGATCATATCAACACGGTAGGACCAAAATGATCCTTCCAAGATCCACAGAACGGATGATCCCACCACATCACACATAGCCATTACACATTATTCGGATCGTCGAGAGGACCAACACCACGAGAAATCAGAAACCCAGATATATAGTGAAGGTGTAATATCGTCGCAAGCCCGGACATACAACCCCGGAACCAAAGAGTCGAAGATTCGAGTTCGAGTTCGAGTTCGAGTTGAAAGTAGTGACGACTCACCACTAGTATTTATGCCCGTTGCCCCCGTCGAGCTCCGCACTGTTTACGGCCGATGGCGAAGAGATACTATGGGATTGGCTGTGTGCCTGATCATGCAAAGCCTCAGCATCGCGCGCAGATAGCTCAGAGGGGACAGCACCGGGGAGAGGAGCAGGGGGAGCAGTACTCATGGGTACATCATGAACCGGGGCAGTCCCCGAAGTACGGTTCTGGCGCATATTCTGGTGGCCGGGCCAGCTGGAGACGAGGACGCCGACGGCAGTGAGGATCGTAAGAATGACGAGGGCGACGAAAATGAGCCTATATTTTTGAAATGTAAGCGTGACGCAGCAAAATGCAGATATCAAACCAGGAGTGAACTCACCAAAGAAGGACGGCAAAGGCAACAACCGCATTCAGGTAATCATTATAGACATTACCGGCGCCAAAGATGGTCACGATATCGGCGAAGCAAGCCAACCAAAAGACGGAGGTGATAAAGTAAACGACGATAGTAGAAATTCCCAGAGTCATATTCAACTTAGAGGTGACATTTCCCTTGCGCGCATAGAACCAGGGCAAGACGGCGGCGGCGACCGAGACGATCATCGTCCAGAGAGACACGAAGACCAGGAAAGCCAGAATCCCTGGCGTGGAAACCTTGACAGTGTGATAGCCACATGTGAAGGCGTCGCAGCTCCATTCTTCGGCATTACCGGAGTATCCCGAGACGACATAGGCGGATAGACCCAGTTCGACGATAGCAAAGACTAGGGCAGTGCCCAGGAGGACGTAGAGGGCGGTATGAAGCGCCAACATGGTGTCGATGGGAGTCGTTGGTAGAACAGAGCAGACTCGGAGTAGACGAACGCAGAGAGGAAGTGAAGGATGCAATCAGGGGAAGACTGACTGCAGCAGCTGGGGTCGAGAATATGAGCTCGGGGAAAAAAGATCGAAAAGTGATTGATCACCCCCCGGCGCGAGGGGGGTCCCTTGCTGGATTTATTCCCGGGATTTGCATGGTTCCACACTGCAGCTGGCACACGAGTGAACCGGGTCGGAGCTCGTAAAGTTGAAAGGAAACGACCAAAAACGAGAGGCCTGGAGCCGCAGCATGCAGAAAGCAGAGGTTGAAAAGCCAGCCGCAGGGCTGTTGTGAGCAATAGTGGGGGGGGATATGCGCCACTAGGCCTAGTTCTGCCAATGAGTCGTGACGGATACGAGCACCACGTCGAGATGGCGTTTGACTCTGGGCCGAATCGGTGTAAGACAAGCGAGAGGAGTTTCGGGTTGGGCTGATGATCTTGTCGAGGCTGAAAAAGGGGACAATTTTGGGGAGAGTGGAATGTCCAGTGGAGCTGGCTGAGGAAGTTGATGTTCAAGTTGAGGTTGCCCAGGTGGATTGGAGGAGGGCACATGACTGACACCTGACTGGCACAGCTCTGGAGAATACGAGATGACCGGGTCCAATGCTGGAGATGCTGTGATAGACAGGGGCGATACGAGATGATTAGGAGGTAATAATGATGTGTTCAAGTTTACTCCGTACACAGTATATGCTTTCATGTGAATAGAGGAGGTAGTACTAGCAGTGTTCTACTACTAGTTAGTTAATACTACCTAGGATATACACAATGTTATGATATAGATCCGTTACCAGTAGATCGTAATACACTCTGTTCGGTCCCAGATTAGATCTGGGCTGACCACTGGCATGCGTGCGGCGGTGATTCAGTTTCTGAAGAGTGCGATGTTCTCATTGAAAACATTCGCATTGTCCGACTGCTTCGCAACATTTTTACCTTCAATAACAACCATACTGTCCGACCCCACAGTGTTCAGATTATAGACGCTGACCGACGACGAGCCTTCGATACCGAAGATTGAGTTTTGGCAGCTCCTTCCGGAGTCCTGAGCCGAGCATGCTGCAAAATGTTAGTTGGGGCGTGGGTAAGGGGATTTAGGGTTTAACTTATTACTAAGCCTATTGTAGCTTTTATCTGTCTATTATAGCGTACGGGCTCGCCATTCTTTTTTCCCTTTCCACCGCTGTTCCTTTAGTGGTTCAAGAGGTCTATATATTTGATACAGAGAAGTTAGGGCTTGCTTTTCTTTCTATCATAGTCGGATACCTTCTTAGAACTTTAATATTGCTATTATATAACATATGATCCTAGGCATTGCCGTTACAAGCTCACCAATTATATAAAATATAGGTATCTTAATATTCAGAGAGTAGAAAGTTTTATAGTACTTATTATCTAGCCTAAAGCCACCCAGGTATACTGTAAAGTAGAGCTTCTGATAATATACCTAAAAAGACGTATAAGCAATATAGTCGATTCAAATAGACTTCGGCTTACATATCTTCCAGGGAGAAATATCGCCTATATCTGTCTTCTCTAAGATTAATGTTATTATAGCAGCTATAGCGGCTCCTAATAAAAAGCCTTCTATACTGATAAAAAGGCCTTTCTTATAGAGAATATCCAGAATACGCCTAATTAATATCTCTAATCCCCGAATCTTATTATCGGGCTCCCTGTAGCTCTAGACTCTCTAGTAATCTTTGTCCTCCTTGTCAGCATAGGCTAGAAATATACCGGATAAAAACTTAAACTTAAGATCTATTCCTTCAAATAATATATAGAAAGCTGGCTGGATATATCGGGTTTTAGGTTTAAACTCTTCAATAGATTACCCGTACCCTAAGATAAGTATATATATTAATATATAAAGCAGCATAACTATTAGTGTCTTAACGAGGGGCTATACTATAAAGCATTAGGATCTTGATTTTTTTATAGTCTATTTCGAGTTGTGCTCAGTCGGCGTACTATTTTAGCTAAGGATGCTAGAGTAGTTATAGAATCTCCGAGACTTCTGTCAGATTTCATTTCGTGATATTTCTCATTTTTGTAATAGAGGCCTATTGTGAGAAACAAGTGCATTGAATACGCGATACTAAGTGTGGAGAAGAGAGGAAAACAGTAGGTGAGGCCTCGCAGATAGGCTGCGAGGATCGCACTAGGCCCGAAAAGGGAAGTAGGCCTGATCCAGAGTATTACATTACCCCCTCGCAAAACACGATTCAGCCTCGTTGAATCGGTTTATTGTCGTCAACATGGTCCTCCAGATAGACGTCATTCGCAGCAGCTGCCACCCAGTCTGGTAGTCGAATTGAAGGTCCTGGTTTGTCGGGATACCGTGCGTGATAGTCCATGAGCTTCAGGGGTGCATTCTTGAACGACGTCGCTGCATACCAGTTGTTGTCGTTGCTCCCAGTCTATCTTGCGCGATATTGAAGCTTTCGATAGTACAGTCGTGAGTCTAGTATTTCGTCTACATCTTCTTCTAATTCACCGAGTATCTCAGTCGGGGGAGGTGCATCTGGTATTTGACCTGTTAATGGCGACGAATTTGATGCCTTCCGTAGCTTGTCTGGAGAAAAGACAGGGTGTATTTTTATGCTTGGTGGGAGTTCGATCTCGTAGGCATTGCTAATCTTCTTCAGGATCTTGAATGGACCAACAGCTTTCTCTGCTAGCTTTCGACTAGGCCTATCTATCTTTATATGCTTCGTGGTAATGTATACTAAGTTGTCCTTCTCAAAATCGACTTCTCTGCGCTTCTTGTTCGCGTATCGGCGTTGACGGTCTTGCGCTAAGGCGATCTGCTTCTGTGCTTGGGTCTATATCTCATGTAAGTGTTCGACGAAGGTCTGCGCATCCCGGGCCTCCTCTGAGGCGAGTTCGTCCTTCTAATCGAATGACATCTTAGGTTTGTATCCGCGTTCGATGAAGAATGGCGACTTTCCTGTTGAGGAATTCGGGAGGTATGCAACTGCGAAGTCTACCATCCAGAGGTATTCTGACCAGTCGTCTTGATGGTAATTCACGTAGGGACGCAGCCTCTGTTCTATATACTTGTTTGCTATCTCTGTTTGACTATCAGTTTGAGGGTGGTGTGCGGTTGAAAGCTTTCGTTTAATGCGTAGGACTTTACAGAACGTCTTCCAAAAGTCTGATATAAACTGGGGTCCGCGGTCGGATACGATAGTTTCAGGGGTTTCCGTCCAGCGAAGAACGTTATCGACGAACAAGCGCGCGGCCTGAGGTGCAGTAATCGTCTTGTAGCACGGTATGGAGATAGTCCTTTTGCTGAATCGATCCACGACGACCGTCACATTGTCAAAACCGTGTTTGTCCTTCGGGAGAGAGCAGAAATCGATCGAAATATGCTGCCAGGGTTGCGTCGGGATAGGCAACGGTTGTAACAGCCCAGGAGCTCTGTCCTGCCGCGTCTTTGTTCTCTTGCAAATCTGGCAATTGTCGATATATCGGTGAACATCCGCAGTCTATCCCGGCCAGTAATACCGTGTGCGGAAAAGCTGAGAGAGCTTATCTTCGCCAGGGTGGGCAGTTGAAGGTAACCGATGCATCTCATCTAGCAGACGGGCACGCAAATCCCCATTATCAGGTATAATAAGCTTCCCTTTATGTAATAGCAGACTATCCTCTGTTGTCTATTGTTCTAACTTCCTAACCTGATCCCGGTACTTCTGTAAACTTTTATGTACTCGGTTCGCTTGCTTCGCTTGTTCAACAACTTTACCAGTCAGCGAAGAGATAGATGAAGTTTCGGGGAGTTGCTGTGACTCGTCGGGTACGCTAGCTTGAGGTTCGGCAAGGGAGGTTCGAGTTTCGAAGAGGGAGGGAGGAAGTAGGATATGCTGTTCGGGTTCTCTGGCGGTCATAAGGTCTTTTCGAGAGAGAACGTCAGCTAGTACGTTGTCCTTTCCAGGGCGATACTTAATAAGGAAGCGATAGCCTGCCAGTAACTGCATCCACCGTATTTGTCGTACATTCAGGATTCTCTTAGTTTAAAAGTACTTCAGCGGTTCATGATCTGACAGGATATCGAATTCGTCAGTATTCCTTAGTCCTTCTAGCTCCGGTCGCCACTCCTTGAGTGCATAAACAATAGCGAGGAGTTCCCGGTCGTGGATCTCGTAGTTCTGCTGCGTCTGGTCCATAGTCTTGGAGAAGAACGCGACTGGATGCCAGAATTTGTCAGGGTGTAATTGCGAAAGGACGCCTCCGATTACCCCTATCGAAGCGTCAACCTCCACGCATGTTGGAAGATAGGGATCGTAATGTCGAAGGATTGGTGCTTCTGTCATCCTGCGTTTGAGTGCATCGAATGCTTCCTGACAATCTGTTATCCATCGCCACTGTACTTCCTTCCTTGTCAGATTAAAGAGAGGCTTCGCAAGTCTGCTGTATTACTCCACAAACCGTCTGTAGAAGTTACAGAAGCCAAGGAAAGACTGCACGCTTTTCACCGTCTGCGGCCTCTCCCAGTCAGTAATTGCAGAAACTTTCTCTGGGTCTGGAGACACTCCTTCTGTGCTAACGATGAAACCCAAAAACCTCGTTGACGTTACTTCCCATTCACATTTGTGCAACGCAATCTGCAGTCCGGCCTTTCGGAGACGCTCTAGGACAGCTTTAACATGCTCCTTATGCTCTTCGAGAGACTCGCTGTAGATAAGTATATCGTCTACGTACACTGTAGCGTAGATATCAAGACAGTCTCTCAACGTGTCGTTGATATAGCGCTGAAATGTCGCAGGTCCGTTAGTCACACCGAACGGTATCACTGTGTATTTGAACTGTCCGTATCTTGTTTTGAAGGTTGTTAGGTCCTCTGAGTCTGGATGCATCCTGATCCGATGAAAACCTTGTTGAATGTCCAGTTTTGTAAAGATCACAGCCTTACTCACTCGCTGTAGGAGCTTATCCACCAGTGGTAAGGGGTAACCGTCCCTTTTGGTAATCGCGTTGAGCTTCCTGAAGTCGACACAGAAGCGCAGTCCTCTGCCGGGCTTCTTCGCCATTAGGATAGGTGAAGTAAAGGGTGCTGAACTTGGTATAATGAATCCCTTGGCGAGGTTTTCGTTGATATAATCCCTTGCGGCTTCTAGCTCTTCCTTTGACATCTTGTAAAGAGGGCAGTATCCAGGCGTAAACTTGGTATCTCTAGTGTCGAAGCGACAATCGATATCTCGGTGTTCAGGTAATTCATCAGATCTAGCCTTCGACGCGACATCTGCGTATGCCTTATATTGCTTCGGTATGTAGTCCGGTCCTGAGTGTTGCGTCTTCTCGGAGATGATATGGTCGATTTCATAGATACTGGTGATGAAGATCTCATTTTCTTTCTTCTGCATATATCGGTGGAAGCCTGGGCCCCTAATTGCTGCAATCTCGTTCGCGCTAGATTTCAAACGGTTGTCTGGGGATGGAGAGCGTAATTGAAGCGGTATACTTTCTCCGATAAGTGCTCGAGTCATCTTCCTCGTTGTATCCTCTTCGTATAAGCTATTGTAGCTCCTCTTAAGTCGAGGCTCCTGTTCCTGCCTCTTCATCGCCTTATCGCGGCGATCTGCGTCAGCCTGGTGACTCTCAGACGGAGGAGGTCGTTTTAATATCTGCAAGGGAATCTTCTGTTCAAGTCCCGTCTTGACGATATCTGTCAACGATGGTTTATCAGGTATGATAATCCTCCGGTTCTTATAATCCAGGAGAGCTCCTGTCTCTTCGAACCACAGTCGTCCGATAATTGCTTGGCGATGTCCTAGTCCGGTGATCATAAACTGCGCGCTGACCTGGCGAAAACCTTGGATCGTCAGCGTCAGGTGGGTGATATGGGTGACGGGGTCTGCTGGCCTGCCATCGAATCCGATAAGTGGTATCGGGTCCTGTAGGCGTTCAGCTATCACGCCGAGGGATTTCATGAGGATAAAGGTGTCTGTGTCGATCAAGAGGTATGTATCTGCTCCGGTATCTGCCAACGCTTTGAGGACCACAGCTTTCTGGTTCAGGGAGATTCTTGTATTGAATAGTAAACTATTGCCTGAAACTAGTTTTCGTAGGTCAACTATACGTATGGCAGGGCTAGAGAGGCCTGAGATGGAGACTTGCCCTAGGCCTACTCTTTTGCCGGCTGTTCGCTTTCTATGTCGACAAGACGGGGATCAGGTGAAGCAGCTACAGCAGCAGCAGACATATTTCCAGTAGCAGCAACGGCGAGGGTCTTCTTTTCCGGGCAGTCCTTAGCCATATAGCCTTTTCCTCGACAGTAGAAGCATTGGCCATTCTTGAGAAGGACTGCACGCTCTGCAGGATCTATCTGAGGACGAGGGGAGGTTGAGGGAGAGCCGGTTCCAGTCGTCTTGTTCTTGTCTGTTCCTCCTCGGCCACTGCCACCTCTCGCAGGTGGGGGGTTATCTTTGAAATTAATGTTCAACTGAGTCGCAGTGTCCTGGCATCGGCGTACAAAGTCTTGGAGGGTGAGACTCGGATCGATCATGTATTGGGTCACGCGGTCTTGGAGTCGCCAGACAAGCTTGCGATAGAGTCCTCGCTTGCGGTCTTCAACAGGGATCTCAGCTTCCTCTGCGAGACGAGAGTATTCTGCGATGAAGTCTGCGAACTCCTCTTTCGGTTTCTGCTTCAGTTGTTCGTACTCTTGTCGTGCGTTCTCCTTGCGATTCGGGTCCTCAAAGATCTCTGCCAGATGCTCCAGCATATCCTCTGCATTAGTGTATCGATTAGTCGACGTTCGGTGTAGACGGGGTCCGATGTGCTTCAAGGCACGTCCTTCACATCGAGTCGAGACGTAGTGAATCCGATAATGTGCGGTTGGGAACCAGTCTGCATTCTGAGTAAGTTTGAACTCAATACCGGTCTGCCAGTTTTCCTATCGAACTTCCTTGCCATCCGAGAGCATTAGGGGATCCGGCATCTTAGGTGATCGCTTCTGGTTTCCCTCGATCGTAGGGAGTGGGACATCTGCAGCAGCAGTCGATGTACGAGTACGGGCTCGGTTAGCTTCGACTAGGTTAGCTGCCAGTTTATCACGTTCTGCTCGGAGGCGTCGGATAACGCGTTCATTTTTAGCGACTGCTTTCTCAGACGCGGTCAATTTAGTAATCAGTCGAACCTCGTCGGCTCGGAGGTCATTGAGAGTCTCTTGAAGATGTTCAGCCTTCTTATCGGCAGCTCGGATTCGCTCTCCGGCTTCTTCATCTTGCTCCTCAAGGTCCTTGCGGGCTCGTTCTAGGTCTTCTAGAGCCAGATTAGTCTCGTCTTGGGCCCTGGTCAGTTCCTCTCGGTCAGTAGCCATCTCCTTCTGGTATTTCTTGCGATCTCTGGTCCAGAATTTAAGCTTCTCAAGGATAGCGTTATATGCGAACTTGGGGTCATCCTTCACCCAGATCGCGAGGTCTTTCGCGCTGTGGATCTTGTAGACCTTGTTCTCGTCCTTCTTGTCGTAGAAGACTAGCTGGGGTCGTGATCCACGGGTCACAGGTCGTGAGGGTTCATTCGAGGGACCGGCTTCAGTGGGACCGGCCACGGGTTCTTCTCTAGGTTGAGACATCTCGTCAGTTCAGGAGGTTCAGTCAGTTCGGGGGTTCAAGGTGTTCAAGGTGCTCTCGCTGTCAGCGGTGCTTTTGGAAAGGCATACTTGCTCAGACGAGAGGTGAGAGATGGTGAGTCCTGCTGTCGGTTATGACACGTCGGAATGCGTCGAAATGGCCCAGTCAGGACGAAAAAGGGGTTGAAAAGGCGAAAAGACACTTAGTATCATGTAATAGAGGCCTATTGTGAGAAACAAGTGCATTGAATACGCGATACTAAGTGTGGAGAAGAGAGGAAAACAGTAGGTGAGGCCTCGCAGATAGGCTGCGAGGATCGCACTAGGCCCAAAAGGGAAGTAGGCCTGATCCAGAGTATTACAATTTTACGGAGTTTATATCATACAAAAAATATCTTGTTAATAGAAGAAGGGACTGATATAGACCCTTTTACTACAAATAGCGATCAACTGTAATTTGTATATACGATTATTAAACCTAAATTCGTCTTCTAAAATCTTTAGCCTAGTTTTCAACGATAATATATAAAAGGTGCTTTAAAAGAATTTAGAAGTAACTAAGCTATATTTAAAGCGATAGTCTTTTAGATAAGCTGAGGTTATCTACGGTTTTCTGTAACAATATTTCTACATTCTGCTCGGTATTTACGACTATTAGCACTCTTTGACTAATTATTCCGTAATAAAGACTGTAGGAAGTCTAATAAATTTACTTAGTTATTGTTTACTAATTTTAATTAAGAAGTGTAAATTTCCGTTGTTTAACGTTGATTAAAAGACTCTGGCTGCTGTAAGCCCACCCTTCATTTAACTTATCAAGACCCGGCAAAACTAAAGCCTACCAGATTTACGTTCCTACGATAGCTACTGAAGTATAATAAGCCAAAGAGACTAAATAACTTACTACACTACTTCGGCACCGATACAAGGCGATTACTAAAGTAAATTAATACTCTTATAGGCCGAGCAAATTATAACTAAAATTTAGATGTCAGAAGCTCCTTTACCGTCAAAATTAAACGACCTGGCTAAAGTTAGCTTAGAGATCTTGCGCCTTAAAACTAAAATCAAGACCTTAAAGACCTATTTACAGAATAGTAATAGGTATATTCTTCTCCTGCAGCAATATTTAAAGATACAGCATTAACAAACGCAGAAGTATATCAAGGTACTTAAGGTACGAAACCGAGGGTTAAGGCAGAACGTAAGCTATACTGATCATCCGACTGGTGCTGTACCAAAACTTAATGGTTATTAAATTATGGTAATTTAACAAAATGTTGTGGATGATCGTAGAATTTCTGTGAACCCTAGGACAGCCTCTGTGGTTTAGGCTGTACAGATAAAAGTCATCCCTAATACTCGACGTGCTAGCTGAGCAAGCAAACTGTTGCAGGTCTGCAATATTATAAGAGCCTGAAAGGCTATAAAGCATATAAGAACTATATCAAAGTCACATTTTAATAAATAAGCATATGCATGATTTCGCGGCACAAGAGCAATGTTGGGCCAAAATAAGGATCATTCCAGTAAAGATAACATCGACTACCCTTCTAGGCATATTAGCCACCGGCTGCACTTTAATCATTATGGATTACAACTGATGGCATTGTAGAGTATTGCCTGGACTCAACCCTCTGCCCTATTGAAGCGTGAATACGTTAGTGATCCACTATACACCGAGTCCGAACGGAAATTCAGTATAAATTCTGCAGATATTCGAATGGCTGCACGGAGTACTGGAGGAAAAAAGAAAGAAAGAAAGAAACATGAATTGAAACTCATTGCAATTAGCAACCGAGCATTACGTGTACAACTGCATAATTTTCGAATACGAGTAAGAACACATAGCCATAGGAATGTGGGGTTTATCATAAATTACACCGCAAATTCGGGAGCTATCGGTCGGGGCTAGCGGCTTAGTCGATGGCTGGGTGGGTTTTCAGCTGAATAGGCAGAACAATAATAATAGACACTCGTATTCGTGTTGAAGTTTTTATTCTCGGGGGAGCACAGAGATCAAGTAACATTTCCATCTACACTGATGCTCGAAATTGAATAAAATCAAAATTAGAGCCAGGGCGGGTGATGTTCAGGGCCCGCCGATCAGGGTTGGTTTCAGGTTGTGACGAACTTTCATCGGCAACCGCGATCGGCGGTGGGGAAATTGGGCCCCTGTGTGGGAAGAAAGTGACTATGCTGTACGGCGCCTCCTGGTTGCTACTTCGGTTGAAAGATATCTACAAACTTGAAGTGACGAATACTATGTACTCGCAGAACTGACTCCGAATCTTCACATTTTTGACTCCACTGCTTTCCATACATTTATTTTGAAAGAGAAAACGTTGGGTGCTTGATAACTGTCGCCTTATTTTCACCTTGAGATCATACGCCAGTTTATATTGAAGACGGCTTGTGCTTCAAGAACCTTGGAAGCTTCTCCAGATAGGTATCTTCAAGTTTTTACAACGTGAGATCCGGCGAAACACTCAAGTGCGCCTTGACCAGGCACGAGATTAAATTGCAATAAGACTGTATTATGAGATTGACTGAATGACTAATGCTTGTTTGATCAAAAACACTTTGCTGAGAAATGACCAAGATCACCGGTTTGTTGGAGCTGGTGCCACTTGGCTTTTCTTGGTGGGGCCTGGAGGGCCCTTAAGAGCAGAAATGGGCTTGTCGGTTGTCTTCTCGATTGGCTTCTCGATTGGCTTCTCGATTGGAATAGGTGGGTTCGAACTCTTATCAATGAACGCCTGTCTTGTTTTACTGGTAGTCTAATTGCACGCCATGTTAGTAACACTGAATCCGAGAAAGATCAAAATGGGTCCGTTTTGACTTACAGGCTTCTTAGAAGATTCGGCCTCAGGGATAACATTCACTGTCAACCCTGAAATCCCCGGATTTGTCGGGTTCTTAGTCTCCTGGCCCTTCTCAACAGTGTAGCCCTTCAATTGTGCGATCAGGTCATTCTTAATGGATTCAATATCATCATCAGACAGCTCGTACTCCTTACTCGGTTCGTGACCGAATTGATGTAGCTTATTACCCAAAATCCTAACGCCCCAGGAATTGACCCTCTTTGCTGTCTCCGCGTCGAAGGCGATAGTGCCTACGTTTGGAATATTGATTGCAGGAGTCGCTCCGATGAGATCGCTGACAACTCGCTGAGTTCCATTCTTGACAAAACGTCCCTGTTATTCGTGTCACGTACCAACGTTAGCCACATCACTTCCAATTATCTAGATCAACCACGAATGCGAGCCGCGAAGAGAATATACCTGGGCCGGATTACGGTCAGCCGGGTGGTAAACAATCCACCGGAACGTGGCATCGGTCTTCTTATCCTGCCCGTAGAAGAACTGGGGCGAGATTTTGGTTTCAATCCACTGATCGGACAAATCCGCTGGAACGTTTGCTCCCAAGAAGGACATGATGTGGAGATTCTTCAAACCCGTCCAGCCAGGCGCATTATGATAGAGCCGATCAGCCCATTCACGGGCAATGAAGATGATGGTTGGATCTAAGATATAGTCAGCTCTAAAGAGAACTTGAAGACAGACTCGCCGGTTTTTGAACGAGAAGAGAACGGGTGGATCGTGTTAACTTACAGCCTATATCAAAATCTGTAGTATCTTTGCCTCTGGTGAAGCATGGAGCACAATAGTACTCCTCTTCACGCCAAGTCCATTTGGTTTGATACCAGCCAATAGTCACTGAGTTGGTTGGAGTGGCTGGAAAGGTGATAAAATCGCCAAGCTGTGGGACTGGTAGGACCATCTCGGCAAGAAGAAATTGGTTAAAAGCTGGAAATAAGCAAGGTGAATTAGGTTGATATTCAGCACTTCGGGGCCCAAGTCATGTTTTATAATACTATTCATTTCGCTGATTGCGATATCAACAAGCTTCTCGGTTCGTATAACCAGTGCTCCCCTCAGCTGCTACTTGCTACCTAGGTACTCGGCTCATTCTTCCATTATACCTGGGAGTTTGGCTCCAAGATTTCGAAATCTAGGCCCCTTGAGTTCAAGACACATCTCACTCCACCACACCTTGCGCCATCGATTGCGAGGCATAGTTTGCCCTGATTCTAACACATTATGCTAGCGTATAATCTATTTAGAGCAATCGGAGACACCGGTGGGCTGAACCTTGGCCTTTGCCTTTTCTCGCTTCAAATGGGAGCGTGCTTTTTGCCGAAGGATCACTATGCCCCTGCAATAGTTCCTGACAGACGCACGCCACCCCGGAGCCCCACCCGAGCTACAGTCCGCAGCCCCCAGAATTGAGTATTGTAATGTGATACGTATACGGTAACGTATACCTTACCGTATATTGTAACAGTTGCAAACCACACCGGCGTACATCCCAAAACATAACAGAGAATGGTTTACAAAAATAGGATATGCAGCGAATAGAGAAACGTGCTACATTTGGCAGTATGAGATCTACGCTCCACATGCGACGAAGACAGCCCTGGAGATTGCAAAACCGCTTTACCTAGTTGCGAGATCGCTGTTGCCGTAACCTTGGAAGCCATCTATAATGGATAGCATGGACGTAGAATAAATAAATTCAATTAAAACTTGAATGACTGCCAATCCAGCAAAAGTTTCCAGGGCTATTTCCTGCAATTACATCCATCAATGTAGGCTCACAATTCTCCAGTTTCCCACCACAGCTCCTAAGGCCCCCCGGCAGCATTTCTCTGCTTTACATGTTGCAAGCGGGATCCCTGGCTCAGTTCCCAAGACACTGTAACCCTTCTTACCTGGGAAACTGCCTTCGCAACTGCACCTTGCCCATCGAAGGAGCCATTCCTAAGTATCGTGGCCATGGTTTTGAAATCGGGTGTTTCAGCTTGAAGCGTAGCCATGAGCTCTGCAAATTGGCTTTCGTTGAGCATGGTCGGATTGACGCTATCGGCGTCACATAGCTTGATTTGGTATTTTCCAAGAGACTGTGAGCTTTGGTTAGGACTCCGTTGAGGGGGGGATGAAGGGATACCGGTACTGACTAAACGCTGGATTGTCAAAGTAGTGTTATCGGGAGCCTCCGTGGAAACGTGATAAGCGCTGCTCAGATGTGACTTGCTTTGTTTCTTGACGGATTGCATGAACTTCTTGAGAACTCTGATGGGAACCTGTCCTGCAGTTTTTATCTCTGCTGTCTCCGAGAATCGAGCCATGAGAACCGACTTTAACTGTGCTTGCTTGACGGCGTAATCATCGTCCGACAATATAAGTGAAATAACTCCACAGACATGGGCAGCACCTGCAACTGATATTAAACCTCTGCACACGGAAGACATTGGATATTTATAGAAAGACGTGGCACTCACCAAAGCAGTTACCAATGGCTGTGCCTTTGTTTGGATTGTACCTAGTCCAAGTAGATGGGTTCTCGGTTTCTGACTGGCTTAAAGCGGACTTCACGACGGGAATATCCTCGGCTGGGCCGTAGAGTGTGATCTCTGTTATGGAGGTCAGTTCCAAACTATCTCTCGATTGATCGTGGCACTGGTTGCTTCGAGGCAACTTACTGTTGCTCCAGTCAGATGTCGAGGCAAGTCTATTGTGCTGACAGGATCCGCCGACCAAAATCAATTCCTCAACATTTTGAGGGAAGCATTGATACTCTTCGACATGTACCTAAGAATCAAATATCAGCAAAAACATTGGATTTATTCTTCAGGATACTCACATGGTTATTCGGTGCTGCCACAACCACCTTGATGTCTTTAGTGTGAACAAGATAAGCCAGAGCCCGAGCTAACGGATGATTTTCTTTGGGCGTATCCGCAAAGCCAAAAGGCAAACACATAATTCCGGCACCGGCCTTGATATTGGCTTCCTTGAAGTCAAACTTAGCGATAGCTTCCCATGCAAGCAGAGCTGAGACTTTGCTTAATTTAGGCGTATTGTGCAGCCAAAATTTGGCTCGCCGGGCTAGTCCAAAAGTGTCGCCGGCCATCACGTTCGCCATCATGCTAGCGTGGCTGGCTGGAATGGTTGTTTGGGCACAGTCACCTGCCAAAATTCGATTCGGTTGGATCTGAAAAGGGGCATGAGTAATGAATACAAGATTGGGATTTAGAAGACTCATGTAAAGAGCGATTGAACTTACAAAATCACTGCTGTCAAAGTCTCCCTCGTCAATCAAAAAGATGGCAGTCCTATCTCCATCCTTTTCGGTTCGTGAAACACGATATGGCCACTTTCCATCGGCTTTGAGAGAGGGCTTCCAGTTGGAACCATCCAAAGAGATCCGAGAAGCCCCCCAGTTGGCCGTCTTCATGATAATTGTATCGCCATACATTTCAGCGACCTGGTTCGTGGTCACCGAGCGTACAATATCCTAGTGAGCCATAATCAGACAAAAACGCCATTAGGTTTGTCATATGTGGAACGTAGATTACTCACACTGTCCTTCGAGATTACCTTGATAAGATCTTGAGTGAAGACACCCACGTATCCAGAGATGACGGTGTCCAAATGTGCTTCGATTCCAACACTTGTTTCTCTTGTCTCCGCGCAGAGCTGTTGGATCCGCTGGATATGTTCTGTGATCTCCTCCGAATCAACATTGGGCTGGAGCTCAACAATATATGACGCGATGCCGTCTTCTGTTGGTTCCACGAGCTGGACGCAATTGTAGTTGCGACTTAGAGCCAAATTCGAAGTTGAAATTGTCGCAATTGGAAGTGGCCCCTCGGGGATGGGGTCTCCCGCGATAGAGCTTTCATCTCCAGGAGCAGAACCTTTCTCTTGAGCAGTAGTTTCTGACTCCGTAGCAGCAGGCTTTTCCTCCGTAGCAGTAGGCTCTTCCTCCGTAGCAGTAGGCTCTTCCTCCGTAGCAGCAGGCTCTTCCTCAGTAGCAGCAGGCTTTTCCTCCGTAGCAGTAGGCTCTTCCTCCGTAGCAGTAGGCTCTTCCTCCGTAGCAGCAGGCTCTTCCTCAGTAGCAGCAGGCTTTTCCTCCGTAGCAGTAGGCTCTTCCTCCGTAGCAGCAGGCTCTTCCTCAGTAGCAGCAGGCTCTCCCTCCGTGGTGGAGGTTTCTTCTTCAGTAGAACTAGTATCTTCCCCTGTTGAAGTCGGTTCTTCCTCTGCCACAGAGACCTGTTCATCTGCGGGATTAGGGGAAGGAGTAGCAGAAACCGCAGGCAGTTTCCTACTGCTGAAGCGTCGCTGAGACATTTTCACGATTGGGTGGGTGGTCGTGGATAGTTGGAGATGGCCTAGTTCGACGCCTTTGCGAGAGGGTTGTAGCAAAATTCCAAAACGGTTCTTGCAAGGAGATGGGAATTTTGAAAAGGCAGACGTAAATTGAAATCACCATCTAGCACCAATAAGTTTCATCTACACCCTCTGCACTGCTCTTTCTCAGCTGACTTCCAACCATCGCTTGCCATGACTGCGTACCATCGCATTCTCGGCTGCGAGTTGCTGCATGTGGTTGTCGTCCGCAGGTCTTGCCTTGACAGCCGATAGAGGATGAATGGTCAATGAGATTCAAGCTTTGTAGACATACAACTCCAAGGCACAAAGGACCGTGAGCCCAATCTCAAATCAGAACCCATGTGGGAGTGGGGTTGAAGGCCAGACGAAGGCTTGAACAAGCGAGCGCTCCCTTTGGCAGACCCCAATGGTCAAGGCGCGGGCGCGAACGTCTGGGGTTAGCAATCTGCCGAACTCTTCTCAAGTTTGAGCAAAACAAACCGACGGAGCATTGGCCACGATAGTGGGCCTCGGGAGGTTCGTGTCAATTCCAAATTATTTTAGCGCCGGCCGCCTCGGCCAAGCCGAAAGGTTCCAGAATTGTCAATGGCGGATGGCTGATACCTGCCAAAACACGGGGTATTGGGCCGCCCGATGTATGTATTTGAAATACAACGAATAATTACGGCACTTTGAATTCGTTTCGCGAGGGAATTTTGAACTAGCACGAACAGTGTCTTCAGCAAAGTCTAGCGAAGCGTTAGTGCTTCCGAGAAAGCAAGCCATTAGGTTCGCGGCACGTCCGATATGGTCTTTCAGCGTTGCCAATCGTGTAGCTGAAAGGTTGGGAGATCAAACTGAGGCTTCATTACCGACGATTGAAGGGGAGCATTTCCCCTAGTGAATGTGTCAATATTATTCGGATTGGACTATAAGACGAAAACATCCGGGATCAATTGAACGAAGAAAACTAGCCCAGGTCTTTCTTACAGACTCATACTTAGCGGTCTTTGATTTTTAACCTTCTATCTCCTTTGTCGACCGTCGTGACCAAAAATGCTTACCGCACCTTATACCAGCGCGATGCGCCTGGGTCAAGGGTGAGTGTTGCTCCATTGCTATCTTCTTAAAATCCCCCTCATACTAAATGACAACTCAGTTTCAACACCTACACCCACGAAATTTGTGTCAATGACGCGGTCGTTGTTGACCCCACGAACCCTGGTGGTGATGTGTACGGTGGCGACGACCACACCGTCAGCCAGATTGTCTCTTATTGTACACGTCATGTGGATAAAGTCAGTCAGGTCATTGCAGCCATGAACATTTCTGCGGCGGCATCTGTCAAAACCCAGGGAGCCGGTGGCGGTCTCGCCGGGTCCTACGTTGACTCAGATACCTTCAAGGAAAGCAACATCAACTTCTTTTGCCAGGTCAAGGTCACCAATCAGGTTATCATGAGCAACGACCTCCTTCAATTCAATGATATCCCCACCATGCGAATGAGTAACCCTCAGAAATTTACAAAAGTGTATGGTGATTCATACATCTCTGGCTTCATCGAAGGTGGTGAACTTAATGCTATCATTTCGGTCAAGACCAGCGATCAGTCGACCATTAATTCGATCAAGGCTTCTCTTGAGGGAAGTTTTGGCAAGGGAGCATTCTCTGCCAGCTTGAAGGGGGAGGGCGGAAAGGACAATGAGCAATCACTGAGCCAGAGTGAGACTACAATCACTGTGAACTGGACTGGCGGTAAGTCTCTATGCTCTGTCCCTTTTGATATTATTCTGGTTCTTTGGTCATTGAACCTGTGTGATAAGGTCTTTTCTAATCGACCTTGATAATAGGCGGTATTATCAAACCCAAAGAAGAACTTTGGTCAATTAGTTCCCTTGTTAAGGCGGCTGCTGCCTTCCCGGAAATGGTTAGTCACACCCCTCAGCGAACCCAGTAAGTAAAATCTCTTGAACCCGGCTCTCAAGTTGGAAAGAGAGATAGAAATGAACTTTGGAATCTAGTGCTATTTTGACCAAATACGAAAATCTGCGGTCATACTATTTCCTGACACCTCCAATGCCTGCCCCACTCGACTACTCCCTGGCTGAGCTGTATACCAACGATCTCCTTGACGCTTTCACTGACTACAAAAGCATTTGGACCGTCATTCATCAGCGTAAGAAAGCACTCCTTGGTATTCCTCTCAAAATCTTGGATACTAAATTCCGTGACAGTGGCGGAGGCAGTTGAGTTCGGACATGCAACCTTGATACAAGCCGATCCCATGCCCCTTCACGACAAAAAAAATCGTCATGAAGACGATGGCGTTCTCGTCGATTTTAATGCAGAAGACATGTCTCAGGAGCAAAAGGCTAAGGCCTATGATGAACTCCGGTCAAAAACCGCTTTCCGACACACTGGAAAGCGATACAACCCGACACTGCAGGATTTGGATCGAGCCCGTTATCATTGCCGACTGGAGATGGGCAAGATTCTTAATGAGGTACGTGGAAAAAATCATACTGTATTTGAAAGAGCGTACTAACTTGCTATTTGCCTCCAGATCATCGCCATTGAAAATGATCCGTCGAAGGCTAGCACTGCGGATCCCAGTGCCGTGTTCCTCAACCCAGCTATCTTCCGCATGCTCCTCCCAGTTAAAGTTGAGAGTGACTCTTCGGCCCTGAAGGTGTGTATTCCACAACCCCTAAATGATCAATGATACGTATCCTGCTGTTACGATTCTTACCCAGTTCAAACCAGACCATCACAGACGCATTCTATCTTACCTCTGAGAAAGCGCTGCCGAAGGCAGCGAACGAGTGGAAAGACAAACTCCCAGCGGATATCACTCAAAAGCTCAGAATGACCAGTCACGGGGGTGAAAATGACACTAAAGTCTCCGACAAGTTTGCGCAGTTCCTCTTCCAGAACACTAACGGAGTGACTACTCGCTCTCCAAACACGACCCGCTTGGAATACATCAAAGTGTATTCTTCCGCCGAATGTGTGACAGGAATCGATATGAAATACGTGGGTCAATCTGCTGTACAGGCTGGGACGATCCAAGGACAGGGGGAAGCTGCCGAGCTTGCGTCCAACGATCCTGTTACCGAAGTGGTTATTGAAAGTGCCAAATACAAGGGGCAAGAGGCCAATCACGCTGTTATTCTGGGGATCACACTGAAGACTCGCGGGGGCACACTCCATGCCCTCGGACGCAAGGATGCCAATAAAGACAAGTTGGCTGGATACAACTCTCACATTGCGAAGGGACCGACTACCTCTTGGGGACTGCTTGGTTTCTGGGTATCGCCAGCTGATAACGCAAATGAGGGTTTCGCGCGTCTTGGGGCATTCTTCGCGCAAGATCTTTAAATGGGACTATGTTTGTTTTTGTTCACTCTCTCCATTGGGCTTTTTCCATGTCAGATTCGGATTCGGTCTTCAGATCTAATTTCGTACAACTTTAGTATCTATATTACCAGTTATATTGAATTCAACCTGCTTTTTGATAACATCGTCATCGTCTAAGAACGTAACTTTTGCCCAGGTGCAATTTCCTCAGATTATTAATATTCCATTTCATTTCTTATAACGAGGTTTGACTAAGAATTTATACTCCTTTTGATGCATTGCAGCCTCAAAAGACGAGTTCAATTTGTATATAACAAGTCGATTCCTACTCATTCCCGAGGTCTTCAAGTGTCCGAAAGCGCTGAGGTCAACTGCGACAAAGCACTGAATAATGAGTGAGGGCCTGCTACCTACACAAATAAATCTTGATAGAATTGACAAAACTTTAAGTTAGCGGTTGATATTGGTTTACATGTCATTCAGGGGGTGTTTATGTTGAAACTACTCAGGGCGACAAGCCCCTGCCAGTACAAATCTATCACGATCAGCCTCAATCGTTGTTTATCATGGCACCTTAACAAAAAGCTCTGTTTCAAGTTGTGATCCATAGTATAAATTAAATGTGCTTACATGTATTATTCTGCCTGTAGTCTTCCTGATGGATGTTGGCTATGATATTTGAGCCTCTTGCGCATTATTTTCTCACTTCTCAATCTGTGTGAATTCGAGGAAGAATTTCCGGGTTGGTTAAGCGTAAATTTTATGCCCGCCCTTTCTGTAAAGTATTTTTACTATAACACAATCGCCAATCACATTCCCATTTCCAATGCTAATCGATTCTTTGCGCTTAAGCTTAAGCCGTATTGATATCCCCTCAAAGTGTGAAACGGGAGCAAGAGGACCTGAACGACAACACCCGAAGCGCATATATGTGCAGACTCAGACAAAGTGAATTTCCTGCCCGGTTCAATTCCTTTATCCTTCAGCTTTACTGTAACTCTTGTCTCAAGAGTGTCTGCCCACTCCACCATATCAATAATCCTTTGCTGAGCGTCCCCCAAGGAAGTATTCAGATTCGAAATTTTGAGGTCGTTCAATGTGTCATAGCCGGCAAGGTTGACCACAAGGCTGTGGTCAATGTGTGTGGTTGTTGAAGACGTTATCCACGTTTTGGCCTTGAAGAAGCACACTTTCACTGTCGTCTTGAGAGCCACAGTATCGGTCATTCGCTTGGTGGCATCGTCCACAGACATGAAGGCCCCCGAGTCTGCCCCTAAGATAAATCCAGCAATGAAATAATCGCCATATATTGCACGAAATTCTCTTTCTCCATCGGCTCTGCTCAGAATATTGTATGCAATCGCGTTGAGTTCTGGCTCTTGAGCGAAATGAAGCGCACCAGCTCTGTAGAATGCGTTCCGGGAGACCTTGGTCGACTAGTTTGTTCGCGTCAGTATCTGGATTTCATCAATGAAAGAACCGAAGGAACCTTTCAGGAAATAGATGCCGTACATCTTTATTTTCTTTGATGTCTTTGTCATATGAGCCCGTCACATTGACCTTTGCAAAAGTCAAGTCCACAGTTGCGCCCAAACTCCCACTGTAGTGCTGCGTCGACACCCCATGAGAGTCACTTTCCGCGCTTCGAAAATATGCGCGTCTATCACCCTGCGATTCGTATTTGATATAGGGGGCTTGAGGATCAAATGGAGTGAATGCCGACTGATCCATCCACGGGTGACCCATGATATTCTCCGATTTGAAGCCAGTACCGGGAATCAGCGCCTGGTGCCCCCAAGGTACCAAGATTGGCACGCCATTATGTGCCTGGGTAACGAGAAGACTTTCATTTTCTTCGTACATGGTAGGTTTAAATTTTCGAAGTTTGACAGCCAGATTCAGTGAGGGTATAGTAAGAATATCAGACCGGAAGCCATCAATTTCGAGGGAGCTTCTTTTCTCAGAATATTCAGGCCAGAGGAGGGGGGTAGCCACCTACAGGAGCTGCAACCAGCTGATCAACATGCTAGTCGCAAAGCTTGCGCTGCATTGCGCAGCGCTTAATCAAAGGCCACAATAGCCGAGAAATGGAGCTTCAGTTGCCACGAACTTTTTGAATTACCTTTTCGGCTTCAAGAACACCCTTCCTTCCTGTGAACTATCGAATGTGATCGGGTTTCGCCGGCGCCGAATCAAATATCACAAAAGCCAGCTATTCAGTTCTAGCGCCAAAGGAGAACCTACTTGTGGCTAGCATGGCAATCACATATTCTCGGTCACGCGAAATAAGCATCGCCAACACCTGCCGCCCCCAGTCCACCGCAGGGTGGATAAGCCACAGTGGGGGCGGGTGTTCGGGCGGTGCGAAGCGAAGGAAGTGAAGGAACGGGCCCAGGCAGCCACCAAGCTTGAACAAGGTTAAACTAGTCACAATTGTGCAACGAGGCACAGCTCTGTAAGCCCACACATGCCACATGGTGTACCGAATCGACGAACCTGTGGTCTCGTACTGGCGAGGAACTTTTACGAACAATTGATAGATCTGAGTGGGAACGTGTAATTTTTGGATTTACCGTATTATACCGTATTATGGTAATTGGATAATTACGACTATACGGTAACGTAACTTACCGTAATTTACCTGAAAGAATCCCTTTTGGGGCCCGCAGCTTGCCTCAGTTTAGCACCGATATGAGTTTGGATGTCAAGCCTCTTGGACTATCAAGTAAGCCCTCGCGTGTTAGACCCCGAATTCCCCTCGCTTCTTGCCGTGATGTTGAAATTCACCTTCGCATATTATTTCAGCTTGTTGAAGGCCAGGAAGCAGTCGCGCCACTTACCTAGCCCGAACAATAAATGGCTCAGGCAAAGTCCGTGGTCACGGCTAAGACAGCGCGAGACTATGCTTAAGCCCCATCTACTTCATGCTTCTCAAATCCCGTCTTTTCAAGCTACCAACCTTGGAAGTCTACTCGAAACGCTTGCCCACCCAAAAGTCAAACTTTCATTTTCCCTTGGTTTTCTTTTCTCCCTTTCGGGTGCAATCCCATATAGACTGCCGCTGTTCGCTGCCATACCCACCAAGATAAGCACAAACCTCGGGAAGTCATGCTGGGTTTGTCACATTGTAAGTTTCTTGACTTCTTTTCTTTTCTTCGATATACCCGATCTAACGATTCCTCTCTTTGTCGAAGTGGGAACATATGAGGCCGATGACAATCCAAAGCCGAATGGGCGCATTCGAGCACTGGAATGGCCTCGCTCCTTGTCTATTACTAGCGAGTCAACTGGGTATGACGAGGACTCTATGCAGGAGCACCACTCCGTCAGCCATGTTAGTGTAAGTTCAGTTGACGGGCACTCTGTCACATATGGTGATGACGAAGACTGTGATGACTATGTTTCAAGCGCAGATCCAGCCAGCCGGCTTGAGCCATCTGATTCAATCCCCGGTCTTCCTCAGATCCCTGCCTGCGATGTTCCCGTACCATCCGTCGGTCAACGCAAAGGCCAACCAGCTTCTGCCAGCTCCGGCGAACGAGTTCAACCGCATTACGGTAGCCATCCACGCTCCTACTTTCCCTCGTCCCCTACAGGCACCAACCACGACCCCCTCTCAGAGACTTCTCCAGTGAAACCGTGACTCATTCTGCAGGAGGCCGTCTCATAACCTGGCCTGAAGGTGGCAGTTCTTCAGGACAAATGAATTTGGGTGTCTACATCAGCCGTGTCCGAGCCAGGTTGACTGGTTGTCTTCCCAATCAACAAGCCTTGGCAATCGATAGCACCCCAGGAGCTTTGATCGAGTTCATTGACCGTGTTCGTCTTCGTATGCTGCCACACCAGGGTAGCCGACTCGATCGTATTCTTCACTGGGCGGATAATCTGGAAGAAGCTCTTGCCAAGTTCCTCAGCTCTATCGAGATGTCGCATAAATTTTCCAACTTGAAAGATTTTGTTTTGCTCGTCCGAGCTTGCATCAAATATCTTGTTCAGGTTAGTCGCTATATGTTACCTATAGTACCGTTTCTTTACGGTTCTTGCGCTAATTTGTCTCCGTCAGTTGGCCGCCAAAGACACTTCGCCAGTACTGGAGAGAGTGTTTGAGGCCTTCAATGAAGTAACCTGGGTTATCACCGCCATGGGGAAACCGCGAAGTGTTCAGTCTCCTGTAATTGATGAGCAGCTCACCAGAATCCTCATCATTTTGTTGGATATGAACGTCACAATTTTCCAATATATCCACACGACAGGAGGTGAGTTCTAAGGTTCCGATCCAGTGGAAGCCCAGGTTGTAGTAGACTCCAGGGCTTCAGATATCGCAATCCATATTAACCTTCGAACTCAAACACAGGAAAGGTTTCCACATCATCGGCTTTTGGTCAGGATGCTTTGGAACTAAGTCCATTCATAAAGTCTTTGATTAACGTCCACGATGAGTTCTGCTATGAACTCTGGCAGGCTGTTCTATGCAACCTACCCTCCGCACGTGAGTTGAAAAGTCCAATGGAGCTCCAAATTAAATATGTTAACCTTGAAAATTGAAGCAAAGGCTAATTTCTTTAATAATAGGAGGTATAAGCGTGGATTTCATTCGTCGCTGGCTCTCTAGTCAAGAGAAGAGCTCTCTGGTTTGGAAAACTTATAGGTCATCTGGCCAAGCATTCGGGGCAAACTTGCCACTTCAATGGATGACGGAACTCACTCGCAAGTTTTGGGCAGGTTCAGACACCTTACTATTACTGACTGGAGAGGCGGGCTCTGGCAAGACGGCACTTTGTCACTTCTTACTTGACCAATCGCGGTCTCGCTTTCCCAAGGGAACGCGTGTCTTATATTTCAGCTTCGGTAAGTACCGGAGGGGCTAACCAGTCGATAGTCCGTCCAAATTTCAAAGGCTAATTCTAAAGACAGAAACATCCATACCCGGTCAGAGAACCCAACTGGTATTTCTTAAAAGTCTCATGCTTCAGCTTTTAGAACAAAGCAATGGCAATTCTGGGCTATTGGTCGCCCTCTGCGACGCATATAACATGATCGAACGCGAGCATATCTCTGGCCCAGAGAAGCATCTGTGGTCACTTTTGGCCGAATGGTCTGTTAAAACAACACAATTAGCATCAGACTCTGGAGTTTTGATTGTGGTGGACAACTTGGACAAGGTCGATGGTGGTCTGGTCATGGCCGGCAAGATTCGCCAGAAGCTTCATGATCTTGTTTCTCAACGCCGGGGGTTCCGTGCGATCATCCTGTCGCGTCCTCTCTGTGGTGGCGAGGATGATAATGAGCCATTACCTGGAACACGCCATCATCCGATCGATCCTTTGGGTTGGCGGGATGATATGCGCCGCTATATCGAGCTATCCCTTCGCCACTCAGCTCGCCTGGACTTCCTCACTTCAACTGAAATGGATCAAGTCGTCCGGCGAGCAATAGAGGTCAAAACTACATCTTTTCAGATGGCTAACCTCCTGATTGCATTCATCGAGATGGAAAGAACTTACCAACGCATCATTCTTGCTCTCCGCACAGTACCGGACACCCGTTTGGGATTCGTTGACCATTTAATGATGCACATTGACTGGACCCACCCGCTTGTCAAAAGTCTCATTTCCTGGCTCCTCGTTGCTCAGCGTAATTTGTCCATGTCTGAATTGGAGCAGCTTATGGATCAAACTGCTGCATCTGCTTTCTCCGGGACGAATGCCGCTCGTACATTGCGAGAGTCCTGCGCCTGTCTGGTGGAGATACGCGATGACACCATCGCATTCATCGATCCTATGATGAAAGAGCATATCTTGAACCTAGGAAATCAATCCCGTATTCCAATCACTAAATCTAAGGCCAACCAGTTTGTTTTGCGTCGCTGCTTGGAATACATGAATTCCCGATTGCCGGAGCTTGGAAACTCCATGCCAAGTCTCGATGGACCTGATTCGGAGTCTAGCGATGCGCCAGCCAACCCAGCCTGCATTGATCCAGTTCTTGACTACTGCATTAGCTTCTACATTCAACACTATATTTCTAGCAGCTTACAGTCAATGACTGGAGATTGGAAATCCTTGTATCTGGATTCAACTCAGCTGGCCCAATGGGAGTATTCCTACTGGAAGGACCAATGTGACAATGAGACGCAAGAGAGTTGGCACAAGCGAGCGCTGGGATTCCGCAAAGCCGTCTTAGGTGAAAATTCTCGGGCTGTCATCCAGACGCTTATCAACCTCGCAAAGCTGAGCCTCTCGGATGTCAATCCCGCCAAAGCATTGCCGTATTTGTGTGAGGCATGGAAGATTGCTATCTCGGTCATGGGCACACAAGCAACAATCTGCAAAGACGTGGCACACAAGGTTGCTGAGATTGTAGCATGCCAGTGTGATTCCGAATACTATGCATCTTTGCTCGACAAATGCCCAGGTGTGGAAGAATTGTACAAGTAAGTTTCCGAGTCTCCTTCTGAATTTCCACTTCTACAGGGAATATTCTTATATTTGACCATTATCTAATGAACATCACAGATATATCTGGAAAATTGACCAAGAAGACCACGGTCGCATGAACGACGGGGCTCTGGTTCACATTCAGCTTCTCATCAGCATGTACCGGCACCATGGTAAATTCTACGATGCTTTCTGTCTGTTGCAAGATCTTTATCACGAGGCCGTCGCATTATTCGGCAAATTTGATGCGCGCACCAATGGGTACGCAGAACAGCTGATTGATATTCTCACAATCATGGGACGCGACAGCGAGATTTGCACATTATGTGAGGATCTCTTCGAGGACCCAGAGCATGCTTTGAATCGATGGGATCAACGACGACTCACGATCCTCTTTCATATGATTCGCTGCTATGTGCGCCAGGGCCAGACAACCCGTGCCCAGGGACAACTCTCCAAAATCTGGCAGACTCTTTATGATCTTGTAGTTTCTACACAAACTCTGGATGTTCAAATTGCTCTTGTGGAAGTTACTATTGAGCGTGCGCGACTGTTTACCCATCAGCTGAACAAATCGCAAAGAAAGGAGGCGGCTAGTTTCGTTTCTCGGATATGGGTCGCCTTGTCCGAGGCACAGTCTTCGTTCAATGACCAATTGCTGGTCAAGCTTCTCGATCTCAGTGAATACTTCGTGGAGATTGCTGTGTTCGATCCTATTTTGCCAATCCTCTTGCATCTACAATCTTCATACCATGACCGTGTCACCAGTTGTCCTGGTGATGCAATTCGGGTTGCCGTTGCCCTTGCAAAGTGTTACCGTCATTATCCCCAATGCAAGGATGATGGTTGCTTTGATCCAGATTATCTCCAAGAAATTCTATCTCTTCTACTTGGATTGGATGAGATGAATGAAAGTTATATGGATCTACCCGAGGAGATGGTACATATCTATATTTCCGAGAGTCGGTGGATCGACGCTATTCAGGTCTGCACTGCTGTTCTAGGTCATCTTTGGCCAGAAATTCTCATACCCGTGAATCCCTTCAAGCTCACTTTGACATTGCCCGAGGCTCATCAGCCCGCAGGAATTCGGATGGCTCTGCTGTTTGCCAAGGTGAAGTTACAGCAGAGTGCCGATGATATCCAAACATCTACTTTGTTGGAGTCCATTTTCACTTTGTTCAAGAGGAAACTGCCTTTGGATCAACCTTCGCTTTATGACGCTGCTTCCTTGTGGTCAGACTCACTTTGCAATCTTAGTCGTATCTCCGAGGCAATGCAAATGTGGAAAGAGCTGCACGAAACTTGTTCCCGTCAGCTTGGTCCACTACACGAACAATCTATTCGCATCACTCGGTGTTTGATCAGTATCTACCGGGACACTGGGGACAGAATCCCATTTGGCTCTCTCGATGTGCTGCTCAGCATTCTCCGGAGCTTTGGCCCGAGGCCGGATTTGTGCCAACCAATTGCCTTTGAAGTGATCACTGTGCTTTTGTCACAGTATGAGAGGCAGGGCAAGCTGGACGAGGTCTACAAGCTTTATGACCAGCTTTGGCAGTCCATTGTGCGCCACGACCATTCTTATCCAAATCCGCTTAGCGATGCTGAAATCTTCGGCATATACGAGAAATTCTCTCGCGCTCTACTACAAAGGAGTGACTGCGACCGTGCTATCCGCGTCACCCACGAGCTTCAAAAGCTCTTACGCAGTAACTGGGATGCCAGCGCTTTGCTATGCATTCGTGCCGATTTCGAACTTGCACAGCTTCTAGAACGCGACGCGCACAATTATAAGCAGGTTGTGGCCTTGTACGAGGCAATCTGTGACGTTGACCTCGCCATGTTCCAGAACGAAGACCAGGACGAGATCCTCCGCATCATCAAAATCGCCACAGAGCATCTGGTCAAAATCTACACAACCCATGCAGACCTAGCAACAAAGGCTGAAGCCATGTTGATCCATGCTTGGAAGCAGGCTGCCGCAGTCCGCGGCAGTTCCGACTTCCATACCCTGGAGTGCTTCCTGAGGCTCATTCGCTTCTGTCGATCCCAGAATGAGATGCTGGGAGGAAATTCAATCCCTCTGCACATGCGCGAATACGTGATGGATCTGTTAGTAGAGGAGCATGACGAGAAACGTCTCTTTGAACGCGCAAGTACTATCGCCGATCTCTACCAAGAAACGCGAATGGTGAGTTCTGGCATCCGTTTCATGAAAGAGGTGCGCAATGAGTTCGTAAGTCTCAGCCCCAGCAAGCCTTCGCGCCTTGGTTTGGCCCGCTTGATGCTTCTTGACCGTCGCTGTCTACTATTCGTCGATGCCGTCGATAGCATCCTCGCTGGAAACGACAATGGGCCCACGCTATTTGTGGATCTTTTGCAATCACTGATGGCCGAGACTGCTCTTTATGAGGCTTGGGACCGGGCTAAGCGTGGTCATTATCCTTTGAAGTCTATTTTCACAACTTCGTCGCGATTATTCCTCTTCCTGCAGCGCCCGCGACGCGATCCCGAGAGAACCGCGGTTTTTGAGGACCTGTGGTCGGCTTTTCAAACCATCACTGGTCTTGAACTGCCCACCGGAGGTACGATCTATATTCAACTCGAAGTTTGTATCCGCGAAATGGACCGTCGCCAGGCTTCACCTCTGCTGGTGGAGGCGCTTGTCCAAATTTGCATTGAACTATATAACATCCAGTCTTTCTCCGGTGGCCTTGCTGTGTTGGAGTGGACTGCTGAATATTTCGCCAATCCAACATGGGCCAAGGCCTCCCAGGTGACACAGATGGCATTCCGTCTAGCGCGGTCTATTAACAGTCTCCAATTTGGAGAGTCAGACCGCATAATCGTTGAAAAAGCGAGACTTCTGGTTTCGGAGATCTTGGCTAAACTTATTAGTCAAGTTGATACAGGAGAACTCGTTTTGAATGAAGTCACGGTCCAGGAGGTCAACCTGATCATTCGTCTGCTCAGTCACGGTAACAACCGTCTCACTGCACTCAATGTATGTAGCAAAGCCGACCATCACAGCTCATGTGGCATTTTTCTGAACAAGCTGCTAACGATCGAACAGCAAATCTTCAAGACTCTTTGGGACTTTCGCAGCCGTCTCACATGGGGCGCCCAATCCACCATGTCATTGGGCGAACGCTTGTGCGAAGTCAAGTTCGCTCTTGGAGAGCGTAAAGAGGCTCTGGACCTTCTTCAAGATATCTGCTACAACATCCGCGATGTCTACGGGCCGCTCCATCCGCTCTCGGTGGAATGCGACAATCTACGTGCGCGCCTCCTTAACACAGACGGTCAACACGACCACGCGCTTTCTATCCATGCCAATGTCCTGCAAGAGGCTCTTACCCAGCGTGATTCCAGGCCATCTGGCATCATTGGAGGCCAAGATTACTTGGGTTTGATTCTAGAAGAACAACCAGGCCTTTTAAACGCGACACTGGGACTGAAGGGGGGGCTGGTGCGACAATGAGCGCGATCGATACGCCCACATCATTGATGAGGTTTTCTCAATGGGGAACTCGGATCTTATGGACTTCCATGTTCCCTCTGAGCAAGCCAGAGTTGTTGGGTGCTGGGTTGCTCCGGAAGAATGGACTTTAAATGAAGAGAACCCTACTGATGAGACTGGTGATGATTTGTTTGGTTCAAATTCCGACTGGTGCGTGGAGAGTCCGCTCAAAGAGTCTGGTTCGATGAATCTCGTGCTCGGGGCACAGCCATGTGGCTATATGTCTCAGTCATTCGAGTAGTGTGAAATTTCCTTGGAGTAATTACCTGCATTTAATTTTGCCCGACGGCAATAAGTTCTTTTTTGTCTGCATTTTGCTTTTATCTCAATGAGATTTGGTTCAATCTTGAATATCGATTTCTTGATTATTATAGCGTTAAATTTAGTAAGGTATCGGGGCTGATGATGTCTTTCTACCATATAGGAGATGAAAAAGAACATGCAAAATGGAATCATCCATAGTTATCTTGTATCTGGGATATACTACGAGTCCGAGTTTTTCTCAAAACGGCCCTACTCCAACTTGAAGTCAATTCATTCATTCCGGCCAGGTGGGATTAACTCATTTCAGAGGGGATACATAATACTAAATTACTCTATGTCGTGCATATACCTAGGTACATAACATTCAGATGGAGTCATAATATTGCACGGAAACCAACGGAAGGCAGATTATCGACCATACTACGGGGGTGCCTTTCGAGGGACTTTCGGCATTGTGTGGTCAAGTTGAAGTCAAAGAACTTGACCAACGAAAGTATGCCATCCATGGATGATGTCAAGAAAATGGCCGGAAAACTAGGCTATCCTGTCATTTCGTCATATGTGTGTGTATCACTACGCCTTGCAGATTGTGGGCCTGCCTTTCAAGTTCCAAGAAGCTATATATTAGATTACGTAGGGGGTGGAGAGATGCAGAAGTGTATATGGTATTATGTGTAGTGTGGGGCGGGGTCTATACATGAGAGGGAGCGTAGTACTAGGTCAGATGACTGGTAATAATACGACTCGGAACTGACACGCAACTTGGTTTGACGCCATTCATGATATGTTAGGATGAACTACAGATCCTGTCTTTGAATGGTAATGTCATTGATAATTGGTATTATGAACGCCCATGGTAAGGGCTGGATGTAACCAGAGTAGTAGCTAGAAAAAAGAGAAAGACAAGGCGCAGCGATGATGCGTCGGAAAGAAACGAAATGGGATATCTGAGATATCGAAACCATAATGCTTACATCTATCCGAGAGCTGCCTTGATCTCCGCTATCCCAAAGGGGTTAGAGCAGTGAGCCTGACTGCTGGGCGGTCAGGATTTCTTAAGTATAGGCAGAATTCGCCCTACTATCACTGCTCTTTGATTTCTGACCCTGACTGCGCTCGGCTTCTGTCGTACGATTTCTCTGAAAATTTAACAAGTTCTAAATTTATATCTAATCTATACCTAGGTCGGTGCGCTTGGCACTAATACCTCTGTTCTCACACACACACTCCCTCTCTCCCTCTCTCCGCCCCACTGGAGACCCACTAACACAAATTAGGCAATATTTCCGTCCATATTGCAACCATTGATGTATCCAACGAAATCACAATAGATTACAGTAATAGCCGATCCTGCACATTTCCAAACCAACTTAAAAAAAGGTTTATGGCAAATCCTTTCGCGGTGAAAGCCGGAAAAGATTCGACGACCCCAGCATCACTGTCTAGACCGAGCTCTAAACATCTGGCCAGCTTCATCCGCTACAAGGAGGTGAGGAGACGGCTCTTGACGGCCCCTAAAGCGGGGACCTGTCGTGGCGGAGACAAGGAAAGATTGTAGCTCTATTTACACTCAATTTATTATTACAGTACAAACTTGTATCTCAAAACATCAAAGAAGTTCGTGACGCATAGTAGTGAGCCCCGGCGCCTCGTGAATATCCTTGTCTGACTGCAGCTCGCTTGGATGATAACAATTCAGCTCAGTCAGTTGAAGCGACTTCGTCCCGGCTGCAGACGACGGCGCAATGCTATATTGATTTTTGGTTTCTGGGTGAGAATTTGCCTTTTGCTTTCGACGAAAAATTATTAGCCAAGCAAATATTCCTATCAATACCAGGCCGCCAATAGCACATCCAACGCCAATGCCAGCCTTTCCACCCGGTGAAAGTCCTGAGCTGGAGCTCTCCGATGAAAGAGGTACCCAGAACTCGCTCCAGCTTTCTTCCCACGAATTTGTTGAAGCCTTGATTGAGGTGTCATTGATCCCAATGCTCTGCTGAACACTAGATCCGATCGCTGGCCCAGGTGCTTGAGCCAAAAACCAGTAGCCGCCCCCAGTGCCGTCTTGCCAGTTTGTGCCAATGAAGACTGCTTGAAGGAAGGCTCTGCCGAGGACGAAGGAGTCAGAGGGATAGCATGGGAAGTAAGTGGTGTTTTGTTCCACTAGTGGCTCTTGAAGTGTGAGCTTCAAGAGTTGGAAAGGAACTTTGATGGTGATACTCTGGGTGTTCACTGCGTCCTTCTCGAATTTGAAGGACATATATGCTGGTGAGGAAGTTATCTTCTGGTAGCTGCTGTTTCCCGTGTCCCAGAAATATAGACCCAGACCCTCGTTGAATGTGACTGGGAGCTCTGCTGCAATTGCATCACACGTCTCCTTCGGGAGATAGAGGTATGGAAGTGTGGGATCAATCTCCACAGTTTTGCCCCTGCCGGTGTTGCTGCCTCCCCATAGGAGCAAGTTAGATTTATTGTTGAAGTTAAATGGCGAGTCCCCAATTGCAACTCCGATCCCAATGTCTTCCAGATAAATGTTGAGATTGCCGAGGTGGTTTGTAGTAGCAACCTGTTGCGAGCTTACTTGGCCCACTACTCGGTTTTGGTCATAACCGCCAAGCATCAGCGAACCTGGAAGGTCGGGTTCAACTGACCCAATATGCATTCCCCACGAATATGAGGGGATGCGATCAGACGAAGTATTGTTGAAGTATTCCCAAGCACTCAGCATATTGAACGTGTTCCCATCCACTGTGTGGGTAGACTTAGTACCACCTAGCGACAGAATCCCCACGGAAACAGGATATGACTTCCCATTCGGATATGTTTCGTAGGCATCGTAGATAGATGCGATAGAGACGTTCGGCACTGTTGGTCCATTCTGCAACCTGAGCGTGTCAGCGAGAATTCCTTCTTTGACATGCCCAGTGCCACCCCATTTATTTACGCCAGCACTGCTTTGATCGGACAGCCATGTCATTTGACTTGTGTTGATCGGCGTGTTCAAGGTGACGGCAGATGTTGATGCGCTAATGTTGAATAGACCGGCTCGTTCCGCGTAACACGTTATTGTGGAGTTGTCTAAGCAGACTGTGTCGATGAGGATAGTACTAGCCCAACGGTCGCCAGGATACAAATCAACAGATTGTTTGTTGGAGCCCAACTCGACTGACACGGCGTGCCACGGGCCATCTGGGCCATAGGTTCGATCAGACCATAGCACTGTCCAAGGAGCACCTTCTACATGCACGATGGCTGTGGTGGCGAGCAGCCAAAAGAAGAGGGGTTTTGTAGCAAAGAGAGCCATTGGTGAAAAGGGCCGGCTCCGCAGCATAGTGGGAAGGATAGGAAAAGAACATGGTCGAAAAAGGGGGCCGTAGAGGGTGAAATGTGATTGTCATTTGGCCCCAGCCAGAGGGTCTTAGTGTACTTCCATGGGCGCGTAACGAGATTGATGGATCGAGAATTGCATGAAAATCACTGTGCGTCGTGACGGCGTTGCTCAGCAGGGTATTTGATTTGCGAGTTCACAGACTCTGTGGGTAAATATTTTTTAGCGTGATAAAGTGAGAGGCTGTGCCCACATAGCTTTCCGCGCTCCTTAGGAGCGATGTTGCAAGCCACACTCGTGCTGCGTGTAGCGCTCGTATGAGGATTATACTGCACCTGTTCTCCTTCATAGTGTGGAGACTCCCTATAATTGCTGATAGATATTAATATGTCTTTGGAGGCGTTCGTCCCATACCTCGAATAGGGGAGATCGGCTTGGCCAGCGAGCCGTCAGCGTCCCGTCCCGACCCCGGTTTTATGACCCCTGACCAGCCAACTACTTGGGGCAACCGAGAGCCAACCAGGATTATTATACGAGTTACGTTAGTTTATTTCAAATGCTAAGAAATCATATATTACTAAAAATCAACCAGAACCAACTTCTCGTTGTTGATATACTGTGACCTGAAAAATCGCATTGAGTATGGTGTTTTGGGGTGTCCCGACCGACCGTGTATCCCGACCTGCCGTGAACTACGTTACATCACATCAGTGGTCGCAAGATGAGCGGAGAGACTACCTAGTATGGTATAGTTAGTTTCTAGTAAGGCGCCGGGAGAAAGTGTGAGAGATTAGAGGTAAATATAATTTCGAATATTACTGCATGCCAGAAAGCAGCCCAAACGAGCATCCCCTCGCGACACAGTTCTCGTAGGCGATGACTCATCGAATGCAGTACAATCCTTACGATGACGGTGAAGTAAACTGGATGAGCGAATTTCAGCCTTATTTTCCGGTAATCAGGTCGTATGAGTGTGAAGTTATATAGTAATTAAATTCGATAGGCTGTCGGTGGTTGTTGATTTGTGACAAGAAATCAGAAGAAGGGGACACCGAAGTAGCGAGTGTATGGCAGTTTCGTGTGAAATACGGAAAATACAGTGGTATTGTGAAATACAAAGACTCTTATAGAAAGCGGTCTAAAATATGTCGTGGAAACTCTTATCCAATTAGATCTAGAAGGAACCGAAATGACATGATCATATAGTATTAGAATATATCGTCAACATAACATATTAGTATATAAGTATCTTGTTTATTAATAAATATCCCTTTATCATAAATAAATACCTCAAAATATAGGCCTTTTAGCACGGATTTTAGGTATCTATTCCATAGTCTAGAGGACTGTTTTAGACTATAGAGTGCCTTGTTTAATTTTGCATATTTGTTATTATATTCAGGCTTATTATATAAGCCTATAGGTAATATGGTATATATATATCAGTATCAATATTAGCATATCAAAAGGCGTTTTTAACATTATATTTATGAAGGGCTGTAGCGACAACTGTTCAATTAGGGCTAGGCCTGTATGCTGTTTTCAATAAACATCGCCAGAACCCATTTCACAACCCATTTCTTGGTGAGATATTCGTATTTCGGCGCTTTCCCAAAATTTCTCGTCAATGTCGATGGTACTTCACTTTCGAATTTGGGTAGCGCTTATGTTTCCATCTAACTTTTCCTTGATGTGGAGTAGTGGAACCGTCTGTTGGGGCGGATAAAGCTGTGAAAGTATATAGGATTCAATGAATTAGTACCAATGGCATTCTATTTTGAAGTTCGAAATCTGGTACCTACTTCTTGCTTTAAACACTGTATTTAAGTGGATTTGCAGAGTCTTGTCAGTGGTTAGGTACTAAGGTCTAAAGCTCGATGTCTCTCTGTGCCTGTTCTCATGTTAGGCTTTGCCATGATAACCAATCTCCATCAGTCAATTTGTATCCTTCGGAGAGCGTAACGGAAAGGGTCTATATGAGGAGGGTGAGATAAAAGTGTGCACGATTCCTATAGGGCAGGCGGAATTATGGAGAGCAGGATGAGGAGATCAGCTTCCCACTAACTCTTATCATCAGGAGAAGCTTAACCTCGGCCCTCGAAATTATAATCTTTGTATAGACATACGAAACCGAGGGGTAATGCACATTTCGGCAATTCGAACTTCTTGGTATAAGCGCAAACTTCGTATTCACTCAATTTACCTTCATATAACTAAGGGATACCCCGCAGGGGAACCCTGCAGAATATGCATGTTTAATTAAGAATGATTAGTAGATGGCCGAATATGCGGGGTTCAAGCCCAATAGGCCAATTCTGACATGGACTCCCCACTAAAAGAGGAAATATGTAACCATATGCTACAAGTGCATTATTATTGTGTACACTGCGGAATTGCGGAGATAATAAAACATGACTTGGGTGCACAGCGGAGTCACGGAGATAGCAAAAGAAGTTGTGGTTTTTCAACTTCCATAAACAAATATCGCAGATGATCAGGTTGCAGTGACAGCAAGGCGGCCAAATACAATGAAAATAAAGTAGTGACAGATGCCACGGTCAGGGGGAAAAGAATAAATCTGCCCTGCTGTGAAGAACAGGCTTTGAACGTCGAGATACTTCAAGATGCGGCGTTTGGTGAAGTATACTATCTGTCTCTAGTACTTATTAGTACCTCAGGCCTACATATCTCCTGACGTCTTCGTCGACTTACTACTACCTAGGTATACATGAATGGAACCTTGGAATAAAATCTTCAGCTGACAGTCACACCTGCCAGCAGAGTAGGGATACCAACTTGAAGATATATTACTTCCAAGGTTCTTGACGCCATTCATTACCTATGTAGCTATCTTTCCATCCCGGCCCTATTGGAGTCTCTAATTGTGGTAGCCGCGTGACAGGCTTTCGGCCAACCTACAGCTTTGCAATATGTTTTCTGTTAAACATGGGATAGTTTCGGGTAATTACCTAGGTATTTATTAGACCGATTTAGGTTCGAGGGTCGAGAAACCACTGGGAGTTTCTACGGGAAATAATTCATCTTGGAAATATGACACTGCAGTATTCCATGGGGCAGATACGATAGTAGGAACCTCGTTTGAAAGCAAAAAGGAAAGTAGAAACAAAAAAGATAGCGGAAAGGAAAGAACAAGAGAAAGAAACCTTGAAAGGGGAAAGTTGAACGGAACAAATGCTACTCCTAGTAGAAGTTAGCATGATGGGTGGTATGAAGGAACAGTACTATAAATTTCCCAGGATTCTAGCTCCGAGTCGAAATAAGAACTCGAAATACACAAGCAAGCATACATCTTGTGCTAAGGTTCTTGCAGCTGAATCACACCCAGGTAGCTACCTAAGCTACGTAAACAACCGACACATATTCTCGCGTTTAGATAATTCTTCACCTAATACTAGTAGTACCTATTAGTAGATTCCAGCTTCACCATAACATCTACATGCCACTGCTGATAGCTCAAACTTCATCCGGGTTTTGCTTTTCATGGACATCTCCGAAGGCCTTGTCTCCATCGAAGATCAAAGCAACCTCTTCCAAACTTCGACCCTTGGTTTCAGGGAACCCAAAATAAACAAGGGCAATTTCAACAGCAATGACACAACAGTACACAATATAGTATTTCCAGCTTATCGCATCCATTGCGACGGGGTTGGCATATCCATTGAAGAGAATAGCACACGTGGCCGCTATCTGCATGATATTCGTTCCCTTGGCACGGAGATGAGTAGGAAGTACTTCCGTAACATAAACCCAGGGGGGACCATTGAGACCGGCGTTGTAAAAGAGTTGATACATGAAAATCATCACTATCACGCCAGTGCCGAGACTCGTATCTTCGAAATGGCGCTGCTCATTGATTGCAGACAGAATTGTCCAGATCATATAGCAGGCCAACATACCCACCGTGGAGAAAAGGAACAGTCGTCGTCGACCGACTATCTCCATAAACGAGGCTAGGATAATTGAGACACCCAAGTTAAACACTGTCAGGCCACCGTTGATACGGAGTTGTTGCGGATCAGAAGAGAACCCAATGGAGTTGAGAATAAGGTGGAGATAGTAGGCGATTAGACCATTGCCGGAGAGCTGCATCATGCATGGAACTGCGATGATGATGAAAAGACGATGCAAGTTGCCGCGTGTGCTTAAGAACTCGCGATAACCGGTTTGAGAAGCTGCTTTGGCGGTTTGGATTGATAAGATAATTTCCTTCATCTCGAAGTCAACTAGTGGAGAGTCCTCGTCTCCGCCAGCGTGGTACTTGATCAATACTTTTCGAGCTTCGTCATAGCGGTCTTTCTGCACAAGGTATCGAGGCGACTCGGGAAGCATATAGACAAAAATAACCTGAAGGAGGGGAAAGAATCCCTGCAAAAGGGATGGGATGCGCCACGCCCATGACAAGTTTGGACCCATAAAGTAGGTTCCGTATGTAATCCACGCGGCAAGCAAAGCCCCGAGATACCAGAGGTTGTTGTAATAGCCGACTAGAACGGATCGATGTGTCGGATACGCCAATTCACTGACTAACATTGGTGATGCTTCGACGGCAATCAAACCGCCAAATCCGATTACCATACGAGAGACCAAAAACATAGCGTAGTTCTGGGCGGCGCATTGAAGAATGGCCCCAATGACAAGAAGGGCCGATCCGAGGAAGATTGGGAACCGTCGGCCCGTGTGGTCACAGAGCCAAGGAGCGATGGGGAAGGCGGCAATTTGACCGAAAATCACTCCATTTGAAAGTGATCCTAGCCGGGTACCGGTGGGATGGCCGAAAAAGTCCTGCCACTGGCTCATCGACTGAAGGCCGTTGAGCATGGATCCGTCATACCCGTTGGTCGTCGAGGATAGATAAGGAACAATCATTCCAAGATTGAGGAGCAAAAGATGACGGCTCTTGTACCATGGCTTGCCGGTACGTGGCAGAACGCTTTCTAGGCTCCATTCGCTGGGGTTGTTGGTATGAATATCATGGATCTCGGTCGTCGGTTTCTCAGCCTGATCAACCATCTTGATCGCTGGTCTGTTAATTAAATTCGAGAAGTAGGAAAATGACTCTGTCTGCCATATGAAAACCGTGATCTCGGTTGTCCTGTCTCTATTATATTAGTTTATTTCTATCGCTTCAATCCGTGATTCCGCAATGAACATACCGATTGAAGTTGATGGCTGAACTCAACTCTGTGGTTAAAACCGCCTTCTGCTTTCATTCTTTCATTATGTCTGTCCGCCGGAAGCCATTGGGTGCGGCAGTGTCTTTAAGATCCGCAATTCCGCTTCGGCTAGCACACTGTGGCTTATTAACACCGGTTGTTTGTTATGAACTAGTTCTAAGTCGTCGGCTTACTGGCCAGTTCGGGTTTAGTTCCGGATGAGCACCCTTTTCCCCGCAGTGGCATCCCCGGCCATTTTCCCTCCCGTCTGGGGAAGATGCCACTCACCCAACATGGCAACCTTGGAAATACCACCGAACTTCCTCATGCTAATGTACAGGTCCTGCCCTAACCGGTTTAGGGTAGAGGTGAAAAGTTCGCGTGCACCCTACGTGACCAAAGCGGAAATACGAGAATAGTCAGTGCGCCCTCTCTTCTTCTCCGACACTCCGCTGGATACCTATTTCACTTTCAGGCCTGCATGGAAAATAACATCGATCAGAACAAGCTTGTATTTTGATGGAATCGACCTACCAATCCGAGATACACTGACAGGTCTCAGCCTCCAAAATGGAATCCCCAACCCCACCTGCCGATAAGCCGGATGTCCAGAAGCGAAAACATTCCCGTGCAGCCGCGAGCTACCCCCGGAAGCGAGCTACTCAAGCATGTCAGACTTGTCGTCTTAAGCGGACGAAGTGCGATAATACCCGGCCATCGTGTGCATCGTGTGTTCGGCTCGGGGCAGAATGTTCTTACCAACAAATGTGTTTATCGACGTAGGTTTCGGATGATCAATCGATCGTCTCCTCCAATGTGGGAAGGAAAGTTCCATCTAATCAAGTGACAGATTCGATTCGGCGAGCCTGGCTATTCTGAAACGGATTGATGACCTGGAAGCACTGATCCAGACCAAGGCAAACGATCCACCTCCCGTGGCTCTGCCCAATGTTCTTTGCTCTTCGTCGTCTAGCAGTCCCAATGACATTTGGGCATCTGGGTTGGAGCAGCAGACACAATTGGAGCCATGTTTCATCAACATTGAGGAGGTCCTGAAATGGCCTGTCTTCGATGACCATGAATTTGACCCGCGACTCTATCTACTATCCCCATCCGATGAGAGCACCGTACAGCCGAACCTACAAACTTCCGTTGACCTTGACCTCCGTGTGGCCGACCATCTCGTGCGGAGCTTTTTCGATAATGTGCATATCTTTAATCCCACGCTGAAAGAGGAAGACATCAACGAATATGTTAGGTCTGTACAATTGAATGGCATCGGGTGGGACGCAATGTCTTGTTTGTTGGTGAGTGCCTCAAACCTATGTTCATATGCCGGACTCACATGATAATAGCTTCTCATTTATGCCAATGGCTCGATCACAACGTCATTTGTAAGGAATGGACAAGGCGTAGATTCCACTCTGTTCCGCCAGTCAAAGGAGTTTCTCCAGGGTGAAGCGTATTTTCTTGCCGCGCAGAAACGAATGGGCATGTTGCTCTGCAGGGGTGGCGTAATAGAGGTACAATGCTTCTTCCTAGCTGGCGTATATTTAATGACAACGTTGCGGTCAGTAGAGGCATGGAGAATGTTTGTGCAAGCACTTGCATGCTGCGAGGGCTTCTCCATCCTTCGCACGAACGACTGCCATGAAGCTGCGTGGGAAACAAAGCAGAGAGTATACTGGACCTGCCTGAAGTCTGAGCTGTAGGTAAACCAATACCTGAATCACGAGGGTATGTCTGACATTTTCTTTATAGCGAGCTACGACTGGAATTGAACCTTTACCAAAAGAATTTCCTGGGTCTGAAATACCCTACCTTCTTTCCATCGCCTCCAGAGGAACTCAAATCTAGAGATGAAGCAGCATGGTATTTTTATCTGGCGGAAATTGCTTTGCGAAGATTGGAGAACCGCATTCTGAGCTATCTTTACCAACCTCACGATGTTATCGCAAAATCTAACCTGGAATCTGTGATCCTCGACTTTGAGGAGCAAGCAGACGGTTGGTAAGTAATATTGTGGATTAAGCAAGACATTGGTTAACAAAAGCCAGGCTGCGATCTCTCCCAGAGGCATTGGCTCCAAATACAGACACCCTATACACAGACCAATATGATGCCTTCCGATTCATTCTTAGTGGTCATTTCCTTGACTGCCAAGAGACAATGTACTGGCACTTTTTGGTCGAAGCGATACATGGCCGAGGTGACAGAACCAGCAATAATTTCCTTCACAAGGCACTTAAGGTCTGTGTAGACAGAATACAGCAGAATCGAACGGGATTTTATCATCGCCATCACGGAACATGGCTGATGCTTCGATCGTGTGCAAGGAGTGCGATAGTGTTGCTCGCTGCTGAGCGTAGTGTGAATCTTGTCTGCTTTCTGCCTATCGGGTGGGAGGGAGCGGTAGTCGATGTTACTCGGATGCTGGAATTCTGGAAGAATGAGTCGAATGATATAATGGGCTTGTTCAACATTCTACAAGTGTTAATGCAAGCGAGGACAAATTAGGTCGATTTCATTGGGTGTTTTTCTTTATTTTCCCAACTGTTTATTCAGATAGGTGGAGCATTAGTTTATCCTTTAAGGCTAATTATAAAGATGCGAAAGGGAGTTCTCTGTTTCAACTAGTCTTGTCATCTAGAAGTTCTCCGGTGAATGTACTGTGGCCCGCAAGTTGGCTCCACTCTGATGGCGCAAGTCCGATACTCCGCGATGCTCCCCGGGCGAAGGTTTCCGAAGTTCGGATTACTAAAAGAACCTAGATACTGGCTGGCCATAAGAATGCGAATTTCCGACCTCGTTCGCATTTATTATTCCAAATCCAGACCATACACTGTTCTCCCCATTAACAATGTCGGGGATTGACATCGAACATGTGCTCTCGGAGCTATCCCTAAACGAGAAGGTCTCATTACTTTCAGGTCTGTCTTCAAAGTTGATACATGGTTTCCCAGCTCACCAAATAAACAGGTATTGATGGCTGGCATACATCTGCAATTCCGAGACTCGGTATCCCTTCAATTCGCATGTCAGACGGGCCAAATGGTGTTCGAGGCACCCGCTTTTTCAACGGGGTTCCTTCAGCCTGTTTACCCTGTGCCACAGCACTAGGCGCTTCTTTCGACACAGATCTCATATTCTCCCTGGGAAAGCTTCTTGGGCTAGAATGCAAGGCAAAGGGGGCCCATGTCCTTCTAGGACCGACAATTAATATCCAGCGAAGCCCGCTGGGAGGTCGTGGGTTCGAATCGTTCTCAGAAGATCCTGTACTCTCAGGATCCTTGGCTACCAGTTATTGCTTGGGTGTACAGACCGAGAATGTGATTCCGACACCCAAGCATCTTGTGTGCAACGATCAGGAGCATGAGCGTGTTGCTGTCAACGCGCTTGTCACTGAGCGTGCTCTGCGCGAGATATATCTACTTCCATTTCAGCTGGTCATCACGGGCGCCAATCCTCAGGCTCTTATGACATCTTACAACAAAGTCAACGGATGTCATGCCAGCGAGAGCCCTGCGCTGCTTCGAGATGTCGTTCGGAAGGAATGGAACTATAATGGCCTGATCATGAGCGATTGGTTTGTCTCTAATGTCCCTCTAAATTCTCAAGTTCCATTTCTTACCAGAACAGGTTCGGCACTTATAGTGTGTCGGAGGCTGTCAATGCCGGGCTGGATCTTGAAATGCCTGGCCCATCTCGATTTTGGGGGCCAGGTTTGGTACATGCCGTTACATCTAACAAAGTCTCGGAGAGGACTATTGACGATCGGGTTCAAAGTGTTTTAGAGCTAGTGAAACAAACGGCAAGCTCTGGAATCCCTGAAAGTGCAGCTGAAGCTCAGCGCAATCTGCCCGAAGATAGAGCATTGCTCCGTAGAGCAGCTGCCGAGTCAATTGTTCTTCTCAAGAACGATGATCAGATTCTCCCTTGGATTCGACCAAAAAGACTCTCGTGATTGGTCCGAATGCCAACATCGCGGCATACTGCGGTGGAGGCTCTGCCGCTCTTCCTGGGTATTATGCCATTACACCCTTAGAAGGAATCAGAAACTGCTGCACTGGGGGGGTGGTCTTTAGACAGGGATTGTATGGCCACAAAGAGCTGCCACTTCTAGGTGAACAATTGAAAACCAAAGATGGTCGCCCTGGGTATACATTTAAAGTGTTTACGGACCCATCCTCCAACAAAAGCAGAAAGGCAGTAGATGTCCTTCACATGAAGAGCAGCTCCGCTTTTTTGATGGACTACAAGCATCCGGAAGTCCAGTCCGACCTTTACTATATTACTATGGACGGAATCTTCGAGCCCGTGGAAAGTGGGATGTATGACTTTGGACTTACGGTAGCGGGTACCGGGGAACTCTTCATTGATGGCGAGAAGATAGTCGACAACAAGACCAATCAGCGACAGGGAACGTCATTCTTTGGCATCGGGACTCCCGAAGAACGTGGCTCAAAGTACCTCGAAGCACATAAACGGTACCATATTATGGTCGACTACGGCACTGCACCAACTTCAAATCTGAAGTTGCACGGAGTTGTTTCGTTTGGACCCGGTGGACTGCGAGTGGGAGGATGTAAGCGCATCGATAAAGAACGTGCCATTCAAGAGGCCGTTGATCTTGCAGCTACATTTGACCAAGTCGTTGTATGTGTTGGACTGAGTGGAGAATGGGAAAGCGAAGGATTCGACCGTCCACACATGAATCTGCCACCGATGTCAGATCAGCTGGTTCAAAGAGTTCTCGATGTCCAACCAAATGCTGCGGTTGTTGTGCAGAGTGGAACTCCTGTGACAATGCCTTGGGCTCGCGACGCAAAGGCCCTTCTTCATGCATGGTATGGTGGGAACGAAACGGGACATGGCATTGCGGATGTCATCTTCGGGAATGTGAATCCGGTAAGTATTGAGCAAATTCGACATTATACGTCGGCTAACCTCACTTCAAGTCTGGCAAACTTCCTCTCAGCTTTCCGGAGTTTATCGAGCAAAACCCGGCATATCTTTCATATCGATCAGAAGCAGGGAGAGTGCTGTATAGCGAGGATATATACGTTGGTTACCGCTACTACGAAAAGGTCAAAGTGAAGCCTCTCTTCGCCTTCGGTTATGGTCTCTCATATACAGTATTCCGTCTCTCGGGACTAGCTGCTTCGCAACCATTAGAGGAACGCGACAACATCAAGGAAGAAGTGTTGGAGGTTTCAGTCTCAGTGGAGAATATTGGACCTCGTCATGGTGCAGAGATTGTCCAAGTGTACATTTCCCCACCTAAATACGCCAGCATTTCCCGCCCTGTGAAGGAACTCAAGGGGTTTAAAAAGGTGAAACTGCAACAAGGTGAGAAAAGTGAAGTCATGATTGTTATCCCAATTGCTCTGGCTACCAGCTTCTGGGATGAGAGATCGTCTGCCTGGCTAAGTGAAGCAGGAGAGTACACAGTCACTGTTGTTGGGACGGGTGAGCAGAATGTACTCTCGACAGGGTTTGTGATTTCCCGGACTCGAGGGTGGAATGGCTTGTGCGAACCTGACATTACTGATGTATCCCGGCACGTCAATGGGAATGGAAAGTAGAGGATACTAGTATTTAGACCGGAAATCGTAAGGACTTTATAATTTACGGGACACTTCTAGCCTCAGCCCAATTTCAGAGTCAAAACGAAATGCCTCAACCAGCCATAGTACCAGCAAGATTCGTAATATTCCTATATGATACCATGGATATCCAGTATAGTACATATGAGAGTTGCTAAAACAATCAACTTTCTTCCTACCTGGTGAAAGATGGGAAACGCTCGCTGGCGGTCTGCAAAGGGTTGATCGCAGAGGCACAAGCCACAAGACCTGAGAGGTGCACGTATCGCCCAGTATAATTGGCAAAGCAAATGATTGGGTGAATGATAAATTAAGTAGGCGAAACTGGTGCCTCAAAACTTAGGCGGAAAAACCGAGGGGCGGTGAGTAATATATCCAGCAGATTCAAATATGGAAGCGGTGTAATATATCACGAGCATTCAACCAGCGGGTTATTCTGCCAAGGTGGCAATCAGATCACATCCGCACAGCCAATACTAGTAACTACTAACTAGTAGGTCAGTACTATGATATCGTCATATTGTATTGTTTGTCTCCAACTTATCATGATAATTATCACTATTATATTGTCAGTAACTTCATTTTAATGATACTACTAGTACAATACAATAACGCCAAGCATGGTCACGGGACCTAAGTCATATGAAATAGCCAATGAGAGGCCTCTGTCTACGGTATTACATCTGGGCAGTAGTACATGCTTTCGTGATCAATATATATATCTACCCAGGTGGTAGTGCGAGCCTATGTGTACATACAGTATGTTATTTTTCAAGTTGGTCGCGGCCAACGTGCGACCCTGGCCAACACACTAGTATGGCTGTAGAGGCCATTAGATCTAGACTTGGATAGGAAACAGAGGCTACTTTATTTTTAACGGCGTTTTTGAGCGATTCAACGCGTCGTAGTGATGCTGAACAGCTATTGTGGTGGTGATCATGGCCGACACGCGACTATGACCGATATGCGACCATAGCTAACATACGACCGCCGACTGTGGCCAAGGGCGATATGCCAAAAATCCTGCGATATCGTATCGTGTGCAGCCTTAGAACTTACAAGGTTCCAAGCCTCTCGTGACAGGTCTGGTTTGGAAGGGACAACCTTCGAGTTTGGAACTCGAATCTAACATAATAGCTAGGTATCATCCACTGGCATGATAGACTCGTTCGCTAGGCTCCAAGACTAAGACTAGCCAGTTGCACCGTGGGTACTAACTACTACTAACTAGTGACTACTAGTTCTACGACTGTGAGTATTGCAAATAGTGTTAATACTACTGTAATAATACGTGGGGTGGCGGCTTACAGCCGCCTGTGGCATCCTTGAATAGCACCAGCATGGATGCCTTTACCCCAAGCCCATCTCATCTCCTGTTTTAGAGGCGGGCCGCCATTGTATCCCGAAATCACGTAAGATCAGCCCATAAAAATGCGACAGACGCTTAGGGCTGACAATATCAGACAGAAAATCAGACAGAAACTTCGTCGCCACTCCCAACTTGAAGGACGATAGAAATGATCCTAATATAAATACTAGCACGCTTCAGCCAGAGTTAATATAATGATACTCCATACTTACTCAATCCAAACCAAGACCATACCACAGCCTGAATTTCCGCACGGGCTCTTGCTATTTCAATTAAAGAGTGTCGAGAACATTTAGTAGTATCACCTGCCGTTTTCGATTCTTGAAAAGCACAAATGGCTGGTCCAACTCGTAAGTCTAGCTGAAAGCACTAGAAAGTGTCCATATTGAACCGTTTTAGTTGTTTCGACTGGCCTTCCTGTCGCCGGTGGCCAGGAAGTTGAGATGGCAGACTACAATCATCCCGAGCCAACGTTTTTTGCCGGAGATGAGACTCTCTGGACTCGAAACATGGGGCCATGCAATAGTCTCGCAACATTTTGTCTCAACTCCAAACAGCAAAGTCTAACCCACCTCGCGGGTGGCGGCCTTTTGGATGAGCAAGTTGTTCCTTTTGCCCATAAATTGGCTGCAGAGTTAGATGAGGATTATGTACTCATCTGGATCAGTGGCACCGATTCTCTATTTCAAAAGAGCTTCAGGGACACACTCTTTGATTTCTCAACTGGCATTATGGATGAGATGATCAAGCTCAGCAAAAGGCCCCAGTTGGGTGAGGACCGGGATTTTGAGCAAAATACGGATGGGTACATGAAAAAGGAAACAGAGAAAGACCCTGTGATAGTGCCAAATACGCCAAATTAGACAACTTATAAGAGGGGGTCTTTCGCGATTGATGCAGATGGAAACTATGGCCTTACCCAGCAATAAGCAACCCAAATTCTAACATCGGCCTTTGATCCGGGAAGATGGTGATATACATATGCACTGGTGACTGGCTATTTCAACCTAGCCAGAAGGATAATTATACTGGGAGGGGGATTTCGGTCGAATCTGAGAATTTCGGGGACACTCATTTACAAACCTATCCCATGAGGGTTGATGGCGTGGGATCAATATCAGTAGTGATTGTTAATTTCAAGTTAGTACGGCAATTTTTGTAATTTTGAGTCTTAATGGGATCAGTACTCGTGATTTTTGTTCTTATCTTCAATTGGAATTTCTTGATTGGTAAATAAAGAATTTCGATCTAAGGGATTTTGGGTTAGAGAAACCGAACGCGAGTGGCCAAGAAGATCATTACAACGATGAAAGATACTCATACCACAGTGTATGGCGCACCAGTGCGCTCCTGGGGAATAAATGTCGGTCAAGGTTTGACGTTAACTGCCAGAATGTTATGACTTGCAAAGTTTGGTGAGATATGAGAACATCTGCCGAATGATTTACCGTGGTATCTGGCAGCCCGATCGAGAAGAATCGAACTGAGCAGCTGTTGCATAGGCTTGATACGAGATTCTGCATATTACTAGGGTAGTAGTGGATGAAAAAAGAAAAGAAAAAAAATTATTCATCAATCAAAAAACGAGACCCCAAAAAGCCCCTAATACGTAATTACTCCAAGGCTGGCAACAATAGACACTTCGGCAGTCCCAATGATGGCTCCTATAGCTCGTCCGGATGCCAGGCTACGAGAAGGTAACCGTGAGTTTCAATATCCAACATCTATCGACTGAGCTCCAAAGAAAATGAGATAAATTAGGAGAGGGTCGTCATTCTTGTTCATAACGCAGGAAAAAATTCGAGTATATCCTTAGTTCAAGCCAAGAATCAACGGGAGAATGGCAGCATTCACAATCTGGATAGCGAGCGGGCCGATGGCGATGCTGGCAGTAGAATATTCCCCAGGTTTTATTTTCCAACCCCAGGGAGTGCCAAGGGCCATGAAGATCATTACTAAATAAGCAGGTCAGCGATGAAACTTCTCCCCATGAAAAAAAAAAGAAATTTGATACGAACCTCCAGCAAGGAAGGCGCAAATGGCCCAAGTATATTTGAATTTCTTGACCATCTTGTCAAGACCAATGAAGAAGCCAGATGGACCGGGTTCTTTGGCAGTTGACGACCACTCGATGTTGATGCTGAAAGCGTGGCAAAGAATAGCTTTGGCGCAATTGAGACTGATTCCACCAAAGAATACGATCAGAAACGGGAGCCACATCATCGACTTAAGAAGGGCTTTCCAGAAAACCATCTCTTTTAGCTGATGGCGAGCCATACTGAATGCGACCGAAGCAACACCGTTGAACACGACGACCAGGGAAATCCAGATTCCCCAAGATTGAAGGTAGATGTGATCAATCGAGGAGTTGAAAAGACCGACAATGACGTAGTTCACAGTAGCCAAAAGCATACCCGATGCGATTGCGTAGTCTAGTGATTAAGATTAGAACTCGAAAGAATATTGAAGGATAGAGAAAACCGACAGGTAAAGATATAAGCAATGATGGTTATTTTGCTAGTGACAGGCATGTTGCTCCACAAGAAACGAAGGAAGAGACGCGTGACTGGTCCCTTGTATGGCCATTTATAGCTAGTCCAAACGTTAGCGGGCGAACATTCTGGAGAATCCAGGATAACTCACAATGGATGGAAAACAAGCTCGTTGCAACCATATGCATACTTTTCCCAACGCGTTAACTCATCATACAAGGTGAGAGACACGCCCTCCTTGAAGCCACCATTATGGTATGTAGCCAGACGAACAGTCATTCCCTGCATCTGCAAACGAAGACTGATGTCGAAGTCCTCAGAGACATGTGCATCAGACCACCACTTGGTTTGGCCATCTGATGGATCCACAAATGAAATGCTCTGGATAGCCTTCCACCGCAGGAAGGCGTTGTGGCCAACGAAGGGAGATACATCACCACAGCCAACACCGTACTTGATAGCCGTATATACAACGTCGGTAAAATATGCGACTTTTTGATGAACAGGTTAGCTACCAGTGTAAATGAAGCAAGATGGGAACACTCACTGCCGTCCTCAAACATGTTGTTGACTACTTGCATAACACCAGAGCCGTGTTGAACGATTGCGACCTCGGGACTCTCGTGCATCTCCAATGCTCCATAGAGGAGACAGTCAACGGGAACTCGGGTGTCACAGTCAATGCTAAGTATTGAATGTTAGAGATGCTGCTATTAACCACAGGAAAATTGCCGAATACATACATCAGGATGTGTTCACCGATACGGATATTTCCTTCAGCCCCTGCATGGCGTTAGTAACCGTCCGCAATAAAAAGATCTAACAATTTGGAAGGATGCTCACAAGTGCGACCTTCATCCTCAGCAAGCATATTGGCGAGAGCCTGCTGGTATATCCGATCATCATCCTCGACAGTCAAGTCTTCATTCATACATCCACGGCTCTGGCATTCCAAGTCAACCAGACGAACCATTTCATCTTCAACCCTATTGGAAAATGCGAGACCATAGTTCATGTTGCTGGCCTTCTTGAACTTTCCCTTGCGTTCGAAGCCAATTTTGTTAGCGATGGCCTGGGGACTAGTTGCATCTTCCTCTTTCTCGGATTCCGTAATTTCCTCGACTGGCTTGCCCTTGCGGAACCATTTGAAGCCCGAAGCCTTCTTGGAAGATCCCTTCTTGTTCGGGAGACGCGCTGTATAGCCAATTCCATTTTCCCTGTAGTATTGCCTGCGGGCTTCGGCGAGCTCGGGTTGAATACACTGCATACCGTCATCGTTGATGAAAACCGATGCAGTACCTCCTTGCTCTTCGTAGAATTGGACGGCAGCGAGAACACTCATCATGGTAGGGACAATGACACTATTCAAGATCAGTTTCCTGTGTCAGATAAAGTCGCAATGATTTCACATACCCTTTGAGGCCCTCCTTGTACACGGGCATTTGGATGGTGATGTGGGGCAGTTCATAATCATGGTGGAATTTGAGATTTGGTTTAATCGCTGTCGGAGAATAAGCGCGAGAACAGAATCTCAGCGGGGAGAAACTAACCAGAGTGGAACTTGGAGTTCTTCAAGCAGAAAGTGGCTGGTAGTAAGAGTTGGAAGGCGCTTGTAACGAGAACAATGAAAAAAAACTGGAAATTCTGAGTAATTGATAAAGCGAATGATACAACAGAAGAGTACTTACCAGAGAAAATAGCGAAAGCGGAGGAATAGTAGAAACCTGTAGCGGATCAGCAGGATGATACAGCAGACAGCAAAAGAAGCAGGCGAACTTACCAATGCAAATCGCGTAAAGTCTCCGTCCCATGCCCACTCATTGAGCAACTGAGAAGCGAAATGTCAGCCTGAGTCAGTGGGAGAAGCCGATCCGTGGGGTATTTGGACTCACGCGAGCTACTCCAAGTGACTGTGTCAAAATCACCAGCATGATGGCAAAGCTAATCTTGAACGCATGGATTCGATGAGTTGGTCTCGGAGCCATGTTCCCTTCCAGATCGACAACCGGATCATCCTCCTCTTCGCCATTTTCTAGTGCGACAGCCTTGCTGTAGATCTCATGCTTCTCATCAAGGGCTCCCCGAACTGGAACAATTATGCTGTTGGAAGGAGTTGAAGCCAGCGCATCGGCGTCAAGATCGAAGGGGGAAGAACGTCCGGAGACTCGGGGGCTGGTTACATTCGAGATGCGAGGTCCCTGTTGAGAGGAGAAAATTGTGTTAACAAGACACAGCGATATTGAATGCTCGGAGCAGGTTCTTACCGTCTTACCGAGCTGTCTCTCAACGTCAAAGGCCACATTGAGGATTGCGCCGGCATCATGGGACCAAACCAAAACAATTCTCTCTTGCACTACAATGCAAGCTCGTGCAAAATGGACAAGATCGGGGTTAACATCATCCAGGCGGTAGACAATAGGGATACGAGCACTGGTGCTCTCCATAATGAGACTCTTCTGACCCGGTGCGACGGAATCGATCAGCGCCGATGTGAAAGCAGAGGACATGGCGACTGCAGATGTCTCGCCTAGTCGTACGATTGCATCACTCAGTGCGGGATTGACATTGTACGGGAAAAAAGAATACTCGTCATCAAAAATGCGAACGGCGACGCAAGTTGAAGACCAATTCTGGAGGCCATGATCGCTTTTAGATTCATCAAACCAGCCCAGCAGAGTTGCACGTCGAGCGAGATATCTCGCCATCTGCAAAGACGTTAATCTATTGCGCGCAAAAACATTGAAAGAAGGCGGGGACAAACCGAGCTCGGATCTTCTCCTTCCCCGTTTCCGAGATTGATGGGGCGGCCAGAGAATGCACGACAGAAGGTGGGCCTCGTCGTGTGCGATGGGACATCGCGGGGTTTATGGAGCCCGGGGTAAGCACTCGAGCAATCTCCGCTGTATCAAGGCGCGCCGAAGATGGCCTCGATTGAAAATCTCCAGCATAAGAGGCTTCATTTTGGGTACCATTTTCAGTTGAAGCGACTGACAAATCTCCAGACCTGGTTGGTTCTTTGGCGAGGGAACTATTTCCTTGCGTATCCCCCATGATTTCAAAACAAATTGTGGCAGAAAGAAAGAGCGGATGTCCCCGCGAGATTAGTAGGCCTGTCTATAAAGTGTTTTCTCGCTGCAATTGACACTTGGAAAGACCAAAGATACTTAAAGAAAGAAAGATAGGTAAATAATGCAAAGTGAGCTGATAAGCGGAGGAAAATATTACTAGTCTAGACCTCGCGATCGTGACGGGGGCAAACCACCACGGCTACGCCGGCGCATGGTGCCTTCGAGTACGGTAGATAGCTAGCTGAGTCGACTGGAACTATTGAAATGTGGCTCTGAAAGCCGATCTGGAGCTTGCCTCACGCAGTAGAACAGTGACACCCAGTTCGTGAAACTGGAGCAAGGCAGTCAGTCTAGTGCGAGGATTGGGGTAAGGCTAAGATGGCCACGTCTGGATTCCGGCGGATTCATGGGCAGCATAGAGCTACTGCACTCTTCGGATAATCCAACTTGAGTTATCAGTGAAATTCGGGCGCGCCGGAGTGTTAACTTTTGAGGCGGTCAAATCTCGGTGGCACTGTTTTAGCGGCTTTGTTGGCAGACAAAGAGAAAAAGCTACGCCGCAGTACGGGAGGGTAATATCTAGCGATGATCTGTGCCGCTATGGCTTTTCAGGAACAGTTCGCGCGGCCCGAGCACCTTCGCGTATGTCGAACGGTTCAGCCAACAGAAAAGCTTGATTGGCGGGGAGAAGCAGGGTAATTTATCCCGAGGCGGGGGATTAATAACCTAAAAATTTGATAGATTTGACAGATGGCTTCGGCCGGCTTGGCAATACCGGCATTTGTAAATCTAACTTTGCAGGCAGTATCGCCAGATTTTGATCAATATTGAGGCAATGGTTGGTTAAAATTAGCTGAGAAATACCATTCATACTTATATGTAATATACTATTCGCTCGCTCATACTATGGACGCTCTTTTGGTGACCGGGAGATGTTACCCGGTAAGCGCCCAAAGTCATCACAAGTGTCTCAGAGGAAAATAAAAGATAATTGAGCTTGACACTTATGGAATCAACGAGCCAACACCAATCGCATCTCGAACCTAATTTTTATTCGAAACCAGTCACCAGACTAGCAGGTATAATGACAGGAATAGTACGCAATAACCGAGTGGCTAGATTGCCGTAGCTGGTTTGACTTTGTATCTATGAGGCGGAGGCTAGTTTCACGCCCGAGCACCTGGTACGTGGTGTTGAATACAGCCAGCCAATGCCATCTTGATGCTACTTTGAGGTGGTAATCAAGCCGATTGGAGTGTAGGAAATAGAAAACCCATGTAGCCATGCAAAGTGGATATTCTCGGGTTGCTCATCAAAACGAATGATTTTGAATACGAAAAAAACGAGAACCCTAGTTCTAGAGCTCATCTCATAGCCCGTTTACTTTATTTGGGATTAAAATTCACCACGTGAAACAAGTTGGAACTCTAAGGCGCCTAGATTTAATTTTCAATTTCTCGGTCAAGCTTTTCAAAAGCTGGTTAGCAAGGTTCAATGCCACATCGAGAAGAATTTAAATTAGCTGATTTATGACTTCAAAGATTGGAAAGCTATATCACGGGCCATTCAAAATATCACTGTATCAATTAAGATCTATACGTAAAGACATCATTGCTATTGAACTCAATAAACGAGTAAATAAAATCCAAACGAAGAGGATTCAACTCATGCACAAGCCCCAAGTTCCCACATCTTCACTGATTTGACAATCATGCCGCGCTCCTCGGGGGTCCCCCATGAAGGTAGCCAGGAGCTCTGGGCAAGGTAGAACTCTTTCATAGCACTTTCGCTCGCATCAACCCAGGGTTTGCCATCCATTTGATCCCTATAATATTCAAATTCATTAGAAAGATTTAAAATAGTAGGGATGGGAAACTCACGGGAAATAGTTGTTAGTCCCACCAACAGCCACATTGAGAATGAGATAAAACTCCTGATCAAATGGAGTGTTCTTGCGACCAGTCTGGCTCCATGGATCACTAGGGACAGTCTTGTTTACAGTACTGCCGGCAAAATCACCATAGGTCCACATGTTCTCGTTTTTGGTAAAGTCAAAGTAGAGGATTTGCTGGAGTCAGATGTCGAGTTAGCGTCTGTTCTGCGGAGGTAATTCAAAAAGTGCCATACCCTCAATCGACCGTCGAGCCAGGTAAACATATAGTCCTCAGTCCATTCCAGCCCATAGGTGTGGTAGCCTTCACTGTACTTGGTTCGCTGCGCACCCCAGTCGGAAGTACTTTTGAGGTAGGCATCGTTTAGATAAGTGGTTCCCCAGTGAAGGGTTGAAGTAACAATATTGTTGCCCAGGAATAAGTCTCCGCATCATTGCCCCGTGCTTCAATAATGTCAATCTCACCACTTTTCGGCCACTCGCCGTAGACAGAATCCTCGGGCATCATCCTTCTTCCAGTTAGTCAATCATCACTTCGGAATGTATGGTCAGTCTCACCAAATAGCCGGCCACAGCCAGTCTCCCTTTGCTAGCTTTGCAACAACCTCAACCCGTCCATATTTTATGCTCTTCTTTCCTTTCGTAGTGAGACGAGCAGATCGAACCGGGTTGAGGATTTGTCCGGATGTATCATTGCTTCTAACCTCGCATGCACTCCAATCCGCAAGTGTAGACACGCGCTGCTCGGAGTACGTGCAGGTCCCGTCCGCAGTCAAATTCAAAACAGTGTTATTGAGAAGTTCTGCTTCAGTATAATGGGTGCTTTCGAGTGTCAGGGTTGGAACGATGTGAAGGCCTTCGGCGTCGACGTAGGAATTCTCGGGATCGGTGGTGGTCCAGTCAAAGGAACCCGTTCTATAGTAACAGAGAGTTAGCAAATTTCATACCTTCGACCTAGGGTCAGTAGGAACTCACCCGAAGCCATTAAGCTGCACCTCGTGGTTCCAGACGGCGGTGTCCAAAGTCTTAAAGTCTTCATCTAAAATCATGCACCACTGCAAGCTCTTGGTCAGATAAAATATTCAAGGTTTGAATGGGGTGAATGAGCACGTACGTCATGTCTTGGAACCTTCTCATACTCAGACCAACAAATATAGCCCGAAACACCTTGGCATGGAAGATTAGTACTATTTTAAAGTGTCGAAGGCTGTAGACTCCTTACAGAGGGCAATAGCACAGCAAGTGTAGAAAATAATGCTGTCCCAATTTGGTTTCCTTTTTCCATCTTCCAGCCAGGGCTTTTCAAATTCACCGGTCAGTCGGGAACTTCGGAAACGCCTGCGAGGACGAGCTGGGGGTACTAATTTTGTGGTCAGTGAAACTAGATAAAGAACGGCATTAAACTTGAAGAGACCTACCTGTGTGGCCATTGTCAGCAGAGTCAGGTCTTCGCGACCGAATGGACCCAATTGGAGTCGCGAATTGTGGTGGTGTGGAAAACGGGTTGTGCAATGCACGAATGTGCTCAGTGGTAGTCTCTGTAGTCTCCATTGTGGGCTTCCAAAGTATAGTTCAGTCCAGTGGGGAAGAGGACAAACAGAAAAGCGGACTTGATGTAGAAAATTTCAGAGACCCCAGGGCTGTTATGGTCCGAATGTTATATGGAATAGACCATTATTCCATGCCTGGCTGCGTTCGCAACGACTCCTCGTAATATCAGCTTCTAGATTTGGCCATCGGCGATGCCTGAACCATCCTAATGCTTTTTTTGCCATCGAACATAGGAGCCGCCGGCCGAACAGTCTGAGCAGTGATAAGGGACTCGGGCGCGGTCTGGCCGAAAGACTCGAGGCGAAGTGACAGGGAGAACTGGCTAGTGCAAGAACCATTACCGAAAAATACTAGCGATTACTAGTTAGCCACGGTGACAGGGGCTCAGGCCGCTAAGCTACTCCCGGGAGGGGAAGGAGGAGGGGACATCCCCGTAACCCTTAACTAAGTGGGCCCTCTTCGTTTTGACTCCCCGCTGGTTGATCAGGCCGACGATCCTGGCCCTTTTCTTTGATTTTCTCAGAAGTCGAGTATGAGGTCGAGCCCAATCGAGCCCGATCACCTTAGCCGAACTTACACGATGCATTGAATCTAGATCCCTTGCCACTCACGATTGCCGGGGCAATTATCACCAAGAAGAGAAAGCATTCTACGACGCAGTAGCCTGTCCCTGGTTGCTACTGGTAAACCAACCGCCTGCAAACTCCTCGCTTTTTTGACCTCCTGTAAGAGCTATATGCATGTGTGTTCTCAAGCTTTTTATGGCTATCTCGTCCAAATTTGGTGATGGAACCACGCTACATAAGAAACGGAAATTCCAGACGAGCTCACGGCGCTTCCGTGACTGATACCGGCCTCACCGAATGGAAAAGACAAATCAGCTCAGTTCCAGCAATGACTGACCTGTTTTCAGTCCACCGCCATCATAATCGTTGTCGTGGCTTGACAATGGCTAAAAATGACTGGCAATGCAGCACCATCATACGTCCCTTCTTCCCACGTTCACCATGTGGCTGTACGAACCATCAGTAGGCTCCAGCTTCTGACTTGACCATTTCCCTCCTGAACACCTAGTTTCGGCTTTGTTGGTAAAAACTCTCGACAAGACTGAGTGTTTTCATCAAGCTTTTGTGAACTTTCGCTGCCTGCGCTGGCTGCAAAATGGAACACGGGGCTCAAATCTCGGAACTCTCTCGGCATTTCACACCTGAAATTATTCTCCATTGCTTCATGGCTGAGCTGAGAACCTTAGAATACGGGGATGATATTTCCTTCAGATTCATAGATATAAAATGCATCAACAATTCCGGGACGAAATGACCTTTCTTTCTCTTTCATCATAGCCCTCAATCTTGACTGAACCAAGCTGGAACTTGAATCTCGACCTTTTCATCACAATGTCGATTGCCACCTTTCTCCTCGCTGGCCTTACCCTGGCTTCTGCAACGCCCACTAGTCTTAGCGTAAGTCCATGGCCCCTCCCGGAAATACATCAAGTGGCTGACCCAATACCCCATCCATGAACAACAGTCTCTCACCGAGAGGTCTTCAATCTCTACCAATGGCGTCTGCGGAGCTTACAACGGCACCGCTAGCTGTGCTGGCAGCGGATTTGGGAGCTGCTGCTCTCAGTTCGGCTGGTGTGGCAGCGACACCGACCACTGCGGCAGCGGTTGTCAGTCTAACTACGGAAATTGCGGAGTCTCGACCACTCTGAGCTGGAAAAGCTTAGGCTGTTACTCAGACTCCACAAGCAATCGTGCACTCAACACCAGCCTCCTGGTGCCGGGTCATACCGTTGAGGCATGCCAATCTGCCTGTGAAGACGCAGGCTTCCTCTACGCGGGGTTGGAATACGGCACCCAGTGCTTCTGTGGTAACGCCATTATGAACAGTGCTAGTTCGATTGATTCCTCCAACTGCAATGTCCCTTGTGCCCAGTCAGCCACTGAAATCTGTGGCGGGTCCAACGCGATTAGCCTGTACGTTGTTGTGCCTATTTGGCAAAGCGTCGGATGCTACACTGATACAACCCTCAAGCGAACTCTTGCAAAGTCTTACAACATCGCTGGTAACACCGTTGAGAAATGCCAGGCCGAATGTCAGTCAAATGGCTATCTCTACGCTGGTATGGAGTATGGAACTCAGTGCTTCTGTGGTAACAGCATTGATAACGGTGCCACTATTACTTCTGCCTGTGGTACTGCTTGTCCCGGAGACAGTTCGGAGGTCTGTGGTGGTGCGAATGCACTCAGCATGTATTATCTTTTCCAGTAATTTTGGGTTGAGATAGGATCGTCATGAAATGTGCAAATGCCGTGGATTCAGGTTGTGATATAATACGATGGTATTTCGAAACTATTAAGATTTTGTATATTGGTGCGGTCAGTTTGTTGGATGCGAGTAATATTGTACAAGATGGAAATATTGCTACAATGGGTGCTATTTTTGGGTTTTCAGTCGACAATCATTTTAACAATCATACATTCATTACAAAGTATCATCATCGGCTATTTGTCATTCCGAAATGCGAGAAAAAGCAATTCGCAAACACCTTTCAAATTTGAAGATTTTTACTTGACAATCAAAGTCTAGTTAGCAAGTTCTCCCCAGTCAGGGGTAACAGCTGAAGTGGATCGATGCCCAACGACGGTCCGATCTCAACACCAATTGGTCAAATTTCGATCATGCTACAAAGTTTGTGAGAATGTGCTCCGGTATTCTCGTTATCGCTACCCATGCCAGTGCTCACTCCCCTTGGTGACCGTGTAAGCCCGGCCTCCGAGCTGTGGAGCTACATTATCATGAACTATAAACATATGCTACCATTGCAGAGCCTCCAGTCCGTTCAAAGTGGTGTTACTTATGCGATGGTCCTGAATTGAACTGGACTATACACTCTACTGGTATACTCTATCCACTTTATATACTTAGGCTGGCCTTGGCTGGCCGTTGGCAACCTGCTCGGTTATGTTGTAGTCGCCAAAGCATGCTTCCTGGTACATCGCCTCCTTTGTCAACTCAGGAACGGAGTCGACGAAAGCTTTGAGAGGGCAGAATCCATTCACTGAGCCCTCACAGGCCTTCATTCCCTTGGTGGAGACGGGGGCATTATTCAGCACGAAACGAATGTAGTCGGTGGTATCGGCCTGCGAAGAGAGATCGGGGTTCTTGTACTTCATTTCCTGCAGGCTGTCGAACTTGGCATCTTTTGGACATGTCCAAATCTCCGAGAACAAACGCGCGCCAAATGGAACGACCTGTTGGAGGACGAAGTTGCGGGGGACAGCATGGGGGACAGAATCGGGCATGCCGTGAGGCCCGTACTTGAAATAGTCCATGCCAAGAGCCGTGAGGGTCGAAATGATGATGTCGTCGTGCGACATGTCCATATACAAGGGCTGGTGTAGGGGAAATTCCTTGGTGTTATCATCGTAGGTGTAGTTGATGCTGCTGTTGCTGCTGTAGATCAAGCGAGATTGCAAGCGGGCGGCCAACTCTTGAACGTATCCAATACCCTGGGCTCGGCCACTCGGGGCGCCAAACCCGAAATTTCCATAGAAGCTCATGTCGAGAGAATATTCAAAGTCCATCCACTCCTGCTGGGTAAAAATGGCGCAGAATGAGGAGCGGCCCAGGGTGGCGTACTCATAGGGACACATGTTCAGCATGGCATAGACATCGTTGGAAGTAAGGTTGAAGTCGCTGGGAAAGTGTTGCTGCAACCGCTTGAAGGCATTTTTGGTGAATGCCGGAACGAACTTCTCTGCCGAGTAGTCTCTGTGAACTTGTCAGTCTCGCATGATTCGGATTTCGGGGAATAGGAAGGGAAACACTTACCCAGATGAAGATCCATTGGTGCAGGTGGAAGTGGACGACAGAGTGTTATTGAAATTTTCCTCCTCGGGGATGCTGACCAGGTCGTACGAGGCATAGCTACTGTTTGCTCCGGTGTTACCGAAGAAACCACCTAAGTTCCGTCAGTTTTCCAATCTGCCTATGATGATCAACGGGGTACATACTCAGCCACCAGCGAGCGCTTTCCAGAATCCGCGGGTATGAAGTGGTTCGGAAGATGGGCTTGGGACGCTGTGTTCCATTGGGAAAAGTGTTCATGGATGGATCGTAGATCGCGTCTCCTTTGCCTGCGTGATACAACAAGCGGCCATACTCACTCCAAAACAAAGCGCCGGCGGTGGCTTCAGTGGCGGCGCCAATGGGGAGGAGAAGGTTCTCGCCGAGGATATACTCCCACTCGTTGAGGAAGGACAGCGGACCGGCGCCGATCTTCTTCCCGGGATTCTTCTTGGAGTAATTGCCGACTTTGTAGGCGAAATCCTCCATGCCACCGCCGTCGGTAGGCCAGCTGGTGGGATATCGCTGGGCGTGGCGGTGAAGGACATGAACCTGGGAGAGCTCACATTCCACGGGGAACCCCTTGTCGACGCCGAAGTGGTGAGCATCGTCGTAGGGGCTCAAATGGCCCCAACTCTTTTTGATCTCGAAACCGGAGGGATAAGAGGTTCCGGTGGGTCCGGGGGCGCCCGAGATTGAGCTTGAACTTGGTGAACTTGGTGAACCTGCCATGGCAGCGACACCGCTGCCACCCGCCAGGGCGAGCAGGGCTATTGTGGGGAAAGTGGCCATTCTGGTGAATTCAAGTTCCAAAGCAAATAAGTGAACTCGACTGCCTTGGGTGATTGCAATGGGCTCATGTTTGGATATATAGGCCAGGGGGAGAGGGGGGATCGGCCGATGTACTTCCCAATTGGGATGGATGTAGGCTCTGTTCTCCGCATCTTGTGCACATTGCAACGCTGAATGAAGATAACAGATTATGATTGGAAAGGAGCCCCGTGCGACCAACGATCCGGGGCATTTATGTATTTCCTGGTAGGGCGATACCACGTCATGGTGGAGAGAATTGAAGTTGAAGTTGAAGTTGGCCCTGGTTCGGTCCAACCTCGGGAGTCACGCGACTACTTTCCTTGGGGGGAAGGTACATGCACAACTGGCAAATGTGAGCACTTCGAGATAAAATAGTAGTACTACTAGTAGTGGTTAGGCCTGGAGTAGCTATTAACTACCAACTAACCAACTACTGATTAGTAGTGGAGTACCCGTCTAGTAGGCACTCGGGCTGACATTGATACATTCAGCTTTGGAACCTTCGAACTTGTAGTATTACTACTAGTAGAATGAAGTAGTCGCTTCAACTTGAAGTTATGTTCATACTTGGTACTAGTATACTAGTAAAAACGGGAACTGGGATTTGAACAGGAAAGACATAGTTCCACATTTCGTTGACATATTCAAGAGCCAATTCGAAGTTCAAGTTCTGGCACACCCGCTGGCCACCACTGTGACTATTTCGACTCACGGCGTTGCATATAACGGCGCCACTAAAACATCCGTGTCAGCAATGATTCTGAATGATCTGCAAAAGAAACTCGTTATCATCCATCAAAACTTACCGCAGGATTGAAAAAGTACACCGGAATACCCAGTAGGAAAACACCCCCACAGACACCAGCTAGAATGCCCATCGCAGCTGGATAACTATACTTCTCTATCATTGGATTCAACCCATAGCTGATCCCAAAAGAGATGATGTTCTTCGTACCGACCACAGCAACAAGTGCTGGACCGGGATTCTTCTCCCAGGCCTCTGCTGCGAAGGATGTCGAGAGAATAAGCACCGAGACAAACGCTATCTGAAGCAGCGTCCATCCCATATACGGCCCACCCCATGTCGACCCCTCCGTTGTAAAACCATAAAGGAGGAGTGAAACCACGGTGAGAATACCAGGGAAAACGAGCAGAATCAATCGATGTTCCGGCGTGTGAACACCGCCAGACCTCCTCGCCATGCGCAAGATAAACCAGTCACCGAAAGCACCAGCGTATAACATCCCGCCAAATCCACCAAATATTCCCCCCAGGTTTATCAGACCAACATTCTGAGCAGGCCAACCGTAGGCCTGGAGAACTGCGTCGTAAGTGAGGGACATTCCAATCGAAGATCCGAGCACAACCGAGGATAAAAGCGTGGCGTATAAAATACCAGGTGAGCTGAAAGCCTCGAACATATGAAACCAAGAAGTCAGGACTAGACGTATCGGATGACCCGAGGGCTTGCCCCAAGGTTTCAGCATCTCGCGATATGTCTTCTTCGCCATCGTTTCGTCGGGTATCCCCTCATCCCCATCTTGCTGCGCCTGAATATAAGCTTGCGCCTGCTCGCCGGAAAGTAGTTGAGTATGACCGAAATGATCCGTCACAACTACGTGGCCATTGAACATCTGTGCACGACGCTGATACTTTGTTTCGAAGCAGGTGAAGATGACGATGAATAGACCAAAACCCACAGCAATTACATAGACCCAGTAGAACCATCGCCATCCTAGCGCAGCTGCTTCGTAGGAGCTGGCTAGATTCAGAGCGCTGGTCACCACGTTCTGGGTTGCCCAGTAGACGCCGTAGATGAGACCACGTTGGTGGACGAAGGTAACTTCAGAGAGCATTAATGGAAGCAGCTGGGGTGAACTGTTAGTCAATGCAGTCTGGCAAAGTCGCAGGGATGGTGCACAAACCGATTCAGTCGCGCCGGTGGCCAGTCCCTGAAGGATACGAAGTCCAAGATGCTGCTCAAATGTTTGGGACACAGCGCATCCCACCGTAGCAACTAGAAGTACGATGATAGAGATAAGGGCAGCCGGTCGACGACCGTAGACAAGGCCAAGTGGGAGGATCAAGTAATTCCCTAGAGCAGTCAGTAATTGACCGCGGAATCCCATGCAGTATACCACTCACCCACACCGACAAACAGTGACGGAAAGGTTCCTAGCCAAACTACCTCCGTCGATGTGTGACCTTGAGGTATGTACATCTCGAAGAAAACACCCAAGATAGCCCCAAGACCACCAACAACGGACAGAGACATGATAGCTAGAAGTAACAGTCAGTATAGAAGCAAAAAATGCAAGATGCGTACAGAAAAAGAATAGAACTCACAAAACCAACAGCAACTGATAATTACACCCATCTTCTCCCACTTGGTGAAATTCAATGGATCATTGGGATCAGCACTAGGAACGGGCAATCGCAGAATATCCCCAGACGCATCGACAAGAAGGCCACCATCTTTGCCTCCAATCCCCTTTCCATTTTCAGTCGAGGCCTCGACATCCTCGACGAATTCAATGTTGACTTTCTGGTCGATTTGCGCCATGGGTATATCCCGGAAGGTTAACCACCCAAATAGAAAATGCGTAGGTGGTCCTGATGAGTTATTTCTCGCAGTGGCTCCAAAGAAGAAAGGAAGAAGAGCCAGAGCGATGCGAGAAACAGCGCTAATAAAAGAAGTTCTCGCTCATAGGACGGCGCCAACCACACGCTTGTGCGGGGGATATGGCGTTGAGTCGAGACGGAGCAGGACTCGGGGCGATGGACAGCCATTACCATTGCCGAAGTGTATGGACGAATAAAGTCATTCCATGGTAGCGGTGGCAGATGTGTGCATAACCAAGACGACAGGGAAGGATTTTCCCTACCTGTCAGTTGACCCCACGGGGAGTAAGAGTGGGGAGAGTGGGTATTTCTGTCCACTTGCCGATCTAATGCCGAGTGGAGGTGAAGGAGGTGTGTTTGAGTGGGTAAGGGAAGGTCAACAACAAACGGAAACAAATGAAAAAAAAATGAAAAAAAGGAAAAATGAAATCGACGCACGCACAACCTGCGTCTCTTCAAAGCCTGGTGACTCTTTCCCCTCCAAACGTTGTCCAGTCCAATTGTACCAGACTGTCCAGGGGCTACGTGGTCAGATAGACTCGTTTGCTCTTCTGAACCTTGCTGTCTCTCATATTTCGCTGGTGTAATATTTGTCTTTTGGAGAGGTTGTAGCACCCTTTTGCAAATAACACTCATCTGCGAATAACACTCATAACATACATTTACAATCCAATTTTCGAGCTCACCAATAGTGGCATTGAGAGCTAATATGCCGCTATCAATGGTAAATAGCCGTTCATTTCCGTTATCGTGGTCTCGTTGGGTATCATCTAGGTTTTACTTCACACAAATCGCGTACATGTCTCTATCCAGGATACGGACCACCACACACAATTAGGGGAGATTTCCCAAATCCTCAATAAGCGCACAAAGATTCTGAATCATCGGTGGGAGAATATCATCGGGAAGAGGCAGCGGACAATTACCCTCAAACACCTGCCTTGCAACTGTCATGACCGAACGCGGTTTACTCAACTCGCAAAAGACCTTAACATCAGTATCATTCGCACCTCGTGGATGAAACATCGTAAGCCCAGGCCTACCAACCCCCCTCGCCAAAAACCCCTTGATCAACTGACTCTCCTCCCCATTCCCATCCCCATCCCCATCCAACGCAATCGCCGGCGCAACCTGCTGACCCCCCTCGCTAACCGGCGTCCCAATTTCCAACCGCCGGCTCTCGCCACACTGCAGCACCCCGTAAACCCACAATACAAGTGCAGCATGATAGATCGAAAGCGAGTCGAATCCACGAAACTGGTACGCGATAACATTGCGCGCGGCACGTAGAACTTGACCCGCGTGCCAGATTGCGGCGCGGGCCTCTTTTGTCTGGCTCCAGCCTCGTAGGGCTGGGTAGGCGCGTCGCGCGTCGGTTTCGCCTAATTTACCGACGAATCGTTGGATGCCGTCAACGTCGATATGGAGGTACATCATAACGAATTCATTGAGGAGGGTTGTTACAGCTGGTGGGCTCGGAGTGTCGTTTTGGATTGTGTGGAGGGTGGTATATCTAGAAAGAGGACGAATAGTTAGCCGGCGATGGTGGGTAGTGGGTAGTAGTGAATAAGGACGGACAAGTCTTCCTGTCGGCTTTGTAGCCAGAGACGCGTTGTTGCTTTTGACGCAGATTGAGAGCCTTGCGAGAGTAGCATCTGCTGACGGAACTCCCAGGTTTGAATAGCAAGGCCGTGTAGAAGAGCGGTTCTGGCAACGTCGAAATCGAGTTCGGGTGGAATGTGACTGATGAGGGACGGGTCTGAAAGGAGGTCGCGCAGATTTAGTTCTGAAACCGTCATTATTCTGTACCGACTAGTCCAGATTTCCCTCCAAGCGAATGCAGTTGGAGCGAGCCATAATTCTCGTGCGGCGGGGAATGGAAGAGTGAGTTCGGCGTAGGATGTTAGGGCGGGTCGGTTCATTGCTGTTGCTACCTCGACATCGTGACCGAAGAGGTGATATACGAGGCTGGTTGTTGAACAGGTCAGTAAAGGAGAATCCAGATTAAGCCCGATGCTAATTTGAGAGCTCACCGTTTGAGAGATTCCTGTCGCACCCAACTATGCCAGGCGCGTTGCAGTGCTGCATCGTCGTCACCGAGGGAGAATGGCGTGATGGTGGAATAAGTCGAACGATCGAATGTACACGCTCGGCGAAGGGCCTAGAGAGGTCAGAAAAAATGGCCGGAGACTTTCTTTGGGCAGAGAAAAGCCCACCGTGCAGAGTGGCTGGAGGTAACTCTCTGCAATTTGCATTTTGCGAGTATAGCCACAGAAGATGCCAATATCGATCCATAACATCGAAGCCTGAAGGTATTGTAGATCTCGGAGGACACTGTTATCATCTTCGACCTATGGAGGTCATTAGTACTCCCATATCCAGTGAGATAATATGAGGAAGGGGGAACTCACAAGCTCAGCCAGACCAACCCTGCTAATTTCTTGGAGAATAATTCCCGTCTTGCTGATCGAGGGTAATCCACAGCAAACACAACCTGCAGCGACCAGCGCCGTCAGAAGCTCAGACCGCAATTGTTGATATTGTGAATCGTAAAATGTATAAGGATGAATCCACGCATCTGTCTCGGTACGCTTTCCAATCCCAACTTTGATCAGAGTATCGAGATAATCCGCCGAGGGAAACGCCGCAACAGATACTCGCGATCCACCAATGCGAATGACCAACTTGAAAATTTCATCGCGTGCCAAAAGAGATAGATTCCCTGGGATCTTGAGAGTTTCCAAGCGATCTTGGTGCTTGGAAGGAATACTGTCGCTGTCTCGGAGGGGTATCCTTGTTTCTTCGCTGAACGCGTGCTGGTTTTTTTCTGGGACCCACAACCTAGAGACAAAAGTAAGGCTCCATTCATCGTGTTCGGTAGGATGGGAAAGAAAGAATTACACGTACCAGAGTGACCGTTGAAACGCGGCTGCACGTAGACGCGCAGAGTCCTGATCATCGAGCAGAGGCTGTTGCGAGTCCTCAAAACCAACAAAAGGAACCGTGGTATCCAAAATACGGTCCAAGTCGGGGATAAAATCAGTACCAAATATATCATATTCCGCCTGGGTGAAGTCGGTATCCTGCATGAAATCAAACGCCCTCGGCTGCTGGGTCTCTTGGAAAGAGTCCTCCGCCCCAATACTGGGCAACATGACCTGTTCAAAAAATGCCGGAAAATTGTTGAGATTAGAATATGAATGCACTCCGTTCTGCGGGATAAATGTATCGAGTGGTAGATCTGTCTGCGATGTCATGCTCGTATCATAAATATCACCACTACCGGAGTAAGAGACAGATGCGGGTGGCACGCTGAAATCTGAATGGCCGGAATCTGGCGTTGCGGTGAACGGTAGGAGAGTAGATGAATCCAGTTGACTCTGTCCGCTGGTCTGTGGAGAATATGACATGCTAGTGGAAATTGGGTAGGGAATGCGCTCGCTGTGTCGACGCGCGCCTCTGGGTACGCGCGCCACGCATTCAATCTGTTTTGTTTGGCACCGCTGGGAGACGTTAATTCTGAGATATACAGGGATGTGGCAAAGTATTTTTCAAGCTCGGACTCATACCTTGCAAGGTCTCTCATTATCGCAACTCAACTTTGCGTTTGCACAAGGCTCACAAGCCTGGATAGCTCGCTCTTTCGGCCGCCGTTGCGAAATTTTGCCTTCGTTAAGATCTCGCTCGTGGACCGCCTGATGTCGATGCAAAACATCTCTAGTCGCCATTAGCCCTCACATCCAATTCATGATTTAGATATTAACGATATCCCCACCGTCGATTGAAACCCCGCTGACATGTCGGACACTGATATACACGCTCGTTGCGGTCTCGACCCACTTCAGCAGCTACCTCACCAATATCGAGTTGAGTACTCACGAGAATCCAAGTGTCGCGCAAGATGGTCAGGGCGTTCATACGCCTTGTCGCAGTGAGGACACCGATGGTGCGCAACGTTGCGAGATGAACGTCGAAGTGTCTCCGAGCTGTCGGCCATGACGCGATTGCACAGATTCGGATTCTACGAGACCGGAAAACTGGGGAAAGTCGGGGAAAGCGTTGAATTTATGGCTATCGGGAGGCAAAGGTTTTTGCGGGCCACGTTGCGACGAGCCACTCAGCGGCGCCCATTTACAAGCCGAAGTTATCCCACGGTGGGTCAGCTTGACTTTATTTGCGGGGTTGATTCCAAGCGACAGATCCACTGCATCTGCGTATTTAAATGCACCGGAAGTTTAATTTCGGGTAGATTCACGGCAAGGATGGTATTCACGGCACTTCTAATGGACTAACTATTTCTGTCTCATGCGGTGGTAGATACCTCCTGCTGTTGCTTCCACAGCTTTGCCCCTCGGTACATACAATTGTAATCCATAAACTCATCAGGCTTCCTAGAGGGGGTTTAGAATTGTACCGAAGGGAATCAGGAACTTCCAAGGTTCAAGATACATACATTGTCACTTTCTTCGTGTCGTCAGTGGCAGTAGCAGGCTTGGCCGCCTGTCGACTGTATGCTTGAATGAGACTGACTCGTGAATGACGTGCCTGGAAGATTTCCTAAGAAGTGTAAGCTGTCTGTCAAGCATCATAAATATAGGATTCATACTTCAAAGATCTTGGAAATACTTTGGGAGGAGGGGAACTCGTAATATTTTCAAAGAACGAGCCCAATGCCTCTGCGTCCTCAATCGCCTGACTGGCTCCCTGCCCCTGAGTGGGCAACATTGCATGGGCAGCATCACCGATCAGAATCAAATGGCCATTATGCCATTTATCGAGAGGATCCTAAATGAAGTTGAAAAAAGGTATAAGTTAATAGCCGGTGATGGGACTTCCACAGGAGACTTACCAAGTCACGAAGCTGCCACAGTCCAAGATCTTGAGAATGCCTGTTTCAGATTAGCAGTTGATCTTATGAGGTATGAAGAATATTCGACTGTATATACTTGAAAATGCTTGTTACCCACGATGGGTACTCAGAGAATGTCGCAAGCATCTTTGACAGGTCACCTTCAGCAACCCAAGATTGCTTTGCATTTGGGTCCTCATTCATTTGTTCTGCAGAGATCAGTACTCAACCCGGTCCTTTTTGCCAACTAAAGTCTGTGCTCACCATCTGGGACCAAAGCCACAACTCCATACACCTCTCCTCGTCTACCTGGACCCATGACAAGGCGGCAGTTCTGAGCAACCATCATGGACGTGAAAGGATCACGAGGGTTGATCTTGGAGCAAAATTCAGGCGCCTCCTTTTCCAATACCTCAGTGGGGATCTTAAGGAAGTTAGTTCATGGAATCAAAGCAAACAAAAAGATAAATATCACACCATAAGACGATATGCTATTTGTGAGTTAGCAAGCTGATTTTTAAGCTCAAGTCCTCTTCAACGTACCGGAATGACCAGTTGGTAGAGCTGAGGGCTGGGGATCAAGGACATGCTTTCGCATTTCGCTATGTCTGCATCTAGTTTTTAATACAAGTGTTTCTGATGCATCTTTGTGAGTTGACATACATTCCATCTGCTCCAACGATTAAGTCACCGGTAATAACTTCACCACTTTCCAGAGTAACTGTTCCTTTCAACGGATCGCAGTCAACTACTTTGGAAGCAGTTCGAACGACAACCGGGTCTCCTTCACGATCGGGGGACGTTGCTGCTTTTTTCAATGCATCGTGAAGATCTCGCCTGTGAAAACAAAGTCTATCGCCTCCATACTCCTTTTTCGATAACAAGGGCACCGTGTTCACCAGTCGGCCGTCGGTGTTGTAAATTCGAAAACCCTCGTCTACGATCGCTCGGGCATCGCCATGCAACTCGCTTTTCAGCCCCCAAACTCTCTCAACGATCCGTGATGCATTTGGCTGAAGAGAAATCAGTGCTCCAATCTCTTTGTTCAATCTTGACTGCTCCAGAACTGTGATGATTCTCTCCGGCCCGCGCAGAGCAATCGCCGCAGTGAATCCAGCGATACCGCCACCGACAATAACAATACGAAAAGGCATGTTGACGACCTTCGAGATACAATTCGCTCAATTCAGACTCAACCTACGTATTTGATTGCTTTTTAGACAGCACAGACCTTGTCCACATGATGCTGCCCACCAAAATTCCAGTTCTCCACCCCCACTCCCCCACTTACCGAACACCGGGGCACAGAAATCCTCCAACAACCGAAGACCAATCGAGGTCAGCATCGGCGATAGATTGATTTGCCGTGGCGACCTCCGGTGGGCCATCATCTCCGTGGTCAGCTGTGTTGTGTTTTCGAAGCGAGTGTTGCTTATAAACGACGCGAAGAGCTTTTGCGTTTCGGTCTATTTCACGGCTGCCATCTAAGATACATTGGAAGAAAGTTGCACGACAAAGCAAAATTGAAACCAAATTTGCAGCAAAGATGTCATCAACCGCTACTTTCACTCAGGCGGCTTCAGCCAATCCCAACTTGCATGGCAATGGTCGCATGCGCGTCGATGGTACGGATCAACACTATGGCGACTTCCGTGACGATCTTACTCGCGACGGCTTTGCTATCGTCAAGGGTGCCATTCCGCTCGAGAAGGCCGTGAAATACTCTGAGGAGATGTACTCATGGTTGGAGAACTTGTAAGTCCTGTATATCATGATCTTGGGGTTTCATAATCTCGGATACTAATAAAAAGACAGCAATCTGGGCTTCGACCGCAATGACCTATCCACTGTACACAAGGACAAGCTTCCGCTTATTAATGAGAAGGGAATGTGCCTTCACTATGGCCTTCCCCATGAAGACTTTGTGTGGGGAATTCGCAGTGAGCCTGGTGTGGTTAGTGCTTTTGAGAAAATTTACGACGATGAAGACCTGATTGTCTCCTTTGACGCGGTCAATTTCCAATTCCCTAAGTATGACATCCCAAGTATCCCTATTCGCGAGACGTAATTAGTTGACACAAGTGTGATATAAGCCGGACCGATATTGCCCCCAACAAGCCTTGGCCTCACCAGGACCAGGATCCCGAGAAGCACGGTTTCCGTTGTATGCAAGGTCTTGTCAACCTTCTCCCGAATGGACCTGATGATGGAGGCCTCATCGTTTGCCGTGGTGGACACCTTCTCTCTGAGGAATTCCACCGCGACATGGCGGACGAAGAGCGAATTCCCGCCTGGACTCCTGAATGGTACGGATTCACCGAGCGTGGTATGAAGTGGCTTGAGGATCGTGGATGCACATGGGAGAAGATTTCCGCCGAGCCAGGCGATCTTCTTCTGTGGGACTCGCGTACTCCTCATTATAACCTCAGCCCCAAAAACAGTCAGCCTCGCTTTGCCATCTACACATGTTTCATGCCGGTGGCAGATGCTACACAGGATGACCTCCTGCGGAAGAAGGATGCCTTTGATCGTCGTGTTGGCACGACACACTGGCCAAATGCCAAGCACACCGGCTCAAACGTGGCTCAGCGTGACGGCAAGGAGGATCCTCATAACCGAGATCGCCCGGTTAATGATCCAGTTCTCAGCGAAAGAGCGTTCAAGCTCACTGGTATCCCTTACATTAAGGGCCCATCGGGAGCTATCAAACAGACGACAGTGGCTGCATAGTGGCAAGATACTGCTGGTTTGCGTTTTTCTGAACTATTTTTTAGTATGTAAGACTGCAAAATAAATATTTCGACCCTTGATTATGGGTCCAGTTTTGAAAACTGAAAAGAAAGTGGCCTAACACTCCAATATCAAGCACTGTCTCGATGCAATCATCCTCTGTGCTCACGAAAGTTCAACTTGAAGTTGTCTGTGACCTGCAAGAAAGAAGCCTGCTGCGTGAAAATTTGATACCGAGCTATTGGTGACCCCGTTTGTTATTGACCTAAATCAACCAATTTTCTTTCATAAATTGATCGCCCATTGCAGCTTCAAGCAGTCGTTATACATCAGTAGACAGGGTGGTAGCCGTCAATTGAAAGCGATTCTATGACTCCTCCAAGTTCTTTTGATCTCTTTGTTGTTAATATGATATAAGGGTCGTAGTTCATACCCTTCAAGTTCAACGACAAACCGCAATTCTACCATACCAACTGCTGGTAGCTACACTTCTTCCGAAATGAGTTCTCTCCCGCACGTGAACGAAGTCGATTCCAGCGATGCGCAGATTTCTGAAGCGATTGAAGTTCTCAGCAATATCTCCTGCGAGGAGTTTCGCGCCATTGCACTGAGTGAATCCTTCGCTCAGAATGATTGCAGCCCAGGTACTATTACAGCGCATATCTCCCGGTACTAGAATATCTTGCTAGCATGGTCGAAATCTCGTCCCATCTTTAAAGAAATAATACCAGGTGAGAATAGCAGATGGATTCACGGCCTTCCGCGCCTAGGCGCATTGGGTGGAATACTTATTGGATACTCCATTGCCAAATTGCTTGGTTATCCACTGGGCACCCTCATTTGCCAATCTTTTGCAATATCCGCTGGATTCATTGGATGCACACCTCCCAATCATTGCTTATCGGGAAGAAATGACGAGGAGAAACGACCTCTGGAGTCAGAATGGTTCGAGGTACTCCTTCGCCTACGCGACAGTGAACCTGAAGCCTTTGGCAGATTTGTTGAAGATTGACGCCAGGGTCTTCAATTTGGAAGGCAGTAGCATATTTGAATACTACAAGTCGACGGACATGAACGTGAAGCGACTTTGAAGTCGGAATTTAAGATGTTTTATTTTTCCATAACTAGTACCTATAGACTTTGTCTCATATACTAGTGAAGATTGTGTCAATCACAAGCAGAGCATAAATCCCAATGAGCATAGCGAACGAAAAAAAAAATCACATGTGAAGTGGACCACCGGACCAACGAGAGCACGCGCAAATAATCACAGCTTGTCGGCGCTGATCATCCACTGCATTCGATTGATAATTGCAGATCTCCCCGCCTGCCCGCATTCTTCACCCGAGCTTCGATCCATAGATTCAGTCGTACGATGCCGGCATTGAAGAATTCCGACCGATTCGCCGAATACTGTCAGCCTTATGCGGACATAAGGTCCAGATTCTAGGGATTTTCTGTCGTCATCCGTGTACAATTTAGGCTTTTGCAGATACTATGCCCAAATAGGCTGGGTAGACCTCGGCTATACATTGCTGGGAACGCTCACGCCACCTTTTATTCTTACAAGGTGGAACTTCCGAAAGGCGCTGTTGAATAGAATATACCCAAATAGAGAGGAATTCTCTTTTTAGGTTGATGATCAGCAGCCAGGCAGTTATGATTGTGGCACTTTGGGTGCAATTTGCCCTCGCTACCCGCGTCCAGAGACAGTCTCCTCGGTCCGCGCATCGTTTTAGATGACTATTTACGGTTTCACGACTGGTTATTGTGCCGATGACAGTTAGGATGGCCCAAGAAAGTGGCACCAGTATACACCAAGTCATATATCAAAGACCAAGGAAATATCCATATAAAATGCCAGTAGTCTCACCCAACGCTGTTTTTCTCGAATCAAGAGCGAGTGTTTGATAATCTAAAATCTCCAAACCATCGCGAGAATGGCTTCTGTCATGTCGCAGATCATGCAGAGTCCGATGCTCAACAAACTATTTGATCTCTCCACCAAGGAACGTTTACTATATGGTGCACTAGGTGTAATCGCCTATATATTCCTAGCCTCATCACTAAGATTCCAACGCCGTTTGGCCCTTCAAAACAAATACTCTTACAAGACCCGCGATTCCATGTCCAGAATGACCCATCACGATGCATGGGCAATCCAAAAGACAATCCTCCAAATGGAATTTCCATTCATCGTCCTGAAATCACTGCAGTTCGCCCTCTTTCGCGTAAGAAACCACCAAATTCCATCCCCTTATCCAACATGTAACCGATCTAACAAACCTATAGACCTATGGTATTCCGAGCATATCAACCCTCCTTCTGAAAACCTCCCAGTTTTCCGACTCGGCAACCTCATTCAAGCGATACGCAGACACCGGCGCTCTAATCGGCGAATTCATGGCCTTCGACCCGCACTCCGAACGGGCGCAAACAGCAATCGCCAGAACAAAGTTTCTGCACAAGGGATACAGAGCTAGCGGCAAGATTCTCGATGATGACATGTTATACACGCTCAGTCTGTTCGCAACAGAGCCGATTCGATTCGCGTCGCTATATGAGTGGCGGGAAATGAGTGAAATGGAACGCGCGGCTGTGGGAACGTACTGGAAGAGTCTTGGTGATGCGTTGGATATCAGTTATGAAAAGCTTCCATCTGGAAAGTCTGGCTTCCAGGATGGCATTCACTGGCTTGAGGAGATCAGTGTTTGGAGTCATCAGTATGAGGTGCGATACATGAAGCCTCATGAGCGGAATAGGGAGATTGCGGATAAGACGATTGATGTGTTGGTCTATAATTTACCTGGGTTTATGAAGCCACTTGGGGTTTACTTTGTTTCATTCTTGATGGATGAGAGGTTGCGAAATGCCATGATGTATCGACTCCCTTCCTCACCAAAGATACTCTCTCCACATGCTGCAGTGCTACTTTTAGTATTGATTTATTGACAAATCTCTACAGGATGACACCACCGCCAGCATTCTTCAACGCACTCTTCGCATTGGCATTCCAAATTCGCAAGTTATCGCTTCGCTATGTGGCCCTTCCACGCCCAAGTTTCCTTCGCTTGGATGTTTTTACCGAAGAGCCGAATCAACACGGCCGGAACTTTGTGCTTTTCTACGAAGGTGCTCCATTTTACGTGCAACCTACCATTTGGAATCGATGGGGGCCAGTCGCGTGGTTCAAGTGGGCTTTAGGACAACCATTGCCAGGTGATGATGGCGATAAATATTATCCTCAGGGATACCGTACTGCTGAACTCGGACCGAGGTATTTTGAGGGAAAGGGTCAGAAAGAAGTCATTGACATGAGAGAAAAGCTGCGGGCGCAGCGCATGGGACAGAATCCGTTTCCGTAATGTTGAGTGCGTTGATGATGTGATGAAATTAAACTAGCTTCAAATGAATGCATTGGCGATCGTGGTATGAGTACCGTGGCTGAGAGCATAAAAGGCGTAGATCACAATATTTAGTACATAAAGAATTGCACATCGGGTATTTATCACAAGATCAAAAAGGGTGGTGGCCATGTATAATGAGATGCCCCAAGTCTATCGCTCATCTCCTGAAAAAGTCAAACACAAAGAAGGGAAGCCGGCCAGGGTATATGCGGTTGAAACCGAAAGAGGGTATGTCTAGACACAACGCATGGAAGATCGCATCAAATGAAGGGTATTTGGCAGAATGGCAGAAGTGAAGGAAAAGGTGCAAGAAATTAGTAGGCTAGTCCGTCCCACCAGGAGACGAAGGCAAAGGGAGTGTAGCAGGGTCGGGTTCATAGAATGTATCAAAGGAGGTGTCGTTGGATGGGAAAGCAACGGAGAATTCGGTAGATGGGCTGAGTAGAGCACGTCCACTTGGGCCAATTTCGCCCAGCTCTTCTGGCGCAAGAACACGGCCGCCCAATTCGATATCCTGAACATGAACACTATATTGAAGGGCTCTTTGGCCTTCCTTGATGAGTTCTTCGGTCCAGCCCAGGCATCGTTTCAGGCTTTGGTTCATTTTCTGGCTGTCGACTAGAAGTTCCTGGTGTTTGGCGAGGTCAAGCATGAATTTCTTTTCGTCGTGTGCGCGGTGTTTGGCGTCGTGTTCGGCGAGAGAGTCGGCGCTCATATCGTTTTCGTCCGCAACAGAATCTTCATCGCTCACGTCCGAGATGTCCGAGGACATTTCACTGGCTTCTTCATCCATTTCACTGGTAGTTGACATCGCCACCCCGAGAATGAGCGGGTCGATGGGGCCATTGAAAGACGTCCCGATCGACTGAGACGGCGAAACCTTCGAAGCTCGGCATTCTGCTTTCGCATCTCACGTTCGAGAGTCCGATTGATAGCCAGAAGAGAAGAGTTGCTGATTTCCAAGTCCATGATCTTACGCTCCGTCCGCGCATTGAGCACCTCGCCACCACTTTCCGACTTTCCAGGACTCATTGGCCTTGACAAATGCGGATTGCTCGGGCTCATTGACATGGGTAGATGTGGTATTCCGGGGCTCATAGGCATATGGGCGAGTGGATCGTTCGAGACAGAGGAGCCATTGCTGAAGACGCGGGGACGAAGGGTTGGAATTTGGTCAGACATCATCGGTGGAGTGTTCTCGGAGTTGAAGGTGCTTGACACGATGATCGGGCTGGCTTTCAGGCCATCATATGTGCCTTGGCTTGAAGAGCCTATACTGGACGACTTTCGGTGTCGCGGGAGTGGGAGAGAGGGGGAGTTCTGTCGATCGGGATGATAATTTGGCGAAGGGGAGAATCCGTGCAAGACATTCTCTATTCCGTGATCGATATTAGGACTGAATGAGACTTGTTTTTCGGATAGAGGAGGAGACGTCGCGTCGGATGGTCGAGGAGATCGGAGACGTGGTGAGGGTGAGGCCATGGGCCTAGTAGGAGGTGCGGGGCGTGGAAGACTGCCTGGACCCCCTGAACGGCGACCATTTGAGGATGTAGGTAGAGATTCAACAGACGCGGTCTGTCGTTCTTGGTTGCCGTTTGCATATACGAAGCTTGCAACTGAAGGGGCCTTGGTAGGCTTCGGGCGGGAGGTATCGACCTCGGAGGAGGTTGTTGAGCCGGCGTCGGAGGCATGAAAGAATCGAGGAGAGCTCCCTGCCATATCCGTGAATGAATTTGGACGCGATAGCTGTTGTCCTTCCGCAGTGAGAGTCTTTGCTCTCAAGCTTCTCGATTGCTCCGGCTTCACCCCGCGAGCAGGGCTGCGTTCTGTTCGACGAGGGGCAGCCAGTCCCAACCCGACCGGCGGTTGGGTGTAAGGCTGTGGCGACGGGGCCGGCGAGGTACTTGTTGGAGAGGGAAAAGTAGCATCACGGCGAGTGGTTCGTGGACCTGATCGTGGGGTAACGTTGGCGCTGAGGAGGGATGAAGGAACGGCGGGGGAATCATCTTTGGAAGGGGTAAAGGGTTGTTGTTGGTCATTGGCAAGACGGCGCGCTGCAGGATGGCCGGGGCCTGGACTGGCGAGTTTGGGCGTTAGAGGCGCGCGGTTGGTGCGGTGAAAAGCCGCGCTGAGCGTGGGGGTGAATGGTTTGGCGAGGGAGCCATGATTGTTTTGTTTATCGGTCATGATCGGGCATTGCGGGGGGCATGGCGGAGGGTGAGAAGGAGATGGGGACAGGGAGAGAGAGGGAATAGGTCAAGGCAGAGAAACTGAAGTCCCTGCTATTCTGATAGAAGAGAACAGAGTCCCAAGTCCAGTGGTCAAGACTGCAAAGTCCAGTGGTAAAGATAGCTTTGGCAAATGACGAAGAAGTTGACGAAGGAGAAAACAAACCCCGAAAAGGTTTAGGGCGCCCTTCACCGCAACGCGAGGAATGAAGTGGGGATATCCTCGTTATTGCATGATATTGGATATTGCAGATTGATCGCATGGGATTGATTGGTATATTTATTAGCAATCAGATGCCGATAATTCTGGTTCTTTCGTTGCTTGTGCTTTGAACTCTGCCTGAACACGCTGTGTTGTGTTGTGTTGTGTTGATTGCTGCTGAATCCCACTGTATGCCGGCCGCGCTGTTCCTGCGTGGGGAAGATCGGCGCAGCATGCAGAACAGGGGTGTCCTTCTAGTATATACGAGTACTCAGTACTGCAGCCATGATCAACGGAAGAATAATCGCTTCTGTCGTGGATCCTCCTGCCCCCCTGTATTGACAGGCTTCCGTTTGCGACTCGCTGCTGTCGCAAGGGACGGCTCATCCACAACCGAATGAGTATCCTGTGTCGCCTCACGGATCGTCTGACGCGACAGGCAGAAATCCACATGATCGTTGAACCCGCGATCATCCGCCACTTGCGGTTTACTACAAATCGGACATTCCCATTGCGCCGGCGATTCCTCAACTGGACCAGCCTCGGTAGTCGGGGTCGACGGGCCTGGGATGACCACTTCCTGGCTCAACTGTTCCAGGTCATTCATCTCGTCCTGCACCTCCTGCCGAGCCGCCGCTTCAAACGCTTCTTCTGCTCCAATCTCATGCTCTTTGTTCGGCTCCGGTGGTTCCACAGTGGGTGACTTCGGCTGTGTAGTGAATCCAAAGAAATTTAGACCGGTCTTCTTCGTGGTAACCAGGTTCGAACACCGCAGCCCCAACAATCGTAACTTCATCCCGGGGATCTCCTTCTCCAACTTGATCAGCATGGGAAGTGCGTATGTATAGAGATCCTTCGCTTGGGAGACCGCCCGCGGAGGTGCGGTTTGGCGTGTCAAAACTTCAAACGTATGTAGTTTCACTTTGAGGCATAACGTCCGACCCTTAAACTGGGTCCGCGTCAGATCCTTTTCCATCTCCTCGGCCGCCCAGCGGAGTTTGGCTCGCAACTCTTCCTTGTCTCCAATCTCATGGAAGGTGGTCTCCGTACTCACGCTCTTGCGCTCGTGTGTTTCGACTGGCTCGATGTTCGTCCGGCCTAAGCCGAGGTAGCACTGAGCCAGGAACTGAAATGCCTTTTCGCCAAATAATTTGGTGAGTACAGCTCGGTGAGGGTATATGTCGCCACAGGTTTTGATACCAATAGAATCTAGCTCTCGCTCGAAGACTCGCCCAATACCGTTCACCTTGCGGCAAGGTAATGACTGCATGAATTCCATAACTGCTGTTCGCTCATTTGCCACGCGGAATTGGCCGTTCGGCTTGTTAATGTTGGACGAGATTTTGGCAATTTTAGCATTAGGAGCAATCCCGGCAGACACGGAGATTTTGGTGTTTTCCAAGACCTCCGCCCGCAAGCGTTGGACTGCGTCCTCGGGGTCCATTTGATTCTCATCGCAGTAGGCTGTGATGTTGAGATAGGCCTCGTCACAACTGGCACTTTCAAAAAGAGGATCGTATTGCGCGAGAATTGTGCGGATTTCGGTTGCCTTTGCTGTATATTTATCGTAATTTGACGGTAGAAGGACCAACTGGGGACATAGCTTCTTCGCCACGAACGAGGCCATACCACTACGAATTCCGAATTTCCGGGCCACGTAGTTGCAGGTCGTCAATACACCTTTTCCGACGGCCATGGGAACAGTTTTCAATTCCGGTCGATCGAGCTCTTCAACCGCGGCGAAGAAGGCATCGCAATCGACATGAATGACGTACTGGGAGAGATCCCGAGTCAATTCTAGCTCCGCGAGATACTCATCCGCACGGCGCAAGTCATGACTCAAATCGAGTTTCTCCAACCGGACCTTTTCTGCGGCGATACGCTCGATCTTGAGGGTCTGGTTGCGATCACGCTCCTGTTCGTGATTGAAGAACTTGGAGCCTTTGGAGGCATTGTAGATGATCTCAGACACCTGCGATGGTTAGTCAGTTCCGTTATATTCCGTTATATCCTAAGAATATCGAGAATTTTCTCCCACCTTTTGCTGATCTACAGCATCTTGGCCCGCTTTGGTTAAAGAGGGGCCCAGCAGTTGATACCTGAGAGTGTCGTTGTCGTTGTCGTTGTCGTTGTCGTTGTTCTTGTCATGCCCACTGCCATTGTCCTCGTCGACCACTCGGTCGGTTGATTCGCCTGCCATTTGCCATGAATAGAGGAGATGAGAGTATAAGGAAAGTAAAGAAGAGAAGAAGAAGAGAAGAAGAAGAAGAAATGTGAGGCTCCCATGGAAAGTGGAAAGCGCCAAAAAGGGAAACAGGCAGACGCGGTCACGTGCTTTCGCGTTTGGCGCGGCCAACTTCAACTTCAACTTGCACTTGCACTTTGGCTCACTTCAACTACAGTCGCACTTAGGTGAATCACCCGGGGATGCTGCAATGTGGATTTTGCAGTCGACGGGAGAGTTTCTGAATGGTCAGTCCTTGCAGATGCTCCAAAATGATAAGCGACCGCGGAGGGACTGACTCTTTATATAGGGAAGCGCGTATGGCTCCGACCTGGGAAGCGTTATCTCTTCGGTAGGACCGACGAGCCTGGCGGTGTGTTGCAATTCTCCTCGTTACTGTTGAAAGTAGCAGGGAGACACAGCTGACATCTTTAGTCTCTCATGGCAGCAAAAGCCGTTCGGTCTCGCGCAAACACATGTCCATCGAGGTGGCTAATGTGACACCCCGCGATGGAGTATGTCCCTCCTTCCGTTCGTTCAGCCTTGATAGATCGTTTTATCTGACCGCTGTATACTTTTGATAGACCCTCGCACACGCCCGGACAAAAGTCACCGTGACCGACCTTGGCTCGACGAAAGGAACATTTGTGGATGGTGAGAAGCTCTCCGGCGAGCGCATACTCGATGGAACGGAGCACAGCATCATCTTGGCCAAGGCTGCTTATACGCTACAGTGAGTGGCCTCCCTGACATCGATCGCCTTGCGTCGCTCCCATTGGCTAATATCTCGAATCATAGCCTCAAGTGGGAACCCGTCGTGCTCAGCTTCTCCTTCTCCTCCAGGGAGATGAAGGCTGAGGACCCTCTCGCCAAATTCCGCGGTCGACTAGAATCCCTCGATATCAAAACCATCGTCCCATATCTGGTTGACCAGACCACCCACGTGGTTCAAAATAAACGCAACACGGCGAAAGGTCTGCAGGCCTTGATCAACGGCAAATACATCGTCAAGAATTCATACCTCGATGCCATCGAATACGCAACCACCCCCACCGACTTGGAGAGTGAGGCTGCTCTTTCTCCATTAGAAAGTGACTTCGATTCAGCCTGGCCAGATCCAAATGAGCATCTTCCTCCAGCGGGAAACGAGCCAACAAGTCGCCCCGTGGAAGCATTTGCGCCCAACCCGGATCGCATCAACATCTTCGACAAGTATACATTTGTGTTTGGAGATATGACCCAATTCGACAATTTGCAAGCAGCGATCACAAATGGACACGGGAAAGCTCTTCATTATGAGGTCAAGGACGGTGAGACAACCGCTGCGGAGATTGTACGATTCATGAAAAAGGCAGCAGGAAACCAGGGTGTCGGAAATGAACGAGTTGGGAAAGGCGGCGTTGTCTTGGTGCGCTTCCGGTCCAAGGGGCACTACGAAACTTGGTCTATTGAGGTGGGAAATGAAGTCGCTTTGATGACGGACCAACGGGTGATTGAGCAGCGCGAGTTTCTTGATGCCATCTTGAGCAACGATGCTGGCCCATTATGTCGCCCACTCCCGCATGAAGAAGGATCCAGCCAGGTCTCCATTACTCCGGCGCACGAAGAGCCATCACCGCCATCACCACCACCACCACCACCAGTGATTCGAGATGAGCCCTCTACATCAATCTCGCCACCAGCGCCGAGCCAACCGCCTGTGTCGCGCCTCAAAGCAGGCCGTGAACGCAAATACGTGAGCAAGATGAAAACATTCGATGATGGATTCGATATGAACTCTATCCCTGTCTATGAGCCAGGGCCAGATGAGACCGTCGATACACAACCAATGGATTTCGAGCCCATTCAGCAGTCAAATCCAGATCAGTCCATGCCAACAGTGGAGGAGGAGAATGAAGATGCTGATCAAGATGCCGTGTCCGATCTCCTTCCTGGTGCACAGGCCATGAAGCGCCGACGAGCGGAGATGGGTAATGATCAAACTGTTCCCGTCAAGCGCATAAAATCAGAACCTGCCCCCAAACCCCGTCGTCGCAAGATAGATGTGCTGGAAGAGGCACGTAAACATCGCGAGGAAGAAGAGAAACAGCAACAGGCTGGAATGGACTCCACTCTATCGAATGAAATCAACGTGGAAAAACTTCGCGATCTTGCCATTGTCGAGGAGATGGAGTTACCTGTTCGACAACCCCCTGCACGAGAGGAAAGCTCATCAGACCGCTGGGACGAGCAGTGGAACGGGCGAAAGAACTTCAAGCGGTTCCGGCGCAAGGGAGAACCCCGTCATGCTCGCCAACGCGTGCAAAGTGTCATCGTACCGCTAGAAGAAGTCACCCGCAAAGACTTTGACATCGGCGAACACTACTGGAGCAGTAATCGCAAGCCATCTGAGCAAGCGCCCGTTGTGGAAGTGGAAGAAGCAGAAGAACAACCAATAGCAACTACCAGTCAAACTGCCAGTAGTCGCAATGAGCGATCAGTATCACGGTCCCAGTTGTCTGTGCCAGAGACTTCTACCCCCAATCAAACCCCTGAATCACAAAGCACCCTTGCTCGCAGTCGCAGCCAGAAACGACCTCGCCCGGTGCAAGATTCAGAGAGTGATGATGAACCCAAGTTCCGATTTCGCCGCAAGCGGTAGCATTTTTATTAAGTTGCATCTTTATTTCAGCGTGTTGTTTGTATCGATACCCTCGCCACCTCTGCCTCCAATGTATCATAGGCTTCAAATATATTATGCACAGAAGTCGAGCAATGCCTGTGATGCAATGTATGACATACCTCTTGCCATTTACCTGGGAACCTTTACTCTCAAGTCTACGAACAAGTGCCCACAAATGTGAAGACTACTTGAAAACAACTGGATCTTGTCTCTCTCGATTCACCTGCAACTGAAAAACATCCAACCTCTGATATCCCTCGACAACATCACGGTATTGCTTGCCCTCAACGCAGCGTTCAAGATCTAGGTCGGCATAAAGAACGCCTTCCTCATTCTGCAAGAACTCCACCGGTCGCTGCGCACCAGTCTCCGAGTCATCGACAGTTAAAGAGCGCAAAGGCGAACCCGTAGGATCTAAAAACATACTAACTCCACGTGGAGACCTTTCCAGCGCATGGCGAATAGTGTCCTCTGAACTCGACCCAACAGCAATCATATCAATAGCTTCTTGACCCAACACTGCACTACACATAACCCCAAAAGACTTTGCCTCAAAACAATGCGCCCCAGCTCGAATCCGATTTGCAAGAACATTATCATAATTCGCCGAATGCTGCGACCCCTCTCCCCTTTTCTCAAGGGGACTTGAAGGCAATCTCGTCGGCCAAACAGCCGGCCAAGATGAAATATGAATCTGTTCCCGCTGACCCATAAGCGAATATCTTGCGAGTGGATTCGTATTCTCGCCACACATCAGCGCACCGATACGACCGTGCTTCGTATCAGCGATGCGTAATCCGTGTCCATCGCCAGGACTCCAGGTTAATTTCTCAAAGAAGGTTGGCACCAATTTGCGATGGTGAACGACGACTTCTCCCGCGTCGATGATTAGGTTCGAGTTGTATAGGCAACCCACACTTGCGTGCGACTTTTCCGATATACCTATGCTCACGGTAGTATTTGTCTCGCGGGTTGCATCCCGGATTGCTTGGACTTCTTCTCCATTTGCGTAGATGGATTGGTATACCATTCGCTGGAACAAAATGTGGTTGTGCGTTGGAGGGCGGAGAGCGCTCCATATTGGAAATGCTGATATGAATGTTTCCGGGAAGACGATTAGGTTGGCTTTGTTCTTGGACGCGCGGTGGATTAGGGAGATGGCTTTTTCCGCTGTCTTGTAGGCGCAGAGGAAGTGCGGTGCAGCGTGGCAGGCTGCGACACGTGTGATAGCCATGATGGGAGACGTTATTCTGGAGTTGGTTACTAGTAGGGGATTGAATAGCCTTGGAAGACGCAGTTGTGATTGAAGTTTGGTTTTGCGGGGATAAAGTTAGGCGGGTGTTGCGGCTCTGGCGGCATTCCAAAGCCTAAAATCATCCATGTCAAGCATACTACTAACTTCCAAGGTTGTAAGTTGCGAACGTCTATGTACTTTGCTTAACATTATGACTGGTTTTTAATAGTCTCCAGGACATGCTGCCCCGGACTAGCCTATGGAGGAAAGTATTTGTCAATTTGCGAATGATCCCCCTCCTTTTGACATGCAATTCGATGTATCGACTCGCCTCCCGTATAAAGAGGAACCAACAACAAAAGTACTACGCATCGACCTATGAGACCTACCGATGAAGCAAATCCTTCCTCTGCGGGAATAGCTGCATATCAGGTGATAGACAGATACAAACCACTCGGGGGCCAAAATCCAGCGGGGTGTCCCAGCTGCCCGGTTCCCGGTTTAAATCTGACATTATCGATGCCCCTGTGGTGAATCACAACGAATACCTAGGGAGAATCGGATCGGTAAAATGACCCGTCTGCCTGACCTGGTAAGAGATTCGAGGCTTGAAACTCACTTCCTCCCCGATTGCAGTGTGGAGACAGTTCACACTTACCATGAGTCCGATCCGACATCTGGTCGTCGAGTGGTCGCAAGATCCGAGCACTGGAAGCGACAAAGGAGAATCGGTGGGGGTGGCTACTCGACTGTTTGGTTGGAGGAATGCGCCCAGGGCTCTCGCTGTGACATTCAAGTTCGAGCAGTCAAGCAAATCGAGACAGGTGGTCGGTTTCACCGAATCGACTTCAATCGCGAGCTCGAGACGATTGCCAAGTTTTCTCATTCGAGGGTACGTGCTTTTAAAAGGGTTGACAGACCTGAAGTTTCGATTTGAATGCTGATTGTGCAACTGTTAGTATGAACGATGCTTTGTTCAATCCTTTGGTTGGTACCGCAGCCCCGAACATCTTTGGATTGCGATGGAGTATCTCGAACTAGGGGACATGCTCGACTATCTGGATGAGAGGCCGGCTTTGCCAGAAAGTCAAGCCCAGGAAATTACTTTTCAAATCTTGGAGGGCCTGAAAATGATGCACGAGAATGATTTTACGCACAGAGACCTGAAGCCTAAGGCAAGCAACCACATTTTTCTAACATGGTAGCTATAGCTACCGAGGCTAACATGGAAAGTAGAATATCCTGATCAAGTCCCACCCACCAGATGAGTGGTGGATTAAGATCGCAGACTTCGGAATTAGCAAACGCATCGAGGAATCGCCAGAAACATCAACAACATTGCGGGGAACAACGGGCTTCATTGCTCCCGAGCTTTACGGGTTTCTCGAGCCGGGGAGCCCATATGCAGCAGATATTTGGTCCTTGGGTGAGATCACCTTTCAAATGCTGACGAAGGCGCCAGCATTTAAGCCGATCGGGCGGCTGTCATCTTATACCACGCAACCAGAGAGATTCCCAGCATCTCTTCTGGATGAGGCTGGGGTATCCAAGCTGGGGATCGAGTTTGTTCGATCGCTTATGCGACCCGTCCCTGATAGTCGACTCACATCGGAAATGGCAATCCTCCATCCTTGGATCAAACCGTTGTCGCAAATACCTCTATTACCGCGCGCCGAAGCCCTGTTTCAACCTACCCCGACATTACAAGGTGTTTCTCCAGGAGGCAAAGACAAATTTCCATCAATAGAACAAATCACAGAAGAACTATCAACTGTTCGTCCACCCGAAATAATTCCGAAGGAAACCCCAAACGAGTCCAGTGGTGCAAAGCAATCACCAACGCCTGATGAAGAGATGGAAGAGAAGGTCGGCGAGGAAGACTTGACAAGAAGTCAAAGCTCTCTAGCTCGGGAGCCAAAAGCCCCATCTGTCTCATCGGATATTTCCAAAACCTCCAGCAGCCAAGCAACCAGTATATCATCCCAGCCCTCACCACCCAGCGATCGGCTTACGGAAGAGTGGTGGACCGGTCATCTCAGGCACGCAGGGCTTCTCGGCACAACTTCCAACGAAAGCGCGATCGGAGCTTCGCCAAAAAAGGCGGAATCTATTCTCAGGGGAATTTTTGCAAAGTCGAAACGTGTTCCCGAGGCCAAAGAAGATAAGGAACCAACGTGTGTTGAGCCATTGCGGCCTGCTAGCGGGATGAAGAATGCAGGGGCATTTCATAGCCAATCATTCCTAGAGGATCCCATTTCCGTGCCCGGATTCAAGTCAAATGAGTTCAAGGATGAAGTCAAGATGCACGGACCAGGAGAATCTATCAGCCAAGAACCTGATGTGCGATGTCTTGCGGACACTCTGATGCCGTCTTTGAGTTTAGATGAAAGTCTGAGCCGCGGCATCGGTGGCCTAGGTCTCTCAATACGTCAAAGACCGGTATTACTCGTATCTCGTTCGGCGGACGATGCGAATCTGGAAGCATGCCACTCTTCAAAGGCACGGATGTCTGAGCTAGAACAAAGGACCAGGCTCGAAACCGAATTGTGTTCCTGGTTACCATCTAGCCCCCCCTAGTCGGAACCGCACTCGGTCACAGACGGTGGATGAATCAAGAGATCCAAATAGAGGTATTGTCGCGCTGCCATTGATTGAGTCAGACGATGAGAAATATGGAAGGTCACCGTCACAATCCAGCAAACGGGGATTTGGCAGCAGAAGTGGTGTCGTTAACAAGATCGCGGCTGGATTTGGCTTCGGGAATGGTGACAGCGAAAAGGCAAAGGAATCGTCCTCCTCCCACAGTGGTTTCGGATATCGATTCACCCTCCCCATTCAAGCGAAAAGGCACAGACAAATATCCTTGTGTCCATACAATCTACGTCTAGTGACCGCCTCGGGGGATCCTACCGGTGTTGAGGTTTGGAGCATTCCCAAAAGATGTCGAATATCAACCGATAACATCTTCAAGAGCAATTCATGCATTGCTATATCTCATGGAGGAACTCTTTTCGCCTCCACATCGGGGAATTGTCTCACCGTTTGGAGCAGTTTTGACGGATCCAGTACCGCAATTACATCGACAGAAGGCTTGAAGAATCCCCAGTTCTCCCACGATGGCACTCTACTAGCAGCCATGTCAAGACAAAAGAAGATCCACATCTGGCAGGTATTCGACCATCATAATCTTGAATTGCAAAAGCTAAACACTCTGCATCTGGATGATAATGTTCTTGCCTTTGCTTTCCAGACCAGGAGAAGAAGAATCGCCGTGGCTCTGAACAATGCCATCAAGGTTTTCGGAGTATTTTCAAATCAGGATCACATCGATGGAATATATCAATTTGATCTTTCCGTCTTGGGGCGTTCCTTCAAACCGAAGAGGGTGGACAAGGAACGAGGGCTAGTAACGGCCCTATCAGCAAATGGGAGGATGACAGCGCAGGCTTACCCGGATGGCCTGATTGGATCAATACTCTTCATTCGTGACCTGAATGGAAAGGCTGACAAGAGAAGCCGGAAGTTCGTTGTGTCTCCTATTATCCAGACTATGACTTTCTCTTCAAGCGGTGAAATTCTGGCAGCTAGCACGAAAGGCCGTGATGTTATTCTGTGGGATGTTGTTCAAGGAAAACAGATTCTCCGACTTGAGAATTGTCATGAAACATCTATCACATGCATGTTTCTTGCTGATGAGGGAGAGCTGTTGGCAACTTGTTCTAGTGGTGAAGGTGTCAAGTTTTGGGGAACAGATGAAAGTATGGACCGCCTGGCCGAGAGAGCGATATAGTGGGCTGGCTAGTACTGGTAGAAGCAGTGAATTAATATAGTCTAGAGAATTGACAAACACTTTCATACTATCACTTCAATTCTACTTCAGTTGTTATTGTCTCTCGGATATACTTCGGATCGGGCCTTGTGGGCCTAACTTAGTGAGGAGACCCACCCGATCGCCACATTTATATTCAATTTGTACTAGTAATATTACTAAGGAGTATACGAGTAGATCTACTGGTGGACATTCAAATACAACAGTGGGTTTAAATTGATACTGAATGAATTAAATAATCCACAGCAATAAGTGTCTACCAGTGTATACCAGCTTATACTAACAGGGTGTCACGTGTCTTCCCCCGCAGCACTTCAACTCTTCCTCTTCATTCCTCCACACTTCGACTGCTCTTTCGCCCCTCCTACTCTTCGTTCCCTCTTCAATTCATGCTGTTTCGCTAAAACCTCTACATTCAGCCCTTCAATTTCTAATTTTGGGTTCTGCCCGCCCTTCACCAGGCCCTTGGTTTCGCAGGGCCGCCTGGACTCTGGCGCCGCCTGTTGTCCCACCTGTTCAGGCGCCTGATACTACGCCCAATTCATTAACTCCACCATTGTCAAAACTATCTACAACTGTTAGATTTCGTTCTACATCCTCCATGGTACACGGTGAGTCGCGTCGCTGATCTGTGCAACTCGGGCATATCAATGCTAACGATGATCCCTCCACCAGCTTTGGCTTCTTTCAGGTCGCGAACAAATCTCCATCGAGGATCCCCTTTTTCTCCGCCTGAAATCACTTGCCTCTATTCTTCTCGCCATGATAATTCCCCCCTCGACTCGACCAGTTTCGGTCAAATCGTTGGCCGGCAGCCCACTCCGAAAACCCCAGGATTTCCCCGAGAATGTTGAGGAAGAGCTCCGCAGTATCAACAATGACTTCCCACTCATCGACTTTGATTTTGAATTGACTCCTGTTCAACGTGTCCCTCATCCTGCACCTTCATCTGTATGCGACCCGGTCGTCCAGCAGTCTCTATTTCCAACTTCATTTGAAACGGCCACGTCTCATGGTGCGAAGAATCGCAGTTCCGCCTTTTCAAGGTTGCCTTCTGAGATTCATGACAAGATCCTGGATTATCTTCTCGGTCAGAAGGTTTCCGTGTCCAGCCCGAGTGTGACCGCAGTGTCATCTCCCAACAGCTGGACCAAAGCGCCTCGTTTTTCTCGTCGCAAGAAAGTGACAGATCTGACCTTGGTTTGTCACTCGTGGAGGAACCCCATCCAATCCCGTCTCTATCGGCACAGTAAGTTCAGTTGAGACAAAGCCCCCTGTGGTGAAATTATTAAAGGTGCTGATTCTGTTTAGTCGAACTGAAGGGCACGAATGATGAGATGCTCGAATGTCGACAATGGTTCCTTGAAAATACGCACCTTCTTCGATACGTCCGCGTGGTGGAGATCTGGATCCCTGTTTGGGGCAAGCGCTCCTACACTCCAGTTCCACGCAACCTTGAAAGAAGATCCAGCCATCATCGGATCTTCATGTCGAGGACGATGGGCTGGGAAGAAGTGCAACACCCCCCATATGATATTCCGTTTCTTCCTTCGGAGGAGAATGCAACCATGGAGGAGATCTTTCAGCATATGCAGCTCTTTACCTCCGCACGAGTCCTCATCTTGCAAGGTGGCCACGCGAACACCCCGCCCGAACTCCGACACTTCCGAAATGGACAGGATGATGAACCGGCTCGTAGCCTTCCAAGACTGCCACACATCGAGACGTTTGTTATGCGCGGCGCCTGGAATCTGGTTCGCAAACACCACCAGTGGAAGAATATTGTTAGGGCCCTGCCTTCCTTACGCGAATGGCACGCTGTTTACCCTACTCTCCGCTCAGATGTGGATGAACTGATTAGCAAAATATTCCGTCACCCACCAACCCACCTCCGTCATCTCAATCTGAACCTGGAAGGAACCGGCATCGGAGAGGAGATAGGACCTCTTCAGCAGTTCTCTGATATTGTCTGTGCTTTACTCGGCGAGGTTGCCTTCCGTCTTGAAACTCTCTCTTTCACCGGCAAAGTATGCGATGGTTTATTCGGCAATTTGGAATACCTCGCTAGAAAGGCACGGTGGCCTCCTCGTCTTCGATCCATTGAACTTTCTGTTTTGAGCTGCTGCCCGGATCCTGCGTACATGGCGGGCTATCCATACCCGGTTCGAGGAATTACCGACATCGGTTTCATTCACGCCTTCGAAAGACTCGTCTTGCAAGCAATTGTCTGCCTAGAGTTCCTTCCGGCACTCACATACCTCAATATTCGCTTTCTCGATGTGTCACCTTTCATTCCTCAAGTGAAGCCGTACTTCCGACTCAAAGGCAACGAATGTACTGGACTGTGGAGTGATGCCATTTTGAAATCCTTGAAGCGAAGTCGCCCCCTCGCGAAATATGTCGAACTTGCCGATGGAATCAAGCCCCTGTTCAGCGACGATGGGCACCTTCTAGGTGTTTCGCACATACCCCGCCAGCCGTTGAGTATCAATGCTCGCATGTACGAGTACATTGCCAGATAGAGGCTCAATATCTCTCCACTTTCATCAACCGCTCTCCCCAACCCCCCGTTTTCTTTCTGCTGCTTTATCGCTTGAGCGTTTCTCGCGGATACCCCGTCATCGAGTATTCTTCCTCTTGACATTGTTACTCTTATTTCTTTTATTGTATATTATGATCGGATCACTATTTCTAATGTCTTAATATCAAGTGGTAATCTACGTGGTTAGATGTGGGGTGGTAAATTTCAACTTCAAGCTATTCTCAACTCCAGTTCTTCCAGGTTTTCTTTGAATACTGATCAATCTTTATTTTCTTCTAATTCATATTCTTTTCTAGTATCGATGAATCAATTCACACCGGCCCATCTCGAGTGCAGCAGTAGTACTAGGCCTATCATGGAATGATGTGCGAGGAGACGCCATCACAAGGCTGGAAACGGGCCAAGGACGCGCACATTATATTGTTTAACTGAGAGGCTCTCTAGTTGGTTCCTCGCCGCAGCCTTGAGGCCCCAATTGAGAATTTCAGGTACGGGGTTAAAGCGTAGTACCGACGGACTCGGAGTTTATATGACCGGCCTCCACCGATCCCGATGGAATCGGAATCGGAATTTGATACTACAGGTAGTTAACAGCCCCCACGTGCGTCAAAAATGCGTTTGCAGAATACTTCCTAGTCAGTTTCCTTCAAAATAATTGCGACAATTGCTGGGGCCCCACGCCTCAGGCATCCACGCCGGTCTTTCCTCTCATCTGAATAGCTTCACTCTCTTCTTCTCTCACCACACCAAACACCATCACTTTCGTCGCTTGCTCCCATTTTCACCCATCACCTCATGCCAGCCATAGACAACACTGTCAAGCTCACACACTTGACAACAAAGTCTGAAATTGACGCACCAGTCAACGAAGCCACCATGCAAAGCATCAAAGAACGGTACGAAGCAGAAAAGGTGAAACGACTTCGCGATGACGGAAACGCCTAATACATCGACGCCAGCAAATCAGCCCAGTTCGAACAATTCGGCGCTGACCCATGGATTGCCCCGGTCTCAATCGAACCAATCTCGACCAAGTTTCCCGACAACCAGATCGAAATGCTCATCGTCGGAGCAGGATCGGGCGGAATCCGATACGCAGTCCAAATGATCAAATCGGGCATTCCGGCCCAGAATATTCGAATCATCGATCCAGCTGGTGGATTCGGGGGAACGTGGTACTGGAATCGATACCCAGGGGTGATGTGTGATGTCGAGAGCTACATCTATCTGCCTTTCCTCGAAGAAACGGGGTATGTACCTCGACAGCGATATTCGTGCGGCGAGGAGATACTCGAATATGCCAATCTTGTCACCAGACATTTCGGACTTGTCGAGTGTGGTGTCTTCCAGACTCAAGCAGAAAAATTGGTTTGGGATGATGATGCGAAGATATGGCATGTCGGTCTTGTGCAGTCTCGCAAGGGTGAAGATCCGCAACGACTCGGTGTTCGATCTAATTTCGTCTCGATTGCGGTGGGAGTCCTGAACTGGCTGAAATTCCCAGGCATTCCGGGGATTCTGGATTATCGGGGTGAGATGTTTCATACGTCGCGTTGGGCATATGATATCACTGGTGGATCTCCCAAGGATCTATGTCTTGACAAGCTGAAGAATAAGACAGTGGCTATCATCGGTACCGAAGCCTGTTCTATCCAAGCTGTGCCACAGCTCGCACGTTGGTGCAAACACCTCTATGTCATCCAGCGAACTCCCGCTTCAGTCGACATTCGTGACCAGAGAGAGACGGACGTACACCGGTTCAATGCAGAGGTTTGCACAGACAAAGGATGGCAAGGAGAGCGAATGAAAAATTTCAACGCGCATTTCACGCTCGGTGAGCCGCCAGCTGTGAATCTCGTTGACGACGAATGGACTCGTGTACCGGCCTTGGTCGGAATCACCGGCAATCCAAACGGGCCTATACCACCCAGCGAAATTGCCGCATACACATCGAAATTGATTGAAATCGACATACCCCGACAGAACCGAATTCGCGCGCGGGTTGACGAGCAAGTCAATGATCCAGTCACAGCAGTGAAACTGAAGCCCTGGTACCCATCCTTCTGCAAGCGACCTCTCCTCCACGACGACTATCTGGCGTCTTTCAACAAAAGCAATGTGTCTCTCATCGACACAGATGGAAAAGGCGTGGGTAGAATTACTGCCGACTCCTTGATCGTCGGGAACGAGGAGTACAAAGCAGATATCATAATCTTCGCCACGGGATATCGATCTCCATCAACAGGAACAACCGCCGACAAGGCTAACCCTGACCATAATCGGGAAGAACGGAGTTTCCATGAGTACTGAATGGCCTCGCTTCGGGCCAACGACTTTGCGCGGAATCCTTGACGTCAAGTTTCCGAATCTGTTCCTCTCCGGTCCCCAACAAGCCGGACTTAGCGGGAACTATGCCTTCACTCTGGGCGAATATGCGAAGCATGCAGCGTACATTCTCTCCGAATCCAAGCATCGCGCCAATGGAAAACCTTTCGCTGTTGCGCCCACTGCCGAAGCCGCGGAGGACTGGGCTAAACTGGTCACAATGAATTCGCCGGCAATGGCGGTGATGGCCGGGTGTATGCCGGGATATTACAATCTTGAGGGCGAACTGGTGCGTCTGCCGGTGGAGTATCAAGCTATCGCTGCGCGGTCGGGGGTCTGGGGCTCTGGAATCGAGGACTGGTTAGATGTGATTGAGAAATGGCGCGCGGCTGGTAGCATGGAAGGGATCGAGCTGCGGTTTTAGTTTAGTTGAGCACAGTCAGAAGAAACAGGTTACATGAAACACGAATGTAAGAAGAAAGATGAATGACGCTTCATTGTTATTACAAAGTACTCAATTTTCCCAATGAACCTTTTTAGCCAAGGCGATCGGATCGCCATTGAAACCAGCATCTTGCACGATCATGCCAAGGATCCAGATGTTAATAGCGAAGAAGACCAAAGATGCTAGGAAGAGGCCAGGAACAAACGATGAAAGGCCAAGGAATTCGAGATTGAAGCCTTGCCATAACCAAAGAGCCTGCCCCACGACCCAAAGGACTGCAGCCGATATACCAAGCGTCGGCTTACGCATGAGTGATGAGGTGGGGAGATAGAATGGTAATAGGATCAGGTACCAGATGAAGTACTTTGATGAGGTTAGTAGACGAACAGAGCACCACGAGATCCAGAATTCAGACATACCTGACTAGTGCAGACTTTGTTAAAAGTAACAAAAGCAAATGTCTGAGCCAGCATAGCAGTAGCGAGATTCTTCTTCGCCAGAGCCAAAGGCAAAGCAACAACAGAAAGAATCAGCTGAGGCAGGAAAGCCAAAGATTCAGAGTGGAAGCCCGCCACCCCAGTCGAAGTAAGATACAGCAGGGTGGCGTAAGGCGAAAAATTATGACGATGATCAATGCGAGTGAGGTGATGGAAGAAAGTGTGTTGAAGAAACGGCATTCCGTACCAGAGATACATAACACCATTGAGCGCGACAAATGTCGCCAACGCCGAAAGAGTAAATCGAACTCTGGAATGCGTCACGAACTCCATAGCCCGAGTGAAAGGATCAACATCCGACTTCGTAGCCGGCTTACCATCCCGCTGTGCATCCCACCACCAAAGAATAGAAGCTCCATAAATGAAAGGATAAATCTTTAAATGCACCGCAAGACCAAGAATAGCGCCAGCCGTGATGGGTCTTTTTGTAAGAGTCGCCCACAAAAGAGCCGCAACGAATACACCCAGTAGACCCTCGGAACTACCGCGGGTACTGATATTCGCGACCATGGGGTTCCACAGCCAGACAGCGGAGACGTATTTCAGCGCTTTGATGGTAGACATGCGATACACACGACGCAAGAGCTGAAGTACAAACCACCCAGCAAGAACATCAGCTGAAGCGAAAAGGATCTTACCAAATGCAAACGAGACCGCGGACCAGGGAGGTGGGAGTTGCCAGGCAGTTGGGACAAGCATCCACGCGAGGAGGGGGTGTATCGATAAGTATCCCGCGCGTAGGGAGAGTCACCGTTTGCGACGTAGCGCGATGCATCGGTGAAGACCATGTAGTCGATATCAGTATACTTGACGGCGGAGTTGGCATCCTGCCAGCCTCCGTAGACGAGCAAGATGAGGCGGAGGAAACAAGCGCCGACGAGGACGCGGGGGACTGTGAAGATGACGGAGGAAGGCATCTTGGAGCACTTGAAGCAATTGAATGAACAAGCGCGTGAAAGAAGTGGAATATGGAATAAGATCGAATTCACTTCCAATCTTGATGCGATCTGATTGATATTGGTTTGGGTCCCAGACAAAGAAGTGGAGCGAGGCCGAGGCACTTCAATGGCAATCCAGAGCCCCCGGTAAGAAAAGACGTGTCCCAGGCAGTCCGAGTCGATTCAACTTTGGAATTAAAGATAGGAACAATGGCTGGATTGCCTAGCCTTTGTTCCCAGAGCCGCGGTGGGTGGGATGTTTGTTTGATGTTTACAGATCGCCGCAAAAGTTGGAGGAGCCGCGTGATTTGCCGAATGTGGATGACTCAGCAGAGGCCCCGAAGGCGGAAGGAGCGAGTGCCGCTGGAAGGAGCGACGCTGCTTTAACAACAACAACAAAAACAACGAACTATGCAGACAACACAATACAGAGAGGAGAGTAAAAGAGAATAGAGTGGAAGAAAATAGAATAAAATGGAGATAATATTTATTTGATGTGGTCATCAAATAAATATATCAAGATGAATGAATATGCTGCGTTGCTTCGTTTCTGTCCCTGCTAAACCTACATGCCCAATCCAAAACAGCCAAACACACAACAAAGGAATAGAGAAGAACAAGATATAATCAACAAAAGCTAAGTAAAATGTTACTACCCTCAGTAATAGAGTGGTGCATTGACAAAGTAGGAATCCGGCATCGGCTCGAAATACGGGTGAGTCCCAAACTTCGGACCCTTCTCGTGATCCGGCGTCAACAAGGCCATCGCTTCATTGCGTGTATCCAAGTCTGATAGGCCGGGCCAGAGGTTCGAGTTATCACTCCAACTAAGATACTCCCACAGGTACTGCCCAGAGTCATCCACAAATGGGGTGGCCAGTGGGTCTGCGAGACCATTCTCGCCCAGTGAGATCCCCATACGAGATGATGGGTCGGACGTCGAGAACATACTGCTGGTCATATCTCGGCCAGCTGGGAAGAAATTACCGAAGGAGCTGGGTGCACTCGTGGCCGATGATAGATCCTGATTACGTTTGCTTGCCTCATAGATGCGAGCCAGCGCATCAAGGGACCGCTTGGCCGTATGCCCGAAAGATTGCATTCGGGCCAGTGTAGTCAAGGCAGTTTCGACCTGTGCTTGACAAGACTCAATACTTGCGCGGTGATCGTCAGCAGTCGGATCGTTGAGGAAGAGGCCGACGAGCGGGACGAGGGAGGCCTGGAATGTCCACCAAACGGCATTCCACCCGCAGAGCTGGTTCAGTTGAGCCGTCGCGGCGATGTTTTGGATAGAGATTTCCGCTACTTCGCGGCACTTTTCGATAGCGGTTCGCTCCTCGGCGCGGAGGGCGATGTAGGGGACTCGGCGCATGGCGTAGCTCAGCAACGTTGGTCGGTAGATGAGCATCCGTTGATTATAGTATCGCCATCGCATGACTGTGCGGACAGTGCTGATGGCTTCGTTGCACGGTTCGTGGTCTTTCAGGACGGGTGGCAAGTTATCCCACCATTCCAAGAGCTGTACATCCGCATGGGCCATCTCTTGGTGCTTGACGAGTGGAGCCGCAGCAAGTGATTCTTGGATCTGGGTAGCGATTTTTGAAAAGCGAATGTTTTCAACGAGCGGGAGAATTTCCAGAATGTTTTCCTATGTCGCAGTGAGTGACTATGAGATTATGTTGGGGGATAGGCCAGTATATACCTTATCTCTGCAGTTGGGAGGCTTGACCGTAATGTTGGGTCCAAAACGACCCATACTTGGTCGGCCAAGGGTCATACCTCCCCAGGTGTCCATGACGAATAAGGACCACCAGACCCGTCGCTTAATATCCATGGATGCCATCTTAGCCGGGGTCGGTATTTGCCGGTTCTCGACAAATTCCTTGTGCAGTCCCTGCCCTGCCGCCATTCGCAACGCGGCGCCCATCAGAGAATATGCGAGATTGGGTTGACTAATATAATGACAGTACCACCCACCTACAAGACCAAAAGCCTGGATAGTTTCGAGGTGAGAACTGCCGAGAGAGCTTAAGCTCAGGTGGCTTTTACAACGGAGGAAGTAGGTCTGGTGTGTCGTGTCGTCAGGGGTAGAAGCAGCCACACACCCCAAAGCCAGCACGATGTTGAGTAGCGCAAGCCAGTGATCATCCTTGCGTCGACCAGAGATGTATGTTTCGCGGAAATGCTGCTCATCGATGAGTGGTGCGAATGCCTGGAAGTACATGAAATACGAGTCCAGCATCTGCATCTCGGTAGGTATGAATGGATGTGGTGGAGTGGTAGGCTGGTGATGTGACCACCCCTGTTGCACGTCAAACGCATGGGCGGCCTGGTTGCCCGAGCTCATAGGTGGGGTTCTATCGAAGTAGGAAGCACACCCTGGGTCCAGCCAAACGATGACTTTGAGCACGGCCTGAATGGATGATACGCCCAGGTAGGATGATGGGTGCCTGGCGGAAAGAGAGAGCGCATTCACATCATCCGAAACACCCTCGACAAGGTCGCTGGAGCTGGTATGACGGCTATCATCCACCTCTTCTGGCATCGTTTGAAGGGATTCAAGGTTGTCATCTTCATTTGAGAGTGGGGAGACGTGTGCCTCGACAGAAACAGAGGTTGCTGGGGAAGCAGGGTGCGGTGCAGTCACGCTTTGAGTTGATGCCATGGATGTTAAAGGGGAGTAACTTGATGTCAACTCGATCAGTTTCTCCCGGGGGAGGTTGACGAGGGACTCGGGGGCGATGTTTGGGAACAGCTTCCCTAGAATGTTTCGATATTCATCAAGAGTGGTCGACAGTTTCTCGACATGCCTTTGGCAACTATTTAGTTATCATCGCGAGACCTCACGATCAGAGCTGGATAGACTTACCTCCTTGATGGCCGAGGGTCGGAATATTGACATTGGTCGGACTTCTTATACCAGCGACAGGCTTCGCATGGCTTCTCACCGTCGCACTTGATCTTGCGATGCCGGCATGATGTACAAGCACGAAGTGTCGTCACTCGCCGACTAACGGATTCACGACGTTCCGTTGGCGGTCGGTTTTTGGCAGGCGATGCTGCTCCGGGGTTTTCAAAGCCTTCAAAGGTGTGGAACATGTTTGCGACGGTCACCCAAGATTTGCCGATCAGAGTCACATATTTTGAAGGAATCGGATGTGAGTGGAAAGGCGGCGGCGTCGTATGATAAGCGCTAATCCCACAGTGGAATGTTCCAATATGGCAGTATGTCAGTATGGCAATATGACTATTGCCCCCTCGGTGGAGATGGATGTCGTAGTAATGTGGTGGTCATGAAAGATGGCAGATCATGTCGTCAGAAGGAATAACCGGTAAATGAGAGAACCAGGGGGAACGGAATATAAAGAAAAGAGAAGGCAACAGAACGAGTAGGCCAGTGCGTGCGGGCCGAAGGACGACTAAAACCAAAAGGAAATAGTGAAAGAATCGTGGAGAATAGCCTGATCCGCCTAAAGCCCAAATCTCCCCGCATTTTAGGGAACGCAAGCTCCTTGGGGTGAGTCCGGGGATCCGAAGACCTCGCTTATTGGGTGGCACACAGGTTCTTGGTCCAGTCATTCTCCCAGGAGGCATGCATTTAATATCCCCAAGCACCAGACCGGTGATGAGCGCGATCCCCAGCGCTAACTGGGATCGGCTGTGGAGGTGGAGGTGGAGGTGGAGGTGGAGATGGAGGTGGGCGGATTCGAATTTGAATGAGACCGATACAATTTACGATAATTTCTAGGCCATCCGCGTCATCGCCGTCTTGCTAAAGACTACCGGCATAACCAGGGTAGGGTTCTAATGTCCATCCTGTAGTGAATACCGAAGGGGTAGCGGTGTACCGGGTTCCAGGATGCATCGAGGATGCATCGAGCATCCATTACATCCGGCCAGTGCTGACGACCACGCGCCAGGCTGACCGGGGTCCGGGGTTGTTGAGGCAAATGACGGATGCTGTAGGCTCATCCACACGCCACAAGGTCGGCATCCATGCGCCGGACTGGCAGTCAGAATTTCTCCAGGGGTGAATACAATTTTCCCGGGTCGCTTGAATTCAAAAGGAAGATGGAATGGGGTGGAGATGCGTTAGTGGAGTATGGAGTGGAATGAGGCCCTGGCCCTGCAGATGCGACGATCGTCTGGGGGAGATGCTGCACAGAACTTATCGTGGATCCAGGGTCTACTACCCTCGAACTCATCTCACCCTCTCATCTCACCCTCTCATCACCCCGCCGGCATTTTGTCCCGCTTGCCCGGCAGTAGCGGGAGTAGTTTCGTGTTTGTGGTAGCATAGCCTCATGCAGGGGAATTAGTGAATTAGGGGCAATTCGGATTTGGGGTGGGCAGGATCAACGATCTTCGAGGGTCGCATGAATATTGGAGGACTACTCGGGACCACGGTCTGAGACGAATGAAATGAAAGAGAACAATAGAGTGAACCTGGTCAAGCGGGGCCCAACATACAATTCCCCCAATGATTACTGGGAGGGATTCAGGAAGGCCGAGGGATATCCGGACATGATGTCCGTTTTGAGTTAAGGGCCCGAGATGGAGTTTGGGTACAACGGCTATTCTTCGAGCCCACCTCGAATGCCGGACTGCATGACATGGCAGAAGAGTGCAGAGTTCAATTCAAGACTTTAGGGCAGAGTAGTAAAGTGGAGAAACATGAACGAGGGGGCGAGAAAGAAACACCTGGGGGGAATATGCGAGGTCTGGTCGTGGAGGTGGCGGGGTTGACCAGGATGGATTGCACTGGCACATGGCAAGGGGAGGAGGATTCCAGCACTGGGAATGCCAAGAGTGGAGCGCGTGTTCCTGTCACAACCGACAATAGACCGTTGGCCAGGGACAGAGGGTGGAGAGAGGCCATTGGATCGGTTAGAAGGATTGGGCTGACTGGGTGGATTTAGTGTCGAAGTTAGTGGGTTTCAGCGGACTCGAGCATGGCACTCCAGGGCTGGAGGTGCAGGGAGGGTGCAGGAGCAAGCGTCGATGCGAATGTCCAGATTTGCTCGAGCTAGTTCTGAGAGGGAAAGGGAATAGAGTTGAGGCCGGTGAGAGAAGATGGCAGAGAGTAGCCAGGCATCCGAGTCACCTTGGTGAATACGGAGGATATATGAAGTAGACTTCGACATGAGAGCTGGGCGGAGTTGGGCTCCGTGTCGAAACGGGTAATCAGTGTGGTAGGCTGGCGTGATCGATGAATATATATCAACATTCTCTGGTATAACCACCATTTGAAGCTTGTGGTTAGTTGAAAGTGTATGGACTGTGAGTATTGTACTGTAGTACTGATTCTGATACTCCAATGATTGAGAGATGAAGAAGACAAAAAGGAAAGAAGGTGCAAATAAGGTGATGGTTGCTGCCTGAGTGCCTGAATCATGTGACTGCGGGGACTCCGCGTCCAAAAGGGAAGGCGCGTGGGGGGGATTCCCTTATCGATAAGCAGCTCCTTCCTTACGTGAGGTAGAGTACTTCTTATGCCTCAGGTGACTTTGTGAATTAAATAACTTAGACAGCTGCGAGTTCCTCTTTGCCTTCTCCTCCTCTTCATTTCTCACTACTCACTACTCTTTATCCATTTCATTCCATTCAAAAATATATCAAAATGACCCTGGAGCGTCACACTCTCTCGGCCAACTGGTCCTTTCGTGACCGCGACTCCGACTCTGATGAATGGCTGCCCGTCCCTGTAGTGCCATCCTCGGTGCAACAGGACCTGATTCACAATAAGAAGTAAGTATATGATCCCATAAATCAGTCAACTTGGTCAAGTAAGTAAGCCCTCATCTAATTTTCACCCCCTCCAGATTAAAAGATCCATTCATTGGCTTCAATGAACTCGATGCTCGCTGGACAAACGAAAAATCATGGGTGTACCGCAACACCTTTACCAGACCACCAACAATTCCTGATGGAGCCATCGTAGACTTGGTCATGGAAGGTTTGGATACTTTCGCCACAGTCAAGTTGGATGGGGAAGTCATTTTGATCAGCGATAACATGTTTCTCGGCCACAGAGTCAATATCACCAAAGCTCTGGCAACAGAAAACCGGGAACATACCATCGAAATTGAATTCGACTGTGCCCTACTAAAAGCTCGGGATATCCGCAATCAACATCCCGAACACAAATGGGTCGGCTTCAACGGGGACCCTTCTCGCCTCGCGGTGCGCAAAGCACAGTACCACTGGGGCTGGGATTGGGGACCAGTCCTGATGACCGCCGGGATTTGGCGCCCAATTCGGTTGGAGGTCTATACCGCGCGGATTGCGGATCTATGGCCAAAGGTCGAGCTCGCCGCAGACCACCAAACCGCTGAAATCAAGACTGTGGCCACAATTGACACTCCCATTGACGGAGACTTCATTGCCCACTTCACCCTGAGCTTGCGTGGCAAGGAAATTACCAATATAGATATTCCGGTCTTGCACGGAACTCCCACCGACGTATCCTTCCTCGTCAATCGTCCTGAGCTTTGGTGGCCTCATGGCTATGGTGACCAACCTCTCTACGAGGTTTCTGTGGCTCTGCTGCGTGATAACAAACTTATTGACCAAACAAGCAAGAAGATTGGCATTCGAACAGCTGAGATTGTTCAGCAGCCCGACAAGCATGGAAAGTCATTCTACTTCCGTATCAATGGCCAGGATATCTTCTGCGGGGGTTCTTGCTGGATCCCCACCGATAGCATCCTGACGAATATCAGTGCTGATCGGTATCGATTGTGGATTGAATTGATGGTAGCTGGTCGACAAAATATGATTCGGTAGTTATCCCTTCCTCCAACTCCAGTTACTTGACCCTTCCGAGTCCTGCTCTAACAAATACTTAGTGTGTGGGGAGGTGGTATCTACGAGGACGATTATTTCTACGAAGTTTGCGACGAACTCGGCGTGATGGTATGGCAGGACTTCATGTTTGGCTGTGGTAATTACCCAACCTGGCCAGCAATTTTGGAATCAATTCAGCAGGAAACAATTTACAACGTCAAGCGACTCCGTCACCATGCATCGATCGTGATATATGTTGGCAACAATGAGGACTACCAGGTGCAAGAGTCGGAGGGACTGACCTACAATTACAATGATAAAGATCCGGAGAGCTGGCTCAAGACGGATTTCCCTGCTCGATATATCTACGAGAAGCTGCTTCCCGAAGTGGTAGCTGAGTACTGCCCTACCACCTTTTACCACCCTGGAAGCCCATGGGGCGATGGCAAAATATCATCTGATCCGACCGTTGGTGATATGCATCAGTGGAATGGTAAGTAGTATCCCAAAATCAACTACCTATATACGTACCTGGGTACCTACCCTTTCCCCGGAGAAATATCTAACGGTCGGCATTCTTAGTTTGGCATGGCACACAGGAGAAATATCAGATTTTCGATACTCTGGGCGGTCGCTTCAACAGCGAGTTCGGAATGGAAGCCTTCCCACATATTTCTACGATTGATTATTTTGTTGAGAATAAGAGCGACATGTTCCCACAATCACATGTGATCGACTTCCATAACAAGGCTGATGGCCACGAGAGACGACTTGCGACATATCTGGTTGAGAATGTCCGGTCTGCGACCGACCTCGGGGTATGAATCCACTGCCAGTGGCAGCTATGGCTAGATTTACATTGCTAATATTCCTAGACCTGCATCTATCATACTCAGCTCATCCAAGCCGAGACAATGATGTTCGGATACCGCGGCTGGCGCCGACAATGGGGCGACGAACGACACTGCGGCGGCGCCCTCTTATGGCAACTGAATGACTGCTGGCCCACTATTTCATGGGCCATCGCCGATTACTTCTTGAAACCAAAACCCGCGTATTACGCAGTGAAAAGAGTTCTAAACCCAATTGCAGTCGGGGTTCGACGCGAACATCACGATTGGAGTGTAGCACACGCCCAGCCACCAAAAACCAGCAAATATGAACTTTGGATCGCCAGCAACAAGCCGCAAACCGTCCGCGGTCAAGTTGAGCTTCGATTTATATCCGTCAATACAGGCCGTGAGACACGGTCACCCATCGTTCACGCGGATGTTGAGATCACGCCAAATGGAACGACCAACATAATCACCGACGGAATGTTGGATCATGTTGCAGACACCGAGCCGATTGTGTTGGCTGCACGCCTGTGGGTGGAGAATGAAATCGTTGCGCGAGATGTAGACTGGCCACAGCCGTTCAAATATCTTGATCTCTCCGATCGCAAACTCGATGTTGAGGCGGCTTCGATCTCTGGTTCGGTTCGTGTGACTTTCCGTGCGCACAAGCCTGTGAAGGGTCTAGTGTTGGAGGAGCAAGTCGATGTTAAGTTGAGTGACAATGCCTTTGATATTGTACCGGGTGATGAGCACGTCATTACCGTTGAGGGACTGGAAGGGCGTACTCTCAAGTATCGCTATCTCGGCCTGGATCAAGCGGGCGAGGTATCCCTGTAGGCATATCTATTCAGGCAGGCATTTCGTACGAAACATTATACTACTTGGTATCCTACCCAGTCATAATATACCCAGTAGCAACGATTATTAGGATATTAAATTACACTAGTAGAATTCCAAGTCTTCCGATCGATCGCCAAGAGTAGAGTTGAATGAGGCCTCAAGTTAAGGTTATCCGAGGATCTTCCCGTTTGCCGATGCGACGGCAAGGAATCTCGGCAGTCCGTCCCGCAATTAGATATCCACCCCGGATTTGCTTCTACACCCCCCAACCACCAGGGTTCTCACATGAATTACTTAAAAGACTCTATACAAGATTTCCCAAAATGGCATCTGATCTCCCCCGTACCCAAAAGGCCATCGTGGTGCAGAATCCGGGCCCCGACCACACCATCGTCCTGCGTGATGACGTCCCCGTCCCGGAACCAGGACCAGGCGAGATCCTGCTCAAACTGGAATGCACGGGTCTATGGTATATACTCTTACTCATTGAAATCATCTTGTTTAAAGCCGTCATTAACATCAGAACAGCCACTCAGAAGTCCGCGCAGTGTTAGGCTGGGGCGCCTACAACCCCATAATCGGCCACGAAGGCGTCGGGACAGTCGCAAAACTAGGCCCAAATGTTTCAAACACATCTATCGGCGAGCGGGTAGGACTCAAATGGATCTACAACGCCTGTACAGAATGCAGCATTTGCAAACGCGGCTTCACACACCACTGTCCCAATCAACAAAACACAAGCCGACACGTTCCCGGCACATTACAACAATACGCTCTCGCAGACGCAAATTTCATAACGCCCATCCCAGCAGGCCTCGCATCGGAGATCGCGGCACCGCTACTCTGCGCCGGACTGACAATGTCCGGCGCCCTATCCCATCTAGAAACCTCGCTGGTACCGGGTGATTGGGTCGTGATATCCGGTTCTGGAGGCGGACTCGGACACGTCGGCGTTCAAATCGCCGCGCGCATAAACAAATACCGCGTCATTGCAATTGATAGCGGCGAAGACAAGAAGGAAATAAGTCTCTCGTCTGGCGCGGAGGTATTTATCGATTTCAAAACAGAGGACGTGGCCAAGCGTGTAGCCGAGGTTACGAGCGAAGGTGCGCATGCAACTATCGTTGTACCTGGTACGAAGGAGGCGTTTGAAATGGCACCGATGGTTATTCGGAATTTGGGGATTATCGTTAATGTCGGGTTGCCGAGGAATGATATAGAGATTCCAATTTCTGCGACTGTTTGTGCGGCTAGAGGTGAGTTTGATTGGCGGTTGATATCTCATTTGCCAGAGTCAAGGTACTAACTTCTGTTAGGAATTACTATCAAAGGGTCATCGGTTGGAACTGAAAAGCAAATGGCGGAGCTGTTGCAATATGCGTTACAGGGTGTGATTACGCCTGCTATTGAGGTGTTTGAGTTCGCTGAGGCACCTAGGCTGATTCAGGCTCTTATTGATGACGGGATTAAGGGGAGAGCTGTTGTTACTATCCCCCATGGCTATTAGACTTCTTCGATATTCATCTAGCAACATTTCGAGTTTTTTTGCAGAACGATAGAAATGCATTCCTACATTTTCAAGAGACTACTCCGTACCTACTGTACTAGTCTGCTTCGTTACTGCCCATATTATAGATAAAAAAAACCAGGAAATTACCCTGCATTGAATCTCCAGTTTTGAAAGCATCAATCGAGATATAATGAGCCAATCCCATCAATACCATAGAAACAGAGTACTGAATAACTGGAGAGACACAATATACTTCTGTGGAAGGCAGGCGGTGGCACTCAGCAGATACCATAGTGGAGCCGGGCTTATCGCTTATCGGGGATTTTCCTCCACTTCGATTCCACTTGACTGTTTCCTAAGGTTGCTTGCTTTACCTTCTGCAACAACTACCTCTTCTACTCATTCACATCCATGGGCACCAAGCGATCCTGGCAAGGCCAGCCTGTCGCTATGCAAAACAAACCAGACACCCAGTCTTCCGACTCGGCCGGTCCGACCATCTCCATCTTCGAGAACTTCCGCAATGAGCTGGACGAGCACCACGACAGGCGCGAACGCATAATCAAGACTAGCCGGGATATCACCGCCCTCAGCAAGAAGATGTACCTCTATTCTCACTTTTATGTTCCAATTTGAACCTCAAACTAACTGCTGTGGCGTAGTATTTTCGCCCTCCAACGCGTCCGCGCAACCAACAACCCCATCCCGGCTAATATCGCCAAAGAAAACCAAACGCGCCTCGATCAGATCCAAACTCTCTTCACGAACATCATCCCTGACCTCACTGGCATCAATACCTGGCGCTACCGCTCAATCAGCAGCGGTATCCAAGAATACATCGAAGCAATCTCCTTCGAGCACTATCTCCGCACGCAAACCCTCATCACACACGCCGAAGTATGCGAACGACTACCCGCCGGTATTATGGTCACAGAGGAGGATTACCTGATGGGTCTCTTTGACTTGACAGGTGAAATGATGCGATTCGCCGTACTGTCCTTGAGCTCAGGCAATGCTGCTGCCACATCTACCGAACCTGCCGAGACCGAGGTGACTGACGCGAAGAAGCAATTACCTCACCTTGCCGCATCACAGGCGGACCTCGTCGTTGATTTGCGCACTATGCGTGCAGGTTTTGAGGAATTGTCTGTACCTCGGAAGTACAACATGCTCCGGGATCTCCATAAGAAGACCGAGGTCATGCAGAATAGCGTGGAGAAGGTGGAGCGGGCGGCTTATGGTATCTTGGTGCGAGGTAGCGAGAGACCAAGTGGGTGGACACCAGATCTGTCGGCAGCTGTTGAGGTGGAGGCTCAATAGGTGAGATTGACGATAAATCACTAACTGGTCCGCGTGGTTACCCCCAGGGCTAGTATTTACAGCAAAAGCTCAAAAAATGAAACTATATGATTCACTAGCACGTCGTCGATATCCTTATTATTCAAAATTCATATGATCACACCAATCGTGAATCTTTTGCTAGGCTTCTATGACTCTCTCTCTTTCCCAGATAATCCCAGACTGTGGATGCATGCACTTTGGTTACATGGAAAAACTCGTCCAGCGAAGCAGACTCGTTTACAGACGCCACTGGTTAAGTTTTCGATTAGCTGTGTGATTGATAGTCAAGGAGGCAATCTCTGCAACACTTACTGCTCAGTGGACTGCACCCGTAAGCGTAGGCAGGGATGTCGGCATATCGATAGTGCTTGCAATCTGTCGCACCCATCGATGGAATCGCTATTGCATGCGAGGCCCCCGCCTTCTCTGCATTCTCTTTGATAAGGTCTATAATTGGGTGATCAACAGGTGAGAAGCTAGCAGGGTTGCTAGCTGCATCTTGCTTCGTCAACTCGATCTTTGCATTTGGATATTTCAAAGCTGCAGATTCAAGCACAGTCATCACATTGCTAGCGACAAGGCCTACCGGTAGCCGAATATCAAGCTCGAAGGTGCAAAGATTTGGTATCATGTTCACCTTGACTCCACCTTTGATCGTCCCGATATTCACAGTCGGCCGAGCGATGATTGATGAAGTATTTGGCCCCATGGCCTCATCCACGACAGCAAGGACCTTTGGATCGGTCAGATACTTGGCAATCTGGGGAGGAGGGTTCGGCTCGATGCCTTCGACATCCTCGACGACAGCATTTAGAAATTCGGCCGCTGTTCGGATCGCTCCTTTACTGTTGGTTCAAGTTAGTCTTCGAGCGAGGTCCATGTTATTCTACAATCTCCTACCTGAGATTCAGATATGCTCCATGAGCTGCCTTCGTCGTGACAGTACCAGAGAGCCTCAAAGTCCCTTTCTCTGAAAATCGAATAGTCTGTCCCGTTGGCTCCGTGCTCAGCATCACATCTCCTCCCCACCGGGATTTATCTTCTTCAATGAGATACTGCGTTCCCCATCGGCCGCCTGTTTCCTCGTCGGAAACAGCACAAAGAGCAACACTCCCACTAAGGGATTCTCTTCTAGCATAGAGACAGGCGTAGGCGATGACTAGCGATGCAGTTCCAGACTTCATATCAACCACACCCCGCCCATGAACGCGGCCATCAACCAGATCCCCCGACCAAGGATCACGATTCCAGCCAGGGGCAGTCTCTTCCACAGGGAAAACATCGATATGACCATTCAAAACAACGCGCGGACCGGAACCATTGCCTCCGGAGAATTCACTGACGATATTCGGATATCCCGGCTTCGGCTCGATGGTCTCATAAGGAATATTTTTCGAAGTGAGATAATCAGTCAGTACTTTGGCCGCAAGCTGGGTATTTCCTGGTGGGTTTGGGGATGCAGCTCGAACGAAGGACTGCAATAGTTTGGTTTGACTCTCCTGGTCATGTTCCAAAGCGCTGATGATCTCTGACTTTGTGGACATGATTTACTGAGTGGAATTGCCGTATGGAAAAGAAAAATTGGTTGAGTCTTTATTTGGGACAAGTTGGTAGATGGCAGGCTCTCCATCTCTTGCCACGATTTCTTTATGCTAATATGAGCCCTCGTATGTCGATCGATGACTGTCGTTGCGGGGGCCTTCCAACGCTATACTGGATCCGTTCCCCGATCACCGATCACATTACACTTTCATTTGATGACTATGACTGGCCTTTGGTTATTTTATTGCTACGAGTAGTATTTCCAGGTGGGTAGGACTATTTCAGGATTCAATATTGACAGTCACCTTAAGTAGCAGACTTTTGGTGCTTTGACCCAAGGTGACTGCAAATATTGAATTGGATTCTTTGCCTGTTACTAGTAACAACCTTGGAATATGCTACCAAATCATGAACACCGTTGCTACCTATAGTATTTAAGCCTCCTTCTCAACACCCAGCAAGCAACGGAACAAAACAGAGGCGCACTAACTAACTAACTAATGTGTCTCACAGCCTCAGGCAATCAACAAATCGTCCAGTGGGGGCCGGATCGGAAAATTTCACGCCACAACCTTTCGCGACAGAAAAGGGGCAAAAGATGATATATCCTTTTCCGCTATCGCTGCACGCTCCCAACTCTTGGGAAGTGTCAACCCACCTGTGATGTCTTCGAGAATAGCCTTTTCCCTCAAACCTCTATGGTACATTCCAAACAGGGCTGTGGGCATCCTAATCCATCCTGCCGGGGGTATGGAAGACTTGCTGGACAGCATGATACCGCATCTAATGGCATAGATCGTAGTATCAGGGGTATCAGTTTCCCTTATGATCTCCTTGTTGTGGTTTCTGCGAACTTCACGACGCTTCTCAATCTGGTATTATACCCTCCCTTTTCTTTCTTTTATCTTCTCTGTTACCGTGTGCAGCAACTGACTTTGAACTAGCTTTGGTACATACTAAGCCATGTTTCACCGACACTATTGATTCTCCAACTTTCTCAAATGGAGACACGGAAGACAAAGATAGCACATGAACCCCGCGCCACTTTCGGAAATATAAGAGACAGTTTGCGCCTCATTTACCAGGCACAGAACCCATACACCTTCTTCCGCGCATTCTCTATTGGCTTATTTCAATTTTTGTTAACTGGAGCCGTCGCCGAACTATTAGAACGGGTTGTCTTTTCGGAAGCTGATATTCTGCGACCACTCGCCTACGCCATTTCTTCCGCACTTCTGTGCGAGCTTCATCTCGTCTTCACATGCGCTATCGTCTCGGCCGAGCCAGTTCCATTCCGGTCTTTACTCAGAGAGCCTGGTCAGAACCGGTGGAAGCATTTGGCCATTCCCGCTTTTTGGTACGGCTTCTCATTATCGTGGATGGAAATATTCTACGATATCGCGGCAGTAGCAGTAGCAGACCACCTCACTCCCTTGGAGAAGAAGAACGACATAGGAACTTGGGCCGCAGCAGCAGTGTTAATAGTGATTATCATGCTTGCATTTTACTTGCTGGTAGTCCTACCGACATACATTAATCTCATGCTGGCAGAGGTTAGATTCTTGCCCGCTAATACTCAAATAATAGGAATTTCATCTTCCAAGGGTCGTTTGAGACTTTGGGAACTTGTTGGGGATCAGAAACAATTAGCTCCTCTTGGGACATCCAGCAATCCTCTTAAGCCGAGTAGGATGGATATTTCACGCCAGCTCATCATGCTTCACCTGAAGAAGTGTTTCGTATATCTGGTTCCTGAACTTGCCTTTTATCTCACTGTATATGTGGCATTACTCATGGGCCTATTTGATTAGGATGAGAATGAAGGCACTCCTTGAGTGGGTAATACCTCCCGCCCTTCGATCCCATTTCGTCTATCCACCGTTGAATCTTCTGGGCATCAAGTTATTAGATGAGTATATCAGGCACTATTCAAATGCGAGTGGTCACATTCGGCAGGCATCTTTTGTTTGGCTTCGTGGTGTGGCGTACCAAAGCTTTGATCCAAAGACATGACGTTTGTTTTGGCTATTTATTTGATGCCTTCATTCGACTCGGTGATAAGAAAATACAGTGCTAGTGCAGACTCTGAATATACCAGCGCGTTCTAGTTAATAACTAAACGTGAATGTACAAAGATGGCTCTAGGATTTACGCGCTTTCAAGATAAATCCCGAGCATCTTGGCAACAGACGTCTCCACGAAGAGCACCAGCTCCGCCCGAGGAATTATTGTATGAAAGTATTCAAGCTCCCTCTGAAAACATTGCTTTCTTTTCTTAACCTCTTGAAATGCACCAATTCCGTTCCTGTTTTCCATCTGACTTGTGCAATCGGGGTCAGTATTGTGCCATAAATCCTTCGACCCACTTTTACGCGATAAAAATTCCATGGTCGGCAATCAAGCAATAACATCATCTCGGCCCTATATGGTTCATGCATGTATTTCTGAACTTCCAGTCCACGTCTTTAAGATCTGTGCTCGTTTTGTTGATGGATTGCTAGTTCAATCTGAAGAGTTTGGAACTATTTGGCCGCTTAAAATGAAGTTTGCTTCTCATTATCGATCTAATACAACTATTTGCATCTTCAAGTTGTTTGAAAGTTGTTTGAAGACCTACAACTCCGAAGATGGCACAATCGGGAGCAGAAGTGGCTAAGAAAATCAGATCCACTGCGGATTTCAAGTTTGAGTCTATTTAAGCCCCAGGGTGCAAGGCATCTCATGAAGGAAAATAAAACATCCAACTAGTCTCTCTTCTCAATCGGCTCACGCTTTGATGGGGGCCTCTGACAATATGGATACTAAAACGCCCCCGGTTTCAACATCTGCCGAAGTGAAAAACGTGCAGGAAAAATATGCCGATGTCACTCTACGTCTACTCGAGGATCATGGCGATGATTTCGGACGACTGACACCAGACAATGAGAAAAAGCTTCGGAGAAAGCTATACTTTCATATTATATTCTTGCTCTCGGTCATCAATATCATGTTATTCGTAAGTTCTTTACGTCACATCTCTAATACCTACACTAACAGATATAGATTGATAAATCCACACTTGGATATGCTGCAATTCTTGGGATTTTTGAAGAGACGGGTATATCAAAGGCCCAGTACAATAATCTCAACACATTTTTCTATGTTGGTAAGTTTTTCTCCGTGGAAAATTACGAAGATCATTCCACTCATTGGCTTTTTCAGGATACCTCGTGGGTCAGGTGCCTGGGCATTACCTCCTACAGCGACTCCCATTTGGCAAATTTGTGAGCGGAATCATATTTTCCTGGGGAACTGTCATCTTGCTTCACTGCGTTGCCACTAAATATGCCGGTCTGGTGGTTTTGCGACTGGCTCTTGGTGCTACAGAAGCAGTGATCGTCCCCGCGCTCGAAATCACTATAGGTATGTTCTTCAATCGCCAAGAACAATCATTTTTACAGCCTATTCTATGGATTACCTGTGTCGGTGCCCCGATTCCTGCCGGTTTTATCTCATATGGTCTGCTATTCAGTCAAGGGGCTATTCTTCCGTGGAAGCTATTCATGATCGTCATCGGGGGGCTAACAATTTTGCTTTCTATTTGGGTGTGGTTTGGGTATCCTAGCAACCCAACCGAGGCTTGGTTCTTATCTCTCGAAGAGAAAGTGCAGGTCATTCGCCGAGTGCACGAATCGCATCAAAGCTCCATCGAGCAGAAACAGTTCAAAAGCTCCCAATTTATGGAGACGATGAAGGACTCTGTCTCATGGCTTTTTGCATTGCAAGCATTTACCCTGATGTATTGTAACAATCTGACCTACGGTCAGCAGAATCTCCTCATAACCTCACTCGGGGTATCAAATCTAGGATCCACACTCGTTGCCGCAGCAGGCGGAGGATTCGGTGTTCTTCTTTGCATTGTCGCCACCTTCGCGTTGAAACGTTTCCCCAAATATCTAGCCGTGCATAGCTTGGTCTGGTGTGGCTTAGCATTGATCGGAGGCATATGCATGGTGACAATTGCTTGGGATCAAAAGCTCGCATTGCTTGCCTGCATGCTTCTCGCCGAAAACACATACTCTATCACGTATATCATTGCGCTCGGGTGGGCAACTTCTTCTGCCGCGGGATATACCAAGAAGCTCACACGGAATGGAATGTTCATGATCGGATACAGTGTGGGAAATCTTGTTTCGCCGCAGATTTGGGTACCCAGCGCAGCTCCAAGGTATTATGGTGCGTGGATCTCGATGATTGTGGTCAGTTGGGCAGGAACACCTGCGATTCTCGGTGTGATCCATTTTATTCTGAAAAGAAGAAATACGCAACGAAAGGAGTGGATTGCTGAGTTGGGTGAAGACGAGCGAGAGGGCTGCATCGAGCAAGTGGATGAAACCGGTGCAGTTACAAGAAAGAAGGTCAATCTGGCGGTGCTGGACTTGACTGATTTGGAAAATAAACTATTCTTGTATCCCTACTGATTGATGCTAGTGCAAACCATTGAAAGGACTTCAGAATTTCAACTAAATCCATGAATTCTTTGGATATTTTATTCTCATCTCCGCATGGAATACAGTATTTCAAGGTTGTCACAAAACATGGACTGCTAGTCAATTCTTCAACCATTTTGTACTATTAGCTTACCGAATTTTATTTTTTGGACTATTGGCAATTTCCCCCAGGTCTCTTATGCATATATTTATTTCACCAAATTTCACCGTGCTAAGCTACATCACCACCTCCTGGGCAGTTGTGACGCATTCCCGTCAGCCGCACGGACCAATCTCCATCTGGACGAAGTGGAGCAGTTCGGTTCGCTTTTCATTTCTGACGTGGAACTTCAACCTCACCTTTCTGTTTCTCGTATTTTCCCTGCTTCGTGACTCGTCGGTTTGAAAATGCGCGACGCATGCTGGACATGTCGTAGCCGCACGATCCAGTGCGATCGGTCCAATATCCCCTGCGCAAAGTGCGACAAAGCCGGCCTGGAATGTTTCGAGAAAAGACCAATAAGATGGGTGAATGGTGTGGCGATTCGCGGTAAAATGCGCGGACGCCGTTTTGAAGATGAACAGAAAGCTTCTAGCAAGAAGTTGTCTGTTCAAACAAAGCACAAACGGATTAATTCCTTCCATCGGAAGGCTTTGGCAAACAACCCACACCCTTCAGTCGCCATGGAAGATCCCTGCATGCAAGACATGAATTCTTCCTCCAAATTCTATCTGGACTATTGTGAGTTAGCGAAGTTTCTTTTTGACGATGGTATACTGAGACTAGCTGCAAGTTAACCGTCGCATCTGCAAATTATTCATCCTCTGCGATAGCGACAATAATCCGTTTCGGCATTTACTCACTTACGCCATGGATGATATTCCCTTACAAAAATGTATAATTGCCGTGTCTGCACGGCACTTTACCAATACAGGGCAATATTTCGACCAGACTTATACCAATATGGCCCCTCGATTCCTTGTTGCTAATTTAGATGCCCTCCATTTCAAACGACAAACCATCCAAGCAGTAACACGGTCATTGAATGGCCATGAGATCTCTCGAAAGAACACTTTACTGGCATCAATCTTTCTTCTTATCTTCCTCGATCTCCTAGAGTCTGGCATGGATGGCTGGAATCATCATATTTGTGGTGCGAGGGGCCTTGTCAACCTTGGCAGCTCTCTACTGGATCCCGGCCTCGACCAAGAAACAAAATGCCAGGTTAAGAGTAGCCATGGTGATATGGCGACCGATACGAGGAAATTCATTTCCCGACAATTGAATTTGTATTGCCCCTCTCTGACTAATTATACGGCGCAAATTATCATTGTACTGACTAACTCCAGGATTTCAACACTCGGAGATGCATTGTCAGGCTCCAAGTCAAAATCAGAAGCATTTCCCAACTGTGATAGCGAAATGAAACACGAGTCAATCGTTCGAAGCTTCCTCGGCTGCCCGGATCTTTTGTTAAGAGCGATTCGATACTTCTCTAGCCAGAGAGATTTCCTCGGAAACTTAGACAGTCAAAAGACTGACGCTATTAATGACCATATACGGGACACTATGATCATGCTTGACATGACAAGAAACTTTGATTGTCAGCGGTGGGCATCAAGGGTCATTTCCCTAACTGTTTCCAGCGACATTGAGAAGCTTTCCTTGCTGGCAAAAGGATACAAGATCGCTGCCTTCATTTATGGAACCAGGATATTCCGTGCTTTCGCATCCCCGGCCAATACACCTATCAGTACTCAAGGAACAGAAAATGAAACGCTAGTTTCGGAATTAATCGCGACAATCGAGCTTCTCGCCGCGGACGAGATGTTTTTCAAATGCCTCATATGGCCCACATTTATTGCAGGCCTGGAATGCAAAACAGGAAATACCAGAGAGTCTATAACGGCGCTTTTACGAGGCCTTTGGGATTTTACCTCTTGTTTGAATGTCATCAACGCCTCCAGGATCCTACAGGAATACTGGCAAAAGCAGGACTCGAGTGATAATTCGGGAAAGGCACATCAAGAAATTGAAGTCATGGGCCAGGGATGGCTACTGATCTGACAATCGCGCGCAAATAATAAAACGGTAAATATACACTTATTCCATAATGCCATTACAATACAGCTTCAACTTGTTCGTGCTCATCCTCGGATTCTATTTACGATGTTTTTATGCATCTCGATGTACTAGCACTACTAGCCAAGGTTTTTCATGGAATGTGACTTGGAGCCACCAGGTAGTGGTGGCTTTCTTTTCTCAAAATAGGTATATTACCGAATCTCACTCAAGGGACCATTTGAAAAAGACTTAGCGACCCCATCTGATTTGTACATGGCTCAACTTCCTAATCAGAATACGAGCATCCACCAAGCATTACGCTAGAGAAGAACCGAAGTCAAAATCTTGAAATGCTTATCTGGTGGCACCGAGTCTTACACAGGCACGGCATGTGTCATTGTTCATGTTTCGCGCTGACCTATCAAATCGCCACCAGGCCCCACCAGAATCAACTTCCTAATTGGGTAAGCGTGAGACCACCACAGTAAGCCATGTTGGAAAATCTCGAGATATTCGGGCGTATGAGGCGCAAATTCGATTTCTAAGCTGTAAATTTCGAATTGGAGTGCGAGAAAAGAGTCAGGTTGGCTTACGGGATCAACAACAACTTTTAAAGACAATTCCGTACGAGCCGACTAGGCAGGTCAGCTATATAAGGTCACAGTTCGCAGTTTTGACTTTCAGTTTCTAAAAATTCGAAGCTCTTCCTACAATTAAAGCTTGAAACAAGCCTCCCGTTTTTGAACATCTACTCTTCATCAACATCCGATATTATGTGCCAACACGAAATCGCAAGCAATGGCTGGACCAGTGTTCCAGTTGATGCAGGTGTGATATTTGGTGATAGACCCTTTATCAACGAACCCGAAAACCTCTCAATCAGTGAAGTCAGCTTCCCCTCTGATGATCCCATCGTGACAAAAACTTTCGACTATGCGAAACGGGTTTTGCATCCGGCAGCTTTCAATCACTCGATGAGGGTTTATTATTATGGTGAGGCTAGACATAGACCCTGGATTCCTTAGATCCCTCATTTAACTCTTCAATAGGGATGGTCATCGCCAAACAGCAGTTCCCTGAGAAGGCTGCCACCCTTAGCCCGGTGACCTGGGCACTGACGTGCCTCTTGCACGACCTCGGCACGGCAGAAGAGAACCTAACAGCAACACGAATGTCATTCGATCTATATGGCGGTATCAAAGCTCTGCAAGTTCTGAAGGAATTTGGTTCCACTATCGATCAGGCGGAAGCAGCTGCGGAGGCAATCATTCGCCATCAAGATCTGGGAGTCGATGGTACCATCACTTTCATCGGCCAATTAATTCAGCTGGCCACGATCTACGACAATACCGGCGCTCATCCACATGTTCAGGACATTGGAAAAATGATTCATGGCACCATCCGTGCCCAGATTAACGAGGCCTATCCACGCCAACAATGGTGCTCGGTCTTTGCTGATACTGTTCGGAAGGAAATTTCAATCAAGCCATGGTGCCACTCAACCCACATTGTCAATTTCGATAAGGTGATTGAAGCCAACACGCTGATGAAGGAATGGGAATAGGTACGGATCTCGTACTTGGGCTCAATTCTCTGTGCCAACCTGTCCCTGCTCTTCTTGAACGGGAATCATAGTACTTTCTTCAGTCGGGTGGGACATTACTGCAAAAGCCATACCCATCACGCGGAATTTCGTATGGAGGAATACGCATAGTCTTTTTAAAATGTGGTGATCGATGGACGCTGTAGTGGTCCATCTGCAATAATACGTACACTCATGGATTTGAAGGACTTCATATGTGCCGACCAATTTAACTTACTTTAAAATCGCTGCCAAATTCGATCCTTCAGGTCGCGGCAGCTTCTTCATGATTGAACAATATTAAATTTAGCAAGACCATCCTGATGGTGCTCACATAGCCCGACCGCACACCCCTTTATACTCTGGAATGCTCCGTACTCCGCACGGTGTACAGAAGAGTTACACGTATGGGCCGAACCCGAACCCGAACCCGAACCCGAATCCGAAGACGAGTACGTACCCTAACCCAATCAAATCGTCCAAGAAATCAACAGATCCTGCGACCTCGAACCCTGGACCCTGGAACTCGTATGTGTAATACACCCTATATTCTGCCAACCCCCTATTTGTGTATTCCCAACTCGCCATTTCTCTGCCTAAGCCATGGATTTAATATGAGTCAAATCCAGTTACAAAACTAATGTCGCGTGCAGTCTCAGTCTTGCGACAGGTACAACGCTAAATTACGGCAGCGTGTATCCGTGTAGTTTCGTGACAGAAATAGGACAGAATGTGCCATTCGACCAAAAAGTACGCACGCATACATTTGGCTCTGTACGGTGGTATCTTTGCCTCGACAAGTAGTGGGGACGTCAAGGATCAATCATTTTTCCAGCAAATAATAGGCCTACCTGAAATCCGAATACGAATACTCCTTTACATAGCCGGTGGAAAGATAGTCAACACTTTGACGCCATCCATCTGAAACTGCACAAGTTGCATTAAATGACCGCCGGGAAGATGCTATCCAGTTGTATAACATACTGCTCCTTCCATGGTTCAAGCTATAAAAAAACGGACCATTCGAACACTCTTTCCTACAGCAAAAGGTCATCTCTCTTTGAGCGCAACAGTCTCGGTCTCACGTTGTGGGAGGTGGCTAGGGTACAATGACTAACCAAGTTTTACCAGAGTCGGAGGACCTGCCGCCTGCATCTAACCAAGATGTGCCAGCCGATAGGACTGAGCAAAGGAAAAGTGCAGGGGCCGATGATGATATGGACGTTTTTTGGGATGAGCCTGCCGACCAAGATCCCAAAAATCCGATGAACTGGAGCGTAGTGCGCAAATGGTCCATCGTTTCAATGGTTTCCTTTATCACTTTTCTAACGTATGCAACCCCTATGATCTCATATTTGACCCTCAAAAGCCTCTTCTCTAACATCGATATACAGCCCCCTCGCGTCATCTATTTTTGCTCCTGGAGTCCCCCAGGTAATGGCCGACTTTGATAACAGTTCTACAATTCTTACGACCTTCGTCATTTCTGTATACATTCTGGGGTTCGCATTTGGCCCACTTATTGTGGCACCCTGGAGCGAGTACAGTGGTCGTTTTGTGGTCTACAATGTATCTAATATGCTGTTTTTCATATTCAACATTGCCAGTGCATTAGCTCCAAATCTGGCATCATTAGTGGTGTTTCGGTTCTTGGATGGAGTGGCTGGTGTTACGCCAACAACGATTGGAAGTGGTACAATTGTTGATATTATGCCAACAGAGAGTCGTGGTAAAGCTATGGCGCTCTGGTCATTGGGCCCGCTCTTTGGTCCTATTATAGGACCAGTTATTGGTGGTTACTTGGTTGAGGTGAAGAGCTGGCGATGGGTCTTTTGGGTCCTCTCCATTGCGGTGAGTACTCCAAAGATTTGACAAGTCTATTTTTGCTTTTTATTCTTTGCTAATTTCGTGTCGTTCTCTCCGTTTCAAAATTTAGAGTGGAGCCGCTTCAATTGTATTCTTCTTTGTCGTGCCTGAAACCCACACTCCGACCTTATTGGAAAGGAAAGCCGCAGGACTCCGAAAGAAGACCGGAAATATGGGCTATAAATCTCGCCTGGACGATGGAATACCGACTACAAAACGATTCCTGGAAAGTTTCGTTCGACCGACGAGAATGCTGTTGTTCTCCCCAATTGTGGCGTCGATGTGCATTTATATTGCTGTGCTTTACGGTCTTTTGTACATTCTGTTTACCACTTTTACTTTGGTATTCGAAGGACAATATGGTTTCTCTTCGGGGGAAAGTGGCCTTTCTTTCTTGGGCAGTGGGGTCGGGATGCTACTCGGCCTTCTCTACGCTGGAATGCTTAGCGATCGTGAAATCAAGTTGCGTATTCAACGAAAGGAGGATCCCCAGCCAGAAGATCGACTTCCTTGGTATATTGCTATGCCAGGATCGCTCAGTATTCCCGTTGGTCTCTTCATTTATGGCTGGTCGGCCGATAAGCATATCCACTGGGTTGTTCCTGAGATTGGAACTGCTGTGACGGGCTTCGGAATGATCATCACTCTCATGGGTATCCAGACCTACCTGGTGGATGCATTTACGCAGCATGCTGCCAGTGCAATTGCCGCCTGCACCGTTCTTCGGAGCCTAGCAGGTGGCTTGCTTCCTCTTTGTGGACTGAAGTTATATGACAAACTGGGGCTGGGATGGGGAAACAGCCTTTTGGCATTCCTTGCGTTGGCTATATCACCGATTCCGATTTTATTCCACATTTTTGGAGCGAAGCTGAGGGCTAGATCCAGCCCTTCAAGATAGGGCTTGGTGCGAATTATGAACTCGATCTTCTCTGAAAAAAGTAAATACCTACCTAGGTACCTAGAATCCAGCATTCAGGCAGATCCACCAGTCCCGTCACCTGGGCATTCGCATGATATTAGTACACATCTGGCCATGAAACATCCACCCGGGGTCCTCAACCTTGGAAAATATATCACAACAAATACTTTTTTTCATCAGGGACTTTGACCATTTATGACTGACCTCCATACTGAATACTCCACAGTTTACCTATTCGGCTCCTAGACTTCCACAAATCCTTCTAGAGATCGGGATATATTCCTATAATTCCCTCTACCTTGAATATCCTTTCTAAGACAACATACTAGTTGAGTCTTAGCTCATATAGCCACATGTTTCTGAAATTAATAATCAAATGGGCTTGTGGTTTAGTGGTATAATACTCCCTTAGCATGGGAGTGGTCCGGGGTTCGATTCCCCGCGAGTCCATCTTTTTGCTCTTTTCCGGAAATCTTGAATGGATCTAGCTACGACAGAGCCCAATACCCCGACGAGGTTTCCTTTTGAGGTCCGGCGCTGTGATAATTTCTTGCCATTTCGAATTCCTCCAAAATATGTAGTTGAAAGTGAGAATTGCCAGCTTGTTTTACCTATGTGTATCCAATCATGGCCCTACCCAGCCCCGTGTTACTTAGCGGTTTACCCATACCGGATTTAACAGATCTGAGAGTAGCAGGTCTGATCTTGTGGCAGAAGTTTCATCCTGAAACTATTATGAATTCAATCAACTTTGAGATTTGGCATTTCACATAAATCCTTCAACAGCCGTCAACCATCCAATTCATAACTTTATCATACCAACTTGATACCCCACTCCTTGCGGATTCCTTGGAGCCAATTATCCACTGTCAGAATTTCCTCCCCAACCTTGACATTCCCTTCGCCAATTCTTTCGCGCTCAGCTGCATCGTACGCTGGAACATGCAGTGTATCATGGTGCTTAGAGCAGATCTTGGCTTCGCCAGTCCCACCTCGGAGTTTGTCCAAGCACTCTTTGTCGAACTGCACATAGTGACAGGTTTTGCACAGGTAGAAATCATCGGCATATTTCCAGTAAGTACCACAGTTGCCATCGCAGTAATTAGAGAATTCTTCAGCGTCATCCCCAGACAAGTCAGGTACAGGATTTTCCTCGTCCCCGTTCGGAGTTATCAGAGACCATGCAGCGAGAGCATCTGCATCTTGTCCGGCAAACATAAAATGGATTGCTAAACCATTATACGCTTGCCAGTCGTTGAGAGGATCATCGTCTGAGAGAAGATCTAGGTTCTGCTTGATATATGGACGCAGGATACTTCGAGCCTTTTCAACATCCCCTGGAGAATATGGTAGCGGGCGAGGATGCGGCTTGGATGCGAGCCATAGAACCCACAGACCAGATCCTCTGCGCCTTTGAATGTCGCGGCGTATTCCATGTGCTTGAGGTATTCCGTCGCACTATCTGGATACTCTTGAGCTTTGTCAAAGCAAATCAGAGCGAGCTGCGAGCAGATGACTGCCTGCTTCGCCGCAATATAGCCGTCGTGAATTTCGTTGACCGCCAGGATGCGCAGCAAATGGTCGATTGCACATTGAATTCGATCGGGGTATCCAGTGCCATGTGCTGTGCACAGGAGTGCAATCTGAGTCATGAGGTCAACCTGACACATCTGAGCCTTCCACTCTCCTGTGGTATTGCCGGCCTTCCTCTCCTGGGCGGATTGTTCCCTCGCGGCAAGAACGGCGTCGTTGTAGCCCTGGAAGATGATATCAAATTCCTGATCACCCTTTACAGACGCGAAGAGAGCTTCGTTATACAGATCTTGCTCGTAGTGCTCATGGAAATTGCGGGTTAGAAGATCGAGCCCAGTAATTCTGTCCGTGCTATCCTTCAGCGACTGTAGCAATTCCAGCAAATTTTGGTGTTTTCCTTCTTTGTGCAACAGCGAAATAAGGTTGTAAGTGGTGCCGTAGTCTTCCGGGTAGACCTTCAATCGATTCTCGTAAATTGCGAGAGCCGCTTCGCCGCGGCCGAGCTCTCTGTTCCATTTCGCCAGGTCATTATTGATATCCACCAACCAGTCTTCGAGCTCTTCTGGATCCCCAATTTCCCCACTCTCAATACCTTGCTTTGTGGCCTCGAGGGTCTCAATGGCTGCGGCAAAGTCACTCTTCATTCCATAACACTCCGCCAGGCCAATCTGAGAAAACCAGTTCTCTTTGGCAAGTGTAGATGTGATTTTGAATTGCTCGATGGCTTCGTCGAACTTTCCGTAGTCGCGCAGAGTTCGCGCCAAATTGCGGTTCTCCTCATAGTCGAGTTTCTCGATTCCGATCCGCTGCTGGGCCCAGGTCACGGCGGCCATGATGTGGGAAGGCTCGATTTGAGAAACATCGGGATCCGCGGTCACACGTACATAGCTAGAGTCCTTCCGGTTTTCAATCTGCAATCTGTTAGCTTGTCATGTCAATTGGAAACAGATTGATAGTTTTACCTTTGAGATATAGCCATGAGCGGCGTCAAACAGGAATGCAACACCGTCTGCGCCGGACTGGAGCCATCGGCGAGCAAGAAATCTGCCGACGTGTTCAAGAAGATCTGCCTCAAGTTCGGATTTGGAACTGAGACTCTTGATCCATTTTCTCTGTTCCTCCGGTATATTCTTAGTGACAGCAGAATCCTGCAACCATCTCAAAACAACGTCGGCGTAAGAATCAACATAAAGCCATTGCTTCCGCATCCAATTGTTACTTAGGATCCACCACCGCTCAATGACCTCGTCATCAGTGAAAACTTTCACTAACTGCGGACCCAAAGCTATTTTGTGTCGTGGCAGTGTTAACGAAGGATCCGCGGACTCGAGATGATCACCGAAATACTCGACTGCATATTCAAGCAGAGGGTCAAGGCCTGGTGACTCCTTAGCACAGATGACCTCTAAGCAGGCCGAGACGATCGTCAGGTGTGCCATATCAGCATTGACCCCAACACGAGCGGTCTTGCCCTTGAGTTTGCGCTGGAAGAAATCTTCGAATCCGAACTTGTCAAACAATTTGGGATCGCAAACGGATTCCAAGAACCGTCGGACAATTCTGACCTCAGAATCATTCACATCGCCTGTGTCTTTCAAGCTTTCCTCATCCTCCTCCTTTTCTGGACCTGAGATTCCGCGCAGAAAATCGGCAATTGAGTCGGAGACGAAGTGGACACGCGCGGCCGCAATATGGAATACCGAGGAGTACTGATCTCTGATTTTCTCAGCCAGAGGCCGGAGAGAGGGCTCGCGGGATTTCAAGAAAATAACCGCCTCCAATTCCTCAAGTGAGAGAGGACGGAACGAAAAAAGGACCCAAGTCAGCAAATCGTTCAAATCAGAGATATCCTCTTCGCTAAGACTTTCGTTGAGGAACTCGATCTTGCGAGCAATCGTATCTGACCGATCTTCGCCCGACCTGGACAAAATTTCACGGATCTCGCCTGGGCGTTGCTTGCCACTAATTTCGTCCAGGAGAAGTCCGACATTGACGAAGTCGCCGTTTGTTTGGTTTGTGAGAGCTTCCAAGACTTCCTCCCGGAGAGACCTCACCTGCTCAGACGACCCGCTCAGGTTATCCATCTTATTCATGCGGTCGTCGATAAACTTGACCATATCGTGGCGGTTCTTGGATGCCATATCAAGAACCGAAATTCCGTCTCCGAGCTCAGTCTTAATCTTTGCAACTGTCTCCGTCCGGCCAGTCAGGAGAATGCGAAGAGTAAACCGAGGCCATTCGACAGACTTGGATCGCCAATTGCCTAGCACATCCACAAACTCTTTGAGATGTTGTTTATCAATTCGATCCACGCCATCCAGCAAGAGAAAGAAGGTGGAATCGGTTTTATAAGATTTGCCGAAAAGTTGATTGCAGAGATCGCCGATCTGGTTCACACCGACTGTATTCACCGAGCCCAAATCCTTTCTGTATAACATGTCCGATTTAGCAATCTGCCAGGCAAGGGCCTCCAGAGCCTTGACCAGAGACGTATCTTTCGTTTCATGGTCAAAGAAAGAGTATGCTGCAGATTTGCATGACATTTCGTCTCCACCTTCACCACACAGTTCTTGCAGGCTCCTCGCAATGGCGGTAAAGAGGAAAGATTTTCCAAACCCCTCATCCCCAGCCACGCCCAGAATTGAAAATCGCGACTGTGTATTCAACCACGCTGTATACAGAGGGTCTTCTTGAAGCCATTCTCCGCTACCCTGAACTTGGTCATTCAAATGACGTTTGAAGATAGCCTGAATACTCTTCATTGTCTCGCTGGGATTGTCAAGGTTATTATCAATATTGCTCAAAAGTCGCTGCGCCACGTTGTCGGCATCTCTCTTCTTCTCAAACGTCAAAAGCTTATCAACAGAAGCGGTGACTTTCTTCGTTCCATCGCGGGTTTCCACGATAACTTTCTCGCTGATTTTCTGGGACTCGAATCCCAGCGTCGCGCGCATCTGGGATTCACGTTCAACGAGTGAAGCCAAACGGCCCAATTGACCGCTAACACCTTCGTCGCTGTCGAAGGCGAAAACCTTGAGCGCGGTGAGGATCTTGTTTCCCCTCATCACCCTAATTGACAAGGCGCAAATATCAACAAAGCACACCAACTCTTCGTTGATGATCTTGCGCAGGGCGATATCGACTGCTTCCGCCGGTAATCGCATGTAGATCTTGCATCGCTCAAGCACATCAGAGATTCGCCGAAAGAGCTCGGCCAGACTGCTGAAGATGCGCTTGTATTTGGCTCCGACATCAACGAGGTATGAAATCGCGTTGAAGCAAAGACTGCTCGGAGCAAAAACCTAGAATCGCCGTGTCAATCAATGACATACACCCTTGCACCCCTTCCGATCATCAATTAACTCACCATGCTGGCACCTTGAGCAGCTATGCCGCCCAACAGCATGATAAACTTGCTCGTCTTGGCGATAGCATCCTTGGCGACCCTGTATTTATTATGTTTCTCATCGTCATCCTGCTGCTTTTGATGAATCTGGTCGAGGACTTCATCAACAGTGAAAGTCGGGGATTTGGTCAGATCGACCTTGGCGGTCTGCGCAAAGGCCTGGCATGCCTTATTCCACGCCTCCTGGATATTATAATCGTCTGGGATATCAGCGGACATCTGAACGACAATGTGAGTACCAGTATGTCCTGTTATGTTCTTCTGGCTGAAGATTGATTTAAAGTGCCCACCGGGTGGGTAGATCCCTCGGAGTATTTATTTTATGTTGGGCGACGAGACCAGCTGAAGACAAACGGCATCGTCGCCCCGAGAAAGCGGCTGAGGATTGCTGCGTAAAAAGAGGGGTGGCGCCATCGCGGTAAAGAGATAGGGTAGAATTTTAGCTTACAGTAAGCTCGGAAATTGGGCCTGCTTATGCCCAGCTTTGCTGTGTTAAGCGCGCATATATTGTACTACGCTCGGTGGTGAGATTGTCTTATGACATTTATAGAGTAATTTCGGCACAGCCGTGACGATTGAACTCTCAAACTACTTTGTGCAACAAGGAATCTCAATTATACTGAATCTAATAATTTCGAGACGAACTGGTGAAGATGCCGTTGACGATCTTGTAAAAATCCCCTGCCCCCACTCGGTCTCGCTAACGATTGGATGAAGACGGTGCGTGTCAGCGGGGATTGCCGAGCAGTTTCCTTTCAGGGGCAGTGTACTTCGCACACAGCTCAGCTAACTCAGTCACAAAACGTGCGTAGGAGTACCTATACAAACTTGGTAGTCTACGAGAGCGAATTGTCACATTAAATCACTGCTGTTTTTACAAAGGGGCTCAGGATAATGATCGCTGAGTGATTATGACCATGGACCGTCAGTGACTTACCCCAAGTAAGCCCTACGTAGTGCCCGGTGTTTACTGTCCAATTATAAATTAGCAGCAGGTGTGGAGCTATATTACTAAGAGGCTTAATAAGGTACATAGTTACTGGGCAGCCTTTGGAAGCTGTCTAGACCGGAGGCTCACTATATCGGTAGGTTTCTCCAGTGTTAAAAAAAATCTGTTGACCCAGCGAGAGACGCGAGAACTTTGGAAATGAAGAGAGTTGGAATTAGCCGAATGTGCACCTTAAATAGCCTTATGTTGACATTATTATGAAATAGGAAAGGCCTTATTCATGGCTTCAAACTGCATTAAAATTGCATTGAAAAATTGAGGAAGCAAAATCAAAGTGAATTCTCTGAATGATTGGAGACCCTTCCCATTATTCATTTGGGCTTGTGAATTTTATTGGCAGCGACTTACTAGCAGTCGCTTGACGGTCTCCTAAGATCGAACTGGCGCGCTGTTTCACTGGAATTATCCTTTTAAGTACTACTGACCTTAGCACATATCTCAGTTCAGCTATTTTTGAGGTTAGATAACCTTCATGACGAGGATGATTGAAATCAACTCCGAAGCCGACTTTTCAGCGCATCTAGCCAGTCTTCAACTTTCACGCTCCTCATAGTCTATTTCTATACCCCATGGACCAAATATTCCGCACAAATGAGTGCCGGCATGTTCATACTTGCCTTACAGAGCCCAGATACTGTTCCACATACCACCCCTCGTTTGGCGGCATCAATACCAAAACGCTGGCCAACATTGCAAAAGACTACAACGTTCCAGTAATTCCCTATGTTCTTTCCCTGCGTAGTAATCAGCTCCTCGAGTCAAATCAGACCATCTGGTCCAACTTCATTCGTCAATACTCGGTCGGCAAAGCCGTCGGGTTTGAGAATTCTGCATTATGTTCATAACCAATTTAGAGAGCTGTTAATACAGAGCAAGTCAACAAGCCAAAACCTGCTTCTTTGCAAGGCTTTAGATATGAAAACCGAACCAATGTATACAGCCTTTCGCAAGTACCAAGTAAATATACTAGGTACTCCGAGTCCGATACGGCGTGTAGTTGCCCTTCGCTATGTTAAAGCCAGAGGGATCTATATACTTTCAAAGACTGAATAAGCTTCTCACGTCCATTCCAAGCATTTGAATGACACTGATCTAGCGCCCGACCGGTGTCAATCGGTTCTCCCTACATGTAAAAAAAACGCTCGGATATTTAGAGAGCATCCATCCAGAACATCTGCAGTACATGAAATTAAGTGCTTGGACCTTGCATCGGATTTCGGGTACAGAGTGCGGAGAGTTAGATGCACGGACATGGACTCAAATTGACTCCGTGTCCGTACGATAATCCCGCTGACCACGTAAACCGATTGACGACGGGTCTCAGATCTCAGATCCCCACGTCATTAACAAATTCTTCTCTCCTGATACGTCAAAATATCACGAGTTTGTCTAGGACCTAGGTAGGCTCCAGGATTCAAATGACATTCTAGTGAAACCCCCGCGAGTACCCCACCACAGCATCGCGTATCTGACAGGCTCGGAATTCAAATCTGGCCGCCCCGAGCACAAAGCTAACACGCGTGGCTTCATTTGCCTCTTTTTAAACAAGATTCCCCAGAATTCCTCATCATTTCGTAGCCTTTCATGGGCATTCTTATCTCCTGTTCAATTCAACATGCATAATCTTGTCGGACTTCCACCTAGTCTGGTACTTGTGCTGGTCACAGTGCTAGGAGCCATAGCCTACGTATTCCTCAAAGGTTACTTTATCCGTCGCCAGTTTGCACGCGCCCACGGTTGTCAGCCAGTGGCGAGGTCTGCCAACAAAGACCCTTTCTTCGGGCTTGATATGATCCCGGGGACTATCCGGGCGCTGAAAGAAAACAGACTAATTGCAAGAACCCCGGAGTTTTATCGTCGTTATGGCAATACACACACCGTCAGGGGCCTGATTTCGCAGCAGATAGCGACTATTGAGCCAGAAAATATTAAGACAGTTCTATCGCTTAACTTCAAAGACTATCGTCTCGGATTTCGTCTTCCTTCCTTCAAACCGCTTCTGGGAGAGGGTATATTCGACACGGATGGCGAACAATGGGCCTCATCGCGCGCTCTAATTCGGCCTAGTTTCAGTCGCGACCAGGTGGCCGATTTGACGACTCTTGAGAATCTGATTCAAGATCTTTTCGCGCTACTGCCGCGCGATGGGAGAACCGTTGATTTGCAGGAATTATTCTTCCAATACACTATTGATTCCGCGACGGAATTTCTTTTCGGTCAGTCGGTTGGGACGTTGAAGAAGTCGCAGTCGGAGCAATCGGAGCGTGGCTTTGCTGAGGCATTCTATAATGCCCAGAAGGCTATTTTGACGCGTGGTATTCCATTTCCACTGAAGTTTTTCTTCTCTCATGATGAAGCTGAGGCCGAGAAATATAATCAGATCTGTCGAACATTTGTTCAGCAGTTCGTCGACGAAGCCTTCCAAGCTGTCGAGCTTAAAAAGCCCGAGACCGAACAATCGGACTCTGAGACAAAGCGACGAAAGCGTATCTTCTCGCATGAGCTCGCAGCACGAACCACTGACAGAACTCGCGTTCTTGACGAATTGATGAATGTTTTGCTGGCAGGGCGCGATACTACTGCGAGTCTGCTCAGTAATTTATTCTTTGTCCTGGCCAAGGACCCAGCAATCTGGGAGAAGTTGCAGAGGGAGGTCGCCTTTTTGGAAGGTCGACCACCAACATATACGGAGCTGAACAACATGAAATACGTCCAATGCTGCATGAATGAATGTAGGATAACCCCCTTGCATTCAAAATTAATATCATACTTTCCCACCAATCTTGAAGATAGGTTCTAACCTTTCTAGCATTACGCTTACACCCCGTCGTGCCACGCAACCAGCGCGAGGCAATTCGAGATACCGTCCTACCCGTTGGTGGAGGTACAGATGGTCTCTCTCCAGTGTTTGTATCGAAAGGAACCTTCGTATCCTACAATGTATACGCGATGCATCGACGAGCGGACATTTATGGACCAGATGCAGAAATTTTTCGTCCAGAGCGCTGGGAAGATGGAAAACTGCAACCTCGTTGGGGATACTTGCCATTCAACGGTGGTCCCCGGATTTGCATAGGTCAAAGATATGCGTTGACCGAAGCCGGATACGTTATTGTTCGGATGGCTCAGGAATTTCGCGTGCTGGAGAGTCGAGATCCTGGGCCATGGGAGGAGTCAAGAGGGTTGACTGTTACCTCCCGGAATGGAACGAAGGTAGCTCTCACAGCTGATTGAACACTGTACGAGGGATAGTACGCGTGTAAGAGAGGACTCAAGAAATTTGATTGATGATACTCAATTGGGGAAGAGAAAGTTTATGAGTAGGTTAAGTTCTTGATTGATATCCCTAATATTTGCACCCGTTCCAAGGCTCTAGTGGGGGAGCCGACAGTGGCCGCAGTAATACTGGCGGTGTTGATTCCTGTATTTTACATTATTTCCTTGAAAATCGAATATTTTTAGTATGTATTTGCTATGGTAAAGTAATTACTGTCGCTTCTCACTTCATACAATTATTTGGAAACATCAAAGCCGAGCCGACATCGAATAATATTCAGAAAAAGCCGAAGACGAATGAACAAAATCCATCTTGGTATGCAGCCTTAGACCAGTGAATTATCCCGCTTCAGATTATGGTCCGCACGCATCCATTGAGTACGAACTATAGTATGATTATAGTTGGAACACCTGTGTCGGCAGACGGATCGCAAGGGATGCATTCCGCAACAAAGTCGCTTTTCCGTACCGAATGACTTTGACTTCATGCATCGGGTCGAACCTCGATGGCTCAGGGAAGCAGACAGAGCCATCGCCTTCCCAAACCTCGCTGGCCTCCATGCTGATGTCGACTGGTACCAATTCCTTGACGGACGGACTGTGACCCGGAACCACCGAGGGGATGACTCGCAAATTTAATCCCTGGATGGTTGTCTCAACTGCGCCCTTCACTCTTTTTTCAGGCTGGAAATTAACTTCAACGACCTTTTGACCTACTGGTCTCTCCACGTATCCGTGAATAACCGTCGATCCACTTTTCAACACTAAATCCACGTTCCCAAGTTTCTTAGGGAATCCGAATTGCTCCCGACCGCAGGATATTGGCGAATCATTGTCTAGGATGAGGAAAGGAAGTAGTCAAATGTGTCGCCATTGTATTTGACTTTAACCGAGTGGACATACTCATTGTATGGGCCGAAGGATGTCATTGTGTGCTGCAAGATCATTACTGATACCTGTGGTTCGTCCTCAAGCTCTAGCATGTCCGGCACAAGATGGCGCACACATTGAACGGATGTGTGATAGGAAACGGTGAGAACGGATTCACTTATATAGTCACTGCCACCCACAGGATATGGAGGAGCATACTGTGGAATGGCCGTGTTGGATACCGAGAGTGAGCCAAATGGCATTTTGGAGAATTTAGAGCAATAGCAATATTTTTCTGCGACAAGAATATAATCAATAGCTGGTTTATCCAGGGTGGAGGTAAGTATAAATACATTTAAGCTACAGAATGATGTCGTGTGCTAGAACCAAATGCTGTCGATGAAGGTCTGGCCACATTGTAAAACCATGGAAACTTGGATGCGCGACAACAAGTAGGTCGAATTTGGTCAAATAGGCTCATATTGTAAGTGGTCTAGACAATCCAGTGAACTCCGATTTGGCAGGGAAACCCGGTAGCCAACACCTCACCATAAAAGGGGATCAGCAGACTCCTTTGCGGCTCCATCATGGATAACTTTGTAGCAATCCTAGCAACCGTACTCCGTAATGAACTCCATTGCAATTTCTCGACCCTTCATTGGTCTCCCGCCTTACACCGCGCCACCCGCCATGTGGAGTGGGAATCAAATGAACACCCCAGGATTCACTCAGCGGTCCATTGCAATGTTTGATTTGTTTTATGATTCATGGAATTGCAGCAAGACATAGCAGCACGAGTCGGTAGCAAGATTTTATATTGCAATATACGTAAGCTATCGTGTGTAGAATGCTACAGGACCATCAATATTCCAGAGCCCTCTTTAATACTACAAGCTATTTGTTCTTGGTATTAAGGAGAGTGTAAGTGGCGAGAGCAACTTCGAGACGTATTGTTACTGATCAGAGAGATACGAGTATCTTGGTGAGTGCCACTTCAGGGCTGAAAGCCAACAGTGAATCCCAAATGGTGGATGTCTCTCTCCTATCTCCTAACAAATGTAGAAGACGCATTGATTATCACCTTTATCATCGATTAGTGCTCCGTAGAACAGTTTCTATCCCTAATGCCAAATCCAGTGCGAAGATCTCTCCTTTTTTCTGGCATAATGCGGTTCAAATTCCCGCCGCTTTGGTGTACTCGTACCCCTGATTGCAGTCTTAAACACCCTCCATTTCCTTTCTGACCTGCTTTCTGTCCATCATAAAATTACCTTTCGTTTTATCCGTCAAATGCATTTCAATATTCACTCTGTCTCTATGTTGCTCGCTAGTTTAGCTGCAGCTGAGACCCTCTCTACCACGACTTCTCCCTCTATCACTCCCACTTCAGCTCCCTACTCCTCCGCCCTCTCAAGCCGTGTATCTACGACCCCATCCCAATCATGGTCCTCAGTCGCAGCGGCCGGATCTTCTCAGGCCGCTAGCGGCAACTTGAACCCCGATGATTTCGACTGCGTATACGAAAACTACGGTTGCGATTGGACCAAGTCCGAGTACGGCTACGGTGCCGACTACTGCGGCTCCTCGCCATATAAGGCTGGCCATAAGCTGTCTGATGGCGGTGTGATCCTTGCTGTATCCAAGGACGGCAGTGGAGATTGTGAATCGAAGAAGCCAATGCTGTACAGTTCTGGCCAATGAACCCTGCAAGCGGGGTGAGAAGTACTTAGAATGCCATCGAGCTTGATCTAAGGTATGCAGAGTTTGAATATTTCCGGGATGTATGGTTATTATGATTTGCCATATGTTGACCTTGTGTACACTGTCCAGGTATCCGCGATGATATTATGGAGGTGTATGAACGGGTATACCTACTAGCCAGCCCTTGCCGTGTATACTCTTTTCTGATTGACGCTTGTTCAGAATTCATAAAGCCGCAGGATGTTTCAATGATGCATTATACTAGATATCACTAGCAAATGTCGATGTTAAAAACCTGTAGGTACCACCGGCGGAGAAAAAGGCCAGGTCCAAGAAACATTACATTTCCAGATGGCCCAAAATTTACACTGATTAAGTGTCCCAGTTATGTTCAAAAAGTATCCTCCACATCGCGATGAATCAAAGACATTCCATGGGTGGGAAAGCTTAAATCATATCCAAATGCGGGGAACTGCTGACCCGCCGACCCAGGGTCGCAGGGTAGCATGATAGCAAACGTTATACTGGTAGTACGGGGTATACGTTCATTAGTCGAGTAAAACCAACCAAAGAATAAAAAAAGTGAATTGATTGCGGAGTAAACTATGGACAGGCGTCACGGTGATGTCACCACCACAACTGTGGGGAGTTGGGTGGGACCGGATCAATCAAAGAATACCGCATTGCAGAGAAAAGAAACAGAGAAAGAAAGAAAGGCCGAGCTTCAAGTCGATAAAGTAGTCGAGTCTTGAGACTGTATCCCGAGCCAGTCAAAGAAAGTTGATCGCAGACGTAAAAAGAAAACGAGGACGAGTCAGAGCAGAGCAGCAGGTTAGGTCAGGCAAGGCGCGGTGAAACAAAGACTGCGGGGTAAGTCCAAAGTATGAAGCGCACGCTGGTTACGAAGTTGAAGTCGGGGAGCGCGGGTCCTCATCTTCCTCGAGAATGCCCTGTTCAATGAGATCTTCAGGTTGGGGGCGGTTCTGAATTTTGTGCTCGAGGTTATCGGCCAACATATGTTTTTCCAGTTCGCGGGCGTGGGCTTGGAGAGCCGGGGCGGCGTTTGTGGCGGGGAGAATGTTGCCTTTTGAGTAGTTAGCGAGTATTACCGTGATGGCTGTCGATGTCATGGGGATAGAGAAGGTGGCTTAGTGTTGATGAGAGAAATGAGAAAAATGAGACGGTATAGGCATACGCTCGATCAGTTCCTCGCGCTCTGGTCGCTTCTCCAGGTTCTTCTTTAGGTTATCTTGGGTACGCTGGCGATCGAGCTCCTGGCGAGCGGCTTGAAGAGAACTGTAGTAGTAGTTGGTTAGGAATGAAATCGACGAGAAAAAAAATACTCAGCATAGCATTGGAGATAGGCGTACGGAGAAATGTTTGTGTCAAGCAGAATGTGACGGTCCTTCAGGTCCTGAACGTCGGGGCGCATCTGGAGGTGCTTCTCCAGCGAGTTGCGGCGCTCGTGGGGGGCGGCGCTGAGAGGAGTCTCGTCGACGCTGGCCATAGTGATGGTGATTATAGTAGGATTGGATAAGAGAAGGACTAATGTCAACTATTGTGAATGTAAAAGAGAAGGAGGGAGGAAGTGTAAGAAAAGAAGAAAAGAAGAGAAGAAGGTGTGAAGTTGAAGTTGAAGTCAAGTGAGGCGGACCACGGGACTGTCAGCTGACCAGCAACAACAGCAACAACAGTGCACAACTGGCGATCTACAGGGAATATTGGAATATAAAATATAAGAATATAAGAATATCAGTACTAGATGAAGAGATAAATTCATGTAGATTCAAGAGAGATCCACTATCTAAGCCGGCCCAGCTCATGGGCGACCAGTACCCACTCCCAAGAAAAGCCCACATCAAAGTCAAAGGCAAAGGCAGAGGAAGAGGCACAAAGGCAGTGCCCAGGAATATACCTCCAGTCATCCGTCACCTTCATCACATCACATCACATCACGCCAAATCTGCTGACGCTAGTTCATGCAGTTTGGGGTCATCGCGACCGATCATGTGGGGAATCGGGATGTGGAGGAAAAGCTTCATGCCAAATGAGATGCCATGGGCCAATGGAGGATAGGGGGGAGAGACAGCAACAAGTGTCAAGTGTCAAGTGTCAAGTGCAAGTGCAAGTATCCCCCTTCCACGATGTCCTGTTGACAGGAAAGAAGAAGACGAATTCGTTCCGTTCAGGTGGATATGCAATGGTTGTACAAAAAGAAGACTCGGTCTGTCGAACGCCTTGAACGATATCCAAAAATAAAGAATTTGTCCAAAGGAAAAGGGGATCGACAGACCCGCCCGGCTCTTCAAGGAACCCACAGCTTGCCCCGACCTCGTCCATTGCCGCGTGCAGCACCCCGACCAGAACCTCCACGACGCCCACCACTGGGTGGCCGGCGTGAGGCACCCGAGATGTTTCGGGCCGCTCCTTGCTGCGTGCTCAGATCGACCGGGGGGGGTCTTATTGGGACCGAACGATCGGCTGAAGGAGTTCGGGTCGATAGGTTGTGTGGGGACTTCGATCGGAGCAGTCTCGGTCGTGATGGGTGCGGCTGGTGCAGGCGTGGATGCGGAAGCGGGCGCGGGTGCGGGCGCATTCTTGGTTTTGCTCTTTGGGGCGGCCTTGCGAGAAGAAGAACCAGCCTTGGCTCCACGAGGAGGGTTGTTACTACCTTTTCCACGACCTCCACCTCCACGGGGCACGAAGACTAGTTCATCTTCCTCGCTATCCTCCTCGTAGGAAAGGAGGGTCTTCGGTTGGTCCGCGGTGGGTTGGGTCTGAGTCTTCTCAACGTATTTGCAGCGATTCTTGAACTCGCGCTCTTCGTACTGGATGGCTGTGCGTAGTTGAACAATATTCTTGACTCCGATCCCGAATTTCTGAGCCCACACCTGCGTCGCGCGGTCGTTGGTGACCAAGATGCAGCCCTTGGCGGAGTTTTTAGCATCCGGCCCGCCATGGAGTCGCCACAAGAGAGCGCTCAGCAACGGTCGCAAAGTAGGCGGAGCGACCGGGATGATCGACCCGGATGCCGTGCGCAGATGTCCCGACTTGGGTTTGTCCAATTTGGCCGTGCCATTCTCGTGCTGAGCGCACTCCGGGCTGGTGCGCGAACTGCGGGAGGATGTGCGCGAGCCCGGCCCGCTGGGCGAACCGGCGGACTCGATCGATGCAGCCTCGGCCTCGGGCTTAAAGTTCAACTTGCTCAGCAGCATCTGCGAGAGATCTGCCGGGTCGGCTGTGCCATTGGTTTCCTGAAATCCGGGTGTAGAGAGGGAATGGTCCGCTTCGTTCATCAGGTCGGGTTCTTCCTCGAATTCGGGGAGAAAGAATTGTTCGGCATCTTCCCAGTGCTCGTACTGTTCCATCGGTCCTTGGAGGGTAACGCGGTCGGCGGTAATCTGATCTTTGCCGGAGGTGACCCGGTCGAGGAAGCGAACGGCCTCACGGGCATTGATGGCGATTTGCGATCCCGCCCGTTTCATGGCATGAAGGCGTTCGAGGGCTGGCGGAGAAGAGTGTTAGATCAGCATAGTATAGTGCAGGGCAAGCAGGGGGAGGCTGGCGATCTCGCTGGTTCAAGTGAGGCGAATTCAGCAGAGAATGATCACTCACTGTAAAGAGGGACAATGAGGTCGATAGCCCCGTTGGTGGTCCATTTCTTGATTTCGCTGATGTTGGTGGTCAAAGCCGTCTCATCCACGGCGCAGTGAAAAACCTTGCGTCCGGTCGACATGACGGTAGGAATGAGGAGAAAGGGGGTACTAGTAGAGGGCAGAAGTGCCCTATACTGAGGGGGTTGAGGTGTTGACAGCCGCAACTTGGTGGAGGACTGGAGTCAGCAGAGAAGGAGGTTGGAGTTGGGAATGTGGGGGCACAGCGGGCACAGCGGGCGGCGCGGGTATGGTGCATCGAGCAGAAATGCATCAGACTCGGGGGTAGTCGAGAACAGAAATACTCACGAGAAGGTATGAGTGGAGTGATCGGCATCTGAAGCATATTTGGAAAGGAAAGCATTGAGAGACTCGAAGTTCAAAGGAAGTTGAGAGAGCAAAGAGAGAAGAGAAAGAATGAAGAGAAGTGAAGTATGGATGACTAAGCGGGGAGTACAACTATTTGATGGGAGGAGTAGTATAGTAGTACTACTAGTAGTATTATCAAGGCAGAGATGATGAATTTGAGTAGAAATGAGAATGAGGATATGAATTGAGACATTTTAATCAATGCTACTTAGGTATGATTAAAAGTTCAACTGTTCTTGACGGTGAGTGGTGAGTGGCAGTGGTGAGTATTGACTCGGAGGGATATAGTGCCCGTAGTCACGATATATAAACAAATGAACTTGAACTTGAATGATAAACTTCAATGAGCTGGGAGATACGCTGAGACTAAACCGTAATCGTAACTGAACAGAGTGGTGAGTACTGAAATGGGATATGTGAGTAAGTGAGTAAGACTGCTAACATCTATGCAGTCTCGCCGCCGAGTAGTGTACAACCTCCACCCTCCACCCTCCACCCTCCACCCTCCACCCTTACGCCTTCACCTTCTTGATGAGTCCATCTGACTCCTTAACTCTCTGTGCCCATTCACTAGAGACAGTTAGCATAATCGATTAAGAAAACACCCCTAGGTAACTAATACTCACGTCCAGCTGCCATCATACACCCGGCGCAGGTTCGCATCTCCATACTCCGCCTCTCCCAGTGCAGTCTCAATGATCGAAGCAGTGACACCAGTGCCACAAGAGCTGATGATTGTCCGACTTTCATCCACCTTATTATCCTTAAAGACCTTCCGGAGGTCCTCAGCGGGCAGATAAGTCTTCGTCTCCGGATCGAGCAGTTGTTGGAAGGGCAGGCTACGCGAGCCTGGCACATGGCCCGAGGACAGACCCGCTCGAGGCTCAGGATCGGTACCAGCCCAGCGACCATACGATCTCGCATCCAAGATCTCCACCTCCTCGGCACCCTCCTTTCCATAGTCTCCAGCCAGCTCCTTCATCTCGCGGAAGGAAATCACCAACTTCGAGTCATAAGTCGGGACGGAATACTTACTCTTCTCGAACTGGGCTGGCTCCCCACTTTCCGTCGGAAGACCCTGCTGAGTCCAAAGACGATAGTTGTTCAAGATGTGCACATTGGGGTGACCGAACACCCGCAGGGTCCAGCCCACACGGGGGGCAGAGAAGATACCCAGCTCAGCAGTGTCGTACACAACCACCTCGTCATCACGACGGATTCCTAATTCACTCATGGCCTCGGCGAATGTCTCGCAGGTCGGAAGCATGTGGGGATAAGGTGAATCCTTGTCTTTGATAGCATCGAGGTCGAAGAATCGCGATTGCGGGATGCGAGATTGACGGAAGGACTTAATTCCCGTTCGACCCTCGGGGTCATTTGGCATGAACCATGCTGCACAGAGCGGGATAACCCTCGGCGAAGTGGAGATTTTGGTCGGTGGGTTCTTCTTCAAGGCTTCGTTCAGTTGTATAGGGGTGACCAGGTATGAGTTGAAGGAAACATTGCGGGTGGACTGACGGCCAGCAAAAGCCGAGACGGGGGCGGACATGGAGGAACGAAAGGCACGAGTAGGCTGCACAGAACGAAAAGCCATGGAAGCCATGGTTTCGGGGTGTGAGTCGGATTAAATGTAAGAAGAGAGAGAGGAGGAGAGGGGAAGTGGAGGTGGAGGTGCAAAGTGGAGGCCGAAAGGGAAACTGCGGAGAAGCGGCAGCTCATGTGATGATAACAACATCCACCACACACGTGCTTATCTTTTCACATCACAACATCAACACTCTACTACACTCTACTACACTGCTGCAACATGAAAGTCACCCTTAAGGAATGGAATGCCATCGCCACTTGGCACTGGGACATCCCAGAAGATGAGGTCTGTGGTATCTGTCGCGTCCAGTTCGACGGCACCTGTCCGACCTGCAAATTCCCCGGTGACGATTGTTCCCTGCGTATGTCCCACCTAGAGGCAATCTCCAATTTCTCCCTGAAACATGACTAATGCTGATCCATTGCGCAGTTCTCGGCAAATGCGGCCATTCGTTTCATATGGTGAGACTCCCTCCCTCCTGCCTGTGGGCCTGTGGAACTACCCGTGGGACTGACCGACTTCTTCCGAATAGCATTGCCTTTTAACCTGGATCCAACAAGAATCCTCCAAGGGGTTATGTCCAATGTGTCGACAAAGTATGTCTCCAATTCTTCGGACAATTTCTATCTCATCGAAGTATAGTCTAACAACATTCAGAATTCGAATGGAAACAAACTGAGGAGTCGGAAGAGGCATAACCCACTACTGCATGCATGGTTCGGGCGGAGTTCATTGGTGCAAGGATACCCTTTCTTTCTTTTGTTGCATACTTTCTATGTATTTTGGCATATTTTACATCAGGCTACCCTAGTCTAGCTTTGGGATGGAGACAGCTCTTATCGTCTGCGATTAATAACGAACTGAAGATCAATTATTCAAAAAGATGGATTCATAATATCAAACTGATATTGCGCGACTTGAGTGGAGTACAAAACTTGACGTTGAAATCTTCCGCCTGGAAATGGATTGAATAAAACCTCCATCAGTACATGAAGCAATCCGGAGGTCAAATTGCGTCATATCGAGGATCGTCTTCCTCCCTTCGTAGAATGCCAAGCCTTTTCAGCCCTATCGTGATTCTCCTCATCCTTTGCGCTGGAGATCATCTCGGCACGCCGACGACGTTCAACCCCTTCCGGATCGATTCTGCATAAAGCAGAATCAATCTCTTCCCGTGTATAATCGTAGCCTTGATCCCGGAAATGGGCATAGAGTGAGTGTTCTCCAAAATAATCAATAGCTCCATCCTTAAGTTCAATTGACACTATAGCGTCGAGCTTGAACCTCTAGCGTTCTCGTTCAGCTTCGGGATTGGTCGTACGGAACTGATTTCCAAGACGACTTCGATGCGAATAGAGAGCTTGCCCTGTCATTCTGAATCCTTTTTTTCTGAGCACTTTAAGGACCTCTTTTGGACCTAGATGACGAGATAGATCTCGGAGAAGCGTATCGAGATCTTCGAGTTGAACTTGTGGGTTCTCAGATCGAAGTCTTTTTGAAGCAATGTATCGATTGAGTGTCGATTTGGTGACGTTAATGTCGTACTTTTCAAGAAGAAGACGGCTGATATCATTCGCTGTAGATCCATGGTGAATGAGATCGACAATCTCTTGGCGATGTGGATCAAGAGAGATCGAGGGCGTCATTGCGTGTGTGAATAGCTTCAGAGAGTGTTGGTGTAGATAAGCAGTGTCAGAGATAGTGAAAATGGCTGGCCAAGATGGAGATGGGATGTAAACAAACATAACGTGTAGCCGGTCGTGTTCTCAATGCCCTCATTTGCTAGTATCTAGTAGTAATTTATAAGGGCGGAATAGCTTCAAAAGGGGGCAAGTGCGGCGAGGTTGCAGCGCCAAGAGGCTTGGTTGAATATAAGCCAGTTGACAGGTCCAAACTGCAATTACACTTTCCCTCGCAGCTCTCTTCCAGTACCACCACACTGTTTTCAAGTTTTTTCAAACACCCCAGGGCTCAGTACACTAAATACACATATTTGTATTCTCGCGGTTAGTCCTAAGTTTTACCATTCAATCGTATTATTCTCACTAATGTCAAGTAGTCTACTGATTTGATGGCTTTAAGTCCACCAAACGCGACGATGGAACATGGAAACCTTGGAACTGAACAGCCCTGGAAGATGATATTTTGATATTGCTAATTTCAAGGCGGATCAGCTTCTCATCTAATCCATTGGTGAAACCCCGTCCATGACCGACACTGAAATAACACTAGCAAGAGGGCCTTTAAAGCCCTTGTGGCCCCATATAGAGTACCATGTGATAGCAATGATCAAAAAGCCAGCAAAGACCGCAAAAGCATAATTGATGGTCTCAGCGGTGACAGGGAGATACGATGGCATGCAAAATAGAGGAATTGCAAAAGCGGACCAACCTTAACATAGAGTTAGAGTTAAAAAGGGTGACAATACCATCAGTAGTAAGTGGCTTGAGTAAGGGCGACATACAGAGTGAAACGATATTGCAAAATACCCCAAGCTTCCCGAGCGAAAACTTTCCTTTCTTAATGTCCTTTCGACCTCCGAAGAGAGAGGCTGCGATCGGAATCGCATAGCTCACTGTTAAGAAAATAACACCGGCAGAGGAGAAAGCGTTAAATGCTGTCTCAGAACCAAAATAGATGCAGCCCAAGACGATTTGCGTAACCATACTCAGCATCATGGCGTTCAATGGAACTTTCAGGTTTCGATCCACCAACCCCAACAATTTTGCACCTGGAATGCCGCCGTCCCGGGCAAATGCCCAAGTACAGCGCGAGGCTGCTGTTGTGCATGCGATTCCACAGAAAAGTGCTAACACTATTAATGGAAAGAGAAGAAAAAATGTGCCAATGGGATCTCCAACGGCTGACAACACGATTACAGGTACTGGCTGGCTAGAGGCTTGTTCAATCAGAATGTGCATATCTGGAAGCACTGCAACCACAGGGATGAGAAATAGAAGGCCCGCAATGGTGTTCAGTAAGACGGTGCCGATCATAGCTCGAGGAACCTGGACCTCAGGGTTGCGGACTTCGTCGCACATGCTGTTGGAAAGGAGGAAAATTGTTAGTGCCATCAATTCAAAAATAATTTTAAACTTTAGGGCCTGAGACATACGACGTAATCATGCCAGTGGAGGATGTGGCATAGGCTGCTTGTAGAAGGCCAACAAAGAAAGCCCATCCTGAATTCCAACCTGACTGAGGCTCAAACTCACCAAAGATATAGCCGGCAGAGTGACGGCTTGTCTTGGATCGTACTAAAATACAAACCATGAGCGCAACTAGACCGGCAAATGTCCAGAAAATACTAATAGTCTATTGACATTTAGTAAGCTTGAGTGTTTTGCATCGTCAGCTCAGGGGAGTGACCAACATCTAGTATGGGAAGCCACCGATTTCCAAGCGACGACGTCAAGTTGCATAAAACAGTTATTGCAACGAAGATTAAGAATACCTGGTAGTCCGAAGCATCAAAAACCCCGACCCCTGACTCATTTTGAAAGACGTTGACGGAGGCAATCAGAAATCCCGTTGACCCGAAGTTCACAGCCAAAGTTATCAAGATATTTCCAGCGAGATATGCGAACCCGCAAATCCACGATATAGGCCTTTGCAATTTTCCACTCAAAAGCATGAAAGTTTGATAGTAAACTCCACCGGCTGTGGGGTGTGCGCTGGTTATCTCGGCAAGGGAGGCAGCGACACAGAGTATGATCATTGATACAGCAACCCACCCCCAAATTATGGTTGCAGGTCCCCCGTTGATTAAAGGGTAGAAGAGACTGGTTGCTAGACCGTATGGTATCGAAGCCAGAACGAAAGACATAAAGGCGACATGTACTGTTGACCGATTTCTCACCAGGCGATCAGTGTTAAAATCATCTGTCGCAGATTCTGAATCTTCCATTATTTGGCCCTGCCGGATGCTTTGCGTCTGGTTGTGACGATTGAAGCATTTGGAATCTTCTGTATCTTTGTTTGGGTCCATTGCCTGATTCCTGGTCGAAGATTCTTTGCAAAATGAAGCGGCCAGGGCGAGAAATGTCCAACCAGACTGAGTAGTAACTGATGGATATTAGGATGATGGTATATTCAAGTTCCACTTCCTTTATCCAGGTGCAGAATGTACAAACCCTTGCAGAAATATGTGTCAATGTTTGTCTTTGAATGATATCCAGTATTTGGGTGAGAAGATATGATTACAAGACCTATCTTTGAATAAGTTGCTCATTATTGGCCGGCCATCGTATCTCCAGTAGACCCGCCTGCGCGATAATCTGCCTATTTGGGATTCAAACAGCACCTTAATTTACCCCGCAAACGCTGTAGATCTCAGCTCGCCATCAATTTCCAACTTTGATTTAGTACATCTCAAGCCACGAATTCAATTAGAATGTATCATTTACTTTTAGACTATACCCTCAGATAGTTGGATGTAAAACTGCCAGGAAAAAGCATTCAATGTACAGCAACTACAGTAACTACTCTTCACCCAACTGCACCATTGGTGTACTCCAGGACTGACGACAACTTGAAATTCGCGAGATTACTCTGCAGTTGGCATAAAAGAATTATTCACTAACCAATTATCGTTACAAAGTCTAGAGCATTTAATATATCCATCCAGAATACCTCGAGCCCCAGATCAAGCCGCCTGAATATTTCTAAAATCACCGAGTGCACTTGAAATACCGGCTCTGACAACTTCGATGCGCTGACTTGCGAGACTCGGTCTAAGACAAACCGACGAACGCGAAAGACCTCCCGGACCTCAAGACTTTCTTCCAGTTCTGGGATCACTGAGAGTGACGTGGACCCGACAAGCAAAAGAAGCGGATGGACACAACAAGTCCCCGAGGTATCCTGAATCTGTTCTAATCGGAGTATGACGTTGCGGCCGAGCAACTTTACCCACCGTTCACTGCCACAGGGGGTCTGCGATAAGCAATTCCATGACTTTTCTTGATACAGGGCCCAGGAATCCTGGAGTAACGACTCATTGCCAAGTATTCCTCCCATCAGAGTGAATCGCCGAAGCCGAAGATTTCGGAAAATATAATAGAGTTGGTACATGGTAGCATACATATAAGCCTCTGCTACCAGTAAGTGATGAATAGCCGGGGTATTTCGATCCCCGGTGCTAGCTATTTCATGTAGCGCAGGAAGCCTCATCTTCCAAATATCACTTTCCAATTCGTTTAGAGTGCCGAGAAATCTATCCAAGGGATTGCCAATTGATTCAGGTCTTGAGCCAACGGGATCAAATGATCGGGCTTGACGGATGCAATGAACAGCTCGGGCAAACAAAATTTGAGGACCAGCAGCTATTCCAGTCCATGGATGAGGCATGATTTGAGGAGTACTCCCAGGCAGAAACATGTGGGAATCGTGAAGGGGGCCAAGAACCGGCGTTGTGTTTGCGATCAAGTCGTTGTGGACGACAACGTCATCATGGACCGAACTTATCACCATTTCCCAATAAACGAGTGCTTCTTTGAAAAATTTGAGGATCTGGCTGTCACATTTCCGTCGAAAGTTCGGTTCATGAATTGCTTGCTGTATGGCCTTTAGATGGACGATGCCAAGATCCGTGACGACATGCCAGCTGGTGCTTAGACCAAGCATGAAAATCACAAAGATGAGTTCCTCATCCCAGCAAGAAGTTCGCGACAAATCTGCATGTAAATGCTTGATTGCTAGGGATTGGTACTCCATGGCATTTTTTTTTCATGGCTGGGATCTCCCGAGATATCTTAGCGGCTGCCATACTTGACATCGCATAAAACATTGCAGCAGAGCCTTGCCACCTGTCACTAACAAAGGAGCGAAAGAGATTGTGTTCTGAATCGAATGTTGAGAATATAGGACAGACTACGATGAAATATATCGCAATCAATTCACTATGAATCTCAACAAGGCTACCACTCAAAGAAGTGCGTTCATGATGAAGAGACGTTGGGCTTGATGTCCGAGAGATGGAGGGACTATACTGTAGCGATTGAGGAGATTCCGGTATATCTGCTGGGTGGTATTCAGCCTCATTGGGGCCGTCGGAATTGGTGAACAAATCCTCAGATCTATGATTCGAAACATAATTGAAGCCCTCGGGTGAATGCTGTTCGTAGTTTGGTTGAGAGATGGCAGGCGATCCAAATGTCATCGGTGAAAGAGCGAAACAGTCCCTAGGTGTAACCCCCATGCTCATTAAATTCCAATCAATATCGCTGCCGGTGAATGTCGGGATTATCTCCGGTTGTTCTCCGGCGATATCAATTGATCTTTGACTGGCCTCTTGGCTGGCCATGTCAATGTGCGAGGAAATGTCCGTGATATCTGGAATATAATGTTCTCCTGAGAGCAGGAGCCCTGCATCAAAATGTTCCAGCTCATGATCCTGTGATGCGGATGCAGCTTTCGGGGGTTGAAAGCTCTCATGTTTTCTTGACCAACGAACCCTTGGACGTATCGCGACGCCAGAGCATGTTATTCCCTTTCCGTTGCATCGGAAGCACGAAGGTCTTGTCTCATCACACTTGATCTAGATTTTACACGTCAAAACGACTCATGCATATTTCGATCATCTCTTACCTTTCGGGATTTGCATTCGACGCATCCTAGGCTTGACTTGAACACAGGGCGACGTCGTCGCTTTGGAACCGCAGATGAGGTTGATCGCTGCATTAATTCCATCTTTTAGCTTTTACCTATAGAGCTTCCGGGATATAGTACTCGGACTCGGAGGAATGATTTTGAGATCTATTTAATTTTTATCATACTTATCTCTTCAAATGACATGGAAATCTTTAAGAGGGGGTGTGCGGGGTATCCGCCAATCGTGGCTTGTAGGTTCTCTTGTTATGTGTACATTTCCGGGATGAGCGGAGCTTTGTCTTTTTCATATTTCGTACTCAGTAACGTGGATGTAAGTACAAAGCCGTATTTTTACAGAGACGATTAAAATCAACATTCCCTGCTATCTCATTCGACCCACAGTTGCTTTCGGCATTGGCAAGGTGGCCCAATTCGCGCTATGATATTTCAGCGAAGATAACGTCGTTACTAATTTGGGCAAGTGTTTCGATAGACTAAGATGCCAATTTGCTACCACTTTGATTGGTTGTATCAAACAAAGGGGAGTCGCCTATCTTGATTGGGTTCAAATAGTGGAGAAACGCGGGGAAGATAATATGGAGGATTCAGCGGCATGAGAGAACGATTATATCAATTCACTTTCCAGATCGAATAGGTTTAGCTGTAAATTACTGAAAAGGCTGTAAAACTACCAATCCCGTTTGACCTCGAAAAGGCATTTGGGCGGCCCTGTCTTGCATTGAATTTGGCAGCGCTCATCGCCTTTGTCAGGGTAGGGTATAGCCACCGTCAACTGTGAATTCAGCACCAGTGATAAAAGAGCTCGCGTCGCTGGCAAGAAATGTGTAGACTCCTTTAAGCTCTGTTACATCACCTACCAATGTGTTAGTTCATCGTAATTTAGTTTACCATCATTCCAACTTGTACCTTGTCGCCCCATGACCGCCATTCGACATGCCTCATTGATCGATGCCGAACATGTGCTCATAGCTGTGTCTATGTAACCGGGAGACACAATGTTTACTCGTGCAAAATATCGCCACTCACGAGCTAGACTCCGCCCGAGATGAATAGCAGCGGCCTTGGTGGTGTTGTAAACAGTATGGTCAATGGGAACGGTAACAACTCGCCCGCTAATGCTACCAGTTATGATAAAGTTCCCGAATCCCTGTTTTTTGAAGATAGGCTCAATGCATTTGGCACAATAGAAAACACCATCAACATTTACAGCCATCTGTTCATGGTATTCCTCGAGAGTTTGATCCGCAATGGACTTGGGGATGGCGATTCCGGCATTCGCGACGAAGACATCGATGCGACCGAACTGTTTGTAGATGGCAGCCAGCACCTCATTCACCTGAACTGCGTCCGTCACATCGCATCTACGGTTCACGATGGTGACACCGCATCGCTGCGCCAAATTAGCCGCCCAAGCCTCTAGTTCTGGTGTTTCGGAGCGACAAGCATTAACTACGCTGGCCCCTGCCTCGGCTAGAGCCTCCGCAACAGCACGCCCAATCCCACCGCTAGCTCCGGTGACCACGCATACTTTCTTCGAAACTTTGAACTGGTCCATGACGTGATCTGCTATTTGAGGCACATTGCGCAAAGAGCGCGGCCTGACGCACTCTTCAAATGACATTGACATGATGAACCAGGTGCATGGGAGGAAAACGTTAGAATCCAAAAAAGGATTTCAGATTGATCCTGGATGAGGCTTTCTCATTAAAAGGTAAGGCAAGCTTGTCAGGTGAAATCCTGGTGACTTTATATGAATCACTATCGCACGATAAATAACCGTTTAGCTTTCGCCACAATATTTCGATATGAACCTCTGCTGCCTGATTTCGCGTTATAGCGCCGGGATTTGACAACTAGCGCGGTTAATTCATTCAATTTGGTGGATATATCTCAATGGCAAAGACATTAACGACCCTGTTGATTCACACATGAGGACAAGCAACACCCAAATGAAACTCGGGGCCAGGATCCGTGGCATGACCGAAGACCTTCTTCCCGCATTCGCATTAATCAACATGAAGTTACTATGTTGGGGTTGCTCCAACGCCGACTGGCCCTGGAAAAGTGAGTTGGGGGGCCAAATACCCAATTGGAAAGATATGGCGAAGTGTATTTGATTGGTGGGTGGGGATCCTTGTCGGACGTTTAGGGCGTGAAACCGACGAATAAAGTTGAATAATAATTTGCCCAGTGAGCAATGGCCGCAATAAATTGACTTATTGAGAAGCTTCGAAGATTAGAGTTTTGCGCAATTCCCAATACCTAAATCAGAACCTCTAACTTCAGTCAAGTATTTCTACTCGCGGGATGGTTCACAGGAATCTTTATTTCTCAAGCCGTTTACTCCAATTTCCAAGAGCCAGATTTCTACGCCTCATACAACCTTTTTATTAATCTTCACACCCGCGTGGTTGAATTGTTTCAAAATTCTTCGAGATTGAGGAGATCCATTTTCTGAAATCCTTTGTTCCGCTGTCTTTTCATACAAGATGTCAGGCTCCCCCGAAGGAATCTACGAGCCGGGGATCGTGGATCCTGGAACACCCGGGCCCAATTATACCTCTCCTTATTGGCATATCGAACCGCATAGGCATGCGAACCACCAGTCAGCTTGGCCAAAAGGAATCGTTGATGTCGTCATAATCGGATCCGGAATTTCTGGTATGACCTTGGCGCGCACGCTCACTACGAAGCCCGGCCTGGAGGTCGTTCTTGTCGACTCCAGGCAACTATGTGCTGGTGCCACTGGGCGAAATGGTGGCCACATAAAAACTATGACCTTTGCCATGTGGGCGGAGCGCAAGAAGATATTTGGCCTCAAAGAGGCCATCCGGATTTCTCTCTTCGAAGACAGTCATCTAGAGGCTATGCATGCTGCGATGAAGGAAGATAACATCGATGCTGATCTTGTCCTTACGGAGGGTATTGAGGCATACTACGACCAGACAACATTTGACTACGCTATAAAATCCTTGGAAGAAATGCGTTTCCATATCCCGAAATTAGCTGCAAAGCACAGGGTCTACACCGATCTGGACTATTTGCAGAAGGAGTTCAAGGTATCCCCACGTTGTATAGGTGCTATTGGTGTTCCCTCTGCCTCTGTATGGCCATATAAGTGGATTACAGGGGTCTTGGGAAATCTTATTGATACTCAGAAACTCAATGTTCAGACAAACACTACAGTGTCTTCAATCCAGGATGATGACTCGGATGCTTCTGAGTTTGCCACTATCCATACCAATCGTGGAAGTATCAGAGCCAGGGACATAATACACGCTCAGAACGCTTGGATTGGCCATCTAATACCAGAGCTTCGACCATTTATATCTCCTGTTCGTGTGAATGTGGTACATTTTGATTCTGTCCAGGTCCCTGATAATCCACATATTCCTGTGGTAAACAGATCTCCATTCAGCCTGGATAGTAAATACTCTCTCTGGCTCCGATATGGTGAAAAGGACTATGATTATATAATTCAACGCACCGATGGAGGTCTCATTGTTGGTCGCGCTTGTACCGGACGAAAGACAACATCCGATGATAGTGTGACGGATATATCGCCCATGCAGCATTTACGCGGGTTTGCTGAGGAGGCTCTTATGTTTACCCCTGAGAAAGGATCATCTACTCATATAGATCGTCAGTGGTCTGGAATAGTGGCGTTCACTCAAGATGGTGTGCCATTTGCTGGCCGCCTGCCTTCAAGTTTTACAGGACGCAAACACCAATGGGTGTGTGGTGCCTACCATGCAACGGGTATGATCAAGGCCTTTAGAACATCGCAAAATTTGGCGGCAATGGTTTTGGGCAAGGGTGTAAGTGAGGACTTTCCCGAATCAATGCTGGTCACAGAAGAGAGAATTCGCAACCTCCAGAGGTCCTTGGATGTGGGAGGCTACCCGGTTCATGTTCAGAAGCCCAGACTTTGATAGAATTTATTTATTGCACTTCAATCTGTAGCCAATCTTCTACTATAACCTTGTTTGGCCCATATATTCATTGGAAAGCTTTGCGGATTAATACCTTAGACTTAAATGAATGTGTTCCACGTTCCAATTTGGAAGCAAACTTCAGTTGTATGAGCAAGAATAGGATCTGATTTCTTTTACTGAAATACCTAGGTATGTAGTGACACAACTTGAATGAGGGTGATTCATGTATTACCTCTTACAAGAATGAACATCAATGCATGGAAGCCGCGAGATGGAAAAATATCAAGAACGGAAGGCAGATCGAGATACAAAGCTGAAAGTACAATGTTGACGGCGAACAAATCACGGGGTAAATTTCGGATGTCCGCTCTCTCTAGATCTATCAAACTTATTGAACAGACAAATCTCACATCTTCTGCACGGTACATCGGACTGACTATATGTGCCATTATACCTTATGGTCCATATTAAATGTCTATTCATATTACTTTCATTCCGGGGTTAGCGAAACTGAGAGGCGCAGCTTCAAGGAGCTTCCAATTTGAGGTTTGAGCATAGGGTGTCTGTCAATAAAGCTTCGCCTGTATAATGGACCTTGGGATTTTTTCCACCAATTCTCCATTGTGTGAACTGAGGGGTAATCTAATGGAATGGGTAGATCATGCGAGTAATCACGATATCGTTAAGCCACTGGGCCCGCTGGCATCGCGGGGCTCCTCGAATCGGAGCGTTGGGTTTTCTAAACACTGCATTATAATTATCCCTCCAACTTTGCACGATATTGCTTCGTCTCTTGGCAAAAACAGAGTTTCGCGATATCTTACCCAGTTAAGTAGCAGTTCTGAGAGCCGTGAACAACTTCCGAGCCAACCTTGGGAGATCGAGAGGATAGCTGAGCTTATTGGTCAGGTACCTGTGATATCCCCTATTCCATCAAACTAGTAATGGTAATGGGAGTCCAGATAATCTATGGGAGCATAACACAAATAAGTAAACATCCCCATGCCAGTCATCAGCTTCCTCCATTTTCGATAATTTTTCACTTCTCACAACATCGTCTTTGAAAGAGAAGATCTGTTTTGTCATCATAAAAATGATTGGCGCCCTACGAAACCAATTCAGCACTTCTGCCACTGGCGTTAAGATGGAGGAGTCCCCGAAGAAGACTGTTTTGGAGGGCAACCTGCCTGCCTCATGGTATACGGATTCTACATTCTATGAGTTTGAGCGCCGTGCAATCTTCTCCAAGCACTGGCTTTTGACTACTCATCGTGTCCGACTGCCTGAAACTGGAAGTTACCTTCGATTCGAAATCGCCGGCTTTGACTTTTTGTTGGTCAAGAACAAGGAGGGAAGCATCCAGGCCTTCCATAATGTGTGTCGTCATCGCGCATATCCCCTCATCGATAAAGACGCACCAACAGAAGGCAAAAGATCAATTCTCTCTTGCGGTTATTACGGTAAGTATTATAGTTCTGTCAATTCGAAACTTTCAACCACTGACCCATTCCCAAAAGGCTGGTCGTACAACCTGAACGGGAACTTGACCAAAGCTCCAAAGTTTGAGGAGTTGCCTGAATTTGACCGCAGTGAGTATGACCTCTTCAAAATACACACACACGTCGACAAGGTCGGATTTGTATGGATCAATCTGGATTCGTCCGAAAATCCTGTGGCTTGGGAAGACCTGCATGGTGGAACGGACGAGCAGCCAAGATTGGTTGACTTCAGCTTGGACAAGTATGTCTATCACAGGACCTGGACCACCAATGGAAAGTATAATTGGAAGGTAGTAGGGGAGAATTACAATGAGGTATGTGGCGTACCTGTCCTCCGTGATTACCCAGTGCTAACGTAACCATTTCAAAGTGTTATCACTGCAAAGCCAGTCACCCAGGTATTACCAAAATTACCAATCTGGATCGCTACTCGGTAGAACCACACTCAGGCCGCTTTGAACATTTCCCACCTAACCGAGACGATATCAAAACGGAAGACTTTGAGTATTTTGGGAATGGTGCTTTTACATACAACTTCCCAAACACATCTGTCAATCTGTCCACGCCGTACTTCTTTATCATGCGTGTTGTCCCAACTAGCTCAAGCACGGTGACTACGGAATATCAAGTCTATCGCAATCCTGCCTCTTCTGAGGAGGTTTTCCAGCGTGCGGCTGACTTCTTCGAGGGTATTGAGCTAGAGGACTACGACCTATGTAATGGTGTTCAGAAAAACCTCAACTCCGGTGTCTATGTGCACGGACCGTTGCATACACAACGAGAGAGCGGGGTTCTATATTTCAAGAACTTGGTAAAAGCACAATTGGAGGCTCATCTTGAGCAAGAGGTCGCCACCGGTCGTGAAATCTGGCCAGCGAGGCGCGAACAACAGCTCCACAGCAAGGTGGCGGGGGAAGAAAAGGTTCGCGACGATGTATGTGCTTGTGGCTTGAAGGGAGGATGTTCATGATTCAAGTCTCGGCTTTCTAAGTCTTTTGAAATCTCAATTCCGTCATATCGTTCAACACTCCTTTCTTGTAATATCCGTATGAGACTCGAACCACTTAAAGATGTCTTTCATTTGAAAGATTGCAGATCATACAGAGCGTAATACTTCGCCAGACAAAATTGTCTTAGTGTCGAAAAGCCTCTCTATACTGGAATTATATGCGGTCCACGTATTGTGAATGTATCTTCACTGATAGGAACTTGAAATTAACTTGAAGTGGGTCGAAACTCTATAATTCCAGCTTGGCTACTCCTTTAGGACTAGACTAGCGTGGCCTTATAGTTAGTGTTTCTTTGTACCAATTGTCAAAATCGATTGTCACCCGCTTCGAAATATAGCTCTAGTTGCTGTAAATTCCAGCAAATAAGACAAGTTAAGCAAATCCACACATAACGGACAATTAAATGGAGCAAAGCGGGCTCTGATGGCCACGTATACCAAACCCACCCCGCGTTTGAGCTATCTCGGGTCTTCGCACCAAAGATAGAGACCTCCCTCGCTTATACCATTATCATCTAGGCTGATGAAACATGAAAATTCAATTGCAATATCGCGAAGCGTGGAGAAGAGTGATTTGAGAACATTGTCGAGAGCCTAAGGCCTCAGTGCTGAGTCATCCCCACGCACCACCCTTGAGTAGATATTCTCATCACTTCTACCACACCATCCAGTGCCTCTGCTTAATACTAACAATATTATCGAGCTCTGACTTTGAAAATTCGAACCCAACTTGGGTCACGACGAAATGCAAAACCCCGCTCTTCGCGACAACCATCGCCATATGGATCAATTGTAGTCAATCGACTATGGACTGTCCATAAAAGAATATACCCGTGTTGGCGAGTCGGTGCCTGGTAGTGAAGGTAGTGAACGAGTGCTTGACATATTCATCATTAGGAACCTATGGCAAGAGAAGATGGGCGAATTCCCAGGCTACATTATGAGGCCCAAGAAGCGAATCCAGCGGCAGCAAGCTTCTCTTCTCCCTCTTCTCACTCTCCATGTCCAAACTCATTACCCTCCCTCCTTCACCATTCTGGGACCCGCATATAATCTCAATATGCACAGCAATATGGCTTCTTCCAGACTTTCTCTCAACAAGCGAAACAAACATCGCGTTTACGTCGGCCTCTACCACCGGGGTGATCTATCCCTTCCCAATAACGACCGCCAGCTCAGCCCGACCTACCACTGGGGAATTCTTATGTCTCCCAAGTCTCCTCGAGGCTCCGATTCGCATACCTTCGATGTAAATGACGGTGATTTGTTGGATGGGGTCAACAGAGTGGATCGCAACCCGGCCAGGAACTGGCACTTACGCCACAAGAAAACATCAACCCACTTGAGACTGGGCGCTTACTTGTTCATATCATGATCGGAAATGTGGTCAACGAGTACGAGGAGATTATCGGCATTCTGAGGGCAGTGCCCTTACCCGGAAAAGATGCTGTTCCTCGCCAGAGTTGCCGAACCTGGACGAGAGATGCTATTCACGCATTTCAAGCGAATGGCTTCACAGAAGGGTTTGATACGGATCGGTTGATAGAGAAAGCAATTGAATATACGGATGATAAGATGAGGCGCAGGCGGCCAAAATCGTCTCAAACAACATGGATGGACTTGCTGGTAGACTAGCCCCATGACCGCTTATCGCCATATTTCCTTTTTCTCTCTTTTTTTCATCCCCTTGTTCCGCCCTGTGAAAACACTGCTTTGTGTCAACACCAAGGTGAATGAATGATAATGATATTTGTTTGTCATTCGCCATGCGTTACAATTCTTTGACTGCGCCTTCCATAATAAAACTTTCCTCCTTGCTAGTGGTCCTTCTTTCTTCTCAACCCTTCAATTTCACGCCACTTCTCCATCCTCCCTATCTCTTCTATCAAGATTGAGCTTTCTACTTCGGACTGTTAGCCATATTTTGGGTGGATCTATTTAATTGCGAGAGGAAACTGCAAAGAGTTCAAGTGTCTTTGAAGTAGACATTTGAACGTATAATGACAGCAGTTATCTACTGCTTACATGCTGGGAACTCCCAGCCCCAAATCTGTACAAAAGCAGCCCTTATAAACCATCCAAACCTGAAGTTCATGACCTAAAGCCTCTATCAGTGAGACAATGATACTAAATTCCTAGGGCCTTAGGCCCGCGGTATTGTGATTCCACACTGCTTTGTAGCTTCCATGTTGCGTTTGTCCTTTGTAGTGACAGTAGTATTTAGTAGTAGCTATTTTCTCTGGGGGGTTTTCCCTCCATCATCTCCATCATAATCAGTTTCATCACATCTTGGTCCACTCCCATTACTATACGAAAATGACAGTTTATGTCCTACCGTATCCTTGCCAGCCTCTGCAGACATAAAGTCGATGCTATCTAGTACCCAACGAAGCCTGAAGACCCCTAGGACTCCCAGGTGGTCTCCAGGGCTTCTGATTGCTTGAGGAATTCTGGTTTATTCATATCTCACAAGAGTCGTTATATTTTCTCAAATCTATACCCGCACTTTGGAACTACATAGGTAGCCATAACTACCGAATTCTGGACTTTGGAATTTGTACTTCATTTACATCCACGATAAAATTAGAATCTGCACTGTTAGCCATTGTCCATCACCACATGTGCCAATTCCAGCCAATTGAATACAAACTATCCATGGAAGACATTAACAGCCGTTAAGTGAGAAAGAGGAAGTTCAGGTAGCTTTATATATCAATGTTGGTCAGTTGGTGGCCGCCAATGGGGTTTCGGCATTTTCGCTGCTGGGTCGCTCTTTCCATTCGAACACTGGTGAATGTTGCCCAGGTGACGACTTGAAACTTGAAGCTCATCTTCTACAGTCGTTTCATTCTACTAGTAAGTCTTGAAGTGTCACCCAGTCTTGATCTACAAATATATCTCCCAGCTATGGCGCTGCCCAGGTGATCCGACTGCCGCTCGGAGGCGGCAACAAACACCGGGTCTATGTTACTTCTACACCATCAGGACGACCTTCCGCTCGAAAATAAAGACGCCCTACTCGGATAATCGGCGTGCAATTGGGGAATTTTGATACTATCCCCCAAATCCCCACGATGCAAAGACTTGCACGCCTATGATGTTACCAACGGCGTTGTTCTAGTTGGTGTCAACCGAGTCCTCCTTAACCCTGCCATAAACTGGCTATTTCGGCACAAGCAAAATGGCAACCTGCTTAAGAATGGCAGGTTACTTACCAGATTCCTGGTCGGCAAGGTGACTCCTGGAATCACATACGACGAAATCGGTAATATGCTACAGAAAGAAGTGAAAGTGCCGCAGAAATATGCTGCTCCTGCCCAGAATTTTGTTACCTGAGCCACAGACGCAATCCGTTCTTCAATCAAATGGCCTCGCCGAAAGTTTCGACGTTGACCAGTTTATGCAGGCTTATCCGTCACCTCACCTACTTCGTCTTCTTCTCCTATATAATAATTTAGCTGGTACATGCCCAGGTGGTTTTTGACTAGTAAATACAACCTTTGAAGACATTCCTGAAAGGACCCCATGCATAAGCATGCTCCAGCTGAATGCATCAGGAGACAAAAGTACCGATCCTTCGTAATTCTTTCTCAAAAATTGCCGTGGGCGGATGGCCCCAGCACCGGGCCCCCGCAGCAGGCGCCCGGGCCCCCCTTGGTAACGACAGAGCGCCCGGCTTGTTGAGAAAAAGCCGAGATAAACGACCATATTCTCACAGGGCAATATCCAATACACACCAAGAGCTACAAAACCTCATTTCCAGATTTTGTTACAATAGTAATGATTTAACTCGCGATGCGTGCTTTGCGACGGAATGGTAACTATGGCGCCAGTGTGAGCCCTCTGTTGTGCATATTGCTTTTGGATGACCCGCATCAATCCCCTCGCACGATCTACAGTACTTAAGCAAGGCAGAAATCATCCACAGCCAATCATTTGCCGCTATCTGCGGAGTACCGAAATCACGCTTCACGGGTGCAGCGGGCTACATGGATGAACGCCCCCTGAGAGATGTGCAAACCCCCCCTCTAACAACCCTGGTCGAATTGTGGAGTTACTGTATGTATTACCGATGTCAGATTTGAGTACTTTTGACACCCATTTGAATGATAATAAAATCACTGTGGCATTGTTGAAAGCAGGCACCAAATAATACAGAGATCGAATTTAATAACTTGATACTTCTTCAAGGCCTAAATATTCCAGTTGGGGTGTTCGTTTGGAGGGGGTTGGAGACGGGGCTGGAGACGAGGCGTCAAAATCCCCAGCAGGCGAAAAATACATACTAGTACCGTAATACATGGACTTCGCATGACCTTTAGCGATAGACATAAGTAGTAAAGGGGCTCCAGGCTATCTCTTTGATTAACGCCCGGCCTATGTAGCGCATTGCGCCATCGTATCCTTGTGACTGAAAGCCAATAAGGAATGGTGTTCAGGGCATCTTCGCAGCCTCCACCTGCATATCACTACTAACCGAGGGCATCTCCGCCCCCAAGAGCTGAAACTGAAAATGTGAGTGTAGAATGAGGGGCAATCATTTCGTCCTCGCCAGAATACTCAATTTCGACTTTGCCTTCAATATTATCCTATTCCTAGTTTTGGGGACAACGAAACCAACGACATTGGAAGTTGAATTCAAATTATATTATCGAAACAGCTCGGATTCTTGAATCTCTTTTGAACGAAACAATTTCACGTATCACGCTATGAGATCCTCATAATCACGAAAGAACCTTGGAAAGGTGTTCATTAATTGTCTCATTCATAAGTCTCGTCATTTTATATGGTAGCTTGATGTGATTCAGAACGGATTTGGCACTGCCAGATTTTGTCTCTTTGCTTGGGACTTTTATTATCGAGGTCCCTGGTGTCAACTTCAGTCTATATCAAGTCTATCACTCACAACCAACACAAAATCGCTCATTACCGGGGAAAAGTCCACTCTGTGACTCAATTTCCTGCTTGAAATTACCTTGCTGCGACGATAAAGCGGTATTTGGTTGGTCTCTTTGAAAGGATTCATTGGCTTTTACTCGAATTCGGCCCTTTTGCATCCATTTGTGACCACTGGTATTGTATCTTTTCTATGATTAGAATACCTATCCATATATGGCGTGCTATAAATATAGAGTTCCAGTGCTTACACAAGAATCTGCCAGGCATGAATTTCTATCGATCGCTTATTCCTCTCTTGCTACATGATCGGGCGGCCCATACTACGAGATGGAGAGTCCCAAGGATAGAATAGGTACTATCCCATGAAAAGACTGGGTTATATTGGAACATCGCGCCAAAGACAATACATCAATGTAGGGACAGTTGGAAATACAGGACATCAAGATGTGACGGCTCCAAAAACAAAGTGATTATCAAGTAAAGCCCCAAGGAGGATGGGACACAAAAGGAATGAACGCTCAGACGGCCCAAATATGGGAGAGGTGTGTTGAAACTCTTCCTCTAACCATGGGCAGCGCGCCGGTGTTCCAAGAGCTTGTCCTTGCGACTGAAAAACTTGTTGCAGAGAGGACATTGGAACCCATTGGGGTCGAGGTGTTTCGATTGAATGTGCCGCCACAGAGTGTTTTTGCTAGAAAAGCTAGCACTGTAGCTACAGCGATCCCACTTGCATTCAATCCGCCCGGAAGTTATATGGCTTTCCTTGATATGATGCCAGACAGAAAGTTTGTCTCGGAAGCAGACGCTGTAAGTGCACAACTCCCAAGCACAAAAATAAAAGCAACCCTCACCAACATGAGATCCTTCCGAGTTTGAGCTGAAGATCATACACAGTTAGCCAACCGATATTCGCGATATAGTGGATCTCAACTTGCCTAGGAAATGACTCTGGTGTTGACAAGTGCTGCGAAACTTGGTGATGGGGGGTATGTCCCATCGCGAGCAGGAGCTGATCATCGCGACCGGGTCCCCTCGCCTCGAAATACATTTCTGGGTGAAGGAAACTCCTGTTATCGCCAAACGGATTCGGATTTTCTGTGAGGTGGTCGCTGCTGTCGGGTGGGGGAGCTTGGACCGAGGGACGCCAGCCAGGGTAGGCATGCAGTGAGTTTTGCAGGAAAATCATCTGGCGCTCTCTTGCCATGATCTCCTGATCATGTTGCCCACTTATCTGTCGTGCAGTATGGTTGAGCGCCTGTTGAGGAGTTCCCTCGAGCGTTCTGGCCATGGCCGGTGACCACGCACCGCGACTTGATCCTTGGCCTTGACAGATAGGCATGTTGATGTTCAAGGTACTAAGAATAATTTGGTCTGAATAAAATCGTTTGAGAAGTTTGATATTTGATGAAAGATGAGCCTTGAGATGGGTGGTGATGGGAAAGGGAAAGGAAGCTTTGGACCTCTTCAGAGGAAGCTCACAGCTCACTACTGCAGGGCTCTGAGGTTGAGCTCCGCCACAAGCACCACTCCTCCGAACCCTTCCTCTTTTAATTGATGATTCGATGCTAATATTTCTTTTCGACCTCAAGGAATTTCCGATGCGGCTTTGCGCTTCAATTATTCGCCTCACGTTCACATTTTCCACTTGTTCATCCACCGTCACTCCGCCGTATACACCTTCGCGATGACAAGAGGATCAACGCTTACGTTTTCCCGATTGGTGTGAGTGATGCGTCCCAATTGAGTCGGGCATGATCTAGGGGGATACTCCGGCGGTGTGATATACTACAAATTGATGTTGCAATCGTGAGGTAGCAACTTGTTCGCATGATGTGTGCGTTGTAATTCCCGAAAACCTGGGCTCTTCACTTCTTTATGGCATGTCCAGCCCGTCGGGACCAGTTTCATGCCTCTTTTCAGTTTTCTTTCGAGAGTTCACACAATATCTGCTACAGATTCGTAGATCTAGGCTACACCTCTGAAACTGCTTTTGCGATCAAGTCGTTTTGCGGAAGTTTCAGCCACTTTCGAGTTCCGGGTGCAAGTCCCGAGGTAGTCTGCTCTGGGCTGTTGGTGAATTTTGGCTTTGCAAAGCCATTATATTAGAATGGATTATTGAGCTTAATCTTTTTGTCATGAAACAGGCTGCAGGGGTGAAGATTGTAGAGATGAAGTCCTTATTGCTGCCGTTCTACGATCCCATCAACCAATCAAGCTAAACATTAACCGCCGACAGTCAGTTTTACAATACACTCCGGGTTTAATTCTAACTTAAATTTTGGATAAATATTCCTGTGGAGTTAATCGAATAGTTGGAATGGGAAAATCAGCTTTGGACCAAAAGGCTGGGACACAATTGCCGTGTCGAAGAGAAACCCTTCCGGGTTAAAGCGTCTGTGTTACAATTTGTTTTCGGCTTACTTAGCGCAGAAAGTCCAGAGAAGGAGATTCGGCGGCTCAAGGCAGATTCCACAAAGGGGATGAGTGCCACGTCAGGCATCACCTGGGTGAGTGGGTATCGTACTAGTAGAGCCCTGCGAGGCGCAAGACTGATTGCGAATGGGTTGCCATGCGGACCAGGAGGCTACCGGGAGGGGGAAGGGTGCTTAGGGATGCTATAGGGATGTGCATCTCAGGACTGCGCCGCAAATACGGTGCAGTCCTAGATACGTATCCTACGTCATGGACTCAGGAAGCAAACATCTCTCAAGTGATGGAACCAGCGGTCTGTTTGGGCCAACACTATTCGCCAGCACATAAGACCATTTTTTAACGCGATGGTACCTCAGCCTCGGTAGAGGCGTCCTCGGTACTTGTTCGGGCAGCAAACATTGTTCTGTGCACAATTGCTCCCGTTGATGGATTCGAGGGGGTGCGGCTCTGCCACCAACATTGGCTTAACATGCCCCAGCCAGGGAGGCCACCGAAACAAGCGGGCAACAATTGACGACATCTTATGCAACGTATCTTGCTATTATCAGAGATTCGGGAAATTTGAAGAACAATATTTTGAGCGAGAATTTGTGAAACCCCGTGTTCTGGTTAACTACATAGAACTTCTTAACCTCGGTCAAATGATACACGGATATCGAGGCCCCGCTTCATACCATTGCCACGCACTGCCCGGGGCATCAACAATGAATATAAAACATTTTTCGATGTATATGACTTTTTCGGCTTCATCACACTTTCCATTTATCAAAAATAAGCGCTCCTTGCGAATATTTACCGAATCTCAATGGAAATCCCAACTGGGGCATGTCGACATCACGTGGCACGTGGCAGATAAGAGTAGTCTCACGTGCTGATAAGAGCTCCGACATGGAGAGAAGCGCCCGCTGACTTCTCCGCGATTCACGATGCTGTGGAGATGGAGATGGAGATGGCCGACAACCCATTTCAGACTCTGTCGCCCTTGGAGGATGCTTCGGGGGCTCTCGCAAAGTCACCACCGGCTCGTCCTGACCCCAGCACCCTCCCAAGCTATGGGTCCGGCAAAGAACCAGAGCCGTCGGTGCCGGTAGGCTCAGGGCACCACCCGACAACCTCACAGAGCTACAATGAAGTTGGGGGCAGGCAAGGATATCTAGCACATGGGATGGAAAACGCAGAACCAGACCAAAGTAGTCCCAACCCCCCTTTTCAACCCTTCTTCACTATCATCGAAGATGCGCATAGCTCCTCCGTCCACCACCCAACAGTGCACTATATATTCTCCGATGACGACACGGATATCATCAAAGAAGCCGGATTTCGCAGTCTCGAAATCCAAGGCATCACGATACCCGCGGAGAAGAAGGATAAAGAATTCGAGGACGATCCTGATAGCCCAACCGACCCCGACGCAAACGAAGAAGATAAATCAATCCTTCCGCCTACTACTCCAGGAGTACGAACACACTACCTCTTATTGGATGTTGAACCATTCTCTGCGCCGACCGAACAAATCACATCCGATGCGAAAAACATGAGTACCTCCCCTGCCGGCCCCGGGGCTGCAACTAGCCCGATATCACCACCGGCAGCGAATCCAGCCGCCGTTCCACATACTCAGTACAGTGTCACCTCAGCAAAGAGCTTCTCTCCGACCTGGCAGATTCTGAACGCCGATCTCGTTCCTGCGCCGACATTTGACAGCCAGGATCCCAATAACGGACCTTCTCACGGGATGATGCTGAATATTCGCGGGACCGGCGGCGTGCCGAAAGACCCGCGAAGCAAAGAGGATGGTCTAGAAGCTCTGATGGGGAGATTTGAAAAACACATGAGTGAATTGCAAGCCGTGATTGATTCCGCCAAGGTAGAGGAAGTGGGGGAAGTGGAGGCGGAAAATGAGCAAGCTGTCGATCACGAAGGCGAAAACGAGTCAAAGGCGGAAGTGGACGCTGAGGCGGAGATTGAAGCCCAAGGGGCTGAACTTCCTTGATTAAAGCTTGCAAGATTGCTGTTCGGGTTTTATTTCTTTCGGGAATTCGCTGTATTTATGTCCTTACGATAACGGATCTGGCGCATATTCAAAGCATGGCGTTTTGCGTTTGGCGGAATTGTTTGCTTTTTGGACGGACATACCATGGTCGGGAGTATCTAAGTTTGCTATCTCTAATTTCTCCACTATATTAAAAAATTTCAACAAAGAGAGATTTTATTCAAGTAATTCAGATAGTCATTCAACAGCTGGTCTAAATCTGTGGCATGATCAACGTCATATCAATGCATCGTAGCATCCAAGGGATTGCTCGCCCAAGCAAGTTGGGAAGTTAACATCCAAGAAATTCTCGAAAAAGGGTTCGAAAGAACCCGACAGATCATGATTTTCGAAAAGAAGGTCCAAATCGGAGGAGAATGGTGCTCCAGACAAGATGTCTTCCGGAGTATCAAGATTGTCCTGGGGTGTGTTGAGATTGTCGTCAAGTGTGTTGGAGTCGGTTTGTGTTTGTGGAGTGCCGTAATTGACATTCGAAAAATTCGTGCTTTGAATGAATGGAGGTCGTGTCCTCGGAGCTTCATCCAAAGCATCCCCAGCTATTTGTGGCTCGGTCTGTGTTTGAATTACTGGTCGCTGGGAGCTTTCCAGGGCATGATTGCCTAGGCGTACCATGACAGCTGCTAGCCACCAAGTGCTACAGAGTGATTTCAGACTCCGATGAAACGTGAGAAGATTTTCCCGTGCCAGACGCCGATGACCTTGGAGCTTTGCTCTTTGCAGCTGCCGATAGGTGATTGAAAAGGCGAGCGAAAGTGAGTAAGCCGATACAGGCATAGGGGAAAAGTCTTTGACATCCTTGCTTCGACAGATCGCTGCGAGAGCTAGGATTGCCTGGCTTTGGTGGATATTTGATAGCCGTGATGGCTGGCGGCCTTGAATCTCGGTCGAATATGTCCCAAGAATTATGGTAGCGTAATGGTACAGCTCAAGTGAATCTTTTCAATGATCTTTAGTACGCTATTCAAACAAGACTCCGAGACATACTCACCAAGTAGTTGTGGCTCTATGGCCCACGCCTCGGAAGTTTCGACGAATTCCTCGAAGGTATAAAGATCAGCAACCTGATCTCGAGCGCCTTCCAGTCTTGGTCTGTAAGTGCTGATAACGCGACCAAGTTGATCTGCAATGAGCAACCAGAGGCGGAACTGTGGTTTGAACAGAGGAAGTACATCAGTCACCTTTTGGCCGTGATCATAGTCATGGATCAAGACCGGTCTTCCATCCACGACAGAGTTCCACTTATCCAGGCTCCACAGACACCAAAAGAGAGACTTTGCCTTTAGGGAAGATTCACTATCCGGGCCTCGTAGATGCAAGCCGATAGACTGGGCATGGTGTACAGCCTGGGCTAGGGAAAGTGAAGCATCTTCCGACCCATTAGGGCCCCACTCATGGAGTGACAGGATGGCAAGAATTCTAATAATGAGCACCCTATTTCCATCTCTTCTGTTGGGCATATTCTGCGGGATATCTTTCTGTAGTCGTGGACCGAATTCCTTCAGACGCAATAACGCTGGATCCAATCCCAAGAAAAGAAAGGGTGCCGCAGCTCGATCCTTTGCTGCAACAAGACATATAGCCTGAAGAAGCGGCAGTGGAAGAGAATCATTGTTGAATTGATGGCGGGTGTCCTCCTCGTCCACCAGGGGTAACAGGGGATGTATGCGAGAAAAGAAGATTTCAACCAAGGCGACCTGGCATTCTTTCGGAGGCAAGAGTCCAGCGCGTTCAGTTCTCTGAGAAATATCTGCCCTTTGGGGCTGATATTGTCTAGATGTGACACCCTCTTCGTATGACCAAGCTCCTACATCCCCCTTGCATGATTGACTTCTGAGCAACCTTGGCTGCGGAGGTTGCGGATCGTTCTGTAGCGCCACTAAGGGGCTGGTGTCGCACAGGAAGCGGGGAATATCCAGCTCTTGCCTGATGCGATCACCAAGAGTCGTCGGTATACCGGTGACATCCTCAGGCCGCGACTCTTCAACTTGTCGGGATACCGATGAGCTGCGCCCAGGTAGATGCTCCGACGTCGTCGGGTTCGTGTTTCGCGGAACACCTACATCTCCCGGTCCATTGAACAGCTCTTGCAGGTTTTTCGGAAGTTCTTTTTCTGACCCAGGAAAGCTTCCATGAAAACACCGTTTCTATTATAGGATATTAGCACGTTCTGCCTCATCACGGGCCCTCTCCACTCCGGTCTATACCTTTCTTTGACGGCACGGTGTGCATGCCCGACGGGGTCTTTTTACATTTTGGCCATCTCGTCCGACAAGAAATGTAAGTTCCATTGCATTATTGATGACCTCAAGCCGATCGGAAGTTGCACGGTGGATTGTGTATGATTCAATATCCCACCTGGCGGAGGGCGTGAGGGCGGAGATGGTGGCAAACAGGAAAGTCGCCGCAAAGCGGTGACTTTCCTAAAGAAGAAGCTCGCCCAGTTTGGCAGGTCGGCCAGCAGCCAAGATAAAATATCAGTACACGCTACTAGCAGTCGGATTGCATGAAAGAGGAAGGGAATTTCTGAAAGAGAGAGGCGTAGATCTCATTGCTGTAAAATCCCAATTTATCATCAAGCCGCTTATGTCGGACATTTTAAATTGGCCACTTCGAGTCGGTGAACAGCAATCTACAGAATAAAAATCTTGCCATTATCTCACTCGAGTCGTACGGCTTCAATCAAGAACAAAATTTGAAATCACTCCAGGGCTGCTTATTGTTACTAAATTATAACCAAACCGCCAAGATGGAAACTTGAAGCTACCGGGAAACTCCGAAGAACGTCCCCGACGAAATCGGCATGAGCTTAGTTCTAGTACACACCTGAATAGGTTGTTAGTATGTTATCTCTGAATCATGATGTCAGTTCCGACCCCGATTGGGAAGGCCTCCGAAGCCGACAAATAGTAGTACGTTGTTATAAATAAGAGAAAGAAAATGATGTGCCAAAGTGACTGCTTGAGTTAAAAAAGAATTGACAATCATTCCAAAATGTTCTTCCAAAGCTGCGAGACCTATGACCTAAAGTGCGATGAACCCATTTCTCAGATCTATAACCTACTGGTCTAACTAATAAGGAACATCTAGACTCGACCAGGCATGCATTTTCCTTCAAGATAGAACCAAAGCTTCTATCAATGGAACATTCCATGTCAATCTGCCACACAAGAACTCCTTCAAGAGTATCCAAGTCAAGCTAGTGGGAATATTGAAAATGTGAGCCACATATCTAAAACAACGCGTCTTCAGTACTAACACTCATCGCATAGTCCACGAGATGACTACCTCATCCGCAACGACCGTCAACTCATAACATCCACCTCACATCAATCTATCGGCGCATCTGAAACCCTCAACTCCTTCCAACTCCCCGCCGGATACTACGAATTCCCCTTCAGCATCCCACTAGCTGGGAGAAATCCTTGAGACTGTCACTGGTCAGCGCCACATGTACCACACCTATCACGTCCAAGCCATAATCGAACGCCGCTTCAAAGCAAACTCGGTCGTCTCCCGACCTATTCGAATCTACCGCCATCGTCACCTATTGAACGAGCCTCAGATAGCATCGATACCTGCGGTATGTCCACCCTTCCACAAGAAAAAAAAAGAAAACTGGCAGTCCTGACAATATTCAAACAAATCAGACAATCGAAAGACAATCCGGCCAAGAAATGCAATATTGCATCTCAATACCAGAATCAAAAATCCCCTTTGGAAGCAAATTCCACGCGAAATGCTATTTCTCCCCTCTATCGAAGAATCTCAGCCTAAAGACGGTCTCGGTCTCAGTCCTGGAAAACGACAGTCTACAAATCGACGCGACAGCAGCAGAATCAGCAATGCACGGCATTCTCAAATTAAATTCGAATCGAACGTCTACCCTCTTTGAAGCCGAGCACGATTTCTCGAATCAAATACCCGACACTTCATTAATAGCGAATGACGGTGGAGATGGCGATATACCCTCTGCGGAGTGGCCTTTGAGTCTTCCGGTGCAATTACCGGAAAGTTTTGACTTTGCTTCACAATCTATTTCAACTAGTATCATTCGCATCTCCCATGAACTGGTCATACAGGCGCATTTCTGGAATACCGAGACAGATGCACCGATACTGGTGAGTGGTTACTCTTTCAAATAACTCGAACCCTTCACTATAGAACTAGAAGTTGACCAATTACATACAGATCCAGGAACGAATTCCTTTCTCAATTTACATGACACCCGCAGTCATTGGAGACGATGGAACAATCCATGGCCAAGATCTTGAATCCTTCCAGTCGTATGAAAACGCGCCTCCGGCCTACGGTCGACATAAGTGTGATGCGATTCCGGTTGAATGGGCTAGCTATCTTAACCAGCTCAGCGCAGAAAGGGCCCGAATGTCGAGTGAACAGTGCTTTCAGCCAGCTATCGGTAGTGTATCGTGTGTTCCAATTGCTGGTGTATCTTTGGAGACTGAACCGCCTGCCTACCAGTTTTGTGCTACTTGAATTGATGGAAAGATCAGTAGTAAAATGAATCATGTATTATTATGAAGTAATCCTATTTGCCATAGGCCTCGACAGAAACACAATTTTCTCAACCCGAACTCCGGTCCAAAGGAATCCCATCCAAACGATTAGGGTATCAAGATGTCACACGAATGGAAACAAAGAAAAAAAATAGTACTGAATGCGATAAATGCAGGCAATGCAAGGGGTATAGACTGCTCTAGTGGGAACCGTTTCTGTAGTTTCTGCGACCAGCAATACCAGATGGAGGCACGTTCTCACGGCCTTCCATCATGCCGGCCATCTTCTTGGTGAGCATTTTGTGCGGGAGTTTATTCTCGACGGCGTTGCTTGTGGCGTTGGCGGTTGAGCGGCGTTTCTTGAGGGGTGGTTCCGAGTCGTCCTTCTCAGGGGTCTCGTCTAGATCCGCAGATGCGATTTGGGGGGGGTTTCGGGTTTCGCTGACGTATTGGCTTCTTCGTCACACCCGAGTGGTTTGGCGACGTTTATATCGACTTCCCTAAGGCCAATGTTGGAAGGTGCGCTGAGTGATGATGGAGGAGGGTGGGTCCCTACCTCTTCCAAAGCATCGCTATAGACATAGGAGCGTTTTGTCGGCGATGACACAGGCGAGCTGGATGCGGGGTTTGGTTGGACATCTCCATCAAAAGGGAGGGCGGTAAATTGTTTAGAGGTGCGATGGCGAGAACGAAGACCGTCGTGTGACTCCGTGCTTGGCAATTCGGAGGGATAGTCATAACGACGCTTCTGAGGAGTCGAGCCGGTGGGTAAGTACTCTTTCATGGGGTGGCTGTTCACATTCTCCCGCAGTTCGGCGAGAGGTTGACGGACGTGCTCTTGCAGAGGAAGGGTTGATTGTTGGAGGTCCTCTGCGTGTACATCCATGTCCTCTTGCAGTTGCTCGACATGCTCGTTAAGGCCGTTAAGCTGACCGTCAACAGCCGAGCGCATTTCACGGACGTTGTTTGCCATGGAATCCAGGCTACCCAGCTGTGCTTCGTGGAAGCGGCCATTGTGAGACCGAGCCTTCGCAACAAAGTCATCGAGGGCTTCCATTTGCGTGCTCATGTCACTCATCTGAGCATCCACAATCCGAACAGTCTCTTGATGCACGGACTCGGTAGCCCGCTGGATCGAGGCGTTACGTTGATCGAATGCCTACTGTGGTTAGAAATTTTTCGGAATATTGCCAGTAAAGATTCTCTTACCTCCCAGTCATTTTGCATCTTTGTCTTAATGTCATCGCGGGATGCATTAACGTCCTTCGCAAACTGCTCTTCCTTAAATATCCACTCGTCGACACTGCGATCATAATGTGCCGTGGCTTGCTCGAGCGAATCGCCTGAGGCTGACAAATCGGTTCGCACTGTGTCGAATTTGCCCTTGAGGCGATTGGCTTGTTTTTGGCTAGACTCTTCCAACAGGTTTCGGATTTGGGACATCATGGCATCGCGCTCAGATTGCGCGGTTGCGTGCTCCTCCTCGAGAGCCTGGGCTATGTTTGACGAAGCCTTGCGGTTGGCCTCGACGGATTGGCGGTTTGCCTCCTGGAGCTCAAGACGGAGGCGGTTTATCTCGGACTTTTGCTGGTCGATATGGGAGGTCATGTGTTCAAACATGCTCTTGAGATCTTTTCCAAGCACACTATAGGATGAATGAAGCTCCGAGTGGAATTCTCCAAACTCGCCGATGACTTCCTTCGATATCCTACCAGCCGCAGCGGAAAGACCATTGAGGCCTTCGCCAACCTTCGTCTTCACGTCCTCGCGGAGAACCTTGATCTCCTCTAGTACCTCATTCATTTCATCGTGTGCACCGGATGTTTGATTCTTGGCCTGGGTCTCAACTTTTTCAAGAGAGGCACCAAACTCCTGCAGCTGAGAGCGGGTTGATTGAACACTGTTCAATTCATCGCCGACAAATTGGTGGATTCTGATTGACATATTGTCCAAGAGCTCGGCATGGCGTGACTGGAAATCCTCCAGGCGGGTGTCGATATGCTGAGTCACAGTGGAAATCTCGCCGGTGGAAGCCTGCCAGATTTGACGGTTATCGGTCTCCAGGTTGTCCTTGCGATCCAACTTGGCATGAAGTCCGTCGACATCTGCCACGGTGTGGTCAAGAGTTGTCAGAATTTCGGCACCGATTTCGCGGAGGCGACTCTCGGTTTCCTCATGAGCCTTGCGCACGGCTGTCTCCTCATCCAGCTTCTCCGATGTGTCTTTGAGGGTGCCCTCAGTGTGTTCCAGGTCAGCTCGTGTGCTGCTCAGTTTACCAAGGGTTTGCTCGTTATCCGCCTTCAAGTTGTTGAAGTTGCTAGTCAAGGCAAACAACTCTTGAACTTTGTGGCGGAGGCTGGATTCCATCGACTCGATCTTTGCACGCTGTTCTTCATTGACAATCCGGCGTGATTCACTCTCCGTTCTCATCTCCTCGTATGACTCTGGTGTCATATACACGCCATTCCGGTGACGCGTAGCGATAAGCTCACTCTTGAGCTTCTGGATTTCCAGGCCGATATCCCGGAGAAGTTTGTTCTTTGAGATGATCGAGTTGATCTGGGGTTTGTTTCGAATGTTCTTAGCACGGAATGCATAGTCCAGAGTTGAGATGGTTTCCTCCAAATTGGCCCTTGAGGGTGACACAGTAGCAATGATACACGTCTTCGTCTGACCACCAAGTGAGTCTTGCAATAGGCGGGTCAACTTGGACTCCCGGTAGGGGATGTGAGAGCCCTTGTCGACCAGAGCATTGATAACTCGTCCCAACGTCAACAAACTCTTGTTGATCAACCCAGCCTCGGCGGCACGCTTGTTCTCGGCACCGCTTCGTCCAATGTTCTCGCTACCAGCCAAATCCACCAAGTTGAGCTTGCCAGAGCTGATGTAATCCTCGCCGGAGTCTGTCGTACGTTTTGTCATAACTGTGATTGTGAAGACAGTGTGACTGCGGGAGCTGAGGTCGTTGCATTTAGTCGCGGCCACTTGACGCTTGTGACTACCCATCTGCAAAAGTTCGATACCGTTCGAGGCCGAGTCGATATAACTCTCTTCCATTCCCTGAACCACAGTCGCAGATTGGCCCTTCTTCTCATTCTCAAAAATCTTCAATTTCGTGTTCTCTTCGGCGGATAGAAGATCGCGCAGCTCCTCGTTGTATAATTCGATAAAGGAGCACTTGACCATGCTCTCAGTTCCCTCCAGCTTGTTGAACAGGGAATACAAAGTTCGAGGAATGATACCTGCATCATCAGATAAAATGCCCAGGGTATCGGTCATATCACCGGACATGGTATATGTCTTTCCAGTTCCTGTTTGTCCGTATGCGAAGATCGTACAGTTGAAGCCGGTGAGCATCTGTAGATGCAGTTAGCAAGAAACTCATGCGCCGGCCGGGTTATAATGGATCATCCCATACCTCATGAACAATAGGAAGTACAGTGTCCTCAAAGACTCTTGTTTGATCGGCGGCGGGTGAGAACACCTTGTCGAAAGCATAGGCCTTGTTGGATAGCGCATTTGGTCCCATCGAAAGCTCCACCGTTTTACCATTAATACCTTCGGGGGTCGACAGGACAACGCCGCTGTTTTCCTTGACTTCGCGCTCATTGCGACCGCGGCAACGTACTACCACATGAATGCTGGTATCTTCATTGATTTCGCGCTCGTAATCCCTTTCTTTCCTCTTTCCAACGGCGGCATTTAATGATTGATCTGGGGTCGCTTTTGCTGCTCTTGTGCCGGTTGTCGCAGCAGCAGCAACAGCGGCCGCCTTTGTTGACACGGCGGGTGAGGCATGTCGCTCTGGAACCGCAGAACCAGCTCGCCGAGTAGGTTGTCGCAGGTTCGACCTTCTTGCGGGGATCGCAGAGGTAGGCCGAGCTGGGCCGACCATAGTGAAGCGAAGGGAAATTCAAGGTGGTGTGGAGGGGGGTGATGTTCAAAGTAAGTGAAGTGTAAGTGTAAGCATGTGCTCAATGCAGGTGGAAGTTGCTCGGGTGGATCCTTTCGGGCAAAACATAAACAAAGGCCACGTGACCATGTCACACCCCCCCCGCTCATGTGATATGGGTCACCTGATCTTATCCGTCATGCCCCAAAGGTTTCCCCTCTTCACTTTCATTCACCCTCACTTCCATACTCTTTTCTGCTCTTCTTACTCTCTCGACTCTTTGACTCCGTCGGATGGTCATTCCTGTGGTATACAACCTGGCACCATGACCGCCAAATCGGCGCCGGTTCATATCTTCCCCGGCAAAGGCCTGGGCTTTATCAGTATGTCCCAATGATCTACATCTAGATGCGGGAGAGCGCGTCAAGCTGACTTACATTCACAGCTCTCGGCGCTTCTCTACACAACGTTTTGACTCGAGTCAAGTCACATCCTCAGACCTATCCCGCGATCGATCTTGCTTATTCGTCCTCCGATCCTTTGCGCAACCCTGTTGTTCTCCAGTTACCCTCAAACGGGCTCCGCCTACGCTTCGACGGTCCGGACCAACGTTTGCGTCTGATCGAGGTACTAGATTTCTCTCGTGTGGACCTAGTATACAAGAATCAAGATGTCTTGAAAGGTGGAAAGTCAACGGAGCAGCCGACATCTTCTCAAGGGCCTAGCTTCCGTCATGTCTACAACCGACTCTTCGGTCCATCCTATCCTGGTGAATATATCTCTCCGCCGGATCAGTCACCATACGGCACCTATGTGCTCTCATACCCGGGGTAGCTTTTTCCTTCCCCCTGCAGCACTCCGCCTGGTCGGAGCAATGCGATTTTGTAGCACTTCTATCTTCTTCTGCTGCACAGCCAGCAACCTCCATGTCCATTTTCCAAGGGTCCTCATGGCCTGAGGTCCGTGCGAAGCTCTTCACCCAGCAGCCTCAATACCCCCGCGCATCGGCAGTAGTCAGCAAGACCCGTGACTCCTTTGCCGACGAGGTTGAAGAGTTTCATATTCTCGGCGCTGGAAAGTTGGAAGCATCCCGACGAACGGGTCCCCCAGTTCCCATCATCCTTGGAGAGACCAGTCCGCAAGACTTGATCGCGGAATTCGGGCCTCCCGATGCGATATACCGTAAACATGACCGCCGCATTTCTATTCACCGCGCAAATGGTACCAGCGGCGCAGATCCTTTGAATCCGAATCTATCGCCAGGAAGAGGCATGGATCTACCCGATACTGATCATTCTTCCACTAATAGTATCACTGATGATTCCGATGAAGAGACATCCGCAGGACAAGTCAGCGATCCAGGCTCCTTACCAGTCGAAAGCTTCTTCAATTATTTCCATCATGGATTTGATGCATTCATTTCACACCCGTCTACACCTGGCCCTGCGTTCCCTGCCTCTGGCATGCCAGACCCGACCACCCCATCACTTCCGTCTACTCAGTTGGCCGTGACCAAGATCATCTTACACGGCAATGTTCCGGGGTCATACCCGTTCAACCGCCACCGTCGAAGTCGCTGGAATATTCATCTGGATCAAGTCAGCGAAGGATTAAATGCAGAGTCGCCTTACGATGAGATCTCGGAGCGGCTACGTGGGGTATGGAAAGGGTCCTATTCTAGCCCGGGAGAGGAGCGTGCTACGCAGCGACCGATGGTTTTGAACCGGGGCTGGGGTGATAGTCCTGAGAGCAGTGTTGAATTTCTCGGAGGTTGGGAGGAGACCACCGCCAAAGGACAACGTTCCGCTGCAGATGGACATGACGGTGGGTTGGGCAACACGGAACTCTTTGGATTCCCGGGACTCTTATTCGAAGTCTTGAAGAACGGCGCTGTCAGCTCTCTAACCGTCTACTGATATTGATTGGAATATCCTCAAGGCATGTGATACGACGTGATGACTGTTTTTTTTGGGCGCTTGGAATGCCTTTTTGTACACATTTTGCGCTGCATTGTACTATGGTATTTAGATTTCATCATATTTCGTATTATTACCAATATTTCCACTATCTTTGCCGTAAGATTCGTTCCCGCCGGTAACTCGAAGACACCCGCCTTTCTCGGCCGCGCGATAATCTTTCCAACTCCAACTTTAACTTCACTCCTCAACCCTCCGAGAGGATATGCAGGGAGGATGCAACAACCAGGGCGATCACTCCCTCGATCCTGGACTTCGACACTAAAACTCCCCAAATCAAGTTTCCCTCCACGCGTGTCACCAGCCGACCGAACAAAATATCTGAAACGATGCACCGATGAGCTGTACGCCTGGCAGCGTCGCGAACGACCTGCGACTAAACCGTTCGTCCTCCACGATGGCCCGCCCTACGCGAACGGTGAATTGCATGTCGGACATGCGTTGAACAAAATCACCAAGGATATCATCAACCGGGTGCAATTGAGCCGGGGCAAGCAAGTGCGCTATGTCCCCGGATGGGATTGTCATGGATTGCCAATTGAACTCAAGGCGCTACAAGGCCTGCACGATACCGATGTTCTGGATAGATCTCTCAGCGCTGCTGTGATTCGAAAAGCTGCTAGGCAGCTTGCGCGACAGACGGTGAAGGAGCAAATGAAAGGGTTCAAAGGATTCGGAGTCATGGCGGATTGGGAGAACCACTGGAAGACAATGGACCACAACTTCGAAATGCGCCAGCTAGGAATTTTCCGCGAAATGGTTGATCATGGACTCATCTACCGCAAGTTCAAGCCCGTTTATTGGTCGCCGTCAACTGGAACCGCGCTCGCGGAAGCTGAGCTCGAATATAAGGATGATCACATTTCGACTGCGGCTTTGATCAAATTTCCGCTTGAAAATATCCCTGAACACCTCGCCAATAATCCTCTTCTAGCGAATAAAGAGGTCAGCGCTGTTATCTGGACCACTACCCCGTGGACATTGCCTGCGAATGCTGCAATTGCGGTTAGCGAAGAGCTACACTATGCAATTGTAGAGTCGGAGCAACACGGTCTTCTGCTTATCGCTCAGTCCCGTATCGAATACATGGAGAAGATGCTGAAGGAAGACTTGTCCGTCATTATCCCTGACATCCTTGGATCCGAACTGGGCGAAAAGGCCACCTACCGACCTCTTTGCAAGGGCCCCGAGGCGAAAGCCCAGCCAATCATCGCTGCTGACTTTGTGACCGCTGACTCTGGATCTGGCATGGTTCACTGCGCCCCTGGACATGGTATGGATGACTATGAAGCTTGCCTGGCCCGTGGAATCGAGGTGTTCGCACCCGTGAACGACGAGGGAAGATTTACAGACAAGGCTATGCCGCATGATCCTTCTCGCTTGAGTGGCAAATCCGTCCTCGGCGAGGGTAATGAGGCAGTCTTAGAATTTGCACAGGAACGCAACCAACTTCTTGCTCAACACAAATACGAGCACAAATATCCCTACGACTGGCGATCCAAGCAACCGATCATTATCCGGGCCACTGAACAATGGTTTGCCGATGTGGCAGACATCCGTAAGAACGCGCTGCAATCGCTGGAAGATGTCCGATTTGTTCCCGAGACTGGCAAGACTCGACTCCAAAACTTCATCAAGAACCGCAGCGAATGGTGTATATCGCGCCAACGTGCTTGGGGTGTCCCCATTCCCGCTCTTTACCACCGTACCACTGGCGAGGCTGTTCTCACTAAGGAAAGCGTGTCGCATATTATGGACACCATTAAGGAGCGCGGTATCGATGCCTGGTGGACAGACAGCGCTGATGACCTCGCTTGGATTTTACCATCGCTACGTGATGGCTCTACGGGCTATCGCCGTGGAACCGATACGATGGATGTCTGGTTCGACAGTGGTACTAGCTGGGCGGAGATTGATGTGCCCACGGAAGGACGAAGCCACCCTGCAGATGTTTACCTCGAGGGAAGCGATCAACATCGTGGCTGGTTCCAGTCGGGTCTTCTTACCTACACTGCGCACCAGCTCGCCTCCGGCAAGACTGATACCCGTGCTCCTTTCCGTAACTTGATCACACATGGATTTACTCTGGACGAGGCTGGCCGTAAGATGAGCAAGTCCATCGGCAACACCATCGCCCCCCAGACAATCATGGACGGTACCTTATTGCCCCCTCTGAAGCCCCGAAAGGGCAAGGGTAAGAAGCAGGCCGAAAACCAAGAACCCTCCTTCGACGCTCTGGGCCCTGATGCGCTTCGATTGTGGGCCGCGGGTAGCGACTACACCCACGATGTCGTTATTGGGAAGCAGGTCCTGCAAGGCGTTCATACCAGTCTGCACAAGTTCCGGGTGACCTTCAAGCTGCTGCTGGGCGCTCTTGGTGACTTCTCACCGAAGAATGCCGTGGCGTACGACCAACTGCAGCAGGTTGACCGCATAGCCTTGAAGCACCTCTCCGACATGACCGTCGCTTCTCAAAAGTCCTACGACAACTTCGAGTTCTACAAATCCGTCAACATCCTCAACCGCTGGGCCAACCTTGAATTTTCAGCCTTTTACATGGAAGCCATCAAGGACCGCTTGTACACCCTTGGTGAGAACAGTGCCAGCCGCCGTGCCGCCCAGACAACCCTGTTCTACATCTTCACCCATCTCCAAGAAGTTCTCGGTCCCATAACCCCGATCCTCGTTGAGGAGACCTGGGATCACACCCCGGAAGCAATCAAGTCACACAGCGGTCACCCCTTACAGCGCCTCGCCGCCAGCCCTCCAGCAGAATGGCAGGATGCTGCACTGGACACCAGTTACCAGGAGATCGTCGCCGTCCACTCAGTGATCAAGAACCTACAAGAACAAGCCCGCAGCAAGAAGCAGCTAGGCTCCTCTCTGCAATCCTTTGTGCACATCTCCCTGCCCGGTGATGAAACTTCTATTTTCCACCGCCACCTATCTGAACTTCCGGACCTCTTTGTCGTATCCTCCGTCACGATCGGCAAATCTGGCGAGTCCATCTCCGGAAATATTGCCGACGCAGAGTGGAAGTATGAAGAAGAGTGCGAACTTCCGAGTGGCGAGAAGGGAACTGTGCACGTCTATTCCCCCCCAGGCGTCGAAGTGCCCGCGATGCTGGCGGTATGCCGTTCCTGAGACTGATGCGACAGACGCGATTTGTGGTCGCTGCGAGTCTGTCGTGGCTGAGCTGGAGGCGTGATCTCCTCCAGCAATGGCTTTGTAATTATATGCATGTACCATAGAACTGTTCAAACACACCCCATTCTGGTGAAACATCTCAATCAAAATGTATTTTTATTGGCAATGCCATCCAACTTCGTCCTATTACTAGTAGTAATGTAGACTAATGTACAACCGTGCCATCCACCCGGGTATCACAGATAGGTCCGCAGATACTCTGCGAGAGCCATAATTGCCATAGCCTGACCATAAGGCATAGAAGTAATCGGAATATCCTTATAGAACTGCAAATCATGACCCATAGGCGTGCCGTAACTAGTATTCCGAAGCTCGCCCTGTTCATCAACATCTCTCAAAACAGACTGAACAGCCCGAAGCCCAACATCCCGATATTCCGCCCCAATATAACGTCGTCGCACGGCCTTCAAAATACCATACGCAAAACCCGCAGTAGCCGAAGCTTCAAGGTACGAATCTTCATGATCGAGCAAAGTATGCCAAGCCCCCCGAGTCCGATTGAAGCCCTTTCAAAGCCTCACACTGAGCCTCAAGCGTTTCACACAGATGGCATCGAACAGGATCATTAACATCCAATTCCAACAATTCCAAAATCTCCGGAATAACCATCGTACACCAACTATTCCCCCCTAGCCCAGCGCGCATCAGCAAAATTATGACCGCGACTCTTATCCGTGAATTTCCACCCATGAAAGAAAAGACCAGACTTCGTATCAAAAAGATACTTAACATGAACCAAACACTGCCGTTTAGCCTCAGCAACATACTCATCTCTACCCAATAATTTCCCAATCTTAGCAAGCGGCATAACAGTCATCATAAGCGTATCGTCCCAAAGTTCCTGCTCATTCTCATCAACATATGTAATATGCTGCATGCCACCGTAATTCGTCCGTGGCAAATCATACATCGCCCACTCAGCCCAAGCATCCAGCCAAGGAAGATACGTCTGATTCCGCGTCCTTTCATAAACATAAGCGAGAGTCAGAAAGGGAGCCATGGTGTTGATATTCTTGCTCGTTCCGCCCTCCATAAAGCGCTCCGCGAACCAGTCCTCGATTATCTTGAGATATAATTCTTTGCCGGTCATTTCGTAGATCTTCCAGATTCCGTATAAACCAACCCCGTGCGTCCATTCCCACCCATTCCAGCATTTTGCTTGGATGGTTTGTCCGTTTTTGAGATGGACGAGAAATTCGCCTGTGTCGTCTCGGATGTTTATTAGGTTGTTTATTGGTCTATAACACGGTGGATTTCCGTGGAGGGGGGTTTCGATGTGGATGCGGATGCCATTGTTTCGGGGTGGTGAGGGTGTAGGACTTAAAAAAAGAGTTGAAAGGAGTTCCTGTAGTGAAACGAGGCAAAACATTGAACAAATAACAGAATGCTGATGGAATGATCGTCACCAAAATCTGCTATTTACTAAACTCCTAGTCGGAGATGACACCGGTCCAGTGCGGGGATATCTCCGGTCTACTTCTACTAGTACTTCTACGGTGGTATTGCTTCGGCATATTGTATACCGACTCTACCCGACCATGCCATGCGAAGTACCCACGGGAAAATTACCTTCAAGTTGAGGTAGCGTGGAATTATTTATTTAAGAATATTATAATAATATTACTAGTATTATACTTGTATATAAAAGGGTGTTCCTTGAAGCATCAGCCAATCAGACTATGGTATTTTACTATGCAGGTAAACAGTAGGATTCAATGTATTGACTCCGTAGAATAGCTCGAAACATGCGAATGACGTCACTTATTACATTCACAAATCCGATTACCTGGGGTCATGTTGGTAGAGAGGAGTATTGAATTGGTTCAGTTCCTACGATAGGTAATTTAACTAAATTAAAAACAACAATTTGAAGTCCGGCGTATCTCATCGAAAACTCATGATGCACTTATCAACTCAACCCTTTCATCAAAACAAAAGAAAAAGACCCCGAAACCTAAGTCTGCAGATTTGCATATGGCGATACCTCCAGGTCCAACAATAGCTCTTTTCAAATCAAGATCTACATCCGTCCGAAAATAAGCCTGGCAGCCTGTCGAACCTAGGGGTACTTTAAGCACCCTCCTCATCCTCCGCAAGGCGAATGGTGCCCTCGGTGACACCGTGGGCCCAGAAGCCATTGAGGTGGATGGTACTGGAGCTGTCAGTAAGAAGGACTCGCCGTGAGGCTCAAAATCAAATCAAAATCACTTACATGGCGGTGGCGTTGTCATGTGCCAAGAGAAGCCAGTAGCCGACAATTCCCTGTGTCAGGATATCGTGAATAGCGAAGACGACGGTCTCAGCATCAACGCTCAGCTTGAGAGCCAGGGGACCGGCACCGAGTACACTAAAATAGTCAGCATTAGAGACATCCACATGAACGCAGAGCAAGAGGGTACGGTACGTACATCGGGTACAAGGCAAACACGACAAAAGTCAAGCCAGAAATAGCCCCGAAGAAGCGTCGAACCTGGTCATCCTTATTCTGACTAGCACGGTGGGCATGGAATCCGCCGAAGTGCAGGACAGTCAGGTATGACAGACAGCTGATGGTCAACCACGCCCAACGGGCCCCGGTATGACCATCGTATGTACCGAGCAATCCCGCGGCCAACATGACCCAGTTCGCTGCGATGGCGGAGACCAAGTGAGCGCCGGGTAGACCGCTCACGAGAGCGAAGTTGGTGAGGATGAGCGGGGTGGAGAGGGCCCAATTCACGTAGCGTAGCCAGGGGATGGCGCGGTAGAGGTCGTCCTGTGTGTTGGGGACATGTTTGTGGTGGTTTTCGATGGGGGACCAGGCCAGATTGAAACCTTGGCCGGTTGCGAGGGCGAGATAGGTGATGAAGGAGATGGTTGTGACGAAGGCGGACAGTGTGTGGAAGACACGCTTGGACTGAGAGTAGCAAAGAAGAAAGTGTGGGGTTAGCGCCGGGGTCTATCTTTTGACGGGTGGGGATGCGGAGGAGATCTGATCTCACCAGCGGGGCGCGGGCGGCGAGGGTGTAGAAGACCACGGAGGAGATGCCCATCAACACAGTGACGACCCTAGAATGTCCATGGTAAGCTGGAGTCCGATTAGGGGTATAATTTAACAGGAAAATGAGTACCAGAGAGTGCGCTGTCCGGTGGCGTGAAGCTCCTGGAAAACCTGGCCTACACCCGGGATCACCGTCGGGATGGGGTCGATGGAGTGGGTAGGATGAGCATGCTCCACCTTGGTGGGAAAAACGTCAAAATCCGAGGGGACGATCATGATGGATATGAATGGAAAGATGGGGAGGAGGAGAGGCGGGAAGATGAAGAAGAGATGAAGAAAAGAAGTTGAAGAAGAAGAAGTTAATGGGGCAATGGTAAACTGGGAGGGGAGCAAGCAAAGCAGGATTCGGTGGAGGCGGGTAGCTCCTGCCTTGTAATGCGTCATTGCCACCATGACCGTACATACTGTATATACTGTATAGATACACTATATACTGTATTGTACACATACACAAACTCTATGGTGTATTTAATTCATATAATATTTATAATATTCTATATTATGCTCCGTACTTTATGATAATACATTATAATACTGTATTTCGTGGGGATATTCTAATAGGTGATCAGTGTTGTACAAGGGGCTTATGCAGATCCTTCTACTCCGTACTCCGTATTAGTAATAGCACTAATGTGACCAATCTCTTCGCACGGCAGCTGCACATTGTATGTATGCTATTCTAGTATATTGATCGACAGGAGGCTTGCGATCTGGTGAGCCGAGATGATCTAGATTTGCAGACATAGGCTACACGAGAATGCCCCTATATCACAGGGCTCTGAATATCTCACATCTTAGAATACTATGCATATACCATCACGCAAGAGGAAAATCACTGCAGGTACTCCGTATACTCCGAGTCCATTCTTGAATCTAGACGCTAGACGGATTTAAACCTCACTCGCATTCTTGCAAGTCTTGTTTTACTCAGAGCAAGTATAGATGTACTAATACATGATTATATGTGGAGAGTATGCTGCTATGTCCATTGCGTACATATGCAGTACAGTCTTCAACCCCACGCTTAACAGGCTACCGAATACATTTTATGCGCGCTCCTTTTTCTGCACACTGTCCCCTGGCGACTTGACCTTTTCCTTACTGGGCCCATGGTGGCTTTGTGTTTCTTCTCCGGCTGCGGCTTGGGCACTCGCATTGCCGCGATGCCAGAGATAATACATTGAGGCAGCCCCGGCACCCACAATCAACCAAATTCTAGAAAGAATAATGATAAGCAACGTCTTTGAGAATCCAGAGGCACACTTCAATTTAGTGTTGCTAGTCTTGGACTTACCGCTTAGGATACCCGCCATATTCAACGGGCTCACCAGTCGTGGTTGAAGCACTTCTCCTTCCGAGTTGAGATGAGAGTGGACACTGCACACTCCGGGAGTTTAATTGGATGAAAGAGGCCCCAAAAGCCTTCTTTGAAGAGTGAAGCATCGAATTCATGATGTTTTCTCGGAATATATCCCTTGATGAATCGGGTGCAGGAAAAACAGTCTCACCCTGAGACCGTTTGGAAGGGTTTATATGCAGGCTTTGATTTGTTACATCATTGGCTGGTATAGTAAGGGATTCTCGGGTTAAATCATTTTTTAGAACAATCAAGGACTGCACAAACACAATGACAAGCATTCAAAACTCTGATCACCTTGCAAAGCCTCTCGATTCTGTGAGCTGTGGGGCAGACAGACCCACCTATATGAAAGTGACTTGATCATGACAGCATCTCATCTCAACCTCGGTCAAGAAACAAGATCTTCGATTACATGAGCAGCGAACGAAAAAAATCAATACCCTGTTAATTACTTGAGACCACCTCTTGAGACTGATTCGGCGAGCAGCCCCTAACTTCCGAGCACGTTACACTGTCGCCAAGCCGATCGCCTTCACGGTGACGGTTCCACCAATTAGAGCACAGTTCGATCTGGATGCTGCAGGTTTCACAGCATAGCTGCACGCGTGAAGAATCAATAGCACTGGTATGTATCATCGAACGTAATTTGATAGGTCACGTATATAGTCTATGTCATACCTGAGCTCAGCTTAAACTAGCCACCCGCAAAGTAAAGATTTAGAACTTGATGATGACCTTGCCGAAGTGTTTTCCAGAATACAGATAGTCAAATGCATCCTGCGACTCTTCAAAAGAGAAAACCTTCTGATCCAAAATCCCCTTCAAATTAATCTCTTTCTCCGACAGAAAATCGCACAAATTCTTCTCATCAACCTTCGACCCGACGGAAATCCCCCCTACTCGTAGTATAGTGTGTTAGTAAGTCCTGGAAAATTCATGATTTCTCTTTAATCATACCGGATCGTAGCACTTTTACGCAGTGCCGGCAAAAATAGGTCTGGCGGAGTACTGGCAGATAATCCGCCCAGAAATCCAACCAACGAAACAACGCCTCTTCGCGCGATCGAAGCCAGGCTTTTGGTGGCGGTATTCGGACCACCATTTTCAATCACGACATCTACACCGCGCCCATTTGTAAGACGAAGAACTTCCTCATCCCATTCCGGGTGGGTTCGATAGTTGATGGTATCGATGGAACCCGGGCTACCGAATGATTTTGCGGCTTCCAGCTTCTCGTCGGAGGAAGATGTCACGATCGGCCGAATCCCGGCAGCCAGGCAGATCAATAAGGCGAACATGCTGACTCCGCCGGTGCCTGATAGGAAATCAGTATAAATAACCCATTTTATGGTATGGGGGGGGTTATATCGTACCCTGGAGCAGAGCCGTTCCTTTTGATCGAGGCATATCCAGAGCCGTCCATGCCGTCACACCAGCGCATGCAAGACATGCTGCCTTATGAGAGATTGAAAATGTCAGCCCTCAGAAATTAAAGATGACTCCCAGGGGCTTTGGGGCTCACCTCCTCCCAAGAAAGATACTCGGGCACGTGCAGAAGAACATTTTGGTGGAAAACGGCATACTCTCTAAGCACACCTTCAGCCTCCCCACCAAGACAATTCCTCTCATCTTCCGTACCGGTGAAGTTATTCAGATCAAAAATGGGCGTGACATGGTTTCCAACCTTGAAATCGTGGACTCCAGAACCGACTGAAATCACTTCACCAGCACAGTCCGAAACGGGAATTCCTTCGTCAAGATATTCCACAGGGTATGTTCCGTGCAGCATTGCTATATCTCTATAGTTTAGAGAGACGGCATGGATTTTAATGAGGACTTGGTCAGCACCCAACGTCAGCGGAAGCTCCTCGGTTGTCAGCTCGAGGGTTTTCGGGATGCCCCCTTTGCTGCGGCGGTAGGCTTTGTATGTTTGCGGTGCTGCCATTTTGGAACCAGATGTGTCAATTTTTCCTTTTTCGACTTTGAAGAGATGATTGTGCAAGTTCCTCTGCGGTTTGTGAGGTATTTATGTCATCTTCCACTTGCAATGATGATCGCCTAATTAAGCTGATAAATCACTCGGATCCAGATACTTAGCGGGGTCATTATTCATCATCATTCAAGAGAGTACCCACGGGGCCAAGATAATAATGCATTCCTAAATCCACAGCTAAACCCCCTCACTAATCATGTACAAAAACTACTATTTTGAAGCTGAAAGATTCAAGATCCAAAACTTCGACTATTACTCAGCGCAGAAAAGATATTATATTTTAAATATACTCCAATAACTCGGCAGACCTTGACATCCACGTGTTCTCGACGGTTTCATTGAGCTCAGGTCCGATCGATCCAACTGGTACTGCACGATCCCATTCACTTCTAGTGGCAGCATCCCAGAGAATACGGCCTTTTGGCATTGGAAATTGGAGATCATTTGTAGTAACCCGCCAATCCAAGGTATGCGTGCCGACGCTTGTAAGACTCAATTTCCTGCCAAGTTTGTACAATGACAGATTAAATCGCTTTGTTTCTTCAATAAATAACAAGGCCAACGCTTCGTCGCCAGTATCTCGATATTGAGCGAGGATATTGGGGTAGTAAAATAGGCCAAGCTTTCGGCAACTTCGGACAAGCGCGGCAAATAATTCGGTGGTCTTCGGGGTGACGGAGACTTTGAGCTCGAAATCAGAATTATGCTGACTTTCTACCATGCAAGAGAATATAATATGCAATAGGATTGCTTGGAATGTCGCCAATGGCCAGCGACAACTGCTAGAAACCTCATAATCTGAAGCATCCCATTTTTCCTATGATCCGGTTCGTATTAGAGGTCGGAGAAACAACATTCCCGTGAAGAAAATCTTACCGTCTGCTCTCGAATAGCCGCGTCAAGTTTATTGTGAAGATCCTTTGCAGCTGATTGCGAGGCCTGCTCGCCACTAGCCCATAGACCAATAACAATCATCGACTGTACCATCAGAGGCACCTCACGAGGCGCATAGAAAGATGATCTATGAATAAAGGACCAATGGGGATGGAATTTTTCGAAATAGAGCTCAATGCACCTGTCTCTCTTCTCCAGAAGACTGGAAGATTGAGAGTCGCTTTCCATAGCGACTGATTGCTGGCTTTCCAGGGGCTGGCGATGGTCCTTTCTCAAGATAGGACTCTCCTCCTTAAATGTGCACTCAGTCTCTCGACGTACACATTCCTCACACGGTAGACCCCCCTTCACAGCGGGTTTTTGCCATCTGGCAAGCCTCACACGCCTTCCGCGCACGATTCGTTGGCTCGTTGATTTTATGATATTGTCGGAGGTGTCGGCGAAGAGTGTCACTAGAATCAACAGTCAGAATGGGCTGTTCTAGCAGAAGATATAATACGACATCCAAGCCCCGTCTTACCTCCGGCCGAATTCCCGCTCACAATTTGGACATTTGAACGGTTCGTGCTGGGAATGCTTTGCCCGGTGGCGTTGCAAATGCTCTTTTCGGCGATAACTTGCTTTACAACCAGCAAATGAGCACTTGAAAGGTGTCTCATCGACATCACTGGCTTCTCTGTTGCTTTCGGGCTTTTGTATAGTCGACATGGCGTTGTAAGAGTTTGTAGGAGTCTAAGTTCAGCTGGCGGCTCCCACCGGATCCCACCGGATCCCACTGGATCCCACCGGAACCTTTCGGCCTCCCACCGGCATCCCATCCAATTCATCTCTGGTCATCGCCCCGCTATTAAAGGTCCAGGCTTTGGGCGATTTCAGATTCACCTGAGCTAGTGCAAGGTTTACCTGCGAGAGGGGAGATATTCAATAGCCAATGAAGAGATGTAACTAATTCGTTCAACGCAAATCAGAGCGCTGCAAACAATTGCAAAGACAGACCAAAATGATCGTTAACCCTATCCTTGAAATCGATGCAGTCCGGACAAAGAGACGAGCTGGCAAATATGACCGCCTTGTTTAATGAAGCTGGAGGTGGCGCTTGAGACATCTCTATTAGATCGGCATGTTCCTCCTTCCGCTGATCTAGAACTTCCAGTTGGCCTTCTAGCTCTAAGAGCTGCCTGGCCTCATCGCGAAGAATCAAGCGGTTTAAATTCCGTTCGGCAGAGCTGAGACTCAGCTCTAGAGCCCTAATTTCTTCGTGTTTTCCGACAAGCTTTTCATCACCATCAAACAGCTCTTTTTTGAGCGCCTTCTTTCTCTCCCCTGAGAGTTGTCACCCTGCGGCCTATCTCGGCGCCCGAAAGGAGTTCCTCCAGCATCGCCTCTGTCAATTGAATTTGCGCCTCCAATCCACATCAGGCACGCTATCGCGAGGGAGAAACACATGGCGATCGATGAAATATGCTATCAACTGCTTCTCAGCATGACATGCGTTGAATTGACCTGCCTTCTCATGATCCCAGCTACTGGGAGTCAAGTAATGACCGACTTTTTCTGAAATATAGAACACTTCATCGGTCCACTGTCGGCCATCGACCCTGAGAGACTGGGCCGAACAGTGTGACCATCCGCTCATGGCGCCAATCGAAGGAAATTTCCCGCCGCGTTCCAGATGCGCCACAGTCTTCCAAGATTTGGTGATTGGGTATTGCTCAATCGGCCCACAAAGTACCAGTGAATCCTGCCCGAATGAGCGTGAGGGCTTAAACGAGTAAGAATTGGGTAGCGACAAAGTGGGAGGCCTCTCAAGAACAATACTTGAGCTCCGGGTGTCTCCACCAAGCAGCTGTACAATTTCCTTGCGGTCAATATCTCGGCTAAATGTGTCCTCGATATACCCTAAACGGGGGCGAGATGAACTTGAATGTGCAAGGTCTCCTCCGGAACGAGCATATATCTCTCGTCGGTTTTTGTTGTGGTCTTGAGCAAAGTCAATAGCTAGTCGGTTATCATCGTCTCGAATCTTCTTATCTGCATTATGCGTTAGGAGAACCTTAACATTATCAACCCAGCCAAAGAGCGCTGCCTCCATCAATGCAGTCCTCCCGTTACGATCTTTGGCATCCACATCAGCCCCGTTTTTGATGAGTAGTAATACCATCTCCGAGCTTTGTCCAGCTGCCGCCATGATCAGGGTTGTTTTGCCGTCATGGTCTTCTCCTTGAATGAATATTTGGCCTTCGATAGCCGCGTGCAAGTATTTCTGTACCGCTTTCACGTCTCCTTGGACGCAGTCGGCCATTGCCTCAAGAATTCTTTTCATTTCGAACGACTCGGCGTGGTCTCCTCTATCTTTGACAATCACTTCTTTCGAGTCTTCATGAAGAATAATTCGTCTTTGCCTTCTTTGCGCTGTGGCCTTAGCCTTCAGAACTAGCTCCAGTGCCAAATGATCAACGTCACTGTCACGCTCGTCATCGCCGTCATGAGGTACACAAATATTCGTATATCGCCCACGTTTCTTGTCGATTTCGTATGCGACCTCCCCTTCATCATTCATGGGAAAGCAGCAAAGATACTCTTTCATCCTCTCGCAATGCGAGTATCTCACTTTGTGTCCTTTCCAGTTTATGCCATGACGATGAATTTCTTCGCAGAAGGGACATTTGATGAAGTAACTGGTCGCGTTCCACCAAATAACGTCGGCTTTGGGAAGGGTATCCATCGCGAGACGATCAATAATCACAGATCCCAAAAGTTTGAGTCAACCAGATTTTTATATCTTTGCCACGGCGTAAGTTGACCCGGGGCCAGGGAGTTATGGTACGTAGGCCGACTTTTCTAGTGAAATTTGGATACCGCTCCTTTGTCGGGCAGGCGTAGGGGTAATGCGGCGTTAGCCTGAGCTGTGGTCTTGCAAAAACAAGAAGTGAATCTTCCAAGCTCACAATCAGCGCAAGTTCCGGGATGGCTTTTTGTCATCTGTAGGCAGACAAACGAGAGAGAGACCAAAGCGGGGTCAATATTTCAGCCTCACTGTGGGCTCATGCCTAAATGGAACTCTATAGAAATACCGGTCTGGCCTTAGACATGAGGCTAAAAGGATTTAAAAAAAAGCAGTTGTCAACGCGGAATAAAATCCCCGCAGGGATTCGATTAAAATATTTTCTAGAGCTTGACTACATACTTCAATAATACCAGTTGTAAAATATGACCAACTTTCGGTCTAGCGTTCTACTACCTCACTTTTCGTCATCGAGTGATGGACGATAGTATACCTTCTTGTGCACCTGTGTACTTACCCCGCATCCCTATTCACCAAGGCTACTCCTCAGGATAAGCAACAAAAAGATATCATCCGAATCCATCCACGCCACAAATTCTCGAGAATGTTGGGCTGGGTTATAATTCCCCTCTACGAGGCGGCTGACGCTCTACTCGACCAGTGTGGCTCATTCAACTCTGTTCAGAAACTCCGGTTGTCAATGATCAGATACCACGCCAGACATGACTCCGATGTAGTCAAAAGGAAGATATATCAGAATGCCCCAGAGCTCTGGAGCATCGCAGTCTTCAAGCTCATCGAATCAGATTTACGCCTTCGAGAATTGAGCCAGAGAGACGAGGTAATTCGACACCAGTATCAGTCTATCAAGCTTTTAAGCGCCGAAAAGCGGCGAGAGGCGCACATGAAGTACCCTCAGCTGCTGGATAGCATTGCCAAAGAATACTGGGAGGAAGAAAGAACCCACTACTACTTAGAAGCTTCGCTTCTAAACGGACCTGTGACGCGAGCGTATTCGAAAAACCGTGAGAATCCGAGATGGTATCTCCAGAAAGATCTTCGGAACGATTGTGCTGGCAAGGGAGGATGCTGTGGTCGGGGTTGTAGATGCGGCGAGAACCGTGAAATCATACCAGGAAGGATGAAAGGGGTTGGTCACTGCACTTCGGAGTGTGGGTGTTGTATTCAAAACCGTGACTTTGAATTGACCCAAGAAGATGAGAAAAGGCTGGTAAAATTGCGGTGTGATACTTTGAATGATGATAGGAATCGGACTTATCGGCGTCGGCTTCTCGAAGCATTTTTGAGTGGGGTTGGGTCTAGAAAGAAAGCAGCTCCTACTTGGAGAGGGTAATAATTGAGATGTGGCTTTTGAAGCGAAGAATTGGAAGGTTTTATTGAACTTGGGGTAGTGTGGATTGAGCAAGAAGGTGCTTCGATAGCTAAATTGGCTGCATATGAGAGATGAATGTATTGCAGTGTTGAGGAGGAGCCGAAGAATGCTATAATTGCTTCGAATTCAAGTTGTCTACTTCGGGTGCGTTCCGGTATATTTATTACTGTAATATGCACATCTGCCCTGGTGAGGGACGATCGGACTGTGCACCATTATCTCAAAAGCCATCCAAGACTACGTATCTTTCCTCCAGAAATAGTATCTACCAATTTAGGATTAGCCTCATTAGTTAGTCGAGTAATCAATCGTTGGGCTCTTATTTGATCCCCACTTCTCGCTTACCTCGCGACGGGGCAAGAGGAGGCAAATAAACAAGCGACAGGGAAACTGAGAAATAATTGTTCAATTGCAAAGGCATTATAGGGTGAGGAATGGTGATGGATAGTGTGCTACTAGCTGGACAGGCCAACCATTCTCTGAAAGTTGACCAGCTGCAGTGACAACAAACGCCTGTCAGCCCCCACTCTTCTCAGCTGCTCATCTGCCCCTCCACCAGCATGGCAGAGGACAAGCTAAGAAAACGATTTAAAGCTCTCTTCAGAAAGGATAATCCGGATAAACATATTCTCGCTATCAAGGATGAAGGATCTGACTCACCCTCCTCGTCTGTGCATTCAGTCGCTCCGCCAACTTGTGCTGCAACGAGTGATCCGAGCACTCAACCGACAGTCGAACAGTTGACATGGGATGCGGAGCATGTGGAAATATCTCTCTGGGACAAGGCGTACGATTCTTTGAGAGATGAAAAGCCAGAGCTGATTTCCTTATACGAAGACTTGCTGTCCCGAGTACTTGCCAACGGTTAGTGTTGTGGGAGATGCTTTCGGAACGAAGGAGGTACTAACACCAAACCAATGAACCTGCAGCCAAAGAAGCAAAATCAAAATCTCAACCCAGTCAAGTAAATGATGCGTCTGATATATCCAACGAGATCCCACAACATGACGCGATTGCGCGACAAGAAAAGCTCAGCCAAGTAACGAAGCTCGGTCTCCAACACGTGGAAGATCGCACAGTCAAGATTACCATCCTTGGCCATAAGATCATTCTACGAGAAGCCGCTTCCAATGTCGCCGTCGCTGTCAAATGGGCACAAGAATTTGTGAAAGATGCCATCAAAGACGTTCCCTACGCGCCCGCGGTTATGGCAGGCATTACGTTGATACTTCCACTTCTCAAGAACCCAGCCACAGTTGAGGCTGCAAATAATGAGGGTTTTACATATGTGACATCACAAATGCGATATTATATTGCCATGGAGGGACTTCTTTTGCCCGACATAACAGCCGACGTGAAAGCCGATCTCACGGAAAGAGTCATTGATTTGTACAAAAGCATCATTGATTTTCAACTGCAGAGTGTGATCAGATTCTATCGTGGTCGGACCAAAAACTATTTCAGAAGTCTCTTCAAGTACGATGACTGGACTTCGATGCTCAAAAACATCCGAAATAGCGAAACTGAGCTTCGTGACAAGCTGGAGCAGGTGGCATCGAGGGCCAGTATCCAGCTACTCGACAAGCTCTCTCGCGAAGCGCATGAGTCAAGACAGGAGTTGGCCAATATACTTAGTGAGATCCAAGAGCTGGTCAAGATTTCTCGCGGTGTCGCCAAACAATGGTCAGAAGCTGAGAATCGACGATGTCGCGAGACACTACAAGCGACCGATCCTAGTCTTGACAAAGCTCGCATTGAGGAAAGCAAGGGTGGTCTTCTGAAAGACTGCTATAGTTGGATTCTTGAGCATGAAGATTTTAAGAGATGGCGTGTTGGAAATGATGGACAGATGCTTTGGATAAAAGGGGATCCCGGGAAAGGGAAAACCATGCTACTTTGTGGAATAATCGACGAACTGTCAAAGCCGGGCTCTGAACACAACATCATCTCTTACTTCTTCTGTCAGGCAACACACGATACTATTAACAACGCCGCGTCTGTGCTTCGGGGTCTCATCTACATGCTAGTGAGACAGCAGCCCTCGCTTCTGGATCATATTCGTGATACCTCTTTCGAAGGCCTGAATGCGTGGACAGCCCTTTCCAGGGCTTTCAGCAAGATCCTCGAAGACATAGAGTCAGACAACACCTTTTTAATCATTGATGCGCTTGATGAGTGTGTCACAGGCTTAGACAGTCTACTTTCCTTCATTTCGCAAAAGTCCGCCGAGCATCCAAAGGTCAAATGGATTGTCTCTAGTCGGAATTGGCCACGTATAGATAAAGATATCGAGGAGGCTGCGGATATCAAGCTTCTTCTAGAACTCAATGAAAGTTCTGTCTCGGTCGCTGTGGAGAGATTCACTAAGTATAAGGTCAAGTGGTTGGCTGAGAGGAACAAATACAGTACAGAAACGCGTGCCTTTGTTCACAAATATCTTCTCTCAAATTCTAGGGGTACTTTTCTATGGGTAGCCTTGGTTTGCAAAGAGCTCAGCAGCATCGACAGGTGGAATGTTCAGAAGAGAATTGTGGAATTTCCACCGGATCTTGACGAATTATACAAACGTATGTTTTCGCAAGTCTGCCAATCCGATAATGCTCAAATTTGCATGGCCATCCTTGGTGTCATTTCCATGGTTTATCGCCCTCTCGACCTGGAGGAATTGATTACTTTGGTCGAGCTTCCTGGGGAGATCCGAGATGATTATGAAGCAATTGAGCAAATTATCAGACTTTGTGGCTCTTTCTTAACCCTAGGAGCTCATACAGTCTCGCTGGTTCACCAGTCTGCAAAGGACTTTCTGTCAAGTCGAGCTTCATCACAGCTATATCCAGATGGCATGGAGATTATCCACCATGCAATATTTCTCCGCTCTCTGCGTACAATTTCTCATGTCCTTAAGGAGGACATATATGATCTTAAGGACCCTGCCTTTGACATTCTGGATTTAGAAGCCTACAATCCCGATCCATTAGCACCTGTGAAATACGCGTGTATTCATTGGATTGACCATTTACTCGGTTGGAAGCTTGAAAAAAGCGCACTGGGCCAGACCGACCATAACCTCATCGAAATGTTTTTCAAAAAGGATCTACTTCATTGGCTCGAGGCTCTGTCTCTCATTCGGAGCCTTCCTGGCGGGATAGACTCCATGGTGCGGCTCCAGGATCTGATCAAGGTTTGTCCATTCAAGTCACCTCATCTGCATCATTTGACCATCAGTCTCTATCTATAATACTCTAACGTGATTACTTAAGGGAGACACTGGCCTTTCTCAACTCAGCAACCGCGTACAGGATGCGTCTCGATTCATGATCTACCACAGGCAAATAATAGATCAGCACCCACTCCAAATATACACATCTTCATTGATATTCAGTCCAATGCAGAGCATTACCAAGAATCAATTCAAGCCATCGAGCTTGATTATTGGTAGCCCAGCAATGGAACAGAATTGGAGTTCCTGTTTACTCACAATTGAAAACACAAAGGATTGCTCTGCCAGTTTAGAGAACATAGCTTGGTCACCGGATGGAACACAAATCGCCTCGCAGGATGATATCAACGTCAAAATCTGGAATTCTACAACGGGTCAATGCACAGCCACTCTTCGTGGTCACGGCGATCAGATTGTTTCATTGGCCTGGTCGCAAGATGGAAGGCTTGCCTCGGCATGTCAAGCTGGCGAAGTCAGGATCTGGAACACAATCACCAACCAGTGTTCAAAGATATTCAAGGGCGAGGATGGCTATCTCTTTTCCCTAGTCTGGTCGCCTGATGGGTCTCAGATAGCACGAGCAACGATCCCCACCTCTTGGACTATCAATTACCCCATGCTCAAAACAATCGACTGGAGACAAGAAGGTACCGTCTGGGACACGATTACTGGAGAAGAGCTATCGAATGCGAAACCGTTTCTCTCATTGGGTTGGTCTATGGACAAGTTTCTAACCATATCTCCTCTTGGGGTCGATGGCGTTTCCATTCAAGAATTCGCAACCGGGCAGGAAGTATGCATTTTGAAGGACACCCTAGATCAAGAATACTCTTCTACCCCTTTTGAGAAGGTGTTTTGGGGACAAGATCAAATCGCGATAAACCATCACACCCACCTCAATGTTTGGGACATTAAAACCTGCACACTCGTCTCCACAGTCCGATATCTTTTCGGAGATATGTCCTCTCCACTCGCAACGGTTTCCTGGTCCCAGCACGGGATTTGGATTGCATCTGGAAGTGAAGCCAAAACATCAGTATTCGTCTGGGACGAGATATCCGACCAGGAAACCATGCTTTTTAAACATATAGATCCGACTTACACTCTTTTATGGTCTCCTGATTGTACAAGACTGGCAACCTGCTCGCAGGATGGAACAATTCGAGTCTGGGACTCTGCAGCTGGTTCAAGTGCTGCTGTTGCTATTTCCCCAACTCTTGATCTCCATCCAGAATCTGTCGAAATGTTAAAGTGGTCGCCGAACTTGCAATATCTAGCATCATCATCGCCTCTCGCTAATGATACCGAGGGATCTCATTGGACTAATTGGACTACCTTTAAGATCTGGGATTCTTCAACTAGTCAATGTCTACTCAACCGCGAGTCGGTGGGAAGGTATTTCTGGTCATTCGATGGCAATAGAATTGCCCTGTTGACTAAGCACGGCATTGAAGTACACAACTTCGAGAATGCGCAATACAAGTCTACCTCAACGTCGCCCGATTCCCACCCCCTCCCAACAAAGTCTTCAGTCCGCATTGTTACTTGGCTTGGTCACACAATGGAGACACGCTAGCATGTTCATGGCTCACCGGTACCACTAGCTTCTGGAGCCTAACGAAGGACTTTTCCCTCAAAGCTCTAGATAAAGATGTAAAGTTCTTCGACAAAGCATCTCCAGATAGGCCTTCTCTCTGGTCCAACGCATCTCGTCGCATCCATGCTCTATCCTGGTCCGAAGACGACAGTTCCCTTGCGATAGCGGCAACAGATGGAATCAAGATCTTGGACACGAAAACAAATCAATGGATAGTGAGCATTGGCGATCAATTACCACTCCCGGAATTGGAATTCAAAACGCTAGCGTGGTCGAAGGACGGAACTCGAATCGCAGCATCGGGCCATCATTGGGTCAAAATCTGGTCAGTGACAGGTGATCTTCTCTCGGATATTGAGATACCTCAACCTGAATCTCGCAAATGCCCTGTTGGAAGCAACCTGGTGGAAATGTGTCACAGAAGTCACATTGATGATGTCCAATTCGATGGCTCGAGCCGAGATAGATTGCGCGTGGTTTATGACAATATCTATACGTGCTACTATCAACTACCTGATGTTCTCCCGGATGCGGATCCCTCGGCCCATTTGTCTCAGCCTATTATCGGATATGGGTGGGACTCTGTTGGAAATTGGATCACATATAGGGGGGAACGACTTCTCAAGGTGCCCGCAGAATACCGAGTTCAGGAGTGGGCAGCTACCACTGCCGGAGGGAAATTTGCTCTGGGCTGTCGGTCGGGGCAGGTTTTGATATTCCAATTTTCTCATTGACTGTGTATGGAATAGGCTGTTGTGGCCACTTGTGTGTTTCGTCAACGGGCCACTAAATAGCTTCTTCTTCTTCTTCTTCTTCTTCTTCTTCTTCTTCTTCTTCTTCTTCACCCCAGACAAATAAAATCCATAGCCTGTCCATCGTCTATCGTCATCTAAGAATCGCTAAAAGCAAAAGCACCCTAACCCAGACCTTCTATTTCTTCAAGTTTGTCCTAGAATAAGCTGGAGGCGGCTCATCTGGCACCGTAGAATCCCTCACCAACCCTCTCTCCAAAGCCTTAGACAATCTTCTTTTCTTCCAAAACCTCCACCCAAAGAACCCCCCCAAGACCAAGCAAAATAACACCCGCCGCAGCACCAATACCAATACCCGCCTTCTCTCCGGTACTGAGCTCCTTCTTAGGCATGGGCAATTTAAAAGATTCCGTCGGAACAGGAACAACCGAGGAATCACTAGCCTGGAATCGAATCTGAATAGCCGAAGCCGTTGCAGCCCAAGCAGTTGTCTTTATTGATATCGTTGAATCAGAGTATATAATTGTTGAAGGGCTGTTGAATGTTTTGGCACAGTAGTCTTGGAACATACAGTCGAAGCCACTATAATTTCAATTAGTTTAACTTGAATGAACCACATCCCCTAAAAGTGAAAGGGCAAAAGAAACGACACAGCGTCCATCAATTGACCATGCGAACAAAACAGCATACCTCGGACAACAAATCTCAGTAGTAACTACCCTCTGCGTCACCGTTGGCAACGTACAAGCCTTATAACCTGACGGACATTGGCCGGGACTATAATAGCGATCGAACTTCCAACCTTCCGGCACACAGTCATCACCATTCGGTCCATCAACACCCTGTATCAAATATGGCATACCATAGTATGCGCTGGTGTGTGGGGTAAAGCAAGAAGCAGGCGGGGTGAAGACTGTCGTGAGAGGGCCTGCGTTGGAAGTACGCGTGGAATCGGGTCTGTTGGCGCTAGAACTTGACCAGGATGCGCTGTCGAAGGAGAGGGAAGGGGTGAGTAGAGTTGAGAATATGATAAGGTGGGAAAGGACCCTAAAGGTCAGTGTTGACCTCATTCCTGTATCTCATGTAGTATAGTGAGTGCGGGTGTTATTGCCAGTGGCTAAGGCTAAACAAACGACGTGATGTGCGGTATACTTCAAAAATGTTGTATAATTAATTTTAATTAAGATACTTTTCCTCAAGATTCAGTATTTCTCTACTTATATGTATTCCCTGAAGAACCAAGAACCAAGCAAGATCTACAGGTTCACGTCTGTGCAGCACCCACACCTCGTATTCCGCCCTGTTTCGCGCCGGAGAAATCAACCCAGAACCAGACGAACGGCGCCGGGGTCCGAGTCAAAGAGCCGGCACTTGGCTCCCTCGGTTGCCCTTTGCCCTGCTGCGGTTCATGACGCAGGGGGTTTTCCTAGCGGCTTTCTAGCCTATAGTGGTGGTAAGTTGCGAGATCCCGAGTCAACTTAGGGTTTTCGGGGTGTTTGCATGATTCATGTTGGTGGGGGAGGGTTATCAATATTATGTTCTTGGGCTGGCTGGCAGCAAGTTGAGTTACTATTAACAAGTCTTGACGTGTACTAGTAGATTCAATGGGTCTTCTAGTATGATGATTTGAGTACTCGTATGGAGGTAGGGTGTGGTACTACTAGTAGCCCTGGAGTATGGTGAATCTAGTCCATGACGAGTTGGATGCCGATTGATTACATTCAGTGAACTGAGACCAGCTCATTGGGTCTCTCAATGAATACTGCCAGGGTCCACGGGTCCAGCCCATGACTTGCATAGCACTAGTACTAGTATCAGATCAACAATCTAAGTGTAGATCTGGACTATCACCACTTCCAAGCTCATCTACATCGTTTACAGAGAAGAAATACCACTCTCCAACTACTCCTACACAGGAAAAATTGATGGTAGATGGCTGACTTCGCTATTTTTGTAATCCCATCCCGATAAATACATCCAAAGGACACCTCGTCCGAGCCCGGGGGGATACCTCAAATCATACCCGCAAGCCATTTTTCGTCATCTAGCGCAGAGAGAAAATTTGGGGGTGTGTAAAGAAACTCGGAACTAAATCATGCATCGTCGCAAATCGCACTCCTCTAGTACTTCTTGCCCTGGCGGAGGACATCACCGAACTCCTCGAGAGGGGAGCGGATGAGCTTAGTGTCCTTCCACAGGTTGGGGGTGAGGAAACCGTAGGTGTTGACGACGGCGACGAAGGTAGCCTTGAGGGTGTTCTCGAGGGTCTTGGTGGAGCCGGAGGAGGAGGTGTAGGCATCCTCGACACCAGCGAGCTGGAGGAGACGCTTGACGGCGGGGGAGGCGACAAGGCCGGTACCACGGGGAGCGGGGATGAGCTGAGGTGAAAATTAGTGGGGTTCACGGGGAATAGATATCTGGATCAATTCGATATCCAGCGGATTGAAGGTATACATACACGGACGGAGACGGAACCACACTTGCCGGACTGCTTGACGGGCAGAGAGTGAGGCTCACCAAGGTTGGAACCCCAGTAACCGCGACGGACGGGGAGGACAGCGAGCTTGGCGATGGTGATGGCGGCACGGATGGCAGTGGCGACTTCCTTGGAGGTCTTGATACCGAGACCGATGTGGCCCTCGGAGTCACCGATGAGGACGATAGCCTTGAAGCGGGTACGCTGACCGGCACGGGTCTGCTTCTGGACGGGCTTGATCTGTAGGGAGGAAATATGAATTAGCAATTGTGTTCTGTTCGGTTCGGTTCGGTTTGGGTTTGGGTTCGAGTGTGTGATTGCTTTGCGATGCAATGACAGAGATGATGGCCATCAATTGGTGGGTGCTGCAGCAGCTGTCGCATTCTGATGTTGATATTCCTTGTTCCTTCTTGTCGTAGTTGATGTCCCCCTGCTGCAGCTCCCAGTCCAATCGGTGTCTCTCATCGCATGATCGCAGGTCGCATTGCATTCGTCTCGGTGGGGTTGAATCGGATTGTGGATTGTTGATATCGCACCTTCATAACCTCATCCTTGAGCTTGGGCAGGAAGAAGTCGACAATCTGGAACTCCTTGATGGGGAGAGAGTGCAGGTAGATCTGCTCCATGGAGGTGATCTTGCCGGCCTTGACGAGACGACCGAGCTTGGTGACGGGCTGCCACTCCTTCTCCTCCTGCTTTCCACCACGACGGCCACGGCCACGGCCACGACCGCGACGGTCACCACCACGGTCGCCGCGCGAGCCAAATCCTCCACGTCCACGGGGAGCAGCGTCAGCCATTTTGGATGTATGTAGGGGCGACGAAAGCGAATTTGTCGATAGAGGGTCGAATGGTCGAACTTCACGGGCAGCGGTTAGCACCAAAATTTCGGGGCGGAGGTGGGCTAAGCGAGCGTGTTCGATGCCCTACCCGCCCTAGCCCTAAGTCCAGATCGGGACATCACATGATATACCCGGGCGCTAGCACGGATATGTCACCTGACCACATCTATTTAGTGCCTGCCCCGTAAGGCACCAACATTCAGATCACCTGATCTGATCCGGGGAAATCAGGTTTCCCCTTGCCCTCGCAGGATGATGCGCATCATCAAGTGACACCAACACCAGACTATTCAACATTCTTTCTTTCTTTACTTTCCCCTAAAAAGTGCCCTAATATAGCTATCTCTAATTCCATATACCAGTATACTATATACTATACTATATACTATAATACACTATACCACACTTGTTCCGCCCCCAATTGAGCCTCCCGACGCGGGTGCATTTCCTCTTTGGGAAGCGATAGCCTCCCCTCGATTTCCTCGACTCCGCAATTTAAACATGCGGGCCCGCCTTTCCAGGTTCCTCGAGACTTCTTGAATACTTTCTTTTTCTCTCCGACTTCCTCTCACACCCTTTCGCCTACACTCACTTCCTCTCATTCCTTTTACACCCCTCTCACCACCATGTTGCGCTGGTTCGTTCCACGGTTCTCCTTCTCCGAGGAAAAGGAAAAACGAAACACTGACTTCATTCAGGTACCAGTCCAAGTTGGCCAAGCGCCCTATCCTCACAGCCAGCGTCACCAGCGCTGTACGTCTCTCCCCTCTCCGCCCGATACCCTCCGTCCTCTCGATCCTGTCGCTAATTCACAATCCCAGGTCCTCTTCGCCTCCGGCGACACCCCTCGCTCAACAGGCCGTCGACCGCCGAGGTCTCGAGAAGCACGACTTTGCCCGCACCGGGCGCATGGCCCTCTACGGCGGAGGTACGACTGATAATACCCCAATGACCCTCTCCCCTCTGTCGCAAGATTAATATCTAATACCTTCCTCCGCTTAGCCGTCTTCGGTCCCGTCGCTACCAAATGGTTCGGTATCCTGCAGCGTCATGTCGTTCTCAAAACTACCTTGACCACCACCCTCGCCCGTGTCGGCTGTGACCAGTTCATCTTCGCCCGGTCCAATTGACCGCTTTCCTTCCTCCATGGCCATTATGGAGGGTAGTTTCTCCGCTCGACAAGTTGAAGCACTCCTGGTTGCCGGCCTACAAGGCCAATTGTATGGTCTGGCCGTTTGTGCAGGGCGTCAATTTTACATTTGTGCCGCTGGAGTTGCGTGTGTTGGTGGTGAATGTGATTAGCTTGGGTGAGTTTTCTCTTCTACCTTTCTTCTCTCCCGATGTGTCTGAACTAATTTACTTGTACTTCCTAGGCTGGAACTGCTTCCTCAGCTTGATGAACAGCGATGAGGTGTAATGGCCATCCATACCCATACTCATTTACCCATCATCTTCATGTGCATTGTTTGCGATCATTGGCATATAGAGGTTCTGTCTGGTCTTTTGATTCCCCGGTTTGCTTTCAGGTTTGCCACTGGCAGGTTTGGTTTGGTTTGGTTTGTTCATGATAGGTCACGGTATATATTGTTAGATTTGCGACCGAGTATTACTAGTACGAGTGCGAGTAGTCGAGTTCTGGTGGTCCCGATGAATAGAATAAAATAAAGTATATCTTACTGTTTATTTAATTCTTCAGTGCTAGTCGTATACTAGTCGTATACTACTAGTATACTCTGTAATCTACTACTCTGTGCACCTCTACCCGCCGGTCCCAAAAAGGAAAGGCAATTTTTGTGGTCCGCCGCAAAGCCCAACTTGAACTTGAAAGTCTCGAGAATTTCGAAATTTCCCGCCCGACCACCCATTCACCTCTTCTCCTGCCTGGTGCAGATTAAATTATCCTCAATCATCACCTTGACTCGACTCTAGTCACCTTTTCATTGAGTCCTCCTCTTTGTGTCCACCGACGGCACCTTCCCGGCCCGAAAATCTTCCCCCTCCGCCTCCGCCTTCGACTTCTGAGAATCACAACTTCACCTCTCCCACCCCTCACCCACCACAACTTCACCCACCATGGCCGCCGTGGAGAATGGTCACCCCGTGACGGATGAGAATGCCGCTCCTGCGGTCTCCGCCTCGACCGACGAGGTCACCGTCTTCCATGACCCCGAGAACTTCAACGTGAAGCACCCTCTCATGCACGAGTGGACTCTGTGGTTCACCAAGCCCCCCAGTGGAAAGGTAAGCCGGCCACCATACGAGTACTAAAAAACACTGCGCAAGCCATCGCTAACCCGCAATCCACCACTAGGGCGATAACTGGAACGACCTACTCAAGGAAGTCGTCACATTCAGCTCCGTCGAAGAATTCTGGGGCATCTACGTATGACCGCCCTCCATCCTCCTTCACCCGCAAGACCTATCCTATCCTCCAGGACATACACTAACACCACCACCACCTACAGAACAACATCACCCCAACCTCCGAACTCGGCCTAAAGGCCGACTACCACCTCTTCAAGAAGGGCGTACGACCGGAATGGGAAGACCCGCAGAACAAGCACGGCGGCAAATGGTCATACCAATTCAAAGACAAGCGATCCGTCCCCATCGACGACCTCTGGCTACACGCCCAGCTAGCCGCCATCGGCGAGACGCTCGAGCAAGACGCCGACAACGAAGTCATGGGCGTGGTAGTCAATGTGCGCAAGGGATTCTACCGAGTCGGACTGTGGACCCGCACCGTGGGCAAGAGTATCCAGGGCGATAAGAGTACCCGCACACCCGCGCAGGGTAAGGATATTCTCGAGGCGATCGGGCGTCGGTTTAAGGAGGTCCTTCGTCTCAAGGAGGCGGATGTGGTTGAGTTCTCTGGACACACTGATAGTGCGCACAGTGGTAGCACCCGTGCCAAGGCTAAGTACACTGTCTAGATCTTGAGATGGAGAATTGGAGTGGCAGTGGCAGGCAGTGGTTGCTGTGCGTGACGCTCGGTGGATGGATAGATGGCGCGGGGGCGTCCATGGGCGTTTCATTGATGGCTCCCTGATGGGGGTCCTGGAGTGAAAAGTGATGATATCCAGTTATGTTACTGCTGCGAATATGCAGCGACGACCTGATTGCTTGCGACATGTATCTTACCCTTAACAACGCATTTTATGAGGCATATGTCGTGCGTGGCTGGTGCTGGTCCGTGTTTATGGTTTCATAGTTCAATACTTAAGTTTACTGGACATTCCTCGTTCAGATATTTGGTTCTAGTGGTGCGTAGGGGATGGATTCTAGTAATGACTCGGAGTCACAGTGCAGTACTAGTACTAGTAGTATTAGCTCTGGAGTACTAGGAGACACTAGGGGGTACTAAGTGCTAGACCGGAATATATATCTGGGCCTGTAGGTAGATCCCCCACCTGGGCACTTGGTACTAAGAGTACCAATTATCCAAGTCCCATCAATCAATGTACTACTAGTACCTAGGTACTGACCTAGACACAATGAACCAGTGACTGAGTTCACCACTAAGCTCTAGTCAGATCGCAATCCCACCTGGGCATCCAAAGAAGCGTTCAACGGCTTCCGCCGAGCGTTACAAGTATACTACTAGTAGTACACAGCATTGCCTGGGGTGATTCATGCCCATTAAACCCGCAATGGTCCCCCTCTGGTCACTGCCAGTGGCAGATAATTCTACTATTACTTGAAATATTGGAACGAATTGAATATTCTCTACACAGACAGCTGGGCATTAAGAAACTTGAACTTAAGCTAAACAGAGTTCCAAGGTTCAAGTTACTGAGTGTGCTGCATTCCTCGAAGACCGCACAAGTCAACTTGAACGAGAGTCTAGCCTCCCCATGGTGATACAGAATCTCAGCTCAGCTGCACAGTCAGCACGTTCCACTGGTCCTAGTTAGCTAGTATTAGCACATAGTATCCGACTCGGTCCATTCCGGCTGTGAAGCCTCAATGAAGCGGTGGTAGTCAGCACAACATGCAACGGCCATCAAAAGGCTGCCCAGATGAACCAAGATTCTATACTTTCAAATTCCCCTCTTCACTGACAGCCTCGATTCTTTCAACTTCATCCTATCCATCTCTCTTCCACCCACCATGGACTGGTCCCTCCTAAACTTCGCCCGCAGCGGCCTCGCAGTCCTCCTCTCCCTCCTCCTAATATTATACTGGTACATCCGCATACCTAACGACATGCCGCAAAACATCCCAACAGTACCAATCTACATCTCAATAATGGGACTATGGAGCGACATGGGCCAAGACGACATTTACGACAAATGGCTGCGTCCCAAATTAGAAAAATACGGCGCGGTAAAGATCTGGTTCGCTGGTCGGTGGAATGTACTTGCTACCAGACCGCGGTTACTAGTCGACATGTTCCGACACGAAGATGTGTATGCGAAAGCAGGGTCTCAGAAGAAGATTCCCTGGAGCGTGATTGCCTCGTTGGTTGGTGATAATATTATTAATGCGCATGGGGAGAATTGGAAGTTATATACTTCGATTATGAAGCCGGGGTTGCAGAGGCGGATTACGGATTCGGGACCCTTGTTGTTGAAGTCGCGACGGTTTGTGGATGTTCTTATTGAAGAGCAGGGGGGTTTGGATAGTGGGGGTGTCTTAGTGAATCCGATTATTCAACGGTGGGCGTTGAGTTGTATGGGGATTAATTTTATGAATGTTGATTTGGAGGTATATCACCCGTCCACGGCCAACTATATCTACTAGTACTAACACCAAGGACGAAACAGTGCCTCGAAAAACCAGGCCAACGCCTCGAACAACTCCAAACAATCATCAAAAAAACCCTCTTCAAACCACTCTTCTTCAACTTCCCCGATCTAGACCGCTACCCAACCCTCTTCCCCCAACGCGCAACCGCCTTCTCCATAATGCAAGAATTCGGCGACCTCCTAGTTGAAACAGTCAAACAACGAATCCAAACCACCGACGCCGACGGCGAACAAGTAGTCGACGGCCTCGACAAAGCCCTAGCAACCAACGAAATAACAACGGAACAATACCGCGCCAATCTAAAAGTAACCTTCCTAACCGCGCATGAAAACGCCCAACAACTCCTAAACAGCGCAATCTGGGTCCTAGGCTCAAACACGACCATCCAAGACAAACTTCGCGAAGAGGTCTTATCCCTCTCCACTTCAAACCCAACAACAGACCAACTAAACAGTCTACCTTACCTATACGCGGTAATTCTCGAACTTCTCCGCCTCTACCCGCCCGTCTCACAACTCATAAATCGCGTAACGACATCATCAGCTGTATTAGGCGGAGAAGTGCCCATTCCGAATCACACGTGGGTGGGGTGGAATGCGTACGGGGTACACACAGACCCGAATGTATGGGGAAGTGATGCGAGGACATTCCGGCCTGAGAGGTGGGGTGGTGATGTGAAGGGGATTCATGGGGCAGTGCGGAGTAAAACGGTTCAGTGTCATTTTATTGCGTTTAATTCGCATTCGAGGAAGTGTTTGGGACAGGGGTTTGCCGTGTTGCAGATGAAGGTTTGTTTGTTTGAGATGGCGAGGAGGCTGGTTTGGGTTGTTGATCCGGATTATGAGTTGAAATTGACTTCGGTGAGTAACTAGTTGCCTTCAGGTTTGCTGTGGTATATACTTTGGGGATAACTTTGTCGGCTGATATTTGTTTTAGGGCGGGATTATGGCTCCTTTGGGGTTGAGGGCTATTATGACGGAGAGGGTGGAGGTTAAGGAAGGAAACTGGCAGGGAGAGGATAAATGATGACTGGGGATAATCAGTTCAGATAGTATTAGTATACTACTATGACTAGTATTATGTGAGATGTCTGTTTAGTTGGATATGGTGGAAACGACCTTCGAGGGAACTATACTTGATATACTTGAGACTATCTGGGGTCATTTGGTACTGGAGTACTAATAGTAGTAGCCACTGACATTCCTTCTGCACCGCCGAGCCCGAAAGTGAATTCAATAAACCCTGATATCGGCAGATATCATCTCTTGGGGGTCACACGACCGTAGCTGGATAGAATCGAGAGTCCATGGCCAACTCAACCGGCATTGCGCCATAACTCTATATCTATTCACAACGCCGTCCCCATCTACACCCCGAACCATGGACCCCAAGCCCAATGCAAAACTACAACCACCTCTACCTGAAACCACCTGGGAAACAGATTTACTACTAGCAGTACATACGCTTCACACTTACCAGCAGTACCTACACAATGAGTCCAATAGTCTACAAAGTCGCCGTCCTAATATTCCACGGCGCAGACATCCTCGACTTCACCGGACCAATCGAAATCCTCTCCCACGTCTCATGCAGATACAAGGACAAAGAGAAAGGCAAACACGATGGCGACCTCAGTGAGCCTGAGCCCCAAGGACAACCAATGTTCGAAATAACGACCATCGCCCGTGACGAAACCATCACAACGAGCTGCTCAACAAAGATAAAAGCAGACATGCTCCTATCAACCGCCTACCCAATAATCAGCACCTTTGACATTCTCATCGTACCCGGTGCCGCCCCAACACTGATCCACGCTCTAGTCGAGCACGAGACACCAGAGAAAGATCTCGTCTGCGCATACGCCCGGACAAACCCGTCCCGACCCCGAATCATCTTCTCCATATGCACCGGGGCATTCCTGCTCGGCGCGGCGGGGATTCTGCCCGGGACAACGGTGACGACGCACCAGCATGCGTTGGAGGTGTTGCGGGGGATCTGCGCCAGCGCCGGCAGCAACGATAACGGCAACGTCAACGGCAACGGCAACGTCAACGGCAACGGTAGCGGGACCGGGACGAAAGATATACCACGAATTGTGAGAAGACGATTCGTAGACGGGGGATATGTACGTGAATCGCGAGTTCAGGTAGTGACAGCTGGGGGGATTAGTTCGGGACTAGACGCGACGTTTTACATTGTTTGTTTGTTGGCTGGGGCGGAGACGGCGTCTTGGATTGCGAGGGTTATGGAGTATGGGTGGAGGGAGCCGGAGAGTGGACTCTGGCCGAGAGGATTTGCTGGACCGCGATCGTACTTGGGTACGAGTAGAGCTTAGGGATTGGATGCCCTAGTCTTCGAAAGGTGGAAGGCTGAAGCCGGAAGCCGGAAGCCACGGAGGAGATACATATTCAAATGTCCGGTGTGTCTGTTCTGCTCCACTTTGTAATGGCGGGTGTCTGACTGGAAAGGGAAGATGTCTGACTCCACTGGCTTTGGCTCTGGCGAATACGGGTGGCTGACGATGTCGCCATTGCGCAGCGATTTCGGAGGGAGAGGAGGGAGAGGAGGAGGAGGAGGAAGAGGAAGAGGAAGAGGAGTTGGGGTAGAGTAGAGTCGGAGTTGAGAAGAGAGAGAGAATGTGTATGTGTGTGTGTGGTGGTTGGAAGGAAGTTGCGATGTATGCAGTCGATCATGTGCTTCGCCATCAACGTTGAGCCTCACGCTTTACTTTACATACACATACACATACGTTTGAGAGGATTCTACCAATTCGCATAGCAGATCCCCCAGGGCCAATGCTAATCATTTGCCAATTCTTGCCAATTCTTACCTATTTTACCCTTTCCACCAATTGTTCCTGCCAATCTTTGCCCAGCCTGGGCACTCTTGGCCGCTCACCTTTCCCCCAGTTGCCGCGCCCTTCGCAGAGACTAAACCCAGCCACGAGCATCTCGTTGGTCGACCAGAGCGAAGTCGGAGCGATAAGCATTGCCAACGTCGTTTATTAGACGGGCGTACCCCCCAGCTGCCTTACGCAAGGCTTGTCTTGACTTCTTGCAGCTTTTAACTACCTGCAATCACTTCCTTTGAATTTATCCAACATCAGATCACATACAATGCACCTCCAGAATACTCGATCCGACCAACCCTATACCCAAGACACAGTATGACCAATACTCACGACTCACCTCTTATCTCCCGACCTTGGCATGGTCGAGAGGACGCCCGACTCCACCGCACCTTCGCTTGAACCCGCCATGCCCACACAAGGTCGAACCTCGACCTTTACGTTTACGAGAGAATAATTACCCCGGATATTAGCGACTCCCCTTACAGCTGCGATGGATCACATCTCGGGCTCACTTGCCATTACCCAGGATGACATCCTGCCCGAGAACAGTCCAGCCCTGGATCTGTACCAGTTGGATTGAACGCATTGGTGCACTCCCCGCACAGCGGACACAGCGGACTCCGGGGTAACATCCCAGTGAGACACCATGGCCGAAACTCAAAGCGCAACCAATTCCCATTGGTAACCGCTGATTGGACTCCTGCACGCGATAAGCATCCAGCCTCCCCGACTCGTCGCGGGGGTCCAACGTTGCAGTGGATTGAAACTGGGGTGTTGGGGCGGAAAATCGACAGAGTGCCGAGGATATCATCCACTACGGGGAAAGGAAAGGGGGCGAGAACATACGAGCACGGAGTCCGCATGGAAAGGGGAACGGGAAAATACACCCATGAAGCCTGCATCAGCCATGGCCAGCCATGGCCAGCCGCATCAGCCAACACCAACGCCAACAACAACCGAAAACCTCGGGCGCAGCCGCAGGCGAAGGATTGGATAGCAAAGATAGGAATGCGGATGAGCCCATCGCCCGCTGCACGCCGCGGCACGTCCGCTCCTCGCGCGTGGTGTGGTGGCGGCATGTCCTAATTAGCAAAGTCCACGCAGTCACCAAATCCAAATCCCGCGAATCTATCCGTATCTCACACTAGGGTTAGGGTGTTTTGTTTCTTTGTTTGCCGGGGAGGCCGGATGGACTCCGAGTGCAGACTCTGCGAACCAGCGATCGGGTTGTGGCGGACTCCCCGTGGCGCATTCCGGCATTCCGACTGTTTTCGGACTCAACTCAATTCATTTCACTGCAGACAGTGCGATGATAATTGATACCGAGTACTGCTGAGTACAGAGCAAAAGTTCTTGCTAGGATGATTACTATGTGCTGACGCCTTCGTTGGCTGGAAATGCATCCCATCCCATGCTACTGCAGATAAGGCTGGCTAATATCCTGGGTCAGCTGGGACACTGGGACACTGGGACTCCTCCGCCGGCATTTCCTGGCCGTTGATTGCCTAACACCTTGGGGCCCACCATATCTCCCTCGCGTGCTTGACACTTTTTTCCCATCGCTTGCGTCCGTGCCGCGGGGTTACATTCTGTGGGTCAATATCGAATGAAACAAAACGATTCGCCATTCACCAGGGACTGCCGATCCCATCCACGGTTGGCAGGCCGCGAACAACGGACCATTGGTTTATCTTTGGCCACCGGAGAAGGCCTAGGAGGAGACCCAAGCTAGATAATTTCTTTCCCATATCAAAGTGGGACGGTCTTTGTGGGTAGAGCTAACTTTTTTTTCGGTTCACGCGCCGATAAGCATCCCCACTGCCTCGGGGCGAATTTTTGTACACAAAGTACATATAGACCGGAGGCAACCCCCCAGAGCTTTGACTCGTCTGTTCTGCTCATCACTTCCATTCTTCGCCATGACCGACCACGAGGTAGCGGCTGTGTACGTATCCATACAGCCTCATGGATCTAGTCGATCTCACTCGAACTCGAGCTAACCTACCTTGCACAGTCCCCCCTCCTACGCGCCCAATGAGGAGATCGTCGTCTCCGACGACAAGACCGCTTTCGACGATGTCAAGGACGTGAGCCCTACCGCCGATGGCCAGGAGCCCAATGATCAGGAAAAGGCCAGCCTCCGTCACGTCGCCGAGAACCTGCCTCTCTCCGCATGGCTGGTCGCCGTTGTCGAGCTGTGCGAGCGTTTCACCTACTATGGAATGTCCGGTCTCTTCCAGAACTACGTCCAGCGTCCGCTCGACGGTAGCCAGGGCCGCGGTGCTCTCGGTATGGCTCACCAGGGTGCTACCGGTTTGACCACTTTCTTCCAATTCTGGTGCTACGTGACTCCCATCATTGGTGCCATTGTCGCCGATCAGTACCTCGGCAAGTACAAGACTATCGTCTATTTCTGTATCGTCTACCTTGTCGGTCTGCTCATCCTGGTCTGCACCTCCATCCCCGCTGCTCTGGAGCACGGTGCCGGTCTGGGTGGTTTCATTGTTGCTATTCTGATCATCGGTCTCGGTACCGGTGGTATCAAGTCCAACGTCGCCCCTCTGATTGCCGACCAGTACAAGCGCAAGAAGATGGCCATGTCCACCACCAAGAAGGGCGAGCGCGTTATCATTGACCCCGCCCTGACCATCCAGCGCATCTACATGATCTTCTACGGATGTATCAACGTCGGCTCGCTCTCCCTGCTGGCTACCCCCTACATGGAGTTGTACATCGGCTTCTGGTCCGGCTACCTTCTCTGCCTGTGCATGTTCGCCATGGGAACTCTCGTCCTCTGCCTCGGACGCAAGTACTACGTCGTCCGCCCACCTCAGGGCTCCATCATCACCGACGCCTTCAAGGCCCTCGGCATGATGATTATGAACCGCAACATGGATGCGCCCAAGCCTAGCTGGCAACTCGAGCACAACGGCAACTCGTCCGTCGTCCCCTGGGATGACCACTTCATCGACGAGCTGAAGCGTGCCCTCGTCGCCTGCCGTGTCTTCGCCTTCTACCCCATCTACTGGGTCGTCTACGGCCAGTTCTCCAGCAACTTCGTCTCCCAAGCCGGTCAAATGGCCGGCCACGGCGTCCCCAACGACCTGATGCAGAACTTCGACCCCATCTCCATCATCGTCTTCATCCCCCTGCTGGAAACCTGCGTCTACCCCCTGATGCGCCGTCTCCGCATCCCCTTCCGCCCCATCACCCGTATCTCCCTCGGTTTCGTCGTCGCCTCCCTGGCCATGATGTACGCCGCGATCGTGCAGCACCTAATCTACGCCGACAGCACAATCACCGACGGCGTCGCCGCCCAATCAAACGTCCACATCGCCATCCAAACCCCAGCCTACGTCTTCATCGGTGTGTCTGAGATTTTCGCCTCCGTCTCCGGTCTCGAGTACGCCTACACCAAGGCCCCACCCAGCATGAAGTCATTCGTGCAGTCAATGTACCTCCTCACCAACGCCTTCGGCTCAGCCCTGGCCGAGGCCCTGACCCCCGCCGCATTCGACCCGGCTATTCTCTGGATGTTTGTCGGTCTGGCTTGCGCTTCCTTCGCGGCTGGTATTATCTTCTGGCTCGTTTTCCACCACCTCAATGCCCAGGAAGATGACATGAATGCCCTTGATGCGGATGATTGGATGCCTGAGGCTCCTCGTGATGAGGAGCGTCGTGCTTCGACTAAGCAGTGATTGGCATCGTGATTTTGTTCCTTTCCGTTCGTGCTGCCTCAGATGGGAGGATAAAGAGTAGATCTCTTTGTTTCGCATTTGCATTGTATAGCTTATTTTGTTTTTTATGGTTCGCTCTTTGCTGGGCGTCTTGTTGAGCCGCTGCTGGGCAGATATGAGTATGAGATATGATTAATCTCTAGTAAATAAATATAATTATTATTAAACTGGACTTCAATTGTAAAGTAAATACCCTCGTAGACTGAGTATACTAGTTCAAGTTGCCTGACGGACACCTTACATTGTAGTTCGGATTAATCGTTTTTCCGGAAGTGTTTCTGCCTAAGGTCTTTTTCTAGCATCCCGATGCAACTTTTCGATAGTTATTTTGAGTGGTCAATTTGACTAGGCATCTCTTATTCCATCCATTATATTGACATTCTTTCGTGAGGGTGTCTATGATGCAAGTTTGTGGTATTACTATCCACCTGGGCATCACGAGAAGCAGCAAGCTTCAAGAAATTCCTTTGTAGCACTGGAAATGATATAAACCTTGGAACCTTGGAACCTTGGAAACAACTTGAACTTCAATTTGGAGAACTAGTAGTAGTAGATACCTAGGTATCTACTAGAGACCCAATGTTTTCGTGGAGCCATCGCCACTGGCAGTGTGGATAGTTGCCTGCAGTTGGCCGTTCAATGGTTGATGCTTGGCTTGCTTATGTGAGATATATTTAGAACACTGCCAGTGACAGGTGCCTTGAGGAGACAGTACTAGTAGTACTAGTAGTAACCTGGAATATTGGTTGGAGCCTTGAGTATAATACTAACACTATCTAGATATTCATCGGTAGCCTAGTTAATTACTCTAGTGACTGGCAGTAACCTCGAAAGTACTATCTACCACAGTTTCCCAGTGTCTGGTCCCTGCAGCTTTGGAATTGGCGGCTCTGATTGGCCACTGCCGTCGGAGATTAGACATGCGACCGATTAGACTTACAACTATGATTCTATATGGCATATAGTAAAGTTGACTAGTATATTCGATGAGTATATTTAATTCTATATTCTAGCTTTTAATGTACTTGTACTCTTATTAACATAATAGTATCCTATGGTGCTAGTGTAGTAGTAGCAGCAGCAGCAGCAGCATGCTGACTGCAGGTCTCGATGCGGAAGGTGCGATGCAACATTACTGCTATCGCGTGCAGGCAGTAGATACACTCGAATGTATACTAGTAGTATACTAGATGTATACGATATAGCAGTATATAGTATAGTATATCTACACTATATAGCATCTACTCTATACTACTATACTTCTAGTATCGCTACTCCTACAGCCACCGCCGATCGAACTAGAATAGAACATCAGCCACACTTGGGGTCCACTGAAAACTCATCGCCCCTGAGACTGTCTTTCTCAAGTTGCCATTATCATCCCTTCATTTGATTTATTTCATTTTCCTTCATTTCATTTTCAAGTTAATTTGTTTAATTCCGTCCTTCCTTAATTTCTTACTATTCTATTCCAGTTTCAGGTTACTACTACTAGTGCAGACCCTGCTAAGCGCCAACCACTCTAGCAGTACCAAAGGACAGCACCCACTGACACCCGCCAACCTCCACTTTCAACTTCCCGTCTCACCTCCCGAGCTCCCTTCCCTCCTTCATCTCCCCTCCTTTCCATCCCCATTCCCACGTCCACGCCCACCGCCATTATGAGCGTGAGTTTTCCCCTGATTCCAGCTCCCTTGTTCTCTCTAACGTTGCCAGTATCAGAGTCTCGGTGATAACCAAGGTGGCTACGGCCAGTATGACCCCTATGGCGCGCAACAGAACCCCTACGCCCAGCAGCAACAAAGCTACGGATACGGCGGTGCCGCCGAGCAGGGCAATGGCGGATATGGTGAGTCCTCACCTCGATTACTTCTTCAAAATGATCAATCCGATCAGATCCCCCTCTCCCCTCCCTAATCGCGTCGCGACCGACTCCACCAGCCCAGCGCTAACTCCCACCCCCTCTAGAAATGTCCAACATGCAGCAACAATCAGGCGGTGGGCCCTCAGCCATCCTGAACAAGTGCAAGGAAATGAGCGATGGCATTAACCAGCTCCGCACCAAGCGCGAAACCTCCCTCATCCCCGCCCAGAACGTCCTCCTCGACAGCGCAACCAGCAAGGAAGACCAAGTCGCGCGCCAAAACGTCGACTACATCGAAGACGAGATCAACACCGCCCTGCGCTACCTGCGCGACCAGTTCAAGCGCATCAAGGAGACCCCCGGCTCCGGTGACCAGCGCGTCAGCGGCCAGGTCGAGAACGTCAACCGTAACCTCCGCCGTGAGATCGAGCAGTACCAGCGCACCCAGTCCGATTTCCGCAAGCGCTTGGAAGAGCAGATTCGCCGACGCTACGAGATTGCCAACCCGGAAGCCACCCCGGAGGAATTGGAGCAGGGTGTGCAGAATGTGATGGCTGGACAAGAACAGGCCTTCATGGTAGGCCTTCCCCTCTCCTCATCACGTCTACAAGACCGGAAGTGTCATCTATGCAGTCTACAGATGTACTAACACTATTTAGACCCCCGGAACCCGATCCCGCCAGGCCAACGATGCTCGCCAAGCGACTATGGAGCGATCCGCCGCGATCCGCAAGATCGAGCAGGACATGATCGCTCTCGGTCAGCTGTACCAGGAGGTTGCGGAGCTGGTGCACCAGCAGGAGCCGGCCGTTGCGCAGATTGAGCAGGGCGCCGAGGAGACACACCGCAATGTGGCGCAGGCCAACACCAAGTTGGACAGCGCTATTACCAGCGCCCGCAATGCCCGCCGGTGGAAGTGGTATGCGTTGATCATTGTTAGTAAGTAGTCCACAACCCCACGGCCCACCCATAGCCAGTGCCACCACTTGTGACATCTCCCTCTTCCACCCAAGTCCATCACTAACAATACCTTCTAGTCATCATCATCGCCATCATCGTCGGTGTCGCAGTCGGTGTCACCGAAGCCAACAAGAGCAAATAGTGGCCGTACGACCTCGACACGTTGTTTTCTTCCCGTCTGTTTTACCTATCGCTTTTATTTTCCTTTCCTTTCCTTTCTGCTCCATCTTCGCTTTCTTACACCTGTACTCCCGACCTATCGCTGTCACCGTCCCGTCCCTGTTCTTCCCCCTTCGTTTCTATACCACCCCCTCTCGCATGTCATTTGTAAAAGCAATGCCGATCGGCTCTCCTTGTTTGACCTGGTCTTGTCCGTGTACAGCGCGCCGACTGCACGCGACTGATGATTGCTCCCCGGCCTCACTAATCTGGTCCGATCTGGTCCGACCTGAATGGCTTTGGGATGTATATACTAGACTGTTCGTTTCTCGGTGCCCGTTTTGGCGCTAATCTATGTAATACCGATATGATATTTTGCACAGCGTAGCAAAGCAAAACACAGGAAGCCAGTGTAGAAGAGACTGGTATCTAAGATGTACCTGTACCAAAGATAGAAATAGATTGGGTATATCGCCACAACCGCCGTGACTTTAGCCTCACTCACAACCGAACCGAACCAATCAACCAGCACCAACACCTTCCATATCCTATCTCATTGTCCACCCTTCTCCCGCTGAACTTCTCTCTCCTCCTCAGCCGGCGTCTTCGTCCGCAACTGCAACGCATGAATACCGCCCTCCCGGGCCATTTCCTCTTTCAACAGGGCATACACCATTCGATGGCGGGCTGGTTGCATTTTCTTCTCGAAGGAGGAGGATGTTATCGTTACGCTGGGTGGGTTAGTAAGGACAGTAAATAGAGTAACCCTACCCTACAGATATGTGGGTGGTGTAGTGTAGTGTGGAGTGGTGGGTGGGGATGGGCCCATACTGGAAATGCGTCTCTTTAGAAGTCGAGCCTTCCATTGCGGCGTGGTGGGCGTGTTTATGCGAGTCGTTACGGATTATTAGTGTTTTTGGGGTGAATTCGTGGGCGATCTAGTTATTTACATTGTTAGAATATGCATAGGTGTAGGGGTAGGGTAGGGGTAGGTGTAGCTGAGGTGAGGTGAGGTATACCTTGTCGCGCATGAGGTCTTCCATTGGAGTCATGGACATGGTGGAGATGGGTCGGCGCAGGGGGAAGCGCGTGAGGAGGGGACGGAGCATTGAAGATTGGATGAGGTGAGTGTGAGTGGATGTGGATGTGATCCTGAATGTTACTGTTGGAGTGGAGTGGCGTGGTTGAGGTGTGGTTGGGTTGAGTTGAGGAGAAAGAAAAGGGAAAATTGCGGAGGAAAAGGTTCCCGCGGAACGTCATTCCCTTCACTTCACCACAACACAATACACCACTGAGAGTACTTCTCTCACTCTCACTCACACTATTTCCTGAACTGACCTAACCTATGACCCCAATCGATCCAATTTAATTATCTCGACTATATCAATGAGGTTCACAACCCTTTCGCGCATATCTGCGCGCCCATCTCCGCATCCTCCGCATCTCCATCTCCGACCACGACATCTCCAACTGCAGACAAAGCTATTCCCCCGCCACTCCTCCTCCTCGCACAAGCTTCCCAACATCCCCATTTTCCAAGCAATCAAGGATCATGACCCCAACAGTCTAGCTGTAATCCACAGCCTCAGCCGTCGCACTTTCACCTACGGAAATCTGATCGGCGATGTCCTCCGCGCCCGCGAAGATCTGCGCCGCAAAGCCGGGCCCAATCTGGCCGGCGAGCGCATCGGCTTTTTGGCTGAGAATAGCTATGCTTATGTTGGTATGTTTATTCTCGCAGTACCTTACTGGTCTGCACGCACTGCACGCACTGCACTGCACTGCCATGCCCTACTCTATGCCCTCACTCTACTAACACTCGCAGTGACAATGCTATCAATCTTCGCCAGCAATGCAATCGCCCTCCCACTATCCCCCGCATTCCCAACCAGTGAACTGCAATATATAATGGACAATTCCTCCGCAAAAGTCCTCCTCGCCACGGAAAAATATGCCGAGAAAGCAGACCAAGTGGTTGTCTTGGGATTAGCGCGCGAGCCAGTCTTTGATATTCGCTCCAAGTTGACTACCGGCGCTGATCCGACTGAATCAGCCAAGCTGGAATTGGAGCCGGAGTCTGAGTCCGATAAATTGGACCCGACTATTTCTGGGATGATGCTGTATACTTCTGGGACTACGAATCGGCCGGTATGACAAGCCTGCTAGTAGATTGGATTGGATGGGATGAGATCGGATCGGATCTATTCCCATCCCATCCCATCCCATCCAATTCAATTCACCTCGAGACCCTCGCTAACAATCCCCAGAAAGGCGTCCTAATCCCCGAATCCGCCCTCGCCGCCCAAGCACGATCACTCCTCCAAGCCTGGGAATACACACCACAGGACCGCCTCCTCCACCTCCTCCCACTCCACCACATCCACGGCGTCGTAAACGCAATAATAACACCCGTCTTCGCCGGCTCATCCATCGAATTAATGTACCCCTTCAACACAGACGCCGTCTGGAAACGACTAGCAGAGCCATTCCTGCAACCCAGTAGCAGCGGCGGCAGCAACACTCCCACCGCATCAAAAATCACCTTCCTAACCGCCGTGCCAACAGTCTACAACCGCCTAATGACCTCCTACCCAACTCAACCAGCCACCATCCAAAAAGCAGGCCAAGAAGCCATTTCCCCACAAACCTCCGCCTCAACATCTCCGGCTCCGCAGCCCTCCCCACACCAACGAAAAGTAAATGGACCGAACTAAGCAAGGGAAACGTCCTCCTCGAACGTTTCGGAATGACAGAAGTCGGGATGGCGCTTAGTTGCGGCCTTAGCAAGAATGATCGTGTCGATGGGAGTGTGGGGTGGGCTTTACCGGGTGTGGAGGCGAGGCTTGTTGATACGGAGACTAATGAGGTTATTCCGGATGGGGTGGAGGTTGATGATTGTGGCAGACCTGTTGAGGGGGAGATTCAGTTACGGGGCGAGACGGTTTTTCATTCTTATTGGGGAAATGAGAGTGCTACGAGGGAGAGTTTTGTTGAGGACGGGCCGGGGTCAGGGCAAGGTAAGCCCTGGTTTAAGACTGGGGATGTTGCTAGTCGGAGACTTGTTGATGGTGCGGGCAAGGGGGAGAGTGGTGAATGGGCAAAGGGTCCGATGTATTTCATTTCCGGACGGAAGAGCGTGGATATAATTAAATGTGGCGGGGAGAAGATTAGTGCTCTTGAGGTGGAGAGGGAGTTACTTTCTCTGTGAGTATACACCACCCTACACCACCCTACACAACGCTACACCACACCACACACCGGCACATTGAAACTGATACTAACCAATCAACCCGATCAGACCCCAAATCACCGAAGCAGCCGTCGTCGGCCTTGCGCACGAACAATGGGGTCAGAAGATCGCCGCCGTGGTGGTGTTACACCCAGACGCAGCGAGTAGTGGGCGAAATGGAAAGTCCTGGGGCCCCATGGATATGCGGAGGGCGTTGAAGGATCGGTTGGCTGGATATAAAATTCCACAGGAGATGAAGGTTTTGGAGAGTATTCCCCGCAATGCGATGGGGAAGGTGAATAAGAAGGCTTTGATTAAGGAGGTTTTTGGGTGAGGTGGGGAGGGAAGGTAGCATGCTTGTCTGACTAGTATTGGTGTATTTGTATCGTTTAGAGGTGCCAGTGGCTGGTTGGGCTGGTTTGTTTGATATAATAATTAGTACTAGTATAGTAGTGCTATGTTTGATTAATTGATACCACTCCTACTCCTACTTCTTCTATAACTATACAATCTATGAATAGCCTCGATATCAACTCCTCGACGGGAATGGTCACATGACAATAAGTAGGAGGTTCTATTTGCTCTTAAAGTTGCTGATCCCACTGTGTTTTTGTTGCTGGGTGAGCTTCGATCGGAACTGATATTGAAGGGTCATATCCCAACAGGCAACCCTACGGTTTGACAGTCATTTAGTAAAAAAACAATTGAAGTGATCACTCGGAGTTGAATAAAACTTAATTATTTTAATAATAGCTACATACCGACTCCTGTACATCCCGACTGCAATGGATTAGACAGGATACGGAATTTGTAAGATGAAGATTTGAAGCTTCAACATCATGTAGTGGGATATTGAAAACCACATTCAAGGCTTCATCACTTCTCACTCTCTTCTTCAGTTGTATAGCAGTAATACCTTCTTTTCCCCTGCAAAGATTCTTCTCCACCCAGATCCAAACTGTACATGTACTCAGTATTGTCTATTTTCCCGCCCCAGTGGAGCCAACCCAACCAGGCAGCTTGTCTAGAGCCCTGACGTCGTCTGGGTTATGAGCTAGCTTCAGTGGAAATTGCCCTGGTTGTGATGAGCCTATGCGCATCATCGCAAAAGAGTCGAGCTGGTTCGTCCATCGCGGCTTCCATGCGACGTAAATCGACAGCCCCAATATACAAGAGATATAGGTGCCAAGCAAGAGTGATATCAGTACTTTTCCAGCATGGGAGATATATGGAATTTGTTGGTCAACGCCCATGTCCCAATTCAGTGACCCACTTGAGAGATATGAATCCCATAGCTTGGTTTGTTGCATCCATTCATCGACAGCTACGAAAGCTGCCGCGGTGAAGGCATTCTCTATTTGCCACTGTGAAGGTGAACTGAGACCCAGCCAAGCATATCCAAAGCTTTGATCTTCGCCAGCAAAAAGCCAGATGTATTCAGCTCCGAGTTTCGGTGGATCATAATGCAGGAAGGCATGGGTTCGGACACACGGGTCTAAATCCCGTGACACGATACTCTTCTCATCTTCTCCACGAAGCAGTTTGATCATGGGGAGAACATCAACACATCCACCCCCAGTATCCATATCTCCTGACGACTCTTCTGACGGGGATAGCTGGTATGTTGCTGCAACCGTGTGACTCAAATCGAGGTAGGATCTCTCAGTGAAAAGGACCAGAACGATACTTAGAAGAGGGCCTCGCATGCAGTAGCTTGAAAAACTGCCTTGTGTTTTTTTTTCTTCTAAATACTACTCTCTTCCTTTCCGAAACTTGCTTGCCAAGACTGCGTTGACCCAAGTTAATTAGACTTAAAACGACCCCTGGCGAGGACCCTTGAATGGTATGGTAAGGAACAAGACGATGAAAATACTCGTACGTGTGCAACACGGGCCCCTTGACTTTTTGTTCTTCCTGCTCTTCAATACCCTAGTTTCTTGGCATCTGTACACAGCCTCATACCCCAGCTCAGTTTGAAATTTTATCCCTCACAAGGTTGAGCCTTACATTTGTGGATCTGAACAGCATTGCTGTCGCAGGAACGCAACTTCCTGTGATACCCCTTCGACCGAGCTATCTTATCAATGAAACCCTGTATATTTCTATGGAGGGCATGAAAGCGAAGTGCTAATTACAAGAATGTTCATTAGAGCCGACTAACCTTGGAATATAAGGCAAGCCGGCTTCTGGATATTAATTAACAATACAAAATCACGACCTCATGCCCATCCTAAATTACCAAACGAGACCTGAACCGCAGTGTGTTGCGGATTTCGAGCTCTCTTGCCCACATATCTCTGGTCAAACACAGGACCTTGATTAATACAGCGGCGAATACCGCTTATCGTCGAATCCAAACCCACAATATTTACACCCATGTAGACTGAATGAGCATCACCTATTATTAAGCCCAACATCATCTCCCAGACGCCGATGACAACTCAGCCGGTGGCACAACCTGATATCCTGTGGATAGCTCCTGTGGCGGCGGCTTAGTCTCCTGACTGAAGCCGTCGCTCAGCGCAAACACCGAGCTTGGCCCAGAAACTTCTGTCAGTCCAGTCACCTCTTGCGAGGATTGTCGACGTCGCCGCCGCAATAGGAGAAATCCCAATGCAGACAACAGCGCCACGCCACCTATTCCCACGCCGATGCCGATGCCTGCTTTCCCGCCCGTCGAGAGCCCATCTGTACTAGATGATGCAGCTTTCGAGGTTGTTGTTGGAACAGTCGTCGATGTGGGTGAGGGTGTTGTTCCCGACGTGGATGAGGACGTAGTCGACTGGGGATGAATGAGGATTCCCGGCGAATAAAAATGATCGATATCGGTGGAATAACTCTCTCCGTCAGCTATGAAAGTAAAATCGTACTCCGAAGTCTGTGACAGAGGCTCGTCCTCAACATAGACCTTCCAATCATAATATCCGGACTTCGAGATATTAACCGTGGCTATTCCGCAAAATTGTTAGCTCATCGTTCAGAAGGATATGGCTGGGGTATAACGTACATGCAAGAATCCTGGAATACGAGTAGTCACTCGAGTTCCAAGAAGTCAGGTAGAGGTTGGCGATCGTCTTGCTGTCCATGTAATAATCCGTGTAGGCAGAGTCCCAACCTGTCCACCGAATCGTCACTGGATCTCCAATTGTATAGATATCTTTGAAGTTTTCATCATGTCCATTGGGATTTAGCCAGTTTTGTGAGGCATTTTCTTCATCGCTTTGAGCCGGCTGTGATATCGAGATCAAGAGCAGCCAAACCCACGCCAGTTTGGCCATGGAGTTGAGTACAATTGGCAGCTTCCAAATGTTCTTTCGCCCCGGGGAACGATTATGTTTTCAATTCCAAGATGATAGAGGGAATTGCGGGATCAACTTGAACTTTTGAGGAGGCTCACCCGGGAGTAAGAACAGGAAATATGTACACTGTCTGGTCAGTGGATTGGAGCCCTCTTGGCAAGCATGAGTGCCAGATATTGTAATCTTACAGTATCAATCATCTGAGTGCCCATACGGCCATAATTGTGGGTCGACCCCCAAACAGCTGGCAAGATAGTTCATCTCTCCAAGATACGACCCCTGAGAGCTGCGGGGCCGATGAGCCCTGCGCTCTCGCGGGGCAAGTGTACACTTGTGAGGCTGAGGTATCTTCCCGACTCACGTTATACACTTCTTGCCTGACTTATTTTTCTCTTGAGCACCCGAATTCTGCCATTGCATGTATCTTTTGTGAATGTCCACTAATGACTCCGCGATCTAAATCATGTATGAGTAATGAAAAACGGAAAGAGAGAAACCCACGAGTCGACCTGTTGTGCCAAGACGAGGCTCTATCCTTGGCAATTGGGATGTACATGTCTGTGCGACTTTACTACTCCGTAAAGCGTAGTAGTAGGGAGTACTGGCAAGTGTACTCTGTAAACGCCCGGTTTATTGCGCCCCGCCACATTATTAGTACCAATTAAGCCCCCACATTCAGCCTCACACGACACTAAATCATAGAGAGAAGAAAGGCTTGGCCCCTCAGGCCGATGAATGCAGATAAATGTGACACCTCTACGGAGTACAATCACGGAATATGGAGAATGCAGTGTTGTGACTAATTGAAAAGCAGTAAATATGCACGAGCTTTCGATGTGTTCATTTGTATGTTGCAAGGAATTGGGATGAATCAAATGTGGGTACTGTAATAATCAAAGCAACAACTTGAACATATGCAATAATACTAACAGCAAATTAGGTGATAAAAGGGAGATTGAGATATGCAGAGGGAGAAGAGACTCGCAATGAGAGCGCACACTTTTGGTCGAATGGCACATTTTGCCCCATTTTGTCGTGATACATTCATTCATTATAACTCCCAGTTGTAATATGAGCACTCGGCTGTTTTGATACTGTAAAATTACAGTGGCTGCGCCAATGCACACTAAAAGGGCTCCTCGTACATACGAGTACTGGTACTGACCAGGGAGTGTATGATCTGCTACAATCACCACATGGCATACCCTGATGTTGTTGGGAATGATGATCCGATTCCCGCACCCAGGTCCGTGGTATTGGGAAGACCCCATAACCATCATTCTACCACGTAACCCTAACCACATGATTCAAGACACCACATAAAGTGTTAGCTAGTCCCCTACTTTCAATCATGTTTCGGTTTTGAATGGTAAATTCCAGCAAGACAAGAACTGTAATGCTACCGTATGTATTATTACTGATCCAAAAATAAGTACTAACCTGGGCAACTCCTCTCCAGATCGACGACCCTGGACCCACCTGTTGTAATGAACTACTCGCGAGTATTAGTACTAATGGCATCACCATCTAGGCATCCACGCCTTCCCGTCCACCGGGGGAAGCCTGGATGTATGACAGGCACAATGAAAGAGCGCTCCTGCCTTTGAAGTTGGAGTGCATCAATCACGCGTGCCTTCCTTGAATAAAGACAACATTGGAAGGAAGTATGGAAAGCACGTGTGATTGGGTATTTAGAAACAACAACGGCAGAGCCCATCTCAGCTTTGAGCTTCTCTTTTCTCCTCTCCATTCCGACCTCTTGTTTTCGCCCAGATTCCAGGAAGTGTTATATATCTATCATATAGAGGTCAGGGATGATTTCCTTCAATGGGTCTTGGGGCTTTGCGCGCAGATCGCGTGGTATAGGAAGGCGTCACAACTTGGAGATGACTCCTGGAGATATCTCAACCTTCAGAGATATTCTGTGGCAAATCTACTTCAGCCGCCCGTGTAACACCTTCAACAGCGGTGTTCCTCTTGCCAGGATCTATATGAACTAAGTCCTATTTGGGGACATACTGGAAGGCTATCGGGTGGATTGAAGACGCTGCGATCATGGGTTTGTTTCGATGTCAATCGACATGAAGAAATTTCGGCGATCCAGCAATGGCACTGGGACTACGAGCGACGATGGGCCTTCAAGTTGTTGGAAGCAACTCCGGAAACAGGACGGATTCCAAAGACGTGGTGATTGATTGGCGGACTTAACTTGAATATCAATATCCAACGATCTACGAGGTCAAGGCTGGGAGGTGAAGTATAGTTCCGTGAATCCTAGCATACTGTCCTAGTATTTATGAACGATATTCGTGCTACTTTATGAGAGAATAGATCATAAGTGCGAAATCCTGTATTAACTGTATTCTACTGCTAGTCCTGCTACTATTCCTAGTATGCTGTCTGCAGGCCGAGGTCGTCTCGGCGGGTCCCTCACTCTACTTCCACTTTCACTTTTACTTCCACCCCGACTGCATTCATCTCTCCTCTCTCCTCTCTCCTCTCTCCTCTCTTCTTTACTTACCCTTTGTATCCCTTGGCAAATTCATTCCTTGCTACATTAGTTCCATCCCTGTCCACCGCCACACCTCATCATGACCGTCGCCGATGAATACACTACTGCCGCCAGCGACATCCTGGACGCCAAAAGTACAATCCAGATGCTTGCAGCCACCTGCCGAGGAATCGTCCAATCTCATGCACAGGAATCATCCCAGGACGAGAAGCCTCGAAACGTCTTCCCCTTCTACTACTATGGCGAAAACGGTATCCGCAAACTGAGGACCCCAAGCCCCAACGAGCGCCTGTCGGACCAAGTGGTCTTCGCCATCATCCAAGGTAGGATTGGAGGGATGTGTCGTGGGAAGATCTGGCCGAATGTCTTCGACTCAGATGGACATATCAAACGAGATCGAATTCCCCGAGGCCCACCTGTCATCTCATGGGCAAATACAATTCCTTTCTTTACTGTTTACGGAGGATACTACATACTCGGCGGCGACTATCTCGCCCAACGAAGTTGGCTGCTGAGTCCCACTTCAACCCCAATCTACCCAGGCTGTCTCGCCGGTCTGGTCATTGCCTCCCCGAGTGCAATCTCGAACGATGTCATGCTCCAATCTGAACAGATCCACGCCTTCCAGGTGGAATCCTGGAAGGAAATCAACTGGGAGCCCAAGACTGACCTGGAACGAACCCAGAAGAACTTCACGACCTATACCAAAGACCACTCCCGCCTATCCCTCATCTTCTTCGCCAATAACTCCTTCGGTTTCGCCCCAGTCCGCGAAGTCGCTGGTTATCATCTTAACCTCGATCCGGCCGAAACAACCACCGTGTCTCCTACGCGGGTAGCAATTGGTATGTGGAATGAGACCCGTCTCGAGCGATACGTCAACAATAGGAACGTGCAATTTCACTTTCCAATTCAGAAGTTCCCGCTTTTCTTCAATGAGGCGCTTGACCATCCATTGTCAAAGACCCAGTCCACCCTGGAATCACCACTGAAGAATCTCAAATTAGAATCTGAATCTCCGAAGAAGAAAGACCCAGTCACACCAGTATGCAGCAGAACCAGCCAAGGAAATACCACTCCCAAACGGCCAAGGAACGATGGACTAGATGAAGATACGCCCTCCAAAAAGCCCAGGCAACTCATAACATACTCAAGGAAAATGCAAAGTCAACAACAAACTCAACAGAAAAAACATAATGACCAAGATCACCTGGAAAAGGAACAGGAACAGCGACAGGAGCAGCCGCAAGAAAAGCAAAGACAACCCCCAATTGGAACCAGCCCAAACACAGCAAAACAAATCGGCCAAGCATTCACAACCGAATTTAAAATCGAAGAAACATGCCTCGCCTTCGACGATCTAACAAAAGTCTACAACGAAATCATTCGAAATCGCGAAGCCCTGAATACATCCCCCGCGCGAGCCATCATCCAGTTACACAAAACCCAACACGAAAAACATGCCAAATACCGGGATCTCCTTGAGTCTGTGCAAAAGGGAATTCGGGGGAAGGATCGGGCTGTGAAATTAATCTTTCAGGATAGACTTGCCGCTGTTGCTTTTCCGGATGGTGATCGGGTTCACAACGACAAGGACAAGGACAAGGGGGAGGGGGAGGAAGAGGTTATGGAGTTGGATCTTGTTGGGAGTTCTGATGTCTCTCTGGACTTGACTCTGAGTCCCAGTCCCACGCCTGCTTTGGCTGGAGGCTTGGATTTGCCTACACCCATTTCGATCGATGGGGAGGATGTTGATTAGTTTGGGTTGAAATGCTACTTTCTACATGATTGTTGAGGGCCAGTTGCATAGAGTAAGGTGAGATGATGTCTCTGTGTCAAGTTCGATCTTGAGGAGGGAGGATGTTGTGCGGGTGTTTGATATTTGTCTCACAAGTCAGAGATAGAACTTCCTGCATACTAGTAATGATATGTAGAAACCATAATCTAATACTAGCCACCGAGCTATTAATGCCGAAGAAGAAAATGTGTTGGAGATTCATTCATACAAAAGCCACTCCTAGATGACTTGAGAATTATAATATACAATAATATACACCTACCCTTACCGGCCCTCCTGCACCGCGTCAAGGCAGTTATAGTTACGCCCACTCCCCAACCCTCTCAAACGCCTTAATAAACCCAACACATTCCATCTCAACATCAAGCCTAGACATATCAACACCAACAACTCTCGCCTCAACGATGCCAAAAACGTCCATATTCTCCACACCCGGACAATCAGGCGGAATAGCGACCGTACAATTAACGCCGAGATTAGAGATAATGCCGGAGTACTTGAGGCCGTCGCGCTCGAGGGTGAGTCTCTTGGCGCGTAGGAGGACCGGGAATGTTGTTGGGAGTTCGCATTCGCCGAAGTAGAAGGCTCGGAAGAGGAGCATGCAGGACCAGTGTTGGCGGGCGAAGTTTGAGATGTCGCGGACTCGGGTTGTTATTTGTTGGGCGTGGGGGATGTACATGTCCACGTCTGTTGTTGTGTATGGGAGGGGAGAGGGAGAGGGGGGCACAGAAGCGGTTTCGGACTCGGACTCGAATTGCTCGACCTCAGCAGCAATCTCCTCCGGAAGATCAGTCCTACCATCAAATCTCCGCCCATTCTCATTCTCAAACCGCAAAGCAGCCTCAATCTGATAATGCGCAATCACATCCGTAAACCGACGCAGTGGACTCGTACACTTGACATAAGAATTCAAGCCCATAATATGATGCTGCACGGGACTAGACCTAGCCAACGACTTCGGCATAGCAAGACGATAAAACGCCTGTCCGCCGAACTCGGCGACATTATCGCGCGTCACCCGCTGATACTCCGGATCATACCATGTACCATTGAACACGACGGGAATGTTTCTTTCCGCGCAGAATCGGCCCGAGATATGACCGGCCAGATTCATGAGTAGTGAGATGAGATAGTGTTTAGATTCATCGCGAACGTCGTGCGGGTTGAAGTCTTGCATGCGCAATTTGATCTTTGGGTCGCCGACGTAGTATCGGCCCTCTGTGACTTGCATTTCGTAGGGTTTGAATGGGGCGGTGCCGATTTGGAGGGAAAGTGAGGGGCCTGGATGGGAGGGTTGGAGGTCCATTGCACCCTTCTTTTGGCGCTGGGTGCGGAAACCTTGCATTAGCTTTTGGAGGATTGTGAAGGATTCTTTGTCTTCGGCTGTGAGGGTTTTGCGGAAGGTTTCGTTGGTCGGTGGTGAGGACCAGGTAGATTTATCGCCGACGGCGAGGTAGTCTGCGGCTTTGGTGGAACCGTTGAGGAATTTGGATAGAGTGCTGTGTGTGATGCTGATCACGTTTCGGATGGTGCCGTTCACGACTTCAGTGTCTAGGATCTCGCCTTGGAGGTTCATCTTTGCGCTGAAGGTCAACGTTGGTCTGCCGGCTGCCAGACTGAAATGGCCCTGTGTCAAAGCTGTTGGCAGTATCGGGTACGTTCTCTCAGGGACGTAGGTAGTAGCAACGCGTGATGCGGCGTAATCGATAATGGGATGACCACGGTCCAGGAAAGCTGTCGGGTTGGCAACATGGATGTGCACCCAGAACGTGTCGTCTGAGCCGGGGATGCGTTCCAGTGAGACTCCGTCGTCGATCTCTTGGGCTGAGACATCGTCCACACAGTAGACTGGTAGATCACCCCAGTCTTTGCGAAGATCTTGCATGGAGTCTTCGAGAGGAATGTTCTTGCAGGATTCCTCCACCTCTTCCCACTTCATGTCTTCCAAGAGGGACATTCCGTGACCGGGGAGTAATAGACTCTGGTCTAAGACACCCAGATTCTCCCACGGGGAGATGACTCCTAGCTCTTGCAGGAATAAGCGAGTCGATGCCTCACTCAGTCCGAGAGTGTTGTACATCCCGGTAGCTCGCATGATATGCGAGGCTGCCGATCGTAGGGCACCGGAGGGCATGATGACAGATGGAATCGCATAGTATTGCATAAACTCCAGAATTATTTGGTCATTAGCGGTGAACTTTTCGGTTAAGACTTCACGGAACATCATAGATTTGCCATCGTCACCGGGGGTAAATTGTTGTGAAGAAGGACCGACGCTGGACATGATAGTTGGCGAGCGGACCTTCCGACTCAGACGGATCATGCGCTGCGATTTCTGAATAAACTGGTGCATAGGGTGGTCCTTTCGCCCGGGTTGCTCTCTGGACATGACAGCACGGACGCAGAAGTCTTGGTGCTCGTGCACCCAATCGATGACCTGATCAACGACTTTGGCGATCCGCATGGGCTGGATAAGATATGTCCGACTGAAGAAGGACGGAATATCCTTTTCAGTTTTAAATGGATGGCGGCGCACAGCCTGATGCACGTTGAACATGTTTATCGGGGTAAGTTCCGACTCGTCGATGGAGAGAGCCTTCATGGTCAAGTCTTCAAGGGTCAGGCGTTGGAACTCCGAGTCGTCCGCGACCAGTTCATGTAAATTATCGAGAACTTGTGAGTGATCCCTATAGAATGCTAGGAGATGCTCCTCAAAGTTGCTCATCATATTTACCAACGGCGCCCCAAGCGGTCGCGGAAGCCCGCCCTCAGGAACAGATTGAATTTCCGAGTTGACCTCGGTGAGACCGTCAGGGAAATATGGAATGATAGGATCGAGAAGCTCCGGCGGGGCAAAGTCCTTGAATACAAAGTCGACTTCGCGATTGGTACAGACACGCCAGTTTCCGCGGCTCGTGTAGAACTGCTTCTGCCGGTGGACGGATCGCACGTAGATTGCAAATATGAAGGCGCCATCCGTCGTTAGACGAGCCACCATATCACCCGGTTCGAGGTGTTCACCCTCACATTCCTCGGAAGTATCGAAGTCGTCCTCTTGCTTGAGGTTCGAGTTGGCCCAGAGCGACTCGCTGGATTCACGACCGTTGAGCATCGATCCTAGGACTCCTTGTCCTGGTACATCGGCGGAAATCCCGACGCCAGTGTCACGGACAGGGTCAAGGACCAGAGGATTGGTTGCTTGCCATTTGTAGAGGTATTCTCTGATGTCGCGATAGGTTTCGAGCTCGGCTTGCGAGAATGCTTCGTTGGAATTGGAATTCGGTTCCGCCGAATTCTAAAGGAAACATACGTTAGTCATGGCGTATATGAAGGGGACTAGTTGTCATACTGTGTCTGCAATGTCATTCTGCTCTGTTGTTTCCGTCGGAATGGCTCTCAAGATGCGTGTGGTTGATAAGAGGCGACGGTCGATCGGCCTGGGCGCGTGTCTTGTCCGTAAAGACAGACATGATGACTGGCGCTGTCTGGGTGAACAGCGCAGACAGAGTTGCTGCGCATTGGCGACTGTCTGCAGGACGCCAATCCTTGATCGCAGCATGGTTGACGTGAAGATAGCATATCGTCCGTTGCGAAATTGGGTTATTCTGCCTGTAAATGGCACTCACCGCTCAGAGGGCGGTGACATGCATATTGCTGCCTGAGAGGTAAGGCGGTAAGGCACTCAGGCAGTCGCTCGCCCACTCAAAGTATACAAACAACCATAACCTTTCAAAGGACTCTGCAATCTCGCTTCTACTGGACCACCTGATATTGCTTAATGGTTGCATTATGGGAACATTGTTTCGTCTTGTTCTCCACACATTTTCGAGGTTATCATTTTTCAGTCGAGGCTGATCTTGCCAAGGCATGCCCCATCGCGGCCACGATGTAACTCGACACTGCAGGAACACCCCCAGTCTTTTTCTTTCAGGGGGCTGTGGACGAACTCCATTTGCCGCAGTTGGGACGGATCCATTCGGCTATTGAATAGGGATTTGAGCAGGGATTATTCCAGATTTACTGATTCGTTCTCGGATTGCCTGTCTGATGACCGAGACTTCCCCTGAATAGTTTCAGTCTTGTGAATCAGCCCCCACATCTTGTCATCTTGTCAGGCACCAAGATCATTCTTCTAATTTCTCCAGATCGTCGTCAAAAACACCCAGGAGACTCGAGAGCCCGCGTATTCAACGTATTCGCTATCGCGTTTTACTCCGCACCGGTGGGAGATCCTAATATCTACCCCGTACCCTTGCCGTGACCCTCGGTAGATTTAAAGCATGTGAAGGTTATCTCATCCCACATTGATCGCCCTGCTTAACGTGAGCCCCGTCGATCACCAACAAGAGCAAATGCCCAAAACCTTGATGACAGCGACTATCATTACTCTACTGGTCTAAGCGAAGTCGGCCCGAGCTTGATGGCGTTAATGGCAATGCACCGGCCTTCCTACCAAATTCAGGTCCAAAATCCAGGAACCATTCAGGGATTCCGCACAGTCTGATTTGCCATTCGATCCACTTATTTAGTGCCAGGAGGATACCGTTTGCCGGTCCACTCCAATGGCTGATCATTAGGTTGACAGACATCTCTCGGAATAATTATGGCCTCACGGTGAGCCACGCGAAGCGTCGACCTTCCCTTTCCATTTAGTGGATTAGAAGGCAATTTGTCTTCCTAGGATCATCTACTCACGAAACCTCAAAACCTCAACTCCGGCGTGACATCTCAATTCCGAGTAATGAAAAGGTCAGGCCATCCGTTCCTTGTCTCACTCTTGAGATGATCAGTGGAGCCAGGATGAAGGAGCCGGTCTGGACTTGATCCATGGTTGGCTGCTCACACAAGCCGCATTACTTTGTCTGCGCCCAAGGAACGAACTATTGACGCCGCTTACTTCCGGGACTTGCCCGCCTTTGTTATTCGGGGATTTTTAATCGCTGTCTATGCCAGATGGCGTC